CTAACCCTAACCTAACCCTAACCCTAACCCTAACCCTAAAACCCTAGATTTTTTTCTAAAATCTAAGTAAGTAGGGTAGTAGGAAACTAAGCTAAGAATACTATAAAAGGTCTAGATCTAAGTAAAAAGTCTAGATCTAGAGATAAACTAAAGAAGTATATAATACTAAGCTTATTTTAGCTTTTTAATACTTTTATAGTAATCTTATACTACTAGAGTGTCTATACTAGGTAAGAACTAAGTACTAGAGACTTTAACTAGCTAAAAAAGAAAAATAGAATTTTAGACCTTAGACTTAAACTTCCATTTAGTCGTTAATTAGGGGTTTTATATGTTTAGGCTAGTAAGAAGGGTAATAGTAATAGTAATAATAGTAAGGCTAGTAAAAAGGGTAACGGCATAGCTTAGTTAGCTATATACATATATTTATTGCCTTTATATAAATAGATAGCTTAGAAATACCTTAGATGTTAATATTAAGTTATATACCATAAACATTTCTAAGCTCTTCTAATTTATTACTTAGGGCGGGTGAAAACGTCGATTTTATATAGAAAATCGGCCTACAAAGCCCGTGTCAAGAAAACCGCTCGGATGGCTTAGAGATGCGCTTCCATTAGTGTGTCTTAGTTCCTTCTATGTCTTAATACCCTCTGGCGTGCGTTGCCCTAAGGGTCCTAATTGTTTTGCAGCATAAAGTTTCCCGCAGCATCTAGAAAGTCTGTGTCTGCACTTTGAGACCATAACCATAGGAGGTCTGCAGAGGTGTTTGGTACTGCCATGTTCTCGCTCATTAAGATCGGATCTAGCATCTCTTGTATGTCGTTAGCAGGATGAGAACCGTCTCCAGGGTTAGCGGAGGTGGCATTGCCGACAGCGTGCCACTGATCATTTGGCTGCATCGACGGTGTCGCGGAGGTAGCAGATGAGCTGGAACTGTACCTGTNCTGAGACACAAGATCAGCATATAATGTAGTGTTGGGTCGGGTGGAGCATTATGATCCGGCGACCGGAAAATGACAATACATACCGAGAAGTCTACTCAACACCTTCTGCGCGTGATCTGCCATGGACTGAGCTCGACTCAACTGACAAAGAGCTTGAACAGCAAGCTCGAGTTTGTTCCTCCAACCATCTCTCGACACATGGTTTGGTGCATATGCCAAGCACGTAGCATGTACTACACTGGCGGTAAGCAACCAGTACGTCGCATACCAAGCAAACCCGCGTCTGCAGTCTGTGTTGTTCGTGACAAAGTTGTGCACCGAGTCCACGCAAGTATCCGCCGTCTCGATACAAGTCCAGACACCACGATCATCAGGTGACAGTCGGGCATTCTTGGCCACTGCACGGAAGAGGAAAGGTCTGAACAGGACGATGCGAAGATGGTATGATCTCCAGATGAGAATGCGTTTGGCAAGCTCGAATCGCATCGACAGTGTGATCTTCAGATCGTAGTATGCTGGCAGCTCGGCTAGCCAGGTTGTTATCTGTTGATCAAGATGTTGGGCTGTCTCAAGTGCAGGAACCTGATGAGTCAGTAGCTCAGACTGGACCATGTTCCCGATACTGGCGAGCTTGATTTGGGCGACTAGGGCCGTTGCTGTCGTCGGCCCATCTCTGGCCGCAGGCAATGAGAACATGTCGACTGCCAAGTCCTTGTCATCCAGGTTGGTGGGAGGTCCTAGATTGATGCCAATAAGGGAGGCAGGGGGCCGTCCGAATGTCAACTGATGTCCAGAGACGAAGACAAACAGAGTCCACCAAGTTCGTCTCCGTATTTCCATGTTGTATACAGAAGCGGATGGACTGTCGAACTCCCGATGTAGGCCTATCGAAAGAGCCATTGACCACGCGATTCCGATCATGGCAAAACCAGCGTTTGGCTTGTTCCTCTTCTGTAAGTAGTTTGCCATGAGCGCCAATCCCTGAACATAGCATATTGAACCTTTTTCCAGCAGGGACAGGGATATGCTATCTTTGGCAATATTGTAGTATGTCAAGTCGATGTTCGTATCGACCAGGCCACCGGCAAATGCACCAATGGCTATGACTATGTTGTACAACAGGTCCCAAGATCCGTCTCGAGGTTTTGGTACGGCACCTGAGGTACGATCAGCCATGAATGGGAACATGTGTGTGACAAATTTACCGAGAACTCGAGCACGAAACAAGCCTTCATGCAGTAAAGGGTAAGCAGGATGGTAGAATATAAAGTAGTCGTTGATGAGGGCGTCAACATCGGCATATTCAGTCGTTGGCATGCCAGTCGAAGGACTTTGATCGAGGTCCCCTTCAATTCGCTCAATCGTCGCATGACTTTCGGTTGGCAGAGAGCGTAAGAACCTCAGTGCTGCCACACCAGACGTGGGTCCAGTATATCCGGACCTGCAAGGTTCGGCGGTCAAGAAGCCCATACCATCAATTAGCTCGTCGAAGTCATGCGATTCATCAAACTCATAGTCTCCAGGATCACTCTGAGCGGAGTCTGGACAACTCACGGAACGTCCGTCAGGCAACTCGGTATGGAGGACTGAGTTGAGAGATGGCGATTGGTTCGACAGAAGCGAACTGTTTGTACGTGGTGCTCCCTGATCATCTAGCGCTGCCAGGGCGTCTTCAATCGTCACGTCCGGAACATGATTTGACCAGACCCTTCGAATATTATGGACAAGCTCCTCATAGTTCTTGATCTTCCTACAGCTTTCGGTCAGCACTAATCCCACAGACAGATGACAGACTCACTTCTGTAAATCGGTCGCGCGATGCGAGGGCCAAGAGTAGACACAGGCTTTTCCATCCCGCACACAATTCGAACAGCGTGGCTCGGCCGAGCAGCGCACTTTCCGACGCTTGCACTCGTCGCACGCCGCACTTCGACGAATCTTGCGACTCCTTTCCTGTTGAGAATCCGCCATTTCGGATTGCGACATTATTGGTGTCGCAATGATGGAATCAATGAAAGCAAGATGGAGGGGCACGAAAGGCAATCAGAAACTGTCAGTCTTGGCAGGTTGGCCAGACTTCGGCGGATCCCACAAAGACAAATTATTCTGTCTACACGAACACTCCTACATACAGCTTCCAAGACACCCGATGATGCCTCAAGTAAAGAGCATACCGCCATTGGCGCAGATTACATCGCCAGTAATCCACCGTGCTTGTTCACTACACAGGAAAGTGATGATGTCGGCGACGTCTTCTCCAGTACCGCATCGCGGAGCAGCAGGCACCGCCTTGTTCTGTTCCTCCATGCGTGCAAGATGAACTTCACCCGCTGCACGATACATATCAGTGTCAACAGGTCCTGGATTGACGGCATTGACCGTGACACTGTGTGTATGACCCAGCTCTTNTGCCCACACTCGAGTGAAGCCCTCCACGGCTGCCTTTGTCGCAGCATACACCGTTTGTGTCGCAAAACCACCACGAGCAGAGATTGATGACAAGTTGATGATGCGGTTGGAAGTACCCTTGAGGTAGGGAAGAACTTGTTGTGTCATGAAGATGACTGCGCGAACATTCACGTCCATCAGCTTTTTGTATTCCTCGACTGTGACGTCTTGCAAGGGCGTGTTCTGTCCCAAGCCTGCGTTGTTAACCAATATATCGATCCGGTCGGTCTCAAATGCTTGCAGTGTTGTCTGGAGGATGATGGCAGGAGCAGAGATATCCGCCATGTCCGCTTGAACGCAAACAGCATCACCGGCCTTGGACTTGATGGCGGCTACGAGCTCTTTGGCTTTCGAAGCAGAGCTTTCGGATACGTAGTTGAACGCGACNNCTGCTCAAACGTCAGCATCGTTTTCTCTTTGGTCGATCCATCATGCCACAACCTTTGCACCCTGCGTGGCCAAAGCAACTACAATGGCTGCACCAATACCNNTTGACAAACGTCAGCTTTATGCGAACGGTTGCTTGAGCGGAGGGAACAACTCACCTCTAGCGCCGCCAGTCACGATTGCTATCTTCCCGTTGAGTGACATATTTGCTCCTTCACAAAAAGTGTAGACGAGGTTGAAGTTGTTGTGGTTGTGACCATTGCGCAGAGTGATTGAGGCTGGCTATAGTGCTGTCGCGGTTCGTACTCTGATCAGACACCACAACTGTGACCGAATCCCGAGTTTACTAACAGCATGCGAGCTCAGAGACGACGCGAGACCGAGCGCGACTCGCAAATTTTCCGGCCTCGGTACCGTCCCGGCCCAGATTCGACCACTCGTCTGGATTGCAAGACACTGCCCTCGGGCTACTGACCCGAACGAGCCGTCCTGTACGATTCCTTGAGTTGTCTCTATTGAAGAAAGAAGTCATATTTCGCATATAACAGACTTCACTACACTGCTCTTGAGGACGCACTATCTTTGCACTGACGACTTAAGGCCATCATCATGGCGCCTTCGGCAGCAACCTCTGGCATCGATTCGACACAAGTCAATACCAACATCAAGTCGGCGAACATTGGCGTCTACACAAATCCTGAGCACGAACTCTACATTAAGGAGACTGCAGTCCCTACTCCCGGTCCCGGAGAATGCTTGATTCACGTGCGTGCGACTGGCATCTGTGGATCTGATGTGCACTTCTGGAAGAAAGGCCATATTGGCGACATGATTGTCGTCGGAGAAAATAGATTGGGCCATGAGAGTGCTGGCGTTGTCGTTGCTGTTGGAGAAGAAGTAGATGCATTCAAGATCGGTGACTTATCCCCCGGAGCTGTATCAACTTGCTTTGCTGACTTTCCACANGGAGATCGTGTTGCGCTCGAATGTGGTGTNCCCTGCAATAAGGCCACATGCTTTTACTGCCGGACTGGCAAGTACAACGCCTGCCCCGACGTCGTCTTCTTCTCTACCCCACCTTACCACGGCACACTTGCTCGTTACCACGTTCACCCACATGAATGGCTGCACAAGCTTCCAGACTCCCTGTCATTCGAGGAAGGCTCTTTGTTGGAGCCCTTGTCTGTAGCATTGGCAGGTATCGATCGTTCCATGTTGCGTCTTGGTGATGCTACCGTCATCTGCGGAGCTGGGCCCATTGGGTTGGTGACCCTGCTTGCTGCACACGCTGCCGGAGCGAACCCGATTGTTATCACCGACCTCGACGAAAACCGTCTAAACACGGCCCAGAAACTTGTGTCGCGTGTCAACACGGTGAAGATCGCCCTGAAAGAAGAACCCAAGGATGTAGCTGCCCGCATCACCACAAGTCTTGGTGCTCGAGCCAAGATCGTCTTTGAGTGCACCGGCGTTGAATCGAGTGTTCAGTCTGCCATTTACGTAAGTGACTGCTCCTCACCGACTGAAATTGGAATTCGGCTAACCACAACGCAGTCTTGCGCATTCGGAGGACTCGTATTTGTCATTGGCTGTGGCAAGGACTTCCAGAACATTCCATTCTCTTACATGTCTGCAAGAGAGATCGATCTCAAGTTCCAATATCGCTACAAGGATACATATCCAAAGGCCATTGGACTTGTTGCCGCAGGTCTTGTGGACCTCAAGCCATTGGTGACCCATCGCTACACACTTGACCAAGGCGAGGATGCTTTCAAGAACGCTTCTGATCCCAAGGCAAGAGCGATCAAAGTCCAGATTTTGGATGATTAACTTTGTAATGCTTGATATGTGTTGACATTATCAGTATCTTGTGTCAACATGAACTTCTTTTGGTTGACCCAAGTTTCTGCTGTAACACTAATATGCAATTGAAAGTGATACATGGAAGGTTCCGGTAGTGCATGTCAGAACGATAAACTCTACTCATACGACCTTACAATCATAGCGTGAAGATTGAGGGTGCTTTTTAGACTTGTGCGGTCTTGTCGGCATTCGGCCGCTCCATGGCACAGTCATTCCAGACGACGATCTTCCAGAATTATTGGTGTAGCTTTTACAATCTGTAGGGTTACATCACTTCATTCTTTTCTCTAGAGGTGCTTAGATGTTCTGGTATGTATTTTGGACGATACGGATGACTTGTAGGAGTCAATCACTGCATATATGACTGTTGAGTCTTATCACACGAAAAGCTTGGTTCGGCAATGTCTCTACTGTATGAAGAAGAGGAAGTGTGAACAGGACAATTGATCTGACCTGTTGAACCTCCCAAGATCTGATGAGATTGTCTACATGATCGACAAACCAGCGGCGACTCGCTTGCAACCAACGGATGGGGTTGACGTTTCTTGGTTCCGTATGCATCAATACACTGTACGAACAGTGCAAGTCTAGCTCGTCGTGTTGTTATTGCGCTGATCCCATTCACGATCAAAGGTTGCAAGACTACGTTGAGCTGCATCATTGGTTAGTTGTTGCCTTCTGGAATTTCAGAGGAGGCATGACTCACCAGTGGGTATCACATCCATCGCCTTGACTGAGATGTGTTCTGGCTGCTTGAGCATGTATGTTGCAGCATCTGCAATGTCTTTGGCTTCAAGTGGACTACGACCATGTTAGCAATGAGTCGATTGTGATAGAGTAGGAACATACGTGTATCCATCGAAGAATTCTTCGTACATCTGCTTGTCATGTCCAACGCGTTGCGAATGGAAATTGGTAGCGACGCACCCTGGTCTCAGAGCCAATACACGAATGTTGGTGCCTACGAGCTCACTGCGGAGCGCATTTGTGAAACCTTCCTGGCACGCCTTGTTGGCATGATAGACAGCCTCTCCAGCGAACGGCGGGATCTCGAGTGCAGTCACGGATGTGATGTTCAGAATGGTGCCTGCACCACGCTTCCTCATGCCGTGTTGCAAGACGGCGTATGTCGTAAGCATCAGCCCATTAACATTGGTATTGTTCATTGTGAGAATGTCCTTGATGCTAAGATCGGGGAAAGCGTTTGGTGCACCCAATGCAAGTCCTGNCCTTGATGAGCAGTTAGCAATATCTTCGGTGTGTGACAGGTGACCAGTATGTACATTGTTGACCAAAACGTCGACGGATCCGAGCTGTTCAGTAGCAGACTTGACAGCCTTGTCGATCGATTCGTAGTCGCTGATATCGGCAGTGCGATAAATACATTTTGTGTCAGGATGTGCCTGGCTGAGCCTCGCCGCGATCTTGGATAGCTTGTCNNCTGTGAAGTTGTCAGTTCGAGTTGTCCTTTGGATCTTCTTCTTGGAACATCGCTCTACCTCCGATCTTGAGAGCAAGATAAGATTAGCGCCTTCTGTTGCCAAGGAGTTTGCAATGGCTTCGCCAATGCCCATAGATGCACCGGTCTATGTTGTATGTCATGTCAGTTCCACGCTTTCCAGATTGATTTGTTAGGTGTATCATCATACCAAGAGCACATTCTGGTTGCGGATGTTCATATCGGGCGTCAGTCACGGGAAGATCAAGATTTCGCTGGTACGTGACCAAGATGGAGAGGACGAAGACGATATAAGTGTGGAACTGTCACTCAGGTTCCATAGTGATGGAGCACAGATGTTCTGACGTCAAAAGCTGGCCTGCTTAACTCTATCCTGACTGCTGACCAACAGCGTGAAAGGGTGGAGCTTGGGGCGTCATCCGCCCTCGGTCTTTCGCCGAGCTGCAGGTGCTCACAAATTCCACTGCAGTCGTCGGCTTCGGTACCGATGCCTTCATTCGGCACAATCAAGACAGACCACATGTCATGCAAGTCGCAACGATATGGGCCACCATTTTGGGACAGCGTCCAATCATGCGAATACAGGGTATAACACTACGAATAGCTATACACTTTAAGCGTCGAGTGACTAATATCATTTACTAGTGCCATAGTGGTTATGGACTTAATGTCTGAACGACGCGACATACAGTCTCTACAGAGCACCAATCACACATTCTATTGAGGAGACGTAGATGCGTCAGCAACCGCTCCAATCACAAGCTATGTCTACGCGCCCGATGACACACGATCGTACCACTTGTAGTTGGTTGATCGTCATTAACGTGCCATGCTGACTTACGGTTCAGTGCTGTACTAGACAAGAGTAGCACTATGCAGCAGTCCATTCGGGCCGCTCTTGTTGGGTTCCTGGATTGGTTAGTGCTTAGCAGGTCAAAACGTCATTCTCATTACGATAACACAAACACAAGGGCACGTACATGGATGATGGACTCGTACAGATTATTAGAAGCGAGCCTGATGGGCTAGCAAACAGTGTGGCAACTTTTGTTGCTGGTACCATCTGCGGCGATCGTCTGAGTATATGATCCGCAAGCCGACTAACCCTATAGCTTTTACGCCATTGCCGACACCACAGACAATCGCCTGCATATCCGTAAGGGCAGACTAGGGTTGAAGAGGCTTACGGAACTCTTTGCATGATATTGTCGAGCATGAGAAGTACAACTGGTGCTATAAATAGCCACTTTCGGAGTCCAAGGTATTGATGAGAAACAAGATCGTCGTAGAAAGCTGGGTCATTGTTCTTGTAGGACAATCGAGCCAGGATTCCAATGACGTTGTCCTCGAAGCTACCCTCACTTAACTTCGTCACTTTTCCGGACGATAACAATCAGAAGAACATCACACAGCGGTTCTCCAGTTGGTGGTCCCAGTTCGCAAGTCTATCTCCATCAGTCAGAATTCAGAACCGGGTCCGGGCTCAGTCGCAGGAATCTGAGTGCCACGCCAGTCTTGCAACATGGCAGACATAACGCCATTCAGAGTCGACATCCCGGCGGCCGAAGTGAAACGTCTGCACCGCAAGCTCCACGATACTCGCCTTCCTGGACGACCCATTGTGCCTGACGCGGGAATCAAGTATGGTATGNNTACCGGCTTCACGTTGTGGTCAATGAGCCCGGAGAAGTTGTCCTGACAGATCCGCTCAGGGCCAAGCTATGAGTGGGCGCAAGATCTTCTCGAAGCCTGGAAACACGACTTTGACTGGACGGCTGCACAGGATATGATGAATGAATATCCGCACTATCTTGCCCATATCGAAGACATGAGAATACACTTCCTTCACGCGCCCTCTCAGAAGCCAAACGCTATTCCTCTGCTGATGGTGCATGGTTGGCCCGGTTCGTTCTGGGAGTTCAGTCAAGTTTGGGGACCCCTTTCGAGCCCTGAGGACCCAGATGGGCAAGCCTTCCACGTTGTTGCACCGAGTCTTCCTGGCTTTTGTTGGTCGGACTGGCCCCCATGCAGTGGATGGACACTCCAAGATACCGCCAGAGTGTTTGACACATTGATGAGAAGTCTTGGCTACAAGAAATACATGGTGCAAAGTGGTGACTGGGGGCACTTTGTTGGCCGCGAGCTTGGCTCAAAGTACACGGACTCATGCAAATTGTTGCACTGCAACTTCTCACCCGGTTCTCTGCCAGATGATGTGGAATACACTGATCGTGAGAAGGCCGTTGCTTCTCGTGTGGACGATTGGATGGAGAACCATCTTGGATATGCCGTTTGCATGCGAACCCGTGTAAGTAGTTGGCAAAAGATTGGGCAGCATTTGTGATTTGGATGCCAGCTGACCACCGATACANNGCCTCACACCATCGGTCTGGCTCTTCACGACAATCCGATGGGCATTCTCATGTGGGTTGGCGAAAAGTACAACGAAGCTGCCGACCCTGAGAAGCAGAAACGACCATTTTGGACTGAAGCTATCCTTACAACAGCTAGTCTATACTACTTCACAGGCTGTATCATTCCCTCTATGCTTACCTACTACGAAAACATACGCCATGAACAGTTCGCTGCTTTTACCACCTTACCCGAGCATAAAATCAAGGTTCCATACGGATACACCTCATTCTTTTGGGATACCGAGCCTTCGTCCCAACGCGCGGTCGAGCAAACAGGAAACTTGGTGTACTACAAAGGTACTGGCTGCATTACCCATGGCATTGACCAGAGATCTGGCTAATGTATAGCAGAGAGGAATGATGGAGGACACTTCGCCGCCCTCGAACATCCGGAAGGACTTGTGGAAGATTTGAGAGAATTTGCGTCTCAACAGTGGTCAAACATCCGGGATGACTGAATTGCATTTAATCAGTCCTCCCCGCACAAGACCATACGAGTTGTAGTATTTTCTTGCTCACTGCAAGCTCTATCGAATTAGCTGTAGCACTTGCTTCTGTAGTTCTTGTACGAGCTTTGTCCTTGCGCAATCTTTGATCTACGTATTTATGATCTCACTTGATCTCGAGAGCAGTCCAAGCCATTCTTGTCTTGTTGTTCTTGTCATGCGTTTAGCAAACTCGGGATGTTCGTGGCTATCAAGCTTCGGCACGGTCCCGAGTGAGCTTCGGAGACTCCCCGTCGCTGTCTCACAACCACAACAAATCTCGACCACGCTCGCGACTGGACTCAGGGAAAGCGGCACAACCATTCTTCCACGTTTCGATTGCTTATGAATGCTAAATCTGTTGCTGATCAATCAAGAAAATTAAAGCATAGGGCACGATATGGCGCAGTCATGAACACCATATATCGTGATGATGATCGCGCCTGGATTATTGTGCACTGTTCAACTACTACCGAAACCGCTTGACTTGCTGAGGGACTATCCATCGACAGAATGCACCTCCTTGTGATTGGATCGACTTGTTTGTTCCTCCCATTGATGTTCAGACCCTCAAGGAGCTGACTAGAATCTACATTAGCGCCGTCTGGCCTCGAATTCATTGCCAAAGCACTACAAGAGAAACATGAGTTGACACTTCTTGTGCGCTCCCCCTCGAAACTCCCAAAGACCGTTCTAGAACACAAGAATGTGCACATCATTCAAAGCAACTTCGATGACATTGGAGCGGTAACCAGGAGCGTGACTACTGGTGCAGATACTATTGTTTCATTCGCTGGTCCCGTACCTGCAAACAAGGGTGCAGGGACTGTAAGTGCTTTCGCAATCCGTTCATCGGGTGTACCTCGACTGACGTGTGTCTGCAAATAGCCCATCCGAGACTTCTACAAGCATCTGTTTGCCATCGCCCAGAACAACTCAGATAGCGCTATTGATCGTTGCTTGATACTCTCGACACCATCGTATCTTATGAACGGCGAAAAAAGAACCTGGAAGTTCAACTTTCTTGTGTCCATGCTTGAGAGAATGATGGCTTTTGCCGTGGATGAAATTCGAGGGTGTGGTGCATTGACAACACAGCAACCACTTGATAAGCTTCAGTGGACTCTATTCAGGTATGTCTTGCGCCTTGAAACTTGCAGGAAGGGGTATTACTGACGCCAGGGAGGGTACCGATGCTAAAGGATGGAGACGCCAAACCTGTGCATGCATCAATCATGGGTGATGGTACTGAGTCATTGTTCCTGACAAGGAAGAGTCTGAGCCAATGGCTGCTGCAAGAGTTGAAGGAGAAGAGATGGGTGGGAAGAGCGCCAATGATCTCCAATCCTGGATGGTTGTAGCAGATTGGGCAATCAATCGCGATCAATTTCGTTGGTGTTCATTGACTGTACGGTGCACGGGATGAGTTCATGGTTGACGGTTGGCCTCAGCAGGCTATACATCTAACCAGGGTAACCGAGGATCGTACCAAAAGACCACAGAGCATGCCATCTAGCCTTTTTGGTTGGCAACATGCATGGCTACATATCTTTCCATGATGCCATCTTTCATGGCTTTCTGCGGGGCTGGATAACCAGTAAAGAGTTCGAATTGAGCACGACCTTGCTCGATCAACATTTCAAGCGGCTCAACGCAAATCCAGCCTTTGTGAGCGCGGTCGTGTGCCTGCTGCAGCAGCGGTGTCGATGCAGATTTATAAGAAAGCTTGCTTAGGAGTTAGTTGTATAGAGGAAGAATGAACAGAATCAGGCACTNCACCTCGACAATCACTCCTCCTGTCCTACTCTGAAACCATTGCTGAGGGATGACGAATTCTGGGGGCGGTATGTCACCTATCTGATGGGCTGGGATGGTGCACACCACGATCGCAGGCTGTGCAAGACCTTCTGGCCAAGGCGACTCCAGCGATTCAACGACATCAATGCGGCATGCTGGAAAGTTGGGGTGGGGCTGCGTAGACAGTCTAGTGAAGTGCTCTGCAACTTGGATCGCTTTGCTGTGCGTCCGATTCCACATGACAATATTCTTCACACCCATCTGCAGCAAAGCATACACTGAAGCGCGACCCATGCCACCAGCGCCGATGACAAGGGCCGAGGAGCTTGGCTGAATGGTATTGGCAGGAGAAAGATAGCGCAACACGCATGTGTAGAGTGCAGTCCAATCTGTATTCTCGCCATGTAGTCCAATGACTGGTCCAGCTCGGTTCTTATAACATCGGCTAAGCGAATTCAAGGCGACATTATCCTTGTCCTGCATGGCTCTCAGAGGTATGATCGTGTTGACGGCCTGGATAGCCCTGGCGGCTTCACTTGTCGAGTTCAGAAGGGGAAGAATCTCATTTTTGTACGGCAGACTGATGCTGGCACCCCCGAAAGAGTCGTCCACGAGGCTTGCAAACTCACGCAAGTTGTTTGACTGTTTGATGGAATAGGTATGGTCCATAGCCAAGACCTCGAAGGCAGCATTGTGTATCAGTGGTGACACGCTGTAGTCCACACTTGCGCCAAAGATATGGAAGTGTAATGGTTGATAGATGTATGCCGAGAACTTTGCCCCCATCAGCTGTTGGAACGTGAGGAGGGAAGTGGCCGAGGAGGATTCTGATGTTTCGGGATCTTGTACAGGGGTAAGACACGTATTGAGCACCATTGATGACTTCGATGGAGTACCAATGCTGTATGCGACCAGAGGAGTCTTGGATCTGAAAGCAACTGCAGCCTGAAACAGAGTACAATCCCTGTCCTCCGAAGCTGACACGGCGTGGCGAACAAAGCGGACGACATGGCAGCCGAGAGTGACAGCGCGGTCAAACTCCTTGTGCAAGGCTGGATCTTTCCATGATGGAGAGCTGCCTGCCGAGTATGAGCGATGACCAACGACCTTTGTCCGACCTACTGAGCCTATCAAGTTTTGGATCTGATGATCCGTACAGCTGAGGTCGATTGTGACGAAGTCAGGGACGAGACGAAGACCATGAGATAGCAGATCGCTGTACACTGCTTTGTTCGGATCTTCACACTCGACATGGAAAACTATTGGGGATGTGGAATGACGTCGAATCATCTGGAGGGAACGACTAGTGCGATCCCAGTCGATGCAAGGTCTTTGTGATGAACATTGCCGGACGGTCAGCTCAATTGCATCAGTTCCACAGTCTAGATTGACAAGACTGAAGCTTCCGCTAGCAACATCTTCGGACAGTAAGACGGACAGAGTGGAATATTCACGTTCTGCCGGCGACAGAGAACAAAGCAGAGAGTCAGCACGCACTGGAGTCCGGGCCAGGAGGTGCAGGAAATGCANAAAGTCTTGTTTGACATTCTGTAGCAGCTGAGGCGGGTTGTGAGTTTCTGTCGGACGCCTCAGGTTTCGACACAGCTCGGCAGAAAGTGGAGTCTTGGCCTCGGTCTCTGGCAGATTGTAGAACTCGTAGTTGGATATCCGGCGGCAGAGCTGACGGCTTCGGCCGAGAATCTGCAATACTTCGTGCGTGTCTGGAAGGCCGAGATAGTCTCTTATCATGGTCAGATCACGATTGATCATGACTACAGGATGTGTGGTCGCAAAGGTCCGAATGAGGGATTGACAGTGTGGCTCGAGGGCTTCGGGACCGCAGACGATGACACAGCGCGAAGCATTTTGTTTCAGTATATCCTCCAAAGCTTTTGACGCGGCTGTGCGATAAGCACTCAGCCCTCGCGTCTTGACATATTCAGATCTGCGCAGGCTGCAATGCTCAACAAGCCAACTCTCGGTATCGACCAGGCGGAAGTGCAAGGCAGTGGCGGCGATGACACCAAACGAGGAGAGGCCACTCCCCTTGGTGCCGACCAAGACTAGGGAAGCATTCTGCTCAGATGGTGATGATGCTCGCGATGGTTGCCGACTGGGAGTGGCGCGTAGGGACGGCGGCGGGGTGCTTTCGCGATGGACAAGGGCGTCGTGTGCCTCGCCAGGCAGACGGGGTCGTATCGAGCCTTCACGTGTGGCATAGACGGCTGCGTCAAGGCGACGTCGCTTGTTGGCGACAAACGTCGGGCTGGAATGTGTAGACACGGCGTCAGTCATGTCGGCCGTGGCGTGCAAGTCATGAGTAGAGAGTAGACATCAGCGCGGGTCTCCAGAGCGAGTAGACTCAGTCAACCATGATGTTGTTCGAACTGACAGTCGAGGCCATCGACGCCCGGTCCAGCTCGGTCAAGAGGGCAGGCGCTCGGATGAAAGCCATGCCGAGCGTTGCCGGCGTCTATTGATCAGATTCCCACCAGGGCTCCTTCCTCCTTGCGCGGCCGGTCTAGTTTTCAGATGGTCCTGCCAGCCAAGAGACCGTATCTGGACTGGTGCTGTCTAGCTGCGTCTTTTGATCTGTACTGCATAGGTCTGTCACTGAAGTCTGTCTGGCTTTTGCGTGGTATGCGGTGCTCTACAAACTTTGACTTTTGGCAACGTTTACCCCACCCGTGCCCACCTCAGAGTGCTACCACCCATGTACGCGACCAAGGGTTGCCAACACCCCGTCCTTTCGATTCATCGGCTTGCTTCACCGGCATACGATGGACTTGGCACAGTCTTCTCAATCACCTCTGCCCAGAGACCGTCTTGCCCTCTGCTGTCGCAACACGTCGAAGGTCATAGGATACTTGGTCGCAGTACGCGCGCAAAGACAAAGTGCTCGCGACGACGACAAGCCAGACGCAACACTATACCCCGTCCGATCTGTCTCCTCGGCTGTAGCCTTACCCGCTCATGCCCGGACAGTGCAGTTAGCAGGAGCATTGCACGAGACTTCTGAAGGATGTCGCAGCCTGCAGCAGAACCTCCTCGCAAACGACAACGAGTAACACAGGCCTGCCATCGGTGTCGGGGCAANAAATACAAGTGCGACAGCGAACGCCCAGCCTGCTCTACCTGTAGATCCTCCAATTCTGAATGCACTTACGGTACCGTCGCAAAGAGGCGTGGGCTTCAATCCGGATACGTCAAAGCAATCGAAATTCTCTGGGGGTTGGTCTTCAGGAAGGTCGAGGGTAGCCAACTTGTCGTCAATGAGCTGCTTGCCAACCTGTCGACCATTATTCAGTCGGGCCCAAATGAGGGCACCGGTGATGTGCTCGACCGCGCAGATGATCTCCTGCTATTCTGGAGAAATAGTGGCGTTCCTTCTGCTATCGAACTGATGCTAGATGGTGAGTACGTCAGCAATCAAAATGATGCGTTAGCGGGCCTGGACAGTGAAGTCGATTTCACCTTAGCATCTGTTCGAACCTGGTCACTGCCCCAGACCGACATATCACAAGGCACGCCGCCACAGGCACCGTCACCCCCGCTGCTGCCACCACAAGCTCCATCCCCGACAGCAGCTGCGGTCGTACCAGATGTATCGTGTCCTTCGGAGGACGTGCTCACAGGTCCTCAAGCTGCTCTATCACCTCTTCCGCCCGACTGGCACTCTTTGACTCAGGTCTACCTCACCATCGAACACTCGTGGTTACCGGTTCTCGGACGGCACACGCTTTTCCGAATAGCGTATCAATATCAAGATGATCGTGATTCCCAATCCGCCCTTGACGACCGGCATCGGGGCGAATATGCAACTCTATGGGCAGTCCTTGCGCTGGGCGAGATTCACTCCAGCAATGCTGCCTCGTCGAGAGCCGTCCACTTCAGATCTCTGTCTAGATATTATCTTGATCAAGACCCGACACGTGACGATTACGCGAGCTACACTCAGGCATTGCTACTTTGGTCTGTCATTCATCTCGGCTGCAACAAGTTGGTTCTTGCAAGATCGATGCTGGCTCAAGCTCTTGTCTTTTGTTCCGCCATCGGATCTACAATGCCGGAGCGACAGCGTGCTCTTGCTCTTTCCGGATGCTTCGTCATAGACGCTCTGTTATCTTTTTCCCTGACTACTCGACCACTAATGTCGGCAGGCGACCTACCCTTGACTGCTCCGTGTGACGAGACCAGTTCTGATGAGTGGGAGCCCTATGTCGAGAGTCCTGGATCCCAGCAGTACTCCGATCCATCTACTCCAGGCACAAGAGCCGTGCCCGTCCGCATATCTAGCACGTTCAACAATCTTGTCAAACTCACTTGCATCCTGAGCACTGCTATGCAGCAGCAAACATCCGAGGTCGACCTTATAGCTGGTCTTGAAGATTGGGTTTCCAATCTACCGCGTCATCTTTCGATGACAGCGTCATTTACCCAACAAACCTCAATCAAGTATTTGCCTCCGCACCTTCACCTTCGAGCATTGTACTCTGCCACGTTAAATATCGCCACGTCGAGGAGCTCGCGTACCCGCACGTCAGCCTTTAGGACTGATCTCCAACAAGCACGAATGCAAGACGTAGCAGCGAGCATACTCGGTATCAGACGCAACTTTGGCGTAGCAGCTATGCCAGCCTCCGTGGGCGTCTTCATACCGGTGTTGCTCCCAGACTTGTCCTCCTCTATCGCCTACGAATCGATCAGAGAGCTGATCGCTGGATACAGTGCTCTATGGGGCTGGGATTCGTTAGCTCCCACTCGGGGCCAAAGCCTCATAGAAGCAACGTCAACTGCCCAGTCTGGCAGCCACCGACTACTACTTGCGTCACAGGACCCTCTGCAAGCCGCCATAGCTGACGAGATGCCACATGACTTTTCTCCAGATTATGGCCTTGAGCCTGGCTTGGGCCAATCGAGCGCGCAGGCCTTCATGTCCAATCATCTCACGTCAGGACAGCCAGGCTCAGCCGTGATGGACCTGAACCTGATGGCAACATCCGTAGCCGACGATCCTGCCTCAGTCAATGAAAGCATACTTTCCAATACCCCAACACAGTTACTGGATTATTTGGCTCTGCTTCAGGATAATGAGAGGTACACGTGTCCAACATGTTTCTGTGTCGATTCTTTGCTAACGTGCCCNAGTGCGGGAAACAATCAGGACTTCATGCAATCGCTCGGTTTCTTCATGGACGATCTTGATTATACCACTACATAGCGACTTTCTTGTTGGTCAGGCATGTAGTACGGAGGTGATATGTATGCCATCCATGTTCGATCTTGCGCTCCATTCGATTCTCTCCGTGTCCATGACTACAATCACGGTGGATACTATACCACACTCAAGTCATCCACCTCGAAATTGATGCCCTTGCTTTCTGTTGCAGCTGTCCGTAAGGTTTCCCAGGCCTCGCCAGCCAGTTTCGAACTGACCACCTGGTCTTCCGACTCCGGAGTGATCCACACTCTGTATTGCTCGTAGATCTGATGTCCGATGATCTCGGTACCTTCAACCGTCTGCCAGCCGTGCCTTTCTGCTAACTTGATCTTCCTGGTGATTCTGGGCTTGAAACACATGTCAAGGAACACTCCTCGCTCCTTTGCAGACGCCAGATAATGGTCAAAGATCCTGATGGTCATCTTTTCTGTGTCGGTGTTTGGCACGCTGTCAGGAACGGTGCCGACGATGTAGTGTGGTGCCGGAAAAGAGCTGGCTTGCTCAACAGTGTGCAGTTGAACTATCTTGCACAGCGGCTCATCTGATCCAGGAATTGAGAGCATGGCGCGTGTATCAGCAATCAAGTCCTCGACTTCCTGATCATCGCGATTGACCACGTAGATCACCGGACATCTGAGTTCGACAGCCAGCGCATACACAGCAGCGCGACTTGCGCCTCCAGCTCCCACAATCATCGCTGCTTTCCCAACACCCTTGTCGCTGGCTGCAAGCAAACACCCCTTGATACCCCTCCAATCCGTGTTTGTACCCTGCAACTTGCCATCTGCAGTAATGTATACATTATTGCAGGCCCCGAGCTTGACGGCCAAAGGATCCAGGCCATCCAAATGCGCCATTACGGTTTTCTTGTATGGCATTGTTACTACCGCGCCCGCAAAGTCTGGGGCTTTCATCAGTGCCATCGCGGCCTCGATTGTGGGCGCTTCTGTTGCGACAAAGGTCCAAGGCTTGTTCAGCGATTTGCAGATGTAGTTGTGCATGATGGGGGCGATGCTGTGGCCCACGCCGATGCCGATGAGATGTAGCTTTTTTGTGCTGGAGCTGGCAGCCTGGGGTTGTGATTGACTCATGATGAAAATAGATGGAGCTGGCAGATGGTGACTGTATGCTGTGTTTTGGGGACTGCGTATACGTCCAGTGCAGTTTTGTATATGTTTGGCAGGTTCAAGCACTGCTTGGTTGTTGTTGCAACGCAAGGGTGTAGCGGAAAAGGTCTTAGCCGAGCGAAAAGGGGTGTGAGGGGGCTCCGCTTTTCCATAATCTTCACAAAGAACGTGCACAATTCTGCCATGAACAAGCCTTCTTGCATCTGCATTTTTCGGAAGGATGAAGCACCGTGAAGTTGCGACTCCTGACCAAAGTTTAAGATACATTTTTACAACATGACATTCGCGTATCAAAGCCCCAACACCAATGCAACTACCATCATGTCGAGTTGTGTTGTGTATATGATGTTTGGTGTCACTGCAAACCCAGAGCATCTACAAACTTCTCCCAGGCTTCGATTCCTCGCCGAGCGTGGCTTTGAGGAACATTCGGCCCGGCATCTGCAAGTGTTCTCGAGAACAGCTCCATGGATACATAACCTTGGTACCCGAGACCTTCAATGATTGCTCGAGCCACCCTCTCCACAGGTAGATAGGCATTCCTATCAGTCTCGTAGATGAAACATCGAGCATTGCGAGACCATGACATACGACTTGGCTGTCCTTGTCCGTGGAAAGGATGGTTTTCGTCAAGTGGTGGATCGCAGCGCTCACCATCCACTACCTGGATGTAGAACACCTTTGCAACATCGACTGTCTTGACGAGCCTTTCCAGAGACGCGTCCAAAGCGGCTTCGGCACCCTCAACCATGCCTGTTAGCGCAGCAGGGTCTGCCCAGACCCCACCGGCGATGTTGAAGGTGTCCAGGCACATGCCAAAGTTCGGACGATCCACTCTCTGCACGACCTCCCATGCTGCCTCCCAAGTATCGATGTACGTGCTCCAGCAAAGGTTCTCATATGCAAAGCGAACTGGTCGCTCGCGACTTGCACCCAAATTGGCGACTTTGACCATGTCCGCCACTATCGTGTCCATGTCGCCTGTGATCTGGTCTTTTGGCAAAAAGTTTGCGGGAATTTGGATGGTGTCTGTGTCTAGTGTATCCACGATATCGAACCAGACATGCAGCTTCTCAATCAAGCGATCGTGTTGTTGGCGATCCTTCAATCCCTCGTAGAACAAGAATGGCTGCAGGCCGATAACGCGCAAGTTGTTCTCATCGCAGGTCATCTTGATCTTCTTTGCGGCGGCGATAAGCTGTGATGGGGAGGGTGTAGCATTCTGATCTGCCGATGAAGATAGAGATTTTGCGACATATTCAAGGTCTTCGTAGAAGATCTCCATGCCCTGGAATCCCGATCCGGATGCAGCTTTCATCTTTCCTTCAAAATCATGGACCCAGGCTCGTCCCAGGCTCATAGAAGCTATTGCGGGCACGTACTTCATGGTGTTTAATGCGACTTGTGAGACTGTTCAGGTGTCTCGATAATTTGTGTCGATCGATTAGGAGATTCAGAACCTGGGGCTGCTGCAACCATTACCATAGATCTTAGGGATGTGTATCGTACAATGCAAACTGTGTGTTTGCTGGCAAGCGGAGATCAATCGTAGGACTCCGCTTTTTCTCAGCTGTGTCGGATAAAAACATTGCCGGAAAGTTAGACCGAGGTTGATCCGTATGAACATGCTCGTCAGGCGCACCCTGTCCATATTTTTTGTATCATGCGAACAAAATGACAACGACGGCAGAGGTAGTACTGAAGTCTCGATTGGAACGAGATCTCTTCATCAAAGATATTCGTAGGTTGAACCCAATCGTATTGGTACACGCGGACGACGTATGACAACAAAGGATTTCACTGTACATCATCAAATCATCTGGCTGTCAAACACAACGGGCCTTTTGACGACATGCTCGAACAACATCACATTGCGTGTCTCAAAAATCATCAGGTCATAGATATGACCCAGATCAATCATCCGTCACAGGAAGAGCTACGTCTCAGTAGTCCAAAAGAGTCGTTTGGAGGCAATCTGCAATTGTTGTGGATATCTATCTAGATCTCAACATTCTGTCCATCCATCCATGCCCAAATCTGCTTGTACAGTATGTCGTGCTTCTCACCATTGACGGTCGAACCAGATTCTCTGCGATGACCAGGCAGATCCCGAATCACTCTGACACCCATAGTCCTCTCCTGACAGTACGCAAGATATCTGTACCCAATAGGGTATGCCTTTGCTGCTTCGGCATCAATCTTGGGAATTCTATTAGGATCGACAGGGATCAACTTGTCCTTCTCGTAGAAATGGCGAACATAATCTGCTCCCCAATCACCCGTCTGCGCGTCCCTTGACCAGAAGAAGACGAAGCGACAATCTGACTCTGCATCAGCTTCGATGCCATCTTCAAACTCGAAACGTTGCGTGATTGTCGCTTTCATCTTGGTCACGGCCCTGGTCGCTTCTTGGTTGATGTCTGTCGTCGAGCCATGAATTCTATGCATGATGAAGACGCCCTTGTCCATGCCGGCTTTGCTAGCCTTGATAAAGTCCTCAAAGTGTGTGCGCCCGGTCCATGATGTGTAAATGTATGCGCCGGGATGGAAAATCGACTTGAGATTCTCCCATTCACACGAGTCCCTGTNAGATGAGGTGAGCGGAAAGCCAAGAAACTTGATTCGAAAAATTGACCTATAACAGGGCCAACCTTCTGCCAGTTCCCGCAGCTTGCATCGTTCCAGAACAAGATGGTCTGGCCCGTTGTTCCGCACGGCAGACTCTGGTCGCGAATTCTCTGGCAGTGAGTGCAAGTCGGGCATGATCGATGTGGTGAAGTGTACTGAACAATTTCTGTAAGAAGTCGAGTATATGACTTTCCGTCGGCTTGAATTTGATACTGGCCACGATGTCGTCAACTGTATCGAGCACAAATACCCAGTCGTTTTGTTTAGCGAGGTCGTTTGATTGCCGAGCGTCGAGCGGGGAAGGACATGGAGAAGCTCGGTTAAGATATTGTCCGCTCAGCTTCCAGTAAGCACTTTTGGAGCGATACCGGACACACTTTGCGACGAAGTGGCTGATGGTGGTACACAAACTCAGAGGCTGCTGCAGATGTGATGAGCACGCAATACACAACGTACGGAAAGAAGTGGAATTGCTCTGGTTCCCTCCACTTGGATTCTAAAAGTCGACACAACGTGGGCACAGTACATGATCTTCATAGTGTTGTTGATGTAAAGCGAACAATGTCCATGCACAATCCCAAGTCCCGACGTTAGCTGATGGTAATTCACTCCGCTCCTCGATCGGAGACCCCACGGGGTGTGTCTTTGCCAACTCCTTCGCAATAACAGCCTTCACCTTCTTGACTGGTAGATTAGCAAGAGTTCTTCCTCTCCAGTAGCTATCCTGTGCAGATCCTTGGTAAATCATGGCTTCAGTGCCTAGTGTGATCTTCCAATCAGCTTTCTCTGCTAGCCCTGCAATTCGGGTATATCGTCTCGGATGATAGCAAATTTCGAGGGTACTNNACTTGCCCAGAAAGACTTCGGGAATACCACGTGCCTCGACCTCTGCCGGGATCGATGGTGCAAAATCTGGCACACACGCCACGATTGCACCGACGCTGTCAATGGTCTGTGCCAGTTTGATGGTCGAGACATGGACCAAGTCGTCCCCATACCCATAATCCTTACAGCAGGAGCAGGAGATCACAGGGTCGACTTCACTCTTGTCTCTGTTGACTAGATGGACATTTATCACTTTTATAGAACCTTCGANGGCATGGACGGCACTGCGAGCGGCACCTCCACTATCAACAACCAAAGTAGAACTTCCNNTGAACATCTCTCTAGGCACGTCATGCCCAAATGCCTCTCGGATGCCGATGACACCGGTATTCGTGCTCACCTACTTGCGTTTCTCGCCATCATGTTTGGAAAAGACGGTGTTGCGTGTACCCACCTTCTTGTACTCATTTGTCAAGTCGTCGAGATCTGAGATGATGGCAATCTTGTGAGGTATTGTGACCGATGCACCNNTGCTTGGATCAGCGTCTTATCCCATAGGTCTGGATTGGATCTTCACCATGCTAAGGAGTCTCGCGATTTAAAGATCGAAAGCTCTTCTGCAAAAGATACAGTGCGCGCTACAAAGATCCTAGCAACAAGGGAGGGAGAGTCACTAACCATAGAAACCGGGATGTTGCATGAGCTTTAGAAACTGCGCCATGTCTGTAGACTCAAAGAAAGACTGTCGCCNACTGTGGCCAATAGCATCGTAGACGGCCTGGTGCACCGATGGCGAATACGAATGTGAGATTGGGTAGCCGAACANAATCTCAGACTTGTCAACCTTCGAGCAGTTCGGAACGACAGCCGTGAGATCATGGGCCCTGTCGAAGTCATGGATATCGGATCGGATTTGTGTAGCTAAAGATGAGTCTTCGATCGCTTTGCATATGGTAGAGTCTGTACTTAGGTCGTTCGAATGTATGGTGAAAAGTCAGGACAAGAATTCACCCTAGATGGCCAGAACACAAGATGAAGTTGCTCCAACCAGACACACATCTTTACATTTACATACATTGACCGTGTTCACTACGACTTATCCGCAATCGATTTGTTGTTTCCGGACTTGCGGAACTGCCTTGCACGCGACGTGATCAAACTAGCAAACCTTGCACCAAAGTCTACTGTGGGGTAAAGATTTTACCGCCATTCGCAAAGCGAACGTGGCCGCCACCATTTGAAAACACGGTGAGCTGACTCCGGTCAATACATGTTCTGGAACCCGAGTGCTCGGGTACCCCATGGGGGACCACCTTGACTGGGCCCCGCAAACTATCCATAAAAGCTACCCCACGGCCCCTACGGCGATCATCTTCTCTCCTTTCCATCCTCCTACCTCTGCCTCCACGCGCTTCTTCACTTCGCATCCTTACTACACTCACCCTCCACAACGTCCTCGACCGACATTCCGGCACAGCCATCGATATGGGTCTGCTCACCCTCGTCGAGGATCGCCCAACGCCATCGGCCGTCTACAACTGGCGTGTCTACGCTTGTGCAGCTGTAGCATCTTTTGCATCATGCATGATAGGCTACGATTCTGCATTCATTGGCACAACACTTGCTCTCCCAAGTTTCGTCCATGAATTCAAGTTCAAGTCGATGAAGGCACAACACTTGGCTTTTATCAAGTCAAACATTGTATCTGTTTACCAAGCTGGTGCATTCTTTGGATCTTTGCTTGCCTACGCTTCTGCATACTATCTTGGCCGCAGGAAAAGTCTGTGGGTGTTTGTTACAGTCTTCATCGTCGGCGCTGGCATCATGTTGGCCGCTAAAGATGGAGATCTGGCGCCCATCTACGCTGGCAGAGTGCTTGCCGGCATTGGCGTTGGTGGATCGTCTATGATTGTAAGTTCCAAGGTTCATCGCTATTTGTGTACCGACTTCTGACCCTTGGAANNGGTCCCAATTTACATCTCTGAGATCTCGCCCCCTGCTGTCCGTGGCCGCTTGGTCGGGATCTACGAATTGGGCTGGCAAATTGGTGGTCTCGTCGGTTTCTGGATCAACTACGCCCTCAGCGAGACCATGGGTCCTAGCCGCCGCCAATGGCAGATCCCCTTTGCTGTCCAGCTAATTCCAGGCGGACTCCTCCTCATCGGCAGTCTCTGGCTTAAGGAATCGCCCCGCTGGCTATACTCCAAAGGCAGAAGAGAAGAAGGTCTCAAGAACCTCTGCTGGATTCGTAAGCTCGAAAGCAATGACCTCTACATCGTCGAAGAAGTGGCAGCTATTGATGCAGCCATTGATCATCAAGCATCTACCATGGGTATGGGTTTCTTCGCACCCTTCGCCGCCGTTGCAAAAAGTCGTACTGTCCAGTGGAGATTCATTCTTGGTGGCTTATTGTTCATGTGGCAAAATGGTAGTGGTATCAACGCCATCAACTACTACTCCCCGACAGTATTCAAGTCCATCGGTATCACAGGTACCAACACCTCGTTCTTCACAACTGGCCTCTTCGGTGTGGTCAAGACTGTGATGACAATCATCTGGATCTTATTCTTAATTGACAAGCTTGGTCGACGCAAGCTTCTCATGATTGGCGCCGCTGGTGGCTCCGTCTGCATGTTCATCATCGGCGGCTACCTGCTGGGTACCGATGGTAAGAGGAAGGGAACTGAACTGGGTCCTGGTGGTATCGCTGCGGTGTTCTTCTTCTATCTATGGACAACATTCTACAGTCCGTCTTGGAACGGAACTCCTTGGGTTCTCAACTCGGAGATGTTCGATTCCAACACTCGCTCGTTGGGGCAGGCTTCCGTAAGTAAACACAATCAATGTCGCAATAGAGTACTTACTAACCACAAGACANNGGCCGCAGCAAACAACTGGTTTTGGAACTTCATCATCTCGCGTTTCACACCTCAGATGTTCCTCAACATGGGTCCTTCTGGCTGCGGAGTGTACTTCTTCTTCGCCAGTATGATGCTTCTCAGTATTGTGTTCGTTTGGTACCTAGTGCCAGAGACCAAGAGTATTCCCTTGGAAGCTATGGATCGTCTCTTCGAGGTCAAGCCTGTCCGCAAGGCGAACAAGGTGGTTCTCGAAGAAGTAAGACTTCGCGAGGAGGAATTCCGTCACGACGCAGAGGGAGCAGGACTCGATGCTGCAAAGCCGGATGCTGTCTACCACGAGCATGTTACAAAGATGTAGACAAGTGCCTCAAGGCCATCCGTTCATCCTCCTGTATTAGATCTCGATAATTCTAGAGGGCGACTCGAACGTCGAGCTTCTCTACGTCCTTGCTGAAAGGGGTGTCCAGTGTAGCATTATTTCCTCGCGTCTTGAAGGCACTGGATGTCTCGATCAAACGTCACGATTTAAGCCAAAGAGCAGTACCACATCATCCCTGTCTCTTTACATAGTATGAGCCGGCCTATGTTTCCATTGACTATCAAGCTACTCAATGAACAAGTACATCAACATCAAGCCCGTCCCGTGTCCAACTTTCTAGCAATAAACTCGATGGCCGCCTTGTAGCCAAAAGTTCCTAATCCACAAATGACAGCCACAGCCTTGTCACTCAAGAAGCTCTTATGACGAAACTCCTCCCGAGCGTGCACGTTACTGATATGGACCTCGATGAAAGGGATAGCCACTCCATTCAGTGCGTCTCGCAGAGCGACACTTGTGTGCGTAAGACCTCCAGGGTTGATGATAATGTAAGCACATTTGCCTCGTGCTTCGTGGATACGATCGATGATGTGACCTTCGTGGTTTGACTGGAATGTGGCGATTTCAAGGCCAAGTCCTGATGTTTGCTTTTGGGCTGCGGTTTCTACGTCTTGTAGTGTCTCATATCCGTAGATGTGCGGCTCCCGAGTGCCCAGGAGGTTGAGGTTAGGACCGTTGATGAGAAGAACTGATTGTTTTGACATGATCAGGGAATGTATGAAGGTAGAGTTGGGGTGATTGCGATGCTACTTCGATGTCGCCGAGTTTGAGCACTCACTCACTTTCCAGGAAAGCGCCTGATCTCACCTCCGGCTAATTTCTTTTCCGCTTGATCAGCCATCACGTGCCTTGTGTTATACTATGCACACGCATTTGGAACGCTGAATCGAACTTGTCTGCAATTGGAACAAGTATCTTCACGTAACCATAGATGAGGTATTGCTCAATTCCAGAACCTTATTCATAACCAATGCAAGAATGAAGATGATTATGAATCGTTCTTACTTGATACAAACGACTAAGATCTATCTGTATTATATATCTTCTGCAAGAGCTGGATTGGTAGCTCGTCCAAGAGCACTGTTGACTGCCTTCATCATCTCCATCTTGGGTGCAGGCTTTCCCGTCCACGCTTCGAATTGCCCAAAAGCTTGTTGTTGCAGCACATCAATTCCATCAAAGACAGTCCAATTTGCAGCTGCCGCCGCCTTGCCCGTGATTGTAGTCGTTTTCCCATATGCCATATCTACCAAAACGCCATTCTCCACGTTTGGAAACAGCCAATTTGGTACATCAGCATCTGTAAGAACATGTACGGGAAGACATCCGACGACGACTGAGATCTTGAGCGATCCGTTACTCGAGCGCTGCTCGAGAGTATGGAGGGACCTCACAATCTCAATATTGTGGTCAGGAAGATTCGCTGCCAGTCGCTCAGCGCGTTCTTGGGTCCGGTTGACGACGACGATGTTACGGATGCCCAGCTTGATAAAGGCATATACTGCCGCTCGAGCAGCTCCTCCAGCCCCGAGAACTAACGCTGTCGTTCCCTCCAAATCGAGATTGATCTCTCCGCCTTGAATGCACCGAGTAATACCAAGCCAGTCGGTATTGTCTCCGTAAAGCCGCCTTTGGTTGCTGCCAGTTGCAAAGGAGGCAACAACGGTATTGACAGAGCCCATGGTCTTTGCCTCTTCTGATATCTCGTCCATGTATTTGCCGACTTCCAATTTGTGTGGAGCCGTCACAGACAAGCCGCCGACCTTCGGATCTTGAAGAAGCTTTTCGACGCTTTCGTCTACATTGGGAACTTCAAACAAGCCATACGTGTATGGTAGTCCCAGAAGCTTGAATCCAGTGTTATGCAAAAGTGGAGAGAATGAGCCTTTGATGTTGAAGCCAAGCAGGTAGTGACGAGAGCCTTTGAATTCGCTCTGCGACGTGCTGTTGCCCTGGACCATCAGACTTGCTTAGGCTGTGGTCCTTGCTGATTGATTAGACTGCGAGAGAACATGAGATGATGTTGACATGAAAGGTGTTGATCAGTTCGGGTCGACGGCTAAAGGCCTTGCCGAGTCGTGTGGGGTTGACACAATCCGTGATAGGCCTTTGATGATGGACCAATCGTATCTCTTCTGAGCGATCTATTGACCAGGTCCTCGTTACCACCAGTGCATAGATCTCGTCAAGAACCTTATGAGTTGTTGGGTTGCCAATGGCGAGTAATCCTGCCACACGAACTGTGTGCCCCAAGCCTTCGTTGCTGCATCCTCTGCATCGACGTTTTGTTGACTTGGACATATCTGCTATGGGGAGTCATCCTTCTAATTAACGTTGCTTGCCAACTCGCCTGGCAAAGTACGTCCGGGATGCTGGAAACCGGTCCCCGTATACGTTTCCTTGATCGAGAGCTCTATACAGCCGATATCGTGAATGCACACGAGATCTACTCGGCTGGATCTATCAGTGCACAACTAGCAAGTGTGGAACGGCGAGTATAGTACCCAGAAATCTGTTCAGTCTTGTGACAAGTCATAACGGACCATCTCCAAAACCCCGCGGCGTCTTCGAAAGGGAGTGACTGGCAACTCGGTAACTTTCCGCGGAGAATGACCGACGGACAGCGTCCTGACAACATCAAGTCAAGATCGCAGACTTGACATAAAAACAGATATAGAGTGACCCATCGCACTTCAGACTGCACGACTGTTAGATTATTTCCCAGTTTATTCACTGGCTTCTCGAATTACATCGATCAACATCATATTATCATGGTTCCCTCTCCAGCTTTCGATTTCTCGGGCGATGTCGCCATTGTGACTGGCGCAGGTTCTCGGATGAATGGTAAACAATGCCCAAGTCTTGTCCGTCTCGTTTCGGAACATCATGCTAATCATGCATCAGGTGAGATTGGCAACGGTCGTGCTGCTGCAATCTTGCTTGCTCGACAAGGAGCCAAAGTCGCGCTTGTTGACTTCAACGTCGAATGGGCTCAAGAAACAAAACGCATGATCGACGAAGATGGCGGCATCTCAGAGGTCATTCAAGCAGATGTGACGTCGGAAGAGTCGTGCAAGAATGCTGTTACCAAAACCGTCGAGTTATTTGGAGCAGTGCATATCCTGATCAACATTGGTAAGGCCTCCATCCTGTAATTGAAGGATGCGGCTGACCAGATTACTTTGTATAGTCGGTGTTGGTGGTGCTATGGGCGATGCGACTACCATCAACCTGGATGCATGGGAGAGAGACTTCCGCATCAATGTTACTAGCATGGTGCTTATGAGCAGACACGCCATTCCAGAAATGCGAAAGCAAGGCCGAGGTTCTATCATTAACATGTCCTCCGTCAGTGGTCGTGAGTTCATGTCTCATCACAAAAGAGCTGCAGAGAATGGCTAATCATGCGATATAGTCCTTGGTGGTAACCCAAGTTTGCTCTATCCAACAACAAAGGGTGCCATCATTCAAATGACGCGAGCTATGGCTGCTCATCACGGCAAAGAGAACATTCGTGTCAACTGCGTGGCCCCAGGAATGGTCTATACACCAATGACACGAGGTCGCGGGATGACAGATGAGATGAGACAGGCGAGAATAAACCAAAACCTGATGAAGAAAGAGGGCACTGGTTGGGATGTGGGTTACGGTAAGTCGCATGCTCCCTCACCCCTACGATCGGCGACTGACGCACATCTCGCAGCTATCCTGTTCCTTGCCAGCAAAGAAGCTGGTTGGATCACCGGACTAATCATGCCCGTCGATGGTGGAGTGAGTTGAATCCCAAAAACACAAGCCAACTGCTTGGCGCTGACATATAGCACTAGACTACCGCTGGCAAGGCCGACAGACCAGCACTAAAGGCCGACACACTGGCTGAGGCGACATCAGGAATCTCCAACTGAGTAGAGAACTTCGATCACGGATTCAAGGGGTCGAGGGATGTATTGTTCATAGAGTCGGAACATGGGACGTCTTTGTGATTAGTAAGAGCCAGAACTCTCAAAACGTCGCTCTCTCATGATGAATGAGATGTTCGTGAAAACTGGAAGCATGTTCTACGCTGGATCCCTAAGATTCGATTGTGTATTGAGAGATTTTAGTGAAAGGTATATCTACATTCTGCCTGTTCCTGAAGCATATCACCCCATGTTTTGACCAGGATACTCGCTGAAATCCGTCTGTAGCTCCGGAAAACAATCAAGCATCGCCATGGGATCGAGATTGTTGACGTCAAAGTACATACTCATGTCAATGTTGTCAGTCGAACCAGGATCCAGGTATGGGAATGCGGGTATATAGCTGTTGACCATGGCCGTGTCGGGCTGCCCAGTGTTGTCTGGATATCTCGGCGGAGCAGTCTGTTTTAGACCTTTGATGATGATGTGCAGACTGCGTTCCAACAACGGACACCTGCTCATGCCTGCGTTCAGTGCCCGGAGGTAATTTTGCATCGTCGCGTTGGCTGCGCCATCAGCCTTCTTTGCGTCTTCCAGAATTGCCGATGCACCTGTGTAAATGCAATACCCCATGAGGTATGTGATATTCTCCAAGCCAAAAGTGACTTCCAAAACAAGGATCAACTTCTCGATACTACGAGCAGCGCTGATGCAGACATTGTAGTACGTTGGTATGGACCAAAACGGCCGATGAGCTAATATTACGGTTGTGAAGTATAATAAGCTTGACGAATTGTCAGTGAATGGGCAGTATTGCAAAAGCTAAAATCTTACATACTTTTGAGTGATGATGTGAGGTGGCGGAGAAACTGCTGGAAGGTCGTTGGGGTCGTACTTGAGATGAGGAGGGGATTGCGCACGCCACGTGTCGAGACGTGATCTGATATCATGTAGAGACTCTTCTGTAATATGTCTGTCACGTCGAGAGTACAACTGCAAGATGATGTCGTTGATGATGACCGAGATCTTGCAAGAATTTGTAAAGCACGATACGGCGTAGCTTCTCATGGGAGGATATTGACCAGGCGGGAGTTTTGTCAGTGAAAACGACTCGCCATTATAGGGCGACCATGTCTCAGTTTCTGCGGATTCATCAACTATCGAAACCATGTTAGCAGAAATTCTGTACATGAAGACCGGCGCGTTGAGTGCTGACCGAAGTCGAGGGATGTGTAAGGCAGGTCAGTCAAAGCTGGTAATCGACCTGTATACATGCTGATGGCTCTAAAGCAAGGTCAGCCGAAAGGTCTGGAGTTTTTCGATCAACTTACTTGTCCCAAAAGTAGCAACTCCAGAATAGTCTCCGTCGTACCTCCAAATCTACTGGGTTCAGAGATTTGAGACTGGATATAACCGATCCATTGTGTTGCAGACCTAGATCCGTTGCCATTCGGAAAGCAATACCGCTATATACCCACGCTTGAGAAATCTGTCCTTCAGCAAGCTCTCGAGCGCTGAGTTGTAGCAGGGCTTGCACGGTCGGGATCGAGCTCGGTTCCTGTATTGCCACTCCCAGCAGATTTCGTACCCGCGCGAGCAACAACTCGCTGTGCTGGCCGTCTTGGTACTTGGAGGAATGGGCACAGAGTACCGAAAGCAGGAATTCGGAATAATATGTGCCTCCAGTCGTCATATCACCTTGATCTATTTGTAAGTAATTTTTGAACAAGCTCAGCTCTGTTGGTACGTACGCATAAATGCTGGGCGATACACCCACATAAACATAGGAGCAACCCATGTGAAGTGTAGCTGGAGTAACTTTGCCATCACTTTCTGCGGCATACCAGTTTGCCTGGCTGCATTGCCGAGCGCAAACTGCTCCCAGACAGAAGTCTCTCTTGCGTGAGACAAGAGATACTGTCTGGTTTTTGTCTCTGTCTGACATATCTTGGAAAGCTGATGACCTGGGTGACGCAGTATCCAATTCTGGCGGATCATGTAGAGCCGATGTGGGACCATAGTAACATATCTCACCGTGTTGATCAATGCTGAGATTGATCGCGTCTTGCTGTATGACGCTCGATCCAGGACGATGTGCATGCGGTAGTATTAGCTGCGCGATATCACTGGGGCGTCTCTGCTGGATTGCAATTGGCACGGTAGGCATGTTAGATTTCAGGGACTCTGGGACGAATATGGCTGTTTCCATTGTAGAACATGCGCCATCATGGGGAGACATATCTGCTGCATGCCCGACAGTCCAGTTAGCTGCTGCAGAAGTCAAGGACTCATCCTGTGATTCACGTGGAGAAGTTGATGTCGGAGGCGCCAACGTCCCTTCTTGACTACCCTGGAGTCTCTGGATCATGTCCTCGGCTTCCTGGAGACGTTTCGCCATGGTAACAATCTGAGATAGGGGTGGTGCTTTGTCATAGCGGCAAGTGTCGTTGTATGCTTCGCACGTTTTGCATGTAGGCTGGCTACCCTCACACCGTACCTGGTAAGCTTGTCAGATCCACATCTGCTGGCTGGATGTGGTAGGTGATGGGAGTCACAAATGTCCATGATGTGCTGGGATATCATACCTTCCTGATTCGACAATTTGCACATGTCATGCCCCTGTACTTGCGATTGCCCTTTCGCCGAGCACCTCTAGCAGCGGCAAGATCACTCGTAGCTGCTCCGGCTGGAGGCTCCTCCCCCGTCGTCGAGCTTCGACCGACCATGGCCATCTGGTGAGCTCGATCGTTGTGTAGAGGTATGATAAGTGTCTGCGCACCCTGAGAATCTCTTCAAAATTGCTCTCAACACATTTTCACCACGGACATCGAAGTGATTGCAAGTGGAGTACAGTAGGCTCCCACAAGGTGCATCCTTCGTGCGGGGCACGTACCGGGAAATATGGCTATCACCGAAACGGCACTATCTCTTCGGCAATTTTCCACGGCAACACTCCGTCACCAGTTCTTTCGGTAGAGGGGCAGTAGAACCATGCTAGAATTACACGCGATCTGTAACTCAATATCCAATCAAAACAGAGCTAAGTCGTGTTCGTGGATGACGGATGTACAGAGTCCAGATATGACACTCTGGTATGGATGGCATGGTAGGTTTACTTCGGCACTTCGGCGTTTCGGCGTGTCGAAACTTTAGCTGATCTACCAACTACAGTACCAGCTCTGTGCAACCCATGAGGTCCATGCCCAATCAGTCAAGCCAGGTGGCTTCATACGGAGTCGAGTGATCTGGATATTCGAAGGTGGAGATAAGGTCAAGGCTGTGGTTCGATGGTGTCCAGCCCAGGATGAACATTGTCCCCTTTGACGTGTCGCTCAGATACATGTAGTCTGTCAAACCGCAGGGGTTGGAATTTGTAGAGTCTTGCCAGAAAGCTGTACGCAAGCCGCCCGCTGAACCAAGAGTAAGTGGCGCCTCATAGAACGCAATGGCCTTTTCGGTCTTCAAATGTCCGCTTTCATCGAGCGCGAAGGCGGCCACCCAACCGTTAGCATCAGTGTTGTTCCAGCCTCGAGTGCTGGTGAAGAGGTATCGACCGTCCCGGGATGCTTGNNTACAGTGTTGCTGCGATAGGTGTACTGTCCACGCATGGCTGTGTCTCTGGTCAGCTTCCGGACTGTTCGCAGGCGATGTCCACCTACTCTTGGGTATCGCGCTCGCGCGTTGAGTATGCTTCAGCTTGGTCTCGCCAATCTCATATACATCCAAGTATTGACCTATCATGTCATCAAAAAGGGCTCGGCCATGCGCTCGGCTTTACCTACTATGTTCCGTCACAACGTAAAGCAGTTTTCCGTTAGGGTGCGGGTAGGCATTGCGTGGTCCGTCACCAACATCGGGCGAGCAGTTCTTGGATAGAAGTTTTGCCGTGCCATTATCCGCCACGTCATACATGAATATCGCGTCGTGATAACTGAGATTTATCAGCACTCGCCATCCTGCAACACGCTGTTTGGTACCCACAGGTGAGGGACAAATCCTTTGCGATTGACATTGACACTGAAGGAGTGGGCACCATAAAGCTGCAATCTGTCAGTATAGCTCGCCCTCCCTCTGATAAGTGAACTTTACATTGGCTGCGCGGGTCTTGTTGACATTCTGAAATTCTTCAGCAGGTACATAGATCATCTGTTGTGTCTCGTTGCCCAGAGCACCGTCGTCGGTTAGTGAGTGAATCTGTGCAGTGGGACCTGAAGCCGTATATGCATAGCTTCCATCGTCAGAGAAATAGCAAGATGTTGATGCTGGTCATGTAGGTCAGCCNNTGGAAGCAGAGTTTGGTGGATAAAACTCACAGATGTCAACAGTGTTCAAGTGTGTAAAATCATAATCATTGCTGACAGCCCAGGAGAATAGTTGAGGTGGCTCAGACATGGTAGTGGCATATACCCTGTCACGAGCAGCATTGGTAGTGACGAACTGATGTAGTCCAAACCCTGGCACTTGTTTCTCCAGACTGATGGTTCTTGCAATGGTGTTGAAAGCAAGGAGGAATAAAGTATGGTTGGTGTAAGAGCCAGTAAGGAGATGGTGCACTGTGGGCATGGTGTTTCCATTGGCTTGCATCTTGGAGGTCTGTTCTATGCTAGCGGATACAATGATAAGAAAACCGATGGATATAGATACTGAGGACGTGAGACCTGTTATACTTCAATGCTCGAGAGACAAGTAAGGGAAGATCGAGTATTTGAGTGCACAGATGCTGACGGTCAAGCTCCTCGGTGTATGGCCGGGCATTTCCATGCAAGTCCAGCTGATCTTGCGCATATGAGTAGAATAGTGGTCTAGCGTAAGAATGCACGGTCTGATATGGCCTCCAGACTTTCTCTCAGACTGTATGGCAAGAGGAGATCCTCGTGCGGAGTCCCCAGGCCGGAGCCCCAGTCTTAGCTTCTGCATTGGCAGTGATGACCACGCCGAAAGTCCGTGGCATATCCTGTACGAGACATTCGAGGGTCCCGTTTCTACTTACATGTCTCAAGATGAGGATTTGGAGCCCCACTATCGAGCTGAATCCACTGCAAAGCATCTGGTCACATGTGATGAGATGGGAGGAGCGCATGTAGATCTCTGTAATGCCTTTACTCGTCTAATCGAAAGTTTCGCCAGAATATCCATCACTGGGAGAGCCAATAGTCGAACCACTCTACAATGCCGCGTAGGCTTTGTTCCTTCACCCAACCTAAGAAAAGCAAATTAGTCAAAAGGTATAGTAACCCTAGAGACTCGACCTACGTTGGTATGGATCTTCAGGATCACCACGAAGGGCAAAGCCATGTTCGACGCCAGAAAAAAGCTGATAGTGGAAGACCTTCTTTCCCTTTTGCATGATGTCAAGGGCTTTGCGTCTTGAGGATATGTCGAACGTATGATCGATCTCCGAGCAAGATAGGAATAAAGGCTCTGTGAACAGCATTTTTGTTAGCCCAATGTGTGTGGACTTCCCTTCTTCATCCTTACTTTTGAGGTTCGTAAAATGGTGCTCTTTCAGGAAGGCCGGATGTGCAAAGGCTCCGACCGCCACATTGTTTCCTGCCAGCTCGTCACACACATAAGGCGCTCCAAAGCAATATCCCACGCATGCGTATCTTGTGTGTTCATTTCCAAACTCTTCTCGGACGGCCTTCACCCATTTCGGTACGGCTAAGTCCGCAAATGCTATGTGCTTCTTCTTCCACGCCTCATAGTCGAAGTTTGGGTCTTGGGTATCATGGCGGTTCTTGCGATGTTTCCAGACTGGATCCTGTCGCGTTTCTCAGATTCTGCTAATTCTAGGTTCGTCCCAGATTTGCGTTTTATGNNTCTTACTTACTCCTCGGAAATAGTCCAGACCCAGGGTCAAGTATCCGGCTCCAGCAAAAGCATCCATGACCAGGAGGCCATTTGGAAACATCCCCCATACATCGGGGAAGTAGAGCAAGATATTGCCGTTTTCCTTTCCCAAGGGTGGTCTTGCGATGTAGGTCTCAACGCCCGCAATCTCTTGCCACGAGCCTTGTGACTCTCCTGCGTGAATCGTTCCCTTCAGGCAGCAAGTACCACTTGGCTTAGCTAGGTATTCTACATTAGAGGTCGATGGAGTGTTGATCTGGCCCATATTGGTCGCGGATTCTTTGGAGTCGATAGACAGAGAACCTTGGTGAGTGGCAAAAATGTAATCGTCTGGCAGAATGGCTTCGAGGAACCACCATGGGCATCGCGAATAGTCTGCAGCTGGCATCATTCATACAAGAGGATGCATTGAAAGACCGAAACCCCGCGGGTATCTTCCGTGGTGGTTTTCCGGGACGTATTCAGCTTTGTGGCTTCGAATAATATTCCGGGGTCCCGAACAAGTGGAGTCCCCAGATCAGTGCACGACGCCACCAAATCGGTCCTTCTCAAGATAAAGCCTTCCACTTGTGCCGCTGTGTGCTTCCTTCCTCCATCCTAACACCCTTCCATATCAGGATCTACCACTGTCTCGACTTACAGTTCCATCTCCCAATCTCCGTCTCCAACCTACACGAGTGACGACCGTCCGGCCGTAACCATGTCAAAGCCAGCTCACGACATCGATGTCCTGTCAGGGGATGAAACGATTGAGCATTACGAGAAGAAGCAGGATCTTCTCCAGGATACTCAGACACAAAATGCGGTTGGCTATCAGGAGTACATCGAAGGCCTTGACCTCGAAGTGACAGACCGTGAGGTATCGAAAACGGGATCCTTGTGCTTCAAGACTCACAGCTGATACCTTGAGATTGACAGGCAAGAAAAGTTCGATGGAAGATTGATTTAACAGTCCTTCCGATGTTCCTCATCACTCAAGCGTTACAGTTCATGGACAAGACGTCGCTCAACTACGCAAACCTGTTTGGCTACCAGAAGGCTCTGGGTCTTAAGGGTGAAGAATTCGCATACCTGTCTGCAAGTAAGATTTTGAATTAGACGTCACACCTATAAGCAGATACTGACGTTCAGGATNNAGTGGTTTATGCTGGGTACTTCTTTGGTCAATATCCTTGCGGCTGGCTCATCGGTCGCTACCCGGCTCAGAGGGTCATGGCCATCAGCATTTTCCTTTGGGGAGTCATGGTGCTTATAATGACCCAGTGTCGCTCCTACTCTAGTGCTTGTACGTATAGGAATGCATGCACACAAAAGATAAAGCTAATCTTCCCACAGTGGCAGTCAGATGTACGCTCAAAAGCTTCATGACTCTGAGCTGATTTGCTAACAAATTCCAGTCTTNNCATGGGCGTGTTTGAAGCTGCTGTCACACCGTAGGTTTTGCCAATATGTTGCAAGTACCTACCCGGCTGACGATTGCGCAGAGGCCTCACTCTTATGACCGGGTTCTGGTATACTAGGAGGGAGATTCCTCTTCGTCAGTGTATCTGGTATTCTTCCCTCGGCTGGGGAGGTATTATCGGCTCGTACATTTCCATGGGAGTTTCGACACTACCGGCTAATATGACTCCCGAACGCTGGGAGCTGATATTCTTCATCGTATGTGGCCGTAAAGATCTGACATGACTCGTTGTCGCGTCCATTGTGCACCTGCTAAATCACATACCGTAGTTGGGCGGAGCTACTTGCCTCTGGGCCTTCGTCATCTGGTTCCTGCTTCCCGACTCCCCTTCGAAGGCTAGATTTCTCAACCATCGAGAACGTCTCATCGCTGTCAAGCGTGTTGCTGGCAACGAGACTGGTATCAAGAACAAGTCGTTCGACAAATCACAAGTCAAGCTTGGTTTCTTAGACCCCAAGACTCTGCTCTTGTTCGTCTCGGTCTTCGCCGCGTAAGCGTTATTGTCCCTCAGGAACCCAACGCAGATGTCTAACAATACTCATAGCGCAATCCCTAATGGTGTTGTCAACTCGTTTTCCACTGTCATTATTCGGGACATGGGTTTCTCTACCACCAAAACCACCGAGCTTAAGTCTGTCGGCGATGCGATTCAGATCATCGGCCTGCTAATAGGTGGCTCAATCATACTCAACGTACCTAACTGTAAGTCCCTCAAGCCGAGTGGTGCAGTCAAGTGTTCTGATCGTACACAGCTCGTCTGNCTCGTTGCCACTGTGGCCAACATCATATGCACCGTCGCCGCTGGTTGTATGGCCTACATCCCTCGCGAAAGGACCTGGGCAAGGCTAGCCTGTTTTTGGCTTGTCAATCTCCAGTCCGTTGGCTTCACGGTCTCATTGACCACCGTGTCCTCAAACATGGCTGGGTACACTCATCGCTCGCTAGCCAGTGCTTTAGTGTTCACCGCATACTGTTGGGGCAACTTTGCCGGTCCTTTCGTCGTTAAACCCTCTCAAGCGCCTCGATACCAAGGAGCCACTATTGGGCTTCTTGTGGGATATTCCATCAANATTCTGTTGCCATCTTGGGCTGCTTGGTAAGTTTTGACCTCGATGTCATCTCCTGGAACATCGCTGACAGCAAAATCAGTATACATGTACAGCATAAACAAGCATAGAAACAAGACGTACGGTCCTCCCAACAAAGAGAGAAGTGATGAGGCGGGAATGCGGGATCAGACTGAGTTCGAGAACAAGGATTTCCGCTATGTGCTCTGAATGGGCAAGGGCTGTAGTCCGCCGTACCCACGTTTAAACAGCTCATCCGGTATCATAGCTTCAAAGTCCTTCGTCACGGCCTCCATAACTGAGACACAGAATTTCCATCCCCGATTCCGAGTCGTGAACCGTTTTGTGAGGCCGATTGAACTTATGAGACTTTAACTGGCGGTTAGAGTAAAGCGAGAAAAGGTTCTCTGCAGGAGATGAGCATCACAGGTTGATTGTCCTATGCTCCGATCTCTTAAAACAGGGTCTTTCGAGTTGATCTGTACACCTCGGAGCAATCCATGTCAGAAATCGAAGACGTGCTATCTCTCTCGTAGAGTAGCGTGTCGGCGCAGAGAGTACAATGCTGCGGAGCCCAGGCGCACGATCTGATTGGCGGCATTCATCCCGGCAGATCGGACACGATCGGAAGTGTCAGACCAAACCTAAAGAAGATAGGTATCCGCATCGCGGGGTTGTGGGGGGTTCTAGGGTACGATAGCACAACACTGTCATTCTGCAAGTCATTGCCACAGACAAGACACTCAATTTATAGATGGTGATATGTATCGAGAGATCCACCTGGAACTTGTCACGCCATACACTCCTCTCATAGACAAGACTGCTTTACACCTTGTCGTAGAATAATGACTCATAGCACGGCAACTCGAGAGGTGGACGACAATGATATGTCACGCAACGATACTGGCAACGACCACAGCGCATTGCGTCGCGTGCCCGATCGGATTCCCTGGGTTGTTCTTCTAATTCTTATCGTCGAGCTGGGCGAACGCTTCACATACTTTGGCCTGAGTGCCCCGATACAGAACTACATCAAGTGCGTATACTCATCCGTGGCATAGCAGCATAGTGCAACGAGAACTGACCATCTCAGGAATCCGCATGACCCTGAATCCGATCTACCGGGAGCGTTAGGCAAAGGCCAAGCCGTAGCAACAGCATTGGGCAACTTCTTCAAGTTCTGGGCCTATGCTTCGACAGTGATTGGAGCCATTATTGCAGACCAATACCTTGGCAGATTCAAGACCATTGTAGCAGCATGTGGTGTCTATATCATCGGCCTCGTGATCTTAGTCACGACCTCTACTCCAGCAGGCATCGAGTCGGGTGCAGGGTTCGGCGGTTTGATCGCTGCTATGGTTGTCATCGGCTTGGGCACTGGAAGCATCAAGGCCAACGTTACACCAATGTGTGCTGAGCAGTACCGACCAGAGGTTGCTTACACCAAGAAGCTCAAGTCAGGAGAGTGGGTTGTTGTTGACCCAGAACTGACAGTGGAGCGCATGTTCAACTGGTATGTCGCAAGATAAGATGAACTGGGATATGAGCAACAGACTAACACAGTCAGGTTCTACTGGGCCGTCAATGTGGGCGCACTGTCACCATTGATTACCGTCAATGTCGAAGCACATGTCTCCTTCTGGGCTGCGTATCTGATACCTCTGGTGTATGTCCCCCAAGCTTTACCTCTGTCTACCGAAGTCCATCTGCTAACAGGAGACAGAGTCATCGTGGTGGCTGCAACTGTGTTCATCTTGAGTAACCGACGATTCGTCAAGACTCCACCTCACGGGTCAGCCGTCATCGACGCTGTCCGTATCGTGACCATTGCAGTGAAAGANGGGGGATTTGAGAAAGCAAAGCCAAGTGCTCTACAGGCGCAAGGAACGATCGATCGTCATGCCTTTGCTCAATCGCCAAACTACACAGACAAGTCTGTCAAAGATGTACAGTCTGGCATCACCGCCTGCAAGGTCTGTCTCACGCTTTTGCTCCTGATCGTAGTTTTGGAACAGCTGACCTGTAGTAGNTTCTTCCTGTTTCTACCTCTATACTTCGTCTGCTGGATCCAGATTTGGAATAATCTCATCTCGCAAGCTGGTACTATGGCGCTTCACGGAACTCCGAATGATCTTCTCCAGAACCTCGATCCAATCGCCTTGATCATCTTCATCCCTCTACTTGACTGTGAGTTCTTGGCACCGATCGTATGAGCTTAACATCAGTGACTAACATGCGGATAAGTCGTGATATACCCAGTGCTTCGCAAATACAAGATCAACTTCAGTCCCGTTCTGAAGATGACAGCTGGCTTCATGATGGCGTCGTTCTCGATGGTGTACGCAGCCGTCCTGCAGCACTACATCTACATCTCTCCTCCCAACAGCATCCACGTGTGGATCCAAGCTCCTGCTTATGTATTAGTTGCTTTCTCCGAGGCTTTCGTTATCATCACAGGTCTGGAGTTGGCGTACACAAAGGCACCCACGAGGTATGTGAAAGAGAGCAAATCCATGTCTGCAGTGACACCAGCTAACATCATCNNAAGTCTGCGTTCTCTGGTTTCGGCCTTGTTTTGGCTCACAATCGGAATCGCAGCTGCCATCTGCATCGCTCTTGCACCCGTCTCCCAAGATCCTTATCTCGTTTGGATGTATGCTTCTCTTGGAATCGTTGGTTTCGTTGCCGGATGCGGGCTTTATATCTGCTTCCGAAACTCTTTTGATGATGTCCCAGTCATTGCAGGTCAAGAGGCAGGGAACATGGAGCTCGATGTGACAGGTGTAGCGGAGCATGGAGGCAAGCTTGCGATCGAGGAACAGAGATGGCGCAAGTGATGAGGCAGACTGAGGAGAGTTGATGGTCCGAGGAGAAAGCTGCCATGTCATCTTCTTCTAGTTTATACTTGTCGCGGATGTTGTAGATTGGTTGTAAGAACGTTTTCCAATCCTTTCCAGAATATGCTATCGATGCGCAAGAGTGGGAATCGTAAGATGTCGAGCGATTTCGAGTGTAGTCTGATGACTCTTCGAGCCCGGTCAAGGAGGACTTGACATTCTTGAGCTTCTTCGACACTATCCGCAGATGCATAAAGTAGAAGTGCAAGGTTGCAGAGAGTGGACCACGCCAAGGTACACCCTAGTATATTCAGTCAGCGAACTCTTTGCATGCTGAAAAGTGGATCAGTCGACTTACAAAATGGCCAAAACCCCTGTATCCAACTACTCTTGAGGTCCGTCGTGAATGCCACAAAGCTTGTGACGCAAGCCTTCGCTCCAGCTCTCGATAATCGAAGCGCTTCGGCCTCGCGTGGATCTGCTGGCTCTACCGCGTTTCGAGCTGCATTTTGAAACGGTCTGAGTATAGCGCGGAACAGGAGCACCTTTACAAAGTGGCCTCCAAGCAACATGGGGCCTGACAGGTTGACGTCTTCGGACTTTGCTTCCGATTCAATCTCAGAGGCTACTCCTGACCACCTATTCAGCTCTTCCATAATCAGCTGTACCTTGCGTAACGTCGTGTCATAATCCCTCGCGAGGATTTGGACTGCTCTGAGTGAACTGTGCAGGTCAGTCTCGTAAACAAAAACTCCACTTGGTGTAACGCTCACAACAGTGTTGTCAATACTTGTCGCAGAAGTAAGGTCAACCTATACATGTGAACAAAATGCTTCTGCATTATTGTCTGACTTTCTTGCTGCGAGAAGTCTGTGGATTGTGGCATCGGAACCAGCCAGTCGTCTTCGCGTATCAGACAACTTCGACCAAGTGTCGCGGCATGCCAGGTATCGATCATCTCGACGGTCCATGACAAGCGCTTTCGAAGGTCCATCTCGGGGGCGGAATATTCCAATGGCTTGGGTCAAATTGCAAGCCTAGTGTTTGAGCCATGGTTACCATTGTACCAACAAGTGACCACTTTGTCGAATAATCTGGCACCAATGGGTTGTGCGATGGCGCAACTAGAAGCAGTGTTACTGTCTGCAGGGTAGCAAAGTCTGATCGGTGCAACCTTCGCTGAACAGTGGTCAATGCCAGCTGCCACAACTTTTCTGCGTCCGGCAAGTCATAGGCTATCTGGACAGAGAGGTAGTCGTCAAAGCTAGCGAATGAGAGCGTGACAAGGTAGATTGCAGCAAGAAGGGATGGATCTGACAGTGTCGGATCTGGTGACTGCGTCATAGGTATCACAGGAACTTGAGGGTAGACGAATTGATAGTACCTACAACCGTCAGCAAAGCTTGGCGCAAACTTGGTGATGGATACGCTGTCCATACAGGGAGATCAGTCTGACTCCGACATCTGGGCTTACAAGTTGTTCCAAGTGTCTTCGAGTGGCGTCATCATCTGACGTGTCGACGTGTTCAGTCGCGTTGTTTACAAGCAGCTGGACCGGATGGACATCCTGTGACATGGATTGCACAGCAAGTCGCTTGAAGACAAAGCTGTGATCAGCATCAAAGTTGTATCGTCGCATGAGATAAGGATCCATATCTCCGGTGAGGCCGCAAAGTATACTTGGTGCGTCACTTTGAGGTTGACTTGGGGATTGCAGAGCGACTTGATGAGCCACTTCATGGTCCGGAGAAGTATTCAGGTGATCGAATGCCTGCATGTCAATGTCGATCATGGCCTGATCAAGCCAGAAACCTTCTTGGGGATCAGGCATATCACCAGACAGTAGGAAGCCGGGTGTAAGACCTCCGAAATCCTGAATACCGCTGTACTGCATGTCGTTGCCTGGCAGCTCGTTTGACGGCTGCAGTTCGAATTGCGTATTGCTCGTAATGGTATCGTCAGATTGTTGACCAGCTATAGCCGGGCCAGTTGAGCATGACGATACACGGTCATGCGACACAGTCCTTGGGTCACTGCGCGTTGTTCGAGGGGTCCTCTCGAAAGTGCATTCGCGTCCGGAGAGATGGCAAAGCCGACATGGCGGTGAAGACTCGATACGACACGCGCTTTTTCGTGTCCTGCAGTTGTCGCATGCTCGCTGCGATTTGCTCATATATTTACGCATCGCCCTGTCATAGTGTCAAGAGTTTGGTGGACTGAGAAGGAGCGGCCGACCTGTTGCTTGTCAATTTTCAGCTCGTCGCAACATCAATTGGCCAGGCTTGGCAGAGTCAAAACATGCGCCATCCCACCGCTGACCTAGAAGATTTCTACACATATCCAGTCACGACTACAATGACAGTCAAAAGACTTGGTGGTCTAAGTACCTTGATCTAGGACTGATAATCATGGCTTTATCAAGATCATATGCAATAGCTGTCCATAGCAGCAACTAGCCGAGACGAACCCCACCAAGAATTTCGTCAACAATCCGCACACATTTCAGCGAGAAAACTCGAGCGTGGACGGTGCCGCCACGAATGTACTGTGGTCTCAGAGAGTCTCTGGTTGCTATGAAAATCCTTCTATGATTGCCAAAGTCAATGGCCACAGGCACGATCGCCTCCGTTCCCGGTCATTTCGGATCCCTCAAAGATCATGTGCTCGTCTCAAAACCTCACAAGAATCATCAATGTACTCTCGGCCTTTGCTTAGTCCCTTTTGCGGATCGGTGTAGTGCCCAAAAGCATGAGGGACTCCCGAGTAACACTTCTGGGTTACCTTGTTGCCATGTTGAGCCAGTAACTCCCCATACCTTTGCGCCTCATCCCGGCAGATGTCGAATTCAGCTGTGATGATATGCGTCGGAGGAAGATTCTCAAAAGACTTTGCAAGTATCGGCGAGGCCATCCAGTCCTCGCACGCGGCCTCCCTTAGACCTGCGACAAATTAATCCTTCCGTCATCAAGAGAAGTTGTCCTGTTACTTACCTTTCGGAATCCAATAGTCCAAGAACCACTGTTCTCTCTTCAGACCGCCCCATGGCGCATCCTTGTACAATACTGTACTTGGATACTCCATCGCGACCTCTGAACGAAGTGGTTCTGCTGCAATCAACCATCTGAAATCAGTCGACGGCACAACCATCAACGCTAGCTTGAGTTCGAGCCCTACATCGCGCGCCATGTGCGAAAGAACGGCAGACATGTGTCCTCCGGCTGAGAGACCGCCAATCGATACCCAACCCCGGTCGATGTTCAGCTGTTTTGCATGTGATATCACCTGGAGACTGTCAGACTATGCTCGAGAGTTGTGAAGTCGACATACCCATTGTATGGCATCCCAAGAATCATGTATCGCCGCTGGGAACACGAACTCGGGTGCCAGCCGGTAATCGACATCTACAACCACGATTCCAGCCTTGTTACACACGCTGCGACACCAGGCAGCTTCACTATGAAGGCCCCCTAATATCCATCCTCCTGGTTTGGGTTAGAGAATTATCTTCATCTTGAATAGTCGCATACTGACCGCCATGATAATTCAAATGCACTGGAAAAGGCCCAACACCTTCTGGCGTATATACACGAATCTTCATCTGACCAGCAGGTTTGTTCACGGGTATCTCCAGTTCTTTCTCTTGGTGCACTTGGGGTCCTGGTAAAGCTCAGTACTCGTCTGCTCAGGATAGAGGAGCCTTACTCACCTGCCCAGGTTGGATATGTCAAGCTGTATTTCGCGGGGTTTTTACGGACTTCCTCGATGGAAACTTCCTCGGCTTTACAGTGGCGTCCACCATGAGTATTCCATATCTCAGCCCATTCCGGATCGAGTTTGTCTAGCCATTGTTTCGGTGCTTGGTGAGTTGAGACTGCGGTCAAACCCACGGTGGGAGGTGGAAATTTTGTCATTGATAATATTGCTGAATATCGAGGAGTTTGGTTATGGTCTCCAAACCCGACAGGTCAGAAGTAGGTAGATAGATGCTGAAACTCTTGCTGACTACTTTCATCTCGTTCGTAGTCGATCTTGCTTGTCATGCTCGGTAAAACCATTATCAATCGCGCGACGGATCTGATAGGACTGCCAAGACAAGCCGGTGTGGACCCCTATCAGTACTTCCAGTAGCTGATAGGCGGCGACGCCGTCGAGGCGGTCACACTCCGGCTTGACTCTTCTCCGCGCCTGCTTCCGCCTGCGAATGTGCATGAATCCCGACGACCAGAGGTCAGAATGATCGGACGGCCGGAGGTACTTCTGAGTGAGCAGATGCGCGGCCGGTACACAGCGTGGGCAGGAGTTGCCGGCTGATGTGGAATGATCAACCTACGCCGATGGCCTGCCATCATGACTCAATCACCTGTTGCTTGTATGAGGCTAGATCAAAGATAAACCTTGTCCTGCCACATCTCTTTTCATAGCAAACATATCTCTGGAACTTCTTTCTTCATCATCTCTACTCATCAAACCCATCCGAGCGGCAACATGCAAGATTCAATAGTGATCGTTGGGTGAGTCTTGGTTCATGACTCGAGTTCAGCACAACTTACAATTAAACAGAGCCGGGGTGATAGGATTGGATGTCGCTCTTGTACTTGCTGAGAACGGCTACGGACACCATATTACTATTGTTGCGCAACATTTGCCTGGAGACACTTCTATCGACTACACCTCGCCTTGGTAGATTGTAGATTTTTTGGAACATCGATCGAACCACAACTGACACAGACTTAAGNNGGCTGGCGCAAACTTCTCTGCGATATCAGGAAGTGACAAAAATGCGCTGATCTGGGACAAGGCTGGGTACAAGCGTCTGATGAAGCTCGCATCAACAGAAGGACCTGCAGCTGCCATCAGAAAAACACAATCGTTCGAATACTGGGATGAGAAGCCAGCAGAGCAGAAGTTGAGCTCTCTTGCAGACTATCTCGAGAACGTAAGACCTTCACCCCCATCTCAACTGTACACCGTGATAACGACTTCACCAAAACCANNGTTCACCGTCTTACCCTCGGAGAAACTTATTCCAGGCACTGCTTACGGCGTCTCTTTCACAACAGTCACCATAAATGCTCCCCGGCATATCCAGTACCTGAAGAGCAAGCTCGAAAGTCTTGGTGTCCGATTCTTCCGTCGCAAGCTTGAACACTTGGATCAAGCTTTCCTCGGTGAGCGAACCAAAGTTGTGTTCAACTGCGTTGGAAATGCCGCTCGAAACTTGGCAGGAGTTCACGACCAAAAGTGCTTCCCGGTCAGAGGACAAATCTTGCTCACACGCGCGCCTCGAATCGATACGAACATCATGCGACATGGCAAAGATTACGAAACTTACATCATTCCGCGCCCATACTCGAATGGCAATGTCATCCTCGGAGGTTTTATGCAAAAGAACAATNNGGGTAGGCTTGTCATACTCGAGCTCCGCTATGACATGAGACTGACTTTTTGTAGTACTGGAGACACATTCGCCCACGAGGTCGAGTCCATCTGGCAAAGAACATCGACTCTCGAACCAGCCTTGGACGCGCCCGAAACCGAGGTCCTTGCAACATTTGCTGGACTCCGACCTGGTAGACAAGGTGGTGCACGCATCGAGTCGGAAACACGAAGTTCTGGGCGTCTGCTCGTTCACAACTACGGAGCCGGAGGAACTGGTTATCAAGCAGGACTTGGAATGGCGATGGAAGCTGTTGGTCTTGCGCTACCACATCTTACCAACGCTTTGAGAGGCTCTGATATCGTCGATCTCGCGGCTAATGAGGCAAAAGCGGTTCGCGCAAGCCTGTAATCCTGATTTCTTTGTCCAGCCGTTCCTCGGTCTCTGGAAACTCTGGTTGTATATATCACCAAGACAACCCGAAGACTCTTTCCTGTATCACCGACTACTTCCAACGACCCCATGACCCCTTCCTTGCAGCCCGTAGGTCATCAACATTCAAGACACTAGCACCCTGCTGCAGCAGGACTTGCCAGATCTGGTCGCGCAGTGAACGTGGCCATCTCGGTGTACCCCAATATCTGGATCGCAATCCTCTGATTTCAGCCTTGTGTATATGATGCGTGAGTTCCTGAATCTGGTCGGGAGTGACGGCAAACCAGGACGAAATGCTTTGATCAACAGCCTTGACGTTGGTGGATGCGTACCATGAGTTGCTCGGGTTGTACTTGTAGCGTAGCATATCTGTATCACGATCTGCCGCGGTCGCTGAAGAAGATTCGTTCATGTTCGGGTCGCCATCAGCTTCCAGAGCTGTTAACGGAGCATCGTAGAAAATGTCGCGATATGTCGTATTAAAGTTTTTGATCATGTCGAAAGGTGCATAACCGGATACGACTATGGTGATCGGACGATCCACACGATCTGTTCCGTTCCAGTGCGTGAGCCATCCCGCATTGCGAAGGCCTGCCATCTGATCGTGCAATTTGAGGTATGTCTCCGGCCCGCTGGTCTTGAAGTCAACGAGTAGGACAAGTGTTTGTGCTGGATCTGTGGCAAACACACCCTGCTTGCCATCACCAGCCACACTCCCAACGGTTGACTCGCTGTTCGCCGCTTTCAGGATGCGATGCAGAGGATCCAGATACATGCTCTCGAGTGTTGACCGAGGGGTCAAGCTTTTGACGCTATGGCCGACATACAGGTCATCATCGAACAGCCACACATCTGCTTCTACGCTGATACAACCCGAAGCCAGCGCGGCATAGAGCGGTGTGCGTCGCCAGTAGTCATTGTGTGAGTGACACGGCACAGGAAGCACATTTTGCAGAAACGAATATTGTCGATTCTCGAACCGCGATGGTGAGAACGCGCTCCTATCGTCATGTTTGAATATCATATCGTACTCATCATGAGTGTAGAACGACGGCAGGAACCAGAATAAGAATCTTCATTTTGTCAGCCGGCGTCTCATGTCACAAAACGATCTCGCGATGCTCGACTGACAGTACAATAGAACAGACTGTTGCGCTCGCGATCATTGGTCTTTTCAAACCTCGACAGCTCAAGTCCGTGAGCCTCGGCCGTCGATACCTGGAGCAACCGGCAAGACTTTCGAGGTCGTCGTGGGAGTCTTGATCCTGATGACCTTTCTGAATGAAATCAGTTCTCTGTTCCTTTAAATTGCACATTTTTCCTTTTCCAAGGAATGTCAAGAGGCTTCGATCGATGCGTCCAAGGTCGATGGGACCTAGGGTCATTATACTGCCCGATTTTAGGCCAGTGATAAATCAACGACCGGCACCGCAGTATATTCAAATTATTTGCGTCACAATCACTGAACTTCAATCCATGCGATTTTCCTAGTCAAACAAGCATGCGATGATATATCATGTCTTGCTAAAGACGCATATGAGGGGTCATGGATGCCCAGAAGGTGACGCGTAATCAACGGCTCCCCCAAATCACGCGTCAGCTTGTTGGACCCAACTCGCGACAAATGCCAGCAAGCTAGAATGTCACTCGAATTCTTCTGGAACGGGATAAGGGAGGATATACTTTTGGCTGACGACTTGGCAAGACAACTATGGACACAGTGTGCAGGAATCCTTCACTGGGCTTGGAAGTAGTGACCAAGTTATGGCCATCGACTGGAGGGCTGGTGTATCAACAGACGACCACAACTCGAACAGCAGGCAGGACAACATCTTGGAGTGAAGTTTAGGTTGGTAGACTTCTCTCAATGATCAAGCCTCTATTGTACAAGCTTTTTGACAGCCGAGGACAAACCACTGGCGAAAGCTTAATCATCTACATCTTGGAAGGCACGAGCTGACACGTTCTACAAGCGCTGATCATACATACATGGCTTGTTTACGTAAACACTAGATCAACCTGTTTGGCAAAATGAGTCCAAATGGTGACATTGTCGCATAGCTCCAGATCAGAAGGTCACCTCGAGACTTGCATGAGTTGTATAATATCGCTCACCGATAAGCTCAGCTCGGCTTGCGGTATTTTTGTGCCTCGTGACATTTCTTTCGTTGGGCAACTCGGTCCAAGCCAACGACTTTTTCTGCAGGAGCACCTACGAGTGTCACCATCCGACTTGTAATCACATATGCAAGCAACTTTGTGATCATCACATCCTTGTCTCCACATCAGATTCTCAACCTACGCTCCGTAAACAACTTCTTGAATTCCGGCATGGTCATCATCGCAGCCCTGGCATCACACGCAGCACCTCGTCAGATCAGAGTCGTGGCATCAATCGCACGCCTGCCACCATAAGGGCCTTTCAATCCGAAGAGGTATTCTTGCCATTTTCTTCGTGATCAGTCGCGGTCATACACAATCGCTGACATCGAAGCGACAGAGTGTTTATACTATTGAGAGACTGGGACAGCAAAACTACCCTCCGTCACCATGAACTCTTTGGCGAACTTCTTCTGCTCGATCGGAGCCAGGAGCNNGGTACGTAAAGCTGCACCTACCCACCTTGCTCTTTCGCAAAAGGATGAGATGGACGCAATTGTCAAGAGCCTGAGTGTCAACACAACCAAGACCAGGAGACTTGATCGCCGGTCGGACGAAGTAGTCGCAAATTCAGGCTCGAACACCGTCTTGTTCTTCACTGTTGCTGGTTTGTTGGGTTGGGCACTGACTGGTACCAAATTCTCGCGCAACACCGGCTGGCAGGTTGGCATCTCCGATGCGCAAGCCATTATCATCATGGTGTTCGATGCTTTTCTCGTGCGTCAGCAGTTGAATGCGCACGATCAGGGTTTGGTCGTTGCTTGTCATCTCCAGTCCAGGACCCTCAGTCATAAGAGGATGCTTCGCACATTGTCTCGTATGGAGAAGCCTCAGAAGACCAACCTGACTCAAGCTGATGTATCTGATACCCGTGCTGGACTGCCTACTGAGGATACCATTGGTAAGGCCTGCAATGCAGTCTCTGCGTTCATGGGTCATATTGCAGCCGTTGCTGCATACGTGGTTTGCATTGTCATCTGGCTTGCTTTTGGACACTACTGCCATTGGTCGGATGTTTGGTTCTTCTACATCAGCACTTCTACTTCTGCATTGATGGTGTTCATGCTTGCACTACTTGCTAACGATCGCGAGCGACATGAACGATTTTTAAGTCAATGCACTACTCAGCTCATGACTGTCGACACAGAACTTGAAGTTGTGCTCCGCAACATTACAAAAGACATGACCGAAAATGAGACAGTTATCATTGAAGCACCCGCAGTCGGTAGACTCCAGCGTGCAATCAACTTTTACGCGGATCTAGTTGGCACACTCTTGGGTATCGCTCTGTTGACACTGATCCTTGTTGTCTGGGTTGTTCTTGGTCCTATCCCGAAGTTCTACGCAAACTGGTGGTTGTTGATCGGCACATATGCGGGTCTCATTGGCATGAACGACGGTTTCGTGCTCAAGAACTTGTCTAAAGTGTGTGCTCGCTTCGAAGACAAGCAATACGAACAGCAAATCCTCGATGATGCGGATTTGGTCGCCACCATCCGAGCTCCCAGCTTGCAAGCCAGTGAAACGCAAGCGGTGGCCCGAGTTGATATCCGCTTCTCAATCGCGATGGGCAAGGCTTTGTCGCACGAGTACACTGTGGCGATCGGTTTGGTGTCGATTCTAGGACTGCTGCTCGTGGCTAGCTTGATGCGCTGGAACGAGCTGGGACAGATCATCTGCAATGTTCCGCCCAGCATCATCGAGTCGTTCTTCACGCTCATTCTCATCACTGGGCACAATATTGGAGACAAGCAGAGGCGTACGAGTCTGCAGAGCATCTATCAGACCAGACTTGACTTGATTTCCCGTGTCAAGGACTGGCGGACGTAGACAATGAGAAATGGGATGGTTGTGAGGTGATAAGTATAGACTGGACAGAAGAGGTTGATGTCTTTTTGAGGTCTATCGTGGTACGGGTCGTTTGTTATCCTAAATAGTCTGCGAGTCAGTAGAAGATCTACAGGTGCTGTGGGTAGCAAGTGTATCGACGTTTTGAATCCTTCGGCCTAACGAGCCGACTTCCGCGGCGTCATCCAATTCAGCAGCGAGAATACAATAAAGGCGAGTCCCGCCGACCTTTGCTGCATGATTTGACTATCCAAACACAATGTCATCAATTCTTCAGATCCAATTCTTGGATGTCGCACCTTTGCTGCCCGTCAGCGTAGCGTTGACTTACATCGCTTCCGTCGCATTCGGATGGGAGCAAGCTCTGGCTCGACGCATCTCTGGTTCAAGGAAATACAGCGGCAAGGACACGAAAGCTCTATTGCCTGCCAACAATACTGATATTGGGGCCCATGGAAGCTCGACTTGGACTTCATACATCGTCTCTATGGCTGTGCCAATCGGTCATCATTATCTCACAACGACCAAACTCTGGGGTTTGAAGAAGTCCGAGAGAGTCACTCTCAATGTTTGTCTTGGACAAATAGCTTTGCTTATTGCCGAATTTTCGATTCATTATCATCGTCATCGGGACTGGAGAGGAGAAAAATTGTTGTTCCTCGCGGCCTCCTGGAGTGGGATGATGCTGAGATCACAAGACTGGATGCATGAACCTAAATTGACACACTCGGTTTCTGCAATCTGCATTGCGGTTCTTGCTGTCGTTTGTATTTTACCAGAACGATCAATAACATACAAAGGTGTGCCTACAACCTTAGCCCCCAACATCAAGTCCGAGAAAAACGAGCCCTCAGATGCACAGAGTGTGATATCACGATCTTCACTTGTTCATCTGCACATCTTTAGCGTCTCACTGTTGCTGGTCTATCTGCTCCACGACTTTCCGCCTCTATCCTCCGGGCTCCTCTATGGGATACCGTGGCTAGGTTCGTCGTCGCATTACCTGATAGCTTTCACCCTGTTGCTCCTACGAGGAGGGATCAACAACTGGCGTGCCACATATACACAACAACAGACACTCCAACAACATGTACACGCTTTTGCTTCCTCAGTCTACAGCGAGTTACCAGAATTCCCGGAGTTTGTGCGCTGCGGCATCCTTATACCTCTGTCTGTGATGGTTCCATGGCTGGCTCTCTTTTTCGTGACCAACTACATGGCTTCCTGTCTTGGATTTCGCAGATTAATTCTCAACAATCCAAGGACTATGCCAGGCTTTCTCGACGGAGGAATGTTCGGTGGTTTCGTCTATCAGATGATTGTGACTGGACGATTGCTCGTTTGGCAGAAGAGAATCAACAAGGATGATCCTGACAAGTTGTTGTATCTTGTGATAGCTTTTGTCGTAGCTTTTGGGCAGACGACCACAAGTCTCGTGGTCTTGGCTCTTGGGCTGTGTGGTCTGCGGATGTTTAGTTAACCTACTCAAGAACCATGAATACTTCTCAGTCGCCGATGATGGACCTTCTATATAAACCAACTGTTGATCCCGACTCAGATTTCAGAATGATGGACAAGTGTGATGCTTGAGACCAGGGTGATATCCTCAACAGAGCGATCTTGGCATGAAACAACGGACGTTGAACACGGCGAGCAACGACGACTTGCGAGGAAATCACACGATCTCAAGATGGCATTCTCAACTCTCGGATGCGTGAAAAGCGGTAAATAAATATTGTCCCACTCCAAGATCCGCATCATGGTTACGTTCGGCCGCAGCAGAGATGCGGGTGGAGGCGAGTCGGCCATGCACAACGGCTTTAGGCGATGTTGGGATTTGTGGGCGATTCTGACCGCCGTCTAGATCGTCCAGACGGGATGAACTGACACTAGGTAATGAGGCCAGGGGGGGAAGTTCTTCAGAAGGTGGAGAGGCCCTCTGCTTTGTAGTATTGACATGAGCGCAGTCTCGACATGAACAGCAGTGCGGTTCTTCTCATCGCAAGCGCGCTGCCGGATCTGAAGCCGCAAGAGTTCCCTACCATCACTCGCGTCCTTGACTTTCTCCGCATTCGTATCTCGAACTCGGCCTCATCGACAGCGAAGACGAACTTTGCATAGCGACCGATGCTGCGAAAAACGATACACATACCAAAGGTGCGATTGGCGACTGGACGGTGACGGAAGAGAATTGGGGAGGAAAGACCGGCGTCGCGTTCGACCTTGATTCGCGGCGATGGAAGCTGGTGCCGGCCCGCGACGACGACGACGACCAGAACGACGACGACGACAGCGACAAGGACAAATCAACTGCCCATACACCGCCATGCCCATCTTCTACCTCGATATCCCTTTCCGACACTTCGCTCAGTAATTCAGGCCACAGCAAGAGCAAGGACAATGACGCCACAGATTGGACTGCGCAAATACCTGACAGCGAGCACAACCGCTTCCTGATCAACACACGCTGGGACAGGACAGCCCTTGGCCCAATGAAGTCATGGCCATTGGTCCTCCAGCTCATGGTACTCAAGATGCTCGGTGATCCTCGACCCGCCAATCTATACTGGGGTCAAGATCGCATTGCAATCTACAATGAGTCGTTCTCCATCATGGCCCATAGCCGGCATCCTGCCATGATGGGCTCTACTGCAGAAGAAGCCATGCCCGCTACTTGGCCATTTCTGCGTCTCATGATGCAGCAGGTACAGGACACGAAGATAGCTTTTCACGCCCCCGAGTTCGAGATGGAAGTACACAAGGAGAGCGGCTTCCTCGAAGAGGCTTGGTATGATGGCGTCTTCTCGCCCATCGTCAACGGCGACGGCTCCTTCCAAGGTTTGTACAGCTCTGGCTACGAGATCACAACTGCCGTCCTCATGGCTCGATACTCTCGTTTAATTCACCAGATCGCCGCCGTACCGGACTTCCGCCAAATAAATGCTTGGGCTCACATCGTCGAGAGTTGTCGATCTTTTGAGAGGGATGTTCCAATGCTTCTTGTGTATGTGGCTGAAGTCGCGCCGACACAACGATCTGATCATTGCACTCTGCAACTCAAGGGTTCACTTGGCATCAACCACGAGCATGAGCAGACACTGCGCATTCTCAATCTCGACGATTCAACTCATCCACTTGCACCTGCTTTCAGATCCAGCAAAGTGCTTGGCCATCCCATCGTGCTTGACACATCTAGCCAATTCCTGAGGCAATTCCGACAAGATGTCGAATGGCGAGGTTGGCCAGAACCATCGTCACTCGTCATCGTCATGCCTATACTTATCAGCGGGCTTATCTCTGGGTTCATGGTCATGGGTCTGAATCCTCGGAGACCTTACGATGATGATCTGAAACAANNTTGGGGAACAACAACTTCCCTCGTCTCCTCAAGCGTCAACTTTGAGCAAGCACGAGAGCGAGAGATGGTTCTGACCAGGAAGCTCACGCAGCGAGAGCGATTCATTCGCAAGGTGGCGGAGATGACCAACGTCGGCATTTATTCTTCGTCGTCTGCTGGCATTCTTACGTATGCCAATCCAAAGTATCACGATATTGTCGATCACACCCCCGAAACTGGAGACGGCCAAGCTGTCGGTCTCGAGATATTCGTCTTGGAAGAGGATCAGGAAAAGATTACAAACGCGATCGAGGAATGCAAATCTGGACGTACCAACATCAGTATCAGCGTTCGCTTGAAACGCAAGTGGACGCCGCCAGGCTCATCTACGGAACAACACTACTGGGTGTTGAATTCTATCGTTCCGGATGTTGAGGATGGCAAGATGCTAGGCGTCATCGGATCGTTGGCTGATATCAGGCACACGATGTGGGCTTTGCAGCTACAGAAGGACTCGACTGAGGCAGCTCTCGAATCGAAGAAACACCTTGAACGATTTATAGTAAGTCAAAAGTCATGAGTGATCATCACAAAGACTAACAGTTTTCCANNGGACATGACATCCCATGAAGTCAGTGTTTCCATCACGAGTAGTCACACATTGCTAATGATGGTGTAGATGCGAAACCCTCTAGGTGCAACAATGCAGTGCGCTGAGGACATCCTTCGAGTCATTGAGGAAGATACGACTTTGTGTAAGATCGAGGGCTCCCGCAAACTCTTTGACGCGGTACGAGAAAACGCAAAGACTATCGCGTTCTGCTGTGCTCACCAGAAGACCATCGCGGATGATATTCTCGTGGTATCAAAGCTTAGCTCATCGCTTTTGTCACTTTCTTATGCAGTCTGCCAACCTGAATCTGTGGCAGGGCAGGTTGTCCGCATGTTTCAAGCCGAAGCCGCGAACGCCGACATCAACCTTAGTCTCGAGGTCCACCAATCTTACGCAATCAATCGGGCTCTGTGCGACGCTTCGAGGATTCGACAGATATTGATTAATCTGGTCAGCAATGCGATAAAATTCACAAAGGGCAGGAGCAAACGACAAATCCAAGTCGTTGTCGGGTCTAGCGACGTCACACCTCCGATTCACATGTCTCAGCTACAATGGCAACCAAGAGAGTCGCCGGCTCCTGTATTGAGCGGCGCTAGCAACATTTTCTTGACTTTCCAGGTGCACGATACCGGCAAAGGACTTACACCAGAGGAGATGTCGAGGCTGTTCAATAGGTTTAGTCAAGCAAGTGCAACGACCAGCGCTACGGTAAGTTCTCACGTTTTGTCAGATGTATCTCAATCGCTCATCTATCTTCAGTACGGCGGTTCAGGATTAGGACTCTACTTTTCAATGCAACTAGCAGAACTCCAAGGTGGTCGCATCGGTCTCTCGAGCAAACCGGATGAAGGAAGTAAGTGAGCATTCGGTCTGTGCAGTGATTTCTGTGCTGACCGTTCCTCAAAGGCNACTTTTGGTTTTTACATCAGCATCAAAAAGACATCAGCTACGGAAGAAGACGAACGAAACATCAGAAAGATCTCCGAAATCATCGAAAAGCAGACACTGAATAAGCGCACAAGACCGCTTGACATCTTGCTGGTAGAAGATAACAAGATCAATGCAAGGGTGTTGAGCAAACAACTTCGAGCCAAGGAACATCAAGTGTTCATCGCAAATCATGGCGGCGAGGCTCTCGAGTACCTCAAGACCACGAAATACTGGCGGGGTGGAGAGCGTCCTGGCAAGAAATTGGATGTCATATTGATGGACTGGGAGATGCCTGTTCTNCACGGTATTGAATGCACCAAGCAAATACGGCAATTTGAAGAGCAGGGTTCATTAACGGAACATCTGCCAATCATCGTCACTTCTGCAAATGCGCGACCTGAGCAAATCGAAGTCGCCTGCTCGGCGGGAGCTGTAAGTATCAGCTGCTTTTACTTTTCGTCGTGGCCATGCTGATAATCAATANNGGACGGCTTTTTGCCAAAACCTTTCACAGTGGCGCAAGTCCTTGAGAAGATACAACAGATGAATTTGTAACGGCACATAACGAGACAAGAATACTTAAGTGGATCTGCTTTTATTTACGACTTGAAGTTGCAAGTCGTAAAACCTCAAAGATTCGTCCATGTCCATACTGACCAAGGTCTAAGACCCTTCGAGCCAGTGGCAACCCCTGGCACTCTTTGTCATGCCAGATCCCATAGGTCTTTGCATCCTCCACTTGACATTCTCGTCTTGGTCCCACACTTCGATCGTGCCACCACAATTCTTGGCAATCAATATTTTGCCCTCTTCAGCCCACATGAGCTCGATGGTGTTGGCAAACACGCGCATCAGTGGATTTTCAATCTTCAGAGACCAGGTTGTGGAGATAATGTCCTCGAATGGTTTCCAGATCCAGATATTAATCTCGTGCGCAATCGCGATCTCATCTCTTGGAGACCAGGCTGTGATTATGCCTGTCACTCTACTGGTAATGTTCTCGTTCTTGTACTTGGCGACTTGCTCGCCAGCCTCGCCNNTCGAATGCACAGCCAGATAGTATGTGTGGCGGATGGTCTGGTCTTGATCTGTTTCTCTCATCAAGCCCGAGACCAAGATGTGCTTGGAATCTGGTGACCACTCGGCTTTCCAATATTGTCCTTCTGGAGGACTGATCTTGTGCTTACACTCGCCATTTGTGGTGTCAAAGACGCGTAGACTACCGTCTCGGGACACGGTCGCGACGCTTTTGGCATCTGGGCTGAATTCTGTCCATACGATCGACTCGGTTGGTCCGCCAATAACGTGCTTCTGTGCATTCTGAACAAGATCGTGAACAACAACATCTGTGGTTTGTGTTGCTTGTGAAGAACCCTCTTCCTTCTGCTTGTCTTTGACGCGATATAACAACAGCTTGCCGTCTGAGCTAAAGGGATACTCGCGATAGCTCGCAATGCCCGATATTCGGACCAGATCCTTGGATTCCAATGTAGATTGCAATCTATCCAGAGCCATTTTGTATTCCGCACGCACGGGATCCAAAGATGGAGATGTAGCGGAAATCCCATATAGCTCATTCAACTGCAAAGCCACCGGCTTCATGGGATCTTGTAGTAGTGTATCGACGTTCAACAGCTGTGGCTGCACAACTTTACGATCATGACTATCCAGCTCCAGAAACAAGAAAGTTGTGTCGCTGTCTGGTGAAACGGTATCAAGACTTGCTATCATGAGTGTGTATCCACCTGTTTCTGTTTGTAGAGGACTAAACGCCAATCCACGCGCCGGCATCGTCAAGCCCCGGAACTGTACACTGAGCTCTCTGGTCTTGGTGTCGTATACACTAACCACACAACCACTTGCTGCAGCGATAAACTTTTCATCTGAACTCAACGCTGAAATGGTCAAATGAAATCTAGTTTCCTCACTGTGAAAGAGTTCGATTTTGTAGTCTTCGTTGCCCCCAGTGATGCTAGGTCCTTCCGCGGCAGAAGCGGATGTCGGGCCGTGCATGTTGCTTTTGGTTGTCATCAGAAGATGATGTCAACGACTGTTGATTATTGATGGCATTGAGGCCATCGGATGATCCCTTTTCGGAATAGATACACATCACTTCTGGCTCGCTCCATCAGTCCTTCTCTATTCAGAACCACCGAATACAATCGAGCTCAGATGATCCCACGGATATCGCTGGTATCTTCACAAGATCGGCGTACTACACAGCAATGGCAAGCATACGCGAGGAGCCCTACAGTGCAAGTGAGTAGGTTTACCACAAGCGAGATCTACAGTAACGGCTTTCCCAGAGTCTCTCCACAACCACCTATCTCTCGTGCGTAAAACACTCCGAACGATCCACCTCGTATGTCAGGGCACGGATGAGCGTATCAGATAAGAAGAATCCAATAGCTCTGTCAGATCCGGATGCAGCAAAGATCTTTGTATGCACACTCCGGAAACACCAGGGACCATCCATAACTATAACCTTCTTTTTCGCGTAACTTGCGGCTCGAGAAGCATCCGAGTGCGCAATCACGCTCGCACAGCATGCGAGCGAACAACTACAGCCGATGACGGATCGACGTATCGCGATATGGAAAGTCAGCACTCGGAGGGGTCATTGCCCAATCTGATCACCCCCGCGTATATATAGGCTTATAGATGTTTTGTTTGATGTAGATCTCTGTCGATTACATGCGTTTAATCTTGCCAGAGAGGGAAGCAAGCAAGTTTAGCCATTTTCTTTCGGTCGTAAGGGTATATCATAGGGCCATGCTTTTCGCAAGATGAAATGGAGAAGGGTATGCCTTTGCAAGAGATACCGGAGCAGAAGGAGATCTGATGACCCACCAAGGGCGATGGAGATGATCAATCAACAGGTAGACAAAGTGTATCATGCCCCAGCCATCTGTCCGAGGTATTCTTTGGCGACAGCGACACGACGAAGAGGTATAAGTATCAGCATCTATTCGTCTCAAAAAGTACAGCAAGAAAGCAACCAGCACTCCTCATCCACAACTTCCTATTGTTTCCTCTTCTTCAATACGAAAACCAACAACAAGTTTTCTCTACCATCATCATGAAGGTCTTCGCCAGTATCCTCGCCATTGCTGCTGTTGCCTCTGCAGCAGCAACCCCTAACCTCAAGCGCCGCACCGGTATTATCGAGATGCGGGCTGCATCCGACCTCTGCGGTCCACTTGACACCCCCATGTGCTGTGGCACCGATGTGCTCGGCCTCGCTGATCTTTCCTGCTCTTCTGGTATACATCTGCCTTTACCTTCTGCTTTTGCTTTTCGCTTTTGGAAGGGAGATGCTAATGTCTTTGGTTTTGCAACAGTTCCAAGCACTGTGACGACTTCGGCCGACTTTGGTACTTATTGTGCAGGTGAGGGCAAGTCTGCTGAGTGTTGTGTTACTTCGCTGGTGAGTTTATGTTTCCATGCTGACGATGATGTGGTGATTCTGACTTTTTTCTCAGCTTGGTAGTCTTGGTGTCGCTTGCGCTGCTGCTTAAGTGTTTGCGGTATTCTGTTGGGACGTTTCATGTTATGATGTTCAGTATGTATTCTCGTGTATTTCATTTTGATTCCAATGCTTTCTCCTGAAAATGATTATGTTGGTCTATCCTCGATTCGTTGGCCCATGAAGGACAAGGAATGACGGTTCTGCTGTGTTCGTGGTGACTGACGCCGTGACGTCGTCTCTACACGCAAGGCCGCGCTTTCTGAACTCCAAACTTCTGACCGAGCACCACCCATTGGGCCAGGATCCAAGAAAGTCTAAAGCACGACTCATCGCGGTTTTCAAAAGCTTTTGGTACAATTCCTTTGACCTTGTCCCACTGCACAAATCCCAATTGCTCAATGTTCTCGCGAGTGACCAATCGCTGCATCAACTTATGCAATGGCCCATCGACAGGCCATGCTGGTGGAGCAGAGTACACATGCTTCTTGCGCTCATAGATTTCTTGCGTGATGAAGGGCTTACAAGCCTCGCGAAGGATCCATTTCTCGGTCGTTCGTTGCTCAATCGGATCCCAACGAATCTTCAGACTGGGCGGGATTTGATTGACGTATTCTGTCAGAGGGTGGTCCANAAAGGGCGGTCTTGCCTCGAGGCTGTGTGCCATTTCCGCACGGTCGGCTAAAGAAGTAAGTATCGCGTTGGCCAGGATTCCCTTGGTCCAGATATACTGAGCTGTGTGTAGGGGATGCCACTTGTCAGTCATAAGGCCTTTCACGCGACCATCTACGTTGTCTGCAATGCTGTCCTTGATTGAGTATTCACCCAGCTCCGAAGTCCAGTCGTTGAACACATTGGGAAATGTTGCGCCGACAGACTCGAGGGTACTGATGTTGTTGAGCTGTGTGTTCGCAGGGCTGACCAGTCTTGGTTTGTCGCCATCTGCCGCTGCATCCTTGATTTTGAAAAAATGGCTTGGGTGGTGTTTCGGGTCATTCCATATAGCTTGACGTTCGGCCTCGGAGAGATTGTATTTTGGCCAAGAATGGTCGAACTCTGCAAGATAGTCAGGCAGGAAGGTTGGATAGCCTCCGAAGTGTTCATCGGCGCCTTCGCCTGTCAAGACCACCTTGACTCCATGCTCCCGAGGCGCGCGGGAGAGAACAAATTTGCCAATATAGTTGAGATCGGACATGGTATGCTCGTTATGCCAAGTGGCTTCTTCGAAGTTGTCGGCCAAGACCTGCTCTGACATGTGTGTCTTATGGTAGTTGACGCCTAGGAAGTCTGCTGTTCTTTTGGCAATCTCTGCTCATATGGTCAATTTATTTTCACAGAAGCCGGGATGCGCTGAGCAGCACTACGATTGACAACAACATACNNCAGACTCATCAAAGCCGCTATCTTCGTCGAAACCGACGGTATAGCAATGGATGTTGCCCATACCCTCATTGCTTCCGAGCTTGACTCCTTCTGTCTTGACCAAATGGGCCACCATACCTGCGATAACAGACGAATCGATGCCACCACTGAGGAAAACACCAACAGGGACGTCAGCTTGGAGTCGAACACGCACAGCGTCCAGCAACCTTTCCCTCACACCCAGGATGAGTTCTTGCTCGGTTCGTTGCTCAATAGCGTANNCTGCAAACGTCAGAGACTATACGACGCTTGTTCAACTTCAACCTACCTTGTCAGGATACTCAAGATCCCAGTAGCTGTTGTGCTCAACGTATCCAGTTGCATCGCAAGTGAAGTAGGAACCAGGTTTCACCTTTCGAACCCTCAGTTAGCATGCGACGATACAGCAGCGTAATCTCCACTGGCTCACCTTGAGAATATTGTCGAGAGCAGTTCGTTGGCCGAACAACCATTTGCGGTCGAGAATACTTTTTACGTCCCACTCTGGACTCCAGCCAAATGGACGGAAGGCTTTCATCTCTGCCGCGACATGTAGATTGCCGTCAATCTGTGTATAGAACAATGGCTTGATTCCATATCGGTCGCGTGCAGCGATGAAAAATTTTGTCCTCGAATCGTACAGGCAGAGAGCGAACTCGCCGCGCAAGTGTCTTAGAAAAGATGTTCCGTAGGTCTGGTATAAAGCAATGACAATCTCGCAGTCACTCTTGCCTTTGAAGGTCACGCCAGTTTCCTTGACAAGTCGTTCACGGATTGCGTCCGCGTCGTAGAGTTCTCCATTGACAACAGCGTGTATATGGTCGTCAGAAGAGTGGAAGGGTTGCTCTCCATCGGGACTCAGATCGTTGATGGCGAGGCGGACATGACCAAGAGNCTGTGTGGACTCGTCAGCTGGAGACCACTGCATCAAACTTGGGTTCTACACACCGACTCTGCCGTCCTTGCTTGTCCATGTGTCGCGAGCATCAGGACCTCGATGTTCGATGGCTTCGAGACTCTGATCAAGTTTCGAAGTTGTTAATCCGTCTTCGCGTTTTGCGATGCTTGGGTCAAGAGGTTTGGGTGACAGCGAGACTACGGCCGAGATACCACACATCTTGGAGCAACGTTAGGGGATCGGAAGGTATCCTGGAGTGCAAGTTGCTTGCTCCACCTTGGTGGAACAGCTCCTTCTTTATGGATTGCTTGATTCATCTTGAACTCAGCAAAGTCAAACCACGGACCGCTGAAGGGCTATGACTATTGCAGAGGACAGTCATTGACATCAAGGTGAGAGCTATGGAGAGCATGCTCAACAGAAGAGGATGATGCGTCACTGTAGGTGGAGACTGAACCCTGTGACGTCGTCTTGAGAGCCTCATGCACCATCCCAATCCAGTTAGCGGCATCAAAAAGTGCCCCGAGCTCATCGCATCAACAAAGATCATGTCCCACGCACGCACCAGAGACTCCATCTTCCCAGTCGATCATCATAGAGTGATGGAGATCTCTGTGCATCGCGTCTGGCAATCACATTGCTTGAGCTTGTTTGGTATTAGCTTATACGCCGAAAAAGTCCACTGCATCGCCGAATCCGCAACTGATGCTCCCGAAAAGTATCTTGTCCTGTGCCTGACGATCGTTTCGTCCTGATCAAGTCATGTTTGTTTTTCTCAACAGAGTACCAACCCAACAGAAGAATAAGTATGCGTCCTTGACCTTGTTCCAGAGATCGAGGAACCAGTGCAGTATACCATCATGTCATCGCAACACGTCGTTTTCACCTTTGCCGGCCAGGGGTGGCCTCCTGTGCAAGCAGCTCGTGATCTGTATCGCACATCCCAAGTCTTCAGAGATGCAGTCGTGGATGTGCAGAAGGTGATTGACACTCTGCTACGAGAGAAAGAGATACAAGACTGTCGCCACGTACCACTAACGGACTACCTGGAGGAAGACGATGTTCGACCACCCTATGCGACAAGTTTCGATCGCTCTCCAGATACCAAACAAGATCTGCTACCGCCAACAGAGTCACTGGTCATTGTGGCCTCACAATATGCACTCGGCAAGATGCTCCAATCTTGGGGCATTGCTCCTCGCAGCGTCATGGCCTATTCGCTTGGCGAAATGGTGGCAGGCACTTTCACTGGTTCCTATACCTTACCCGCCGTAATGAAGCTGCTTGCACGGCGAGAATCCCTACTTGCCGATCGGTCCTTGATCCCGCANAAAGGTGCCTTGGCAGTGGTCATGACCGATGGTGACAGCGCCAAAGAAATTCTTGCCAAAGAAGGACTCTTGGGCACAGTCGACATCTCAGGCTTTCTCACTCCAACATCTACCGGTCTCGCAGGCGACGCAAATGCTCTCGAACTCGTTTTGCAAAGGTTCGAAGCCGCCGACATTGGCGTCAAGCGTGTCAAATTGGAGGTTGGCATGGTGAGTCGCGATTTGTCTTTCAGTAGCCAATATTGCAATAACATTAACAATTGTCGACACAGNCACTCTGGGCACATTCAAGCCCTGACAGACCACATTCGCTCAAGTCCCGACGTCTTTCCAGAGTCGGAATCGAAGGACTGCAGTGTCGTTCCCGACTTTGATCACTGGTCGTCGCTAGGATTTCAGATGCCGACCGGCTCGCCTTTGAACGCCAATCACTATGCCACAGTCTTGCGTCGACCACTGCGCTACAGAGAGTGCATTCAGGGCATCTACCGCAAGCATATGAAAGAGCAGCCAGATCAGGACTTGGTGTTTATCGACATGGGCATGGGGCCGGGCCAGCTGTACAAGTCCATCATGGCTACACTGAAGGATACTCCAGGATGGCAGCAAGGACAGGTCAGAGCCACTGCCAGTATCGATCCAGTCGAAGCAGGTGATGCAAAGATGAAGCTTGGCTGGGCAGAGACACAGCTCGAGGCAAATCTCCGACGAGCAAACATCTCTATGAAAGCCCCACAGCTAGCTCAAGGTATGTTGTTGCCAGTCCGGCAGTTTGCCAAGCATGTACTGACAACCGATCATAGGGTCTGGTGGACAATACCAACAACGAAGATCCATCCATACCTACACAAGGAGACCACTGCAGTGCACTGCACACACTGGCTGCGCATCTCGATTGCCACGGCTGAATTTTCGCTCGTGGGCTCGGACAGCGTTGAGACTTTGAAGGACGGATGCTCTGAAAGCGCCCGGAAAATAGTTTTCGAGATGCCGGTCATCTTGGTGGAAGGTGGAACGGGACTGTAAGAGGAAGTACTGAGACTTGCATTGTCCGTGAATTACGAGTGTCAGCGACAAACAGCGACAACGAGTGCTTATTGAAGCTGCTTCGCGAAGTGTGTGCCTGACTTGTGAATCGATCACTTGATGCAACAGTCCGTTTTGTGCGCTCACTACCTTTCGTGTGCCTTGTTGTCACCCTCAGGATAGTAGAGAAACACATCATACGCAAGTGCGGGTCGTCGAGCACGCAACAGCGTGTCAGCTCAGACTACGAGGAGTGCAAGTAGGAGCGCTTGACGAGACGAGCCAAGCCGGTGTCCAGACCCCAAAGAGAAAGATATATTGGCAGTAGGTGGAAGAGTTGGTGGGTTGTTGTTCGTGAATTAGCCATCTTTGACAAGTAACGACTTCTCCAGCGAGTGGCGCTTTTTGCAACAAAGTGAGGCTTCGAACTGTTTCCTTGATCGATGCAGCCCTTTGCTCGAATAATGTTTCGCCCTTGCAGGCTTGCTATCACTTTGCTTGTGTGATGGTCCTTGTTTCCCACATCCGAACAGTTACTTCTTCTTGGAAAAGATATTCACTGCACCACTTTTCTTTCTTCTTGTTCTCACCTAGAGTCAAGCTATCTCATTCTCCTCTCCGCCTTTCCCATCAGACACAGATCAAATCTTCGAAAACCAAGACAAGCATGTCACCACCAGCATCAGCAACTACTTCCGTGTCCGCGCAGGTGTACACCGAGCTCGACTCCGACGGCCACCCCTCACACCGTCTACTCTGCAAACCCACCCCAACCTCCAAAACCGAGCAATGTCCTCCTCACGACTCCCTCTCCCTCCTCGCCCACAAAGACACGCAATTCAGCGAGATCTGCCTGGAAGACATGTCCATCGACACCATCCAACTCGACACCTTCCTCCGCAGCCAAAGTAAACAACTCAAGAAACTCGGAATGATCAACACACACATGCACTTCCTCTATACACCAAACAACATCTGCGAGCCCTATGCCTTGTTGACCGCACTCGCCTCCATGCTCGCCCACACCCTCGAAGTCCAGAGCTTGGAGATCAGAAACTTGGTCGTGCACTACAACGACTCCATCTCCACCAGCGTCACTTTTACTTCGACCTGGGACGGAGTGACTGCAATCCGCGCCGGGTTCGCCGGACTGGTGGCAAAGATCAAGCAACGTGGAAACGTGGGGTTGTTGGAGGGTCAAGAAGTGATCAAGAAGCCTCAGTCTAGCTTCATCGAGACGGAAAGGTGGGAGGATGAATATGGATTCGCTTCTGATGGAGAGGAAAGTGATGACGATGTCTACGAAAACGAAGATGGAGAGTGGGAAATGTGAATGCAGAGACAAAAAGGAATGATGGTCTAGCTTGAGACTTACATTGGCCTTCACATGCATAGCACAATAGCACTCCAAGAAGGGAAAGAAGAAGAAATCCATCATTGTCAATACAAGAAGAAAAAAAGAGAGGCATATATTCTACCAACCAAACCCTGACCCAATCCCCAGCCTTCATCTAAACATTGTCCGCAGCATTGAAACTAACATCTTTTCTGCATACCAACTCTTCGAACCCAGCTTGGTTTTCAATAACCAAGCCTTTTTCGTTGGCAAGATGCAAAAGACAGATGAAGCCGAAACTCGTGCTGATATCTGACAACTGTTGTTGAGGATAAACGTGCCGGAGGTTGTTCATCACATCTGTGAACCTGAAGGTGCCTTCTTCTGATATGTCGACGGTGGGTGGTGGGGCTTTGGAAGGCGTTTGTGTAGGTTCGGCCTGTGAAGTCGTCAGAGATTCGTGATGGGAAAGATAGAACAGAGACCAGTGATGGGAAAGACAAAGCAGATAACTTACCTCGAAGCCAATGCCTCGCCACATTTCTTCCTTGAGTCGTCGTATATCAAGCTTTTTGGCTACACGGGCGTATTGCAAGTATTCTGGTCGCGTGCGTCTACTTTGTGTGATAAGGTTGGATCCAAATGCCGTCTCTTGGCTGCCGGGAAGTAGACCGTTAGGTACCCCTGACTGTGCAGCATCGAAGGCATCTGCAGGCGGCAGCATCTCTTGCGCGTCTGCAAAGTCATCATCATCATCTACGGCTCCTGCTGCGACACCCAGACCATCGTCTTGGAAGAAGTTGGCATCGTAGTCTCCTCGTGCACGTTCCTCGTCGATGGGTTGCGGCTCGGCCAGACCTTGAGCATTCGCCCAGTACGCTTCGTCAACGTCGCCATGTTGGAATTGTTCGACACCGCTACGGGCTTGCTGTGTTGATTTTCGTGACCCCATACGAGCCTTGGGTTTGAGGAAAAGTCGTAGTAGGTCGCGCGAGCTAAAGTGTTTGTCGTCTGGTAGCAGGTTGCGTGTCTTGCTCTTCCAGTCCTTCTTTGGCAGACTGATGGTCGCGTTGGATGGTGCTGGTGTGTAGATCAGGTCGGCTAGTTGTTGATTCATCGGGCTCATGAAATCGATCTCGAATGGCTCTTTTTCCTTCTTTTTTGTCGTGGTGGAGGTAGCTTTTGCAGCATCCTTGATCCTCCTGATCTTCCAATGTTCCGGACCAGCCCAATTCTTCTGCAGTGCTTGATCGAAGTAGCTGAGGATGTTCTCGTGCTCGTCACCACGATGCGCAAGAGTGACACCAAACTGGTTCCCGTTGGAATCGAAGCCGCCAACCTCACCACCTTCTGCATCAACACCAACGCCAGCGTCGACATCGGCGCCTTCATCGTGAGGTCGAAGTTGAGGCTCAACATGTGCTTCCTTGGCCCAAGCCTCACCACCTTCACCGAAACCAGCATCAACAGGGATATCAAAGCCACCAAATGCGCCATCATCATCGTCGAAACCAACAGCATCATCGTCGCCTAAGACAATACCGGAACGAGCATCGTCATGGTCCTCCTCTTCTTNTTGCGCGCGCCAGTCTTCAGGAGCCTTCAAGAAGGGTAGGTCCATCGAGGCGCTGCCACCACCGAGCTCGAAGGTCTTGAGCGATGGACAAATATCTTGCGAGTCAAGCTTTGAAAGGTCTGGGAAGAATCGCGTGGCCAGTCCAGAGATGTCGATGGGTGCCGACGGAGCAGCCTTGAGTTCCTCGTCGTCTGGTTTCTCGTCCTCTCCTGCAACCATGCTGTCTCGTCGCGATTCATCGTCGTCTTGAGCGTCGTCGCTGCTGTCAAAGACAATTCGCCCAGTGTTGTCGATGGAGAGGTGGTTCAGCAACAAGCCCTTTGCGCCTCCTTCGTCGAAATCGGCCGAGGCCTTTTTGAACAGCGGGTCGACAGAGAATTCGAGTTCCATCTTCTTGAGCTGCAATTGGGCGAAGGATGTTGCAAGGGTTGCTTCTGAGCGGTGCGTCTTCTTCTTTGTCTTTTTCTTGGAGCCGTCTTCGCCGTCTTCATCTTCACCGTCTTCATTCTCTTGATTGTCATCGTCTCCACGCTTTTTNNTCTTGTTGCCGCTGTCGGCCAGACCGCTCAACAGCTTTCCAGTCTCGGTTGCGACACTGTCGACTCTGCTAGTGTAGATTTTGACACAGCCATCGAGGGTGCAACTGGCCTTTTGGAAGTTGACGCCATCGCCCTCTCTCAGCAGAGACATGTCGTGGAAATAGTCGATCAGAGCAAAGTTCCAGGAGTTTGTGGCATTGATCTTGTTGTCGGTGGCCATCTTCATCCATTCTTCAAAGTTGGCCAGAATAGGAACACGCTTCATAGGCGTGACGGCGCTTCCTCCGACATGGAAGGCTTCGTCTTGACTTCCGTTGCCGCTAGGGGTTTGAGGACCTTCTGCGAGTTCGGCGCCGAGGGACTTTCGTTTGCGAGCAGGTGATGCGGCAGCCTTGAGCGAGTTCATGTGCATTTCGTGGAAGGCCTGGCGGGATTGCAGGCGCTTCGCCTTTTCTTCGCGATCGTCGTTGAGCGGTATCTTGATGCCGGCGGGTTTGTGAGGAGTCGCGGCGACGGGAGCACTGGCGGCGGGGCCGCTCGCACGCACTCGGGGCATGTTGGAAGAGTCGGGGTCGCCGGAGGGTGTGGCGTGTGGAGCGCGGAATAAAATGTCGACGAGTGTTGACTCTGTCTAGTCCATGTCGCGATGTGCGTGTGGTGCAAACAAACACAAACAAGCAGTTTGCAAACGCGGGGAACAGTGTGGCGCTTCAGCCTTATCAGCACACAGCCACATAGATTAGCAGCCCGTCGTCATTGCCAGCCGCGCAGGACGGAGCCGCCAACAAGTTGGAATCGCTTGCTCTACCGCTTTTGACTCTTCCTCGACCCAATATCCTGTATCTGAGTGCCGCCTCGTCTCTGCCACTAATCATGCTACCCTGACCATCAACCTCCGACACGCCATCTTTCCAACTCGCGACGCCCGACTCCTGCTATGCGCCTCGCTCGCAATGACCTCGCTCCACCATCTCTACCCAAAGCACCGGTCCAAGGCTTCGTCCCGCCTGCATAGACGCCGATACTCGCCTCAATCCTTTGTCTACACTGTGTTCTCTTTTCTCTCCTTGGACTCGTCGGTCATCTCTACCGCTCTGATGCCGACACACAACTGTCTCGGCAATCATACACTACTCTGAGCCGTCGACATGTTGGCGCATTCGCATCTAGCGATGAAGAGGTTCGCAGATAGCAATACAACGCAATCATAACCACAGCTGACCGCCCTCGCAGTGCCGACTCGTTCACCAGGCTGCCGACCAGTGCCACTACATCACGAAACACTGTCCCGCCGAAGACCCGGGCTTCTACTCGTACCTCTCCCTCTTCTACTGCACCATGCCTCACGCCAAACCCGTCGCCTTCCTCATTCTGGTTTCCTGGCTCGGTCTCCTCTTCAGTACTATTGGAATCGCCGCTAGCGACTTCTTCTGCATCAACCTAAGCACAATTGCGACAATCCTGGGAATGAGCGAGAGCATGGCTGGTGTTACGTTTCTGGCCTTTGGAAACGGCAGCCCCGATGTCTTTTCCACCTTCGCCGCCTTCAGTACGAACAGCAGCAGTCTAGCCATTGGAGAATTGTTCGGCGCCGCTGGCTTCATCACTGCCGTCGTCGCTGGCTCCATGGCTCTGGTTAGACCGTTTAGAGTGGCCAGGAAAGCCTTTGTTCGCGATGTCGGCTTCTTCACCGTCGCCGCGGCTTTCAGTCTGTCTTTCCTGTGGGACGGAAGGCTACATTTGTGGGAGTGCATCACCATGGTCCTCTTTTACGTCTTCTACGTTGCCTTTGTTGTTGTCTGGCACTGGTGGATGGGCGTTAGAAAACGCCGTCGCGAGAGGGACGCTGCTGTACGAGGTCATTTTGTCGTTCCTGGGAGTGAGGAAATCGATGCTGAAGAGAACTATCGCGACGCAGACGATGAGGAATCTACTACTCGCCCTTCCTTCTCGCGTGGCCCCTCGGTCGATGACTTTTCTATACTCGAGAGGGGTGGAACGCCTACCATCGTTGAGCCTTACGGAGACGATGATGATGATGAGGCTAGGGATCGATGGCTCGGCGAGCTCAAGAGCAACATGCGCTTGACAAGACCTGGTCCTGGCTCGAGACGCAACACACTAACCCCTATCCGACCCAGTCTCGTGGGCGCTTTGGAGTTTCAAGCTGTTCTCAAATCCTTGCAGAAAGCCAGGTCTCACCAAACCATTCCCATGCATACCCGGCGCTACTCGGACGACCCGACCTTCACCACTGCTCAGCAGCAGGGTGAATTGTCTGGAGAGGCTGACCCAGCGTCGCGGCCTCCTTTTCATCCGACGACAGAAGGCACCTCTCCAGCCCTTGAACGACCATCCCTTGATGTATTCAAGAATACATCTGGACGCACACGTGCCGTCTCAGCGAATGATGCTGCACACCTGCGTATCGATCCTCGCTTTGTTCAAAAACACACTCCCAGCATGATGGACATTGTCGAAGATGAAGGCAACAATCTCCAACCGCCTTCTATCCGACCAGCATCGTTCCGCAGTATGCCATCTGGTGCATCCGACCGACCGCAAACCCCCGAAGTTACAGTCTCTGACTTTGATGGTCAGCTCGCGAATCCATGGGAAGCGCCTGACTTTGCCGAAAATACCACATCAGAGCATTCTCGCGCGCCTTCGACAAGTTCAATCAGTGTGCCCGCTATTGATGTTTCCGAGGAGGCTGAGATATCACCACGCAAACGGTCCCGTCATAGCAGTCCCAGCCATTCGCCTCGTACTTTTGGCAAGGATCTATACAACCTCAAGATTCCCGCTAGCAACCAGGTCTCGCCAAATTGTTCTGCGCCATCATCACCCTTTCCAACATACCATGAGCCAACTTCCGCGAGCAGCAGCCGGGCGCCTAGCCTGTATCTCCCTCCTGCAAGCGTTTCTGTTGCCTCGTATCCTTTGACACATATTGATAGTGAGCAAGACGAGAAGCCGCTACGCTGGTGGCCCTACAAGATTCTCCCGCCTCCTCTCGTGCTCTTGTACAGACTCTTTCCTACGATTGAACATTGGCGAGACAAGAACTGGTGGGAGAGAATCTTGGCCATCATTGCAGCTCCGAGCATGATTCTATTGATCGTGACTCTGCCTGTGGTAGAATCAGATCGGGAAGAGGCAGAGGAGGAGATTGACATAATCAATCCTTTAGGGTCGAGGCCTCCGAGCATCCCACCTCTGGACGCCGAGAGTCAGCATTCGCATCTTACTGACTATGCTCACCCCTCTGCTGGTGCAGGAGCAGGAAGTGCTGCAGTGGCCACCCATATCGAACGAGATTACCTGTTGGTTCCTGGCGAACGCGAGCCTCTTCTGTCAGCCGCTGCAAGTACCGCTCTGCCGTCTCCAAACCTCCCGACCACCAAGCTACAACCCCAGTACTGGAACCGATGGCTTACTATCGTTCAGTTGTTCTTAGCTCCTTTGTTGATTGTTGTGGTGATCTACACTCAATATGTCGACGATACTGATAGTATACGACCCCTAATTCGACCGATGCTGATATCTTTGCTTGTGTCGGTCGTTCTTCTTATCCCTCTACTTCTCACCACGACACCAACTCATAGACCGAAGCCGTACAACACTATCCTCTCCATGGCTGGCTTTGTGGTCTCGATAGCCTGGATCTCAACGATTGCGGCGCAGGTAGTCGCTGTTCTGAAAGCGCTTGCTATCATCATGAACATGTCGCATGCAATCATGGGCCTCACCATCTTTGCTGTTGGCAATTCATTGGGAGACCTTGTCGCAGACATCACCGTAGCAAGACTAGGATATCCAATCATGGCTCTTAGTGCGTGCCTGGGCGGTCCCATGCTTAATATCCTCTTGGGCATTGGTCTTTCTGGTTCTTGGATCTTGATCCGTGGAGCGGAACACAGGCACGCAAAGCACCCAGGGAAACCAATCCACTACCGCACTTACGAGATCGAAGTCGGGCAGACCTTGATCGTCAGTGGTGTTACGTTGCTCGTTACCCTGATTGGGCTTCTTATCGCTGTGCCCATGAATAAATGGATCTTGAGCAGAAAGATTGGATGGACACTCATTGGTGTGTGGTGTGTCAGTACCACTGTCAATGTCGTTCTAGAAGTCTTGGGAATTGGCGAATCAGGGGGCGAGGAAAAGAAGTCGATGAGCCTGAGTTACTGACCTGGGTAAGCATAACAGAACATCATTTCCCAAGCATCCTCATTCTATTCCGCACGACATGTTTGACGAGTCCTGTCGTGTTTTGACTATCAATGTTTTCCCTTCACTTCTCTGTTTATCCATTTTTCGGAGCAAGTGGCGTTCGGAAGACTGGCCTCGATCACTGTACATAGATTGAATGATACCCCCACGACATTTATTCTCATGCCGCATACATATTTCCAGGCACATGACGTATTGAAGATATGCAGACCGGTTTTTCTGTGGTTGTTACTGGTCTAAGGCCTGCTGGGGTCGAAAAGCAAGTCGCCGCTTGTGGGTGGTACATGCCTGTTGGTATCGACTTGCCCGTGTAACAGCGGCGGTTAGGATATCAATCAATGCGAAGAGGTCGACCGGAGTGCGCTCCCATTGAGACTGACTGCCCGATGTTTGACTCATCAATGATGCTATCCAGGAATAGACAACCAAGTGGGAGCGATGGCTGTGGGAGGCGCCGTTGTTGGCGGCAGGGGTTTGATGCCCAACATCGCATTGGGCAGCAAGATGCGGACACGGCGGAGGAACAGCACTTTGGACCCGGGTTCTCGCCTTGCGACGAACACGATACACGCTTTGCCAGATGCCCAAGAGCATTGTGGGCGGTTGGATCGGGCTCTGAAGTTAGAAACAGAAAGAAGTTTATAGCATTGCTTTCGCCCTGATGTTCAAGTTTTGTCAATGCACCTTCGAGTGTGTGACAAGAGGCTACTACAGATTAGCATTGGAAAGACGGCTTTATTCTTACTGCTTCCCTTCTAAAATCTTCTTGAAACCACCTAATGTTTCCTCACAGATTTACTCACAGCAAAGTCCGCAGACCACGTATTCGAAGGAGACCTTGATTGACCATAGATCACTTGCTATTAAGGGGAAAGAACACATTGACAAGGTATAGCAGGGTTGGTGGGGTAACGGGTACGTCTCGAAGCAAAAACGTCCAAGTCACACGCTTCCACCTCCTTGTACAAGGGGTAGTGGTGGTCGAACAAGAAGAAAGTGAGTGCTGTATTTTTTCTTTTCGACTCCAGTTCAATCTCATGCATGTTTGCAGCATGGCTGATTTTACCGGGGCTTGAGCAGCTATCTTGACCTTTGGACCCGATTTCTTCCTCTGGTTAAATAGAGTACCTAGGGCGGCGCCCCAAGGCTTCGGCGAAGCGATCGCCCTTTCCATTCGGCGCGCTCTTTTGCAAAGGCTCGAATCAAGCTGCAAGACGATTTCTAGACGTCGGATTCGACGTGGACGACGCTCAGTGGACGGAGTGCCTGGCTGGACCGAAAAGACGTTTCTTTGCAATTCATCCCACCTTGCGTGCCACTCGGATGCACTGTGACGCCCTCACCGCCAACACTTCTCAGAACTATCTGTTCACGAACCAAAGATCTTGATCAAGTGCTATCCTGATACATTCCACGGATTGCGAGCGACAGGGTCCGCGACGAACACAAGACGGCAAAGCAGCAACGACGGGGAGTGCAAACAGAGGGGCATACAGCTCGAAGCGTCGCTGCCCAATCGCCCCTGGCTCGTCGCTGGTCCGGCGCTGATTGTTTAGCGACTTTGCGACGCTGCTCCATCAACAAAGCCACCCCGGTCTTTGGACATTTAAACTTTGGCCAAGTAAACACCCCATCATATCCTGGACGAAAGACAGGCGCGCCTTTACAAATACATTTCTCGCCGCGTCGTGGTACATGTCGTGAGTGCTTGTGATTTGCTTTTCCTTGATGGCAGTTGGGCTAACCGCGCCTTGCAGGAGAGCCAGCTTCCCGGCCTACTCGTCGACGGGCTCTCAGCCTCACCCTCACTACGACGACATCGACGACACGAGCTACGAGCAGTCTGATTACGATCGCCACGACCACACGAGCTCGCCCTACAGCACTTCGACCAGCTCGGAGAGCGACATCAGTCCCAACGACTCGGCTTCCATACCGGCTGCCAGACCTTCCAGTCACGCTCGATACCAATCGNNCATCCTCACCCTCAACCGCCATATCCCCCGTCGCACAGCCAGTCCCGTGAAGAGAGACCTCTACGCAAGTCGCGACACCGCCGTCCGCCAGCTGAACACTACTCCCGCCCCGAACCAAGCCGACACGCCGCATACCCCGAANCACGTTTCGACTCCGAGCGACCCCTCGGAGCTGTCGGCCAGCGTGGCATATCCCCACGACCGCCCGGCCTACTCGGCCCGTGCTAGTTATCACGAAGCACAAGGACAGTATGAGGACCTGTATCCCGACCACCATTGGCCCCGACAGCCCACGCATTACCCAACACCACCGACCATGACGTCGAGCACCTCCTCAACCTCGCACTACGCAAACCCTGCCGCCCTTGCTCACTACGACCATTACGCCTATGCTGGCCAACCTAATCCATACGCAAGTCAAGCTAGTCCTGGCAATCCTTTCATGGCCACGCCTCCTCCTCAAGCCCCTTCTCCACAGCCAGGCTACACTTACGACCCCTATACCGGCGCATATCACGCGCAGAGACCTGACATGTTGACGAGAAGCTCCATGGCCTATATGCCTGCCGATATGCAGTATGCTGGTTACCCGACAAGACCCTACTCTGTCCCTCAGAACATGATGCAAGCCATGATGCCTCCTGGATATCCTCATTTCTACCAACCCCATTCGTCATCCTCTGTTCCAGATGAGAAGACCGCAAAGGCCGAGAAGAAAGAAGAGCCTCCATCAGCCCCCCTGCCCCTCCTGCTCCGCCTCCGCCAACCGCCGAGGAGATTAGAAAGCAGATGGAAGAGGAAGCCGCGCTTCAAGCTGAGAATCTCGTCAAAGCTCTCAAAGCTCTCCAGGCCGAGGAGAAGGCTACAGCAGCTGCCGCCGCCGAAAAGGATGCCAAAGTGCAAGCCGAGTCTGACAAGATCGCCCTGTTACTAGCGGACTTCGAGAAACAGCGTCTTGCGAGAGAAGAGGCTGCTGCTGCCAAAGCTGCTGCCGAAAAGGCCGAGGCTGAAGCTAAAGCAGCTCGCGAGAAAGAGCTTGCTGATGCTGCTACAGCTGCTCGCGAAAATGCCATCAAGGAAGCAGCCGCTGCAGCTGCTGTTGCCAAGGCCGAGAATGAAAAGNGTAATTGCAGAAGCCAAAGCAGAGCATGAGAAAAAGATGGCAGAGGCGAAAGCTGCCGCCGACGCTGCCGAAGCAGCAAAGAAGGCAGCAGAGGAAGAGTTGAAGAAGAATGCTCCCGGACCGGATGCAGACAAAGCGCCTCTAAAATTCACCGACGCCGTCGAAAGGAGCTTTACCTTGCCGTGGCATCTGGTCAAGACCTGGAAGGGCATGGAGACTCTGATCAGACAAGCTTTCGTCAACATCGAGCGTGTCGGGCCGCACGTCGCTAACGGCCATTACCACTTGTTAGGTCCTAATGGCGAGATCATCCTACCACAAGTCTGGGACATTGTCGTACAACCTGGGTGGGACATTAAGATGCAGCTCTGGCCACTACCACCGGATCCCATGGATGACAAAGTCATCAGCGGCATCGGCGGATTCCCACTCGATATCCAACCAGTCCCGGAGCGACATTCAAGGCCTGGAAAGACACCACGCAATCAGGTCAGTGGCAATAAGAACGCGGGCAAGCGTGCGTCCGTAGGACCTGCGCCGCTACCGCCACCACCTCCCTTTGCACCAGTTCAACACGCTTTCCCTCCTTCACCTCCCATACACACTGTCTATGCCGGTCACGATGACCTCGATGATCCTATCATCGAGGTTATTGAAGACTCTGGCAGGAGACGAGGTGAGGGTGGCAACAAGCCGAAGAACAGTGCTAATGCAGGCAAGAAGAAACAGGTACCGGCATTCACCAGATGGATGCTCGGAGGTGGCACACGGCCGCGCCCAAAAGGGGCTGAAAAACCTGCTGCTGGTGTCAAAGTCCGTCATGTTGTTGTCTAAGGACGATGCGACAAGATTCCATGATACTAGCACCAAGGACTCGAGGGCTTTTGTCTCCCATGCGTGTGTGGGAGTTTTTCCTCGTCTCCAAATCTCCATGATTGTTTTGTCTTTCTATCTGGCCATGCATCTTGCGATGCTTTGCACTGTTGTTCTTGGTGTTTTCCTTCATGATAGCGTCTTGTTTGTCCGTTTCTTTCTATGACTTTTGCTTCTGTTACTTACGAAATGATGGGTTTATGGTGTGATGGTTTGATGACTTTGAATATAAGAGGGAAAGGGGTTTTTTCTTTCTTTTTACTAGAAGAAACATTTCTAGATACCCTTTTGCATCTATCAACGGAACTGGAAAAGGAAATCTGTAGTTTTTTTTTTAAACTTTTAGTATAGAAAAAAAAATAAGGTTATAGTATAATTATAGTATCAAACCGTAATAAAATGCTTAAGAAAAAGTAAAGTAGCTTAAATTAAAGTTAAAAAGAACTATCTATATACTATAGTACCTATTAGACTAAAATTAAAAGAAATAATTAGTAACTTATTAGAAAACTTATAACTTATATTTTAAGTAAATTTAACATAAGTTAGTAAAGTTAATATAGAGAGCATTATACTTAATATAACACGTAACGTATGCATTAACTATCCGTATGTATAGACTATTTAAGACACCTAGGTTAGCTATAGCCTTAATGTTTCCCTTTAAGGTAGTTATGCGCTTATGTACGTACCACTTGGCATTTCCCATCGAGAATCTCAAGTAGCTGTTGGCAAAGTGGTTGGCGAAATCCTGCTCGTTTAAACTCGCAGTTGACGCATTTCCGGCCGATCTGACTCACAGTTGGTAGCGTCTAACGAGCGTCGCCTCACCCTCGTCATTCTGGTGACGCACCGCAGGCGCTGCAGTTACTTTCTGCCTCTTGATAGTCGGGTATTTAGTTCCTCCATCACACCGATCGACGGACCTCCACCCACTAAACGTACACCACACTCCCCGCTTATAGCACGCGCCAGTAAGCTTCGAAATTGAATCGCAATCATGGCCGACGGACAAGGACTTGACGACATCGATGCTGGTAAGTAAATACATTTCGCAGATGATTTGCACGTTGTTGACAACTTCCTAGCTGACATCGAGTCCAACTACGATGAGTCCACCGACTCCTTCGATGCTATGAACCTTAAGACCGACCTTCTGCGTGGAATTTACGCGTGTGGTTTCGAGCGTCCGTCTGCTTTCCAGCAGCATGCTATCATGCCAGCCATCAAGGGTGAGTACAAGTCGCAATATTATGCCAGACTCATGCTCACGATGTCGGAAGGCAAGGACGTTGTTGCGCAGGCGCGGTCTGGTTCCGGGACGACTGCTGCCGTCTCTATCTCCGTCCTTCAAAAGATCGACTCCGATGTTGAGGCATGCCAGGTCTTAATTCTTGCCCCAACCCGTGAGCGTGCACAGCAGATTCGACAGGTCATTGCTACTATCGGTGGCTTTACAAATATTGAATGCTACGCCTGCATTGGTGGTACTCGCATAGGGGATGATACAAAGGCTCTTCGGGATGGGCGACAGTCAGTAGTCGTTGGTACCCCTGGCCGTGTCCATGACATGATTCACCGCCGGGCTCTCTGTACCGACAACATAAAGATGATCGTGCTCGACGAGGCCGATACCATATTATCCCGCGGTTTTGCTGAGCAAGTACACGACATCCTCGGGATACTTTGTCAGAGCACGACCACCCAGGTCGTTCTCTTCTCCGCTACCATGTCTCAGGATGTGCTACAGGTCACCACTGAGTTCATGCGTAATCCAGTCCGCATCACAATTGAGAAGTACGAGACTTGCCTTAAAGGTATCAAACAGTTCTACGTTACCGTCGAAAACGAACAAGAAGACTGGAAGGTCGACAGCCTCTCCGATCTTCACAGGACCATCACCAACAGACAGGCGGTGATTTTCTGCAACACTCGTGGGAAGGTCGAATGGCTTACCGATAAGCTTACTGCCCGCGGCTTTGCTGTCTCGGCTATACACCGTGACATGGACGCGCCCCAGCGTGATGCTAGTATGAGGCAATTCTTTTCTGGCTCTCACGTCCTGATCGCTACCAACATGCTCGCCAATACGATCGACGTCCAGCAGGTCCCTCTTGTTATCAACTATGATCTCCCATCCAACCCAGAGGACTACATTCGCCGTGTCGGACGTGGCGGTGGCGGTCGACTCGGACGTAAGGGTGTCGCCATCAACTTCGTGGCCGCTGACGAACTGCGCACGATGCATGAAATTGAGCAGTTCTACGGCACTCAAATAGAGAAGATGCCGACGAACGCTGCTGGTGACATATTCGCCCGAGTTTCCTTGCACGCGGAACTGAAATCGAGAGAGAGAACGCTTTGAAGGCGCAGCACGTGCGAGAAATGTTGGAAGCATTACCCAATGAACTCGTTTTGGAGGTCCTAAGCGAATCGAAAGTGCAAGACCTCCTTGCTATACACCAGGGACCGGCACAAGTGGAGACTCTATTTAGCTCCGACCAAATTGCTGTTACTAAGGTTGAGCAACCCGTGACAGGTCACATGGACGCGGATAAGTACACTGATGATCATTTCAACCAAAAAGTCAAGCAAGCTTTCGAATCGCTTGTCCACAAACATCTTGACCGCCTTGTCGATGACCAATTGCCCTTGGCCATAGAGCTTTTCTTCAGGAGTGTTGTCGAAGACCTTCGCGACCAGTTCTATGAAGACTGCAAAGCGGACGAAGCCAGCCTTCGCGAAACAGTTGACGAGGGTTGCACCATGCTCCACGATGAGACCGAGAAGTGTACAACAGAGATCAACGATCTGATACAGGATCGGCTCGACGAACTTGAGCATCACAGCAACGAATTCAGAATAATTACTGGCGAGCAACTCGCCTGTCTCGGCTACTGGTCCGATCAGTTTGCGAATTCAACTGGAGATAAGGAGCGTGCTACGAGTATCACGAAAAGGTGCATGTCCGTATAGTTGGCACGTCGAACAGACTTAGTCATCAGTTCTACGCCTTAGGTCCATAGTCGTCGTCAACAGGATTCTCGAGAAGGAAAGCCTTGATCCGGGACGCACCATACCAAATCCTGTTTCACAGCGATAATCCAGCTCTTGCATGGGTACCCCGCCTCATCGCCCCTATAGCGCGTTCGGTGCGCGGTGCTCGTACGAGATCAAGCAAGACTGGTCTGTCGCTCATCAATACAGCCCTATTGGCGTATGGTATGCGTACGAGCCCAGATATCGTACCTGTCCCTTTCACTCCAGGCAGGTTGGCATTCAACATCGTCTTCTGCTAGACCCTGTTTCGTAACAGTATAACCTCCGATTCGTCTGGTATCCGTTAGGCTTCAATCGTTCTTATCCGGTAACGTACTAATATAGCCTCCGACCTGTGCTGTGCTCATCGTGGAGGCCATCCTTCGATGCTCTTTCCACGCTTCAAGCCTAGAATTTTTCGAGACAAGGCTGCTTTACTCGTCTCAAGACTGGGTGCGTGGCAGTCCCACAGTCGCTTAACTTCTGCTTGAATAGGAGAAAGGTAACAACGTATCTATATACAAAACAAGGATGAAAATGACAAAGCTACAAAGACTCGTACTGGTTGACGTCCATGTATTTGGTCCAGACTTTCGCGGGTTTCTTGACGAGAAGAACAGTGCGTGGCCATGGCTTACAGTCTTCCGCAAACTCTTGCAGGACCACTGTCCTAACTTGCACAGCTTGGCGATGGAGCGTGTGTACTTCCATGCCGTGACCAAGGCCAACCCATCTGTCATCGTCAGAGAGCGCCGCGAGTGGGAGGGTGTGACTGGTGTGCATGCAGGTCTCGGCGCCTCGATCTCCGGAATGACGAGTCTTGATGACGAACAGAGGGAGAGATGGCTCGCTGGTGAGATTGATGCAGACGGAAACGACAGAGTTCAAGAATAGTTGAGCAGTGTTCCAAAAGTCAGAGGGCAAAAAGACAAAGACGTGGAAGCAAAGGACGGAAACAGAAGAACCGGGAACATGGATGGGTGTATTGAAGGGACAACGAATGGAACGAGAATTTGATAAGAGGGATCAAGTAGTCATAGCCAGCCGCAGGAACATCAACAAGAACCACATGTCCCCGTGAACGCAACACCGTCACTCAACCCCTGAGCACACCCATGTGCCCCATTCTCCCAACCCTCACCGCACACACCCATCCCTCCTCCCCCACTCCTCAGCAAACCTCTTCGCAATCCTCACCACACAAGCAAAACTCGCCCTCTCATCAAACCCCACCCCAGCAACAAACGGAGGCGCACAAAGGCACAAACTCTGGATCTTGCTTTACAATCCACTCATTCGTGATGATCAGAGCCAAGCGACAAGAGCAAGATAATCCTGCAAAGTCTTCTGCTTGCATGTAGCTGAGGATTTTGTGGATGAGGGGGAGTGGGAGGGTAGATAGGAAGGTTGGGGTTGGGGATAGGGGGCCAGAGAGGATGGTGGAGCGGTGAATGCAGGGGGTCTGGGTGGAGGTTTGTGGTCGACACGATAGCCTGGTTTTGGGTGTGTGGTGAGGGGAAGAGTTGGTTGATTGGGTTTCGTGGTGGGTAGTGGTGGAGAGAAGGTTGTTGTGAAGCCGGATCGGAGTTTCGTTGCAATGAGAGTGTAGAAGGATCTTGGTAGATCCAGCTGATATGATGAATTTTCCGGAAGAATGGGTATAAGAAGGAACGAACGGATGCAGAAACAAGCTAAAGCTTTTGATTCTTGATCATCATTTACTAATCTGTCCTGCCTAACTCAATTTACCTGCTAAATCACTCGCTGGAAGGATGCAAGGCCCTCAGCCACAGTGATATACAAGCATGCCTAGAAGGAAGGAAGGAGATGAAGTCGTGATTGACAGTCACGAGTCAGGTGCAGGAAGCTTGGCACGAGGCTCAGCGCCTCGGAAGGATTCAACACTGCCTCATACAAATGAAGTGTTGGCCTGAGGACATGAATAGTATCGTGATGAAAGGCAGATTGAGGACCGCATATAAGATTGGGCCTTCCTGCCTTAGGTAGGTGACATTTTAACAAGTATTGCGTTTATCTCTCGAATCATCATCCTTACACTCTTCACCTCCATTACCTCCACAAGTGATCGCGCTTGAATTTACACATCACACCAGATCATCACAAACAATCATGGGTTCCAGACTCATCGAATCCCTCCAACACGCAGCGGGAAGAAACCAAGAACTCCTCGCCATCCTCTCCCAAACCGACAATGCACCCACAGCCTTTAAGCAAAACACAATCTACATCAGCGATCTCGGCACCCGCATCGCAGACACGGACAAGGAAATAAAACGCCTGCACCGTATCACCGAGGACGAACGCAAAGACCACATCAAGTACGAGGAAAGCACTTTTACCCGCTACATGTACAAGCTGCGCGGCAAAAGGGCNGAAGCGGCATTTGCAGCCAAAGCCGGCAAGGAAGAAAAGGAGTTTGTGGAAGCATGGCAGAAGGAAAGAGAGACGCAAGAGTCGCATGTGGAATTGACTGCTGCATTGAAAGCCGCCGAGAACGAACAACATCGTCTGCAAGCCGAAACAGCCAGACACGATCAAGCGCAGTCCGAACTGGATAGATTATACTCCTCCATCTTTGACGGACCTACCCCAGAAGTCCCTGGCGAAGATCAACTCGAGTCAAGTCTCCAGCACAACAAACAATGGGCAGACAACTGCACCCAATACCAAAACCTGCAAAGACGAGCCGCAGAAGCGCTAAACGCCACACTGCAATCCCTGCAGTGCGCAAACAGAGACATGGCAGAAGCGATAGACATGTCTCGCTGGGACATGTTTGGCGGCGGCACCTTCGTAGACATGATGGAAAGAGACGCGCTTTCCAAAGCTCAAGTCGGTGTCTCTGAAGCTTTGAGGCACATGGACGAGGCCCGCCGCTGTCAACCGCACATCCCGCCTCTACACAACATCAACATTGACAATGGGCATTTGATCAGCGATGTGCTTTTCGACAACATTTTCAGCGATATGGCGCAACACGATCGTATCAAGAATTCGGCGGCGCAACTGCAGATGGCGATGAAGCAGTGTGCAGAGTTGCTGGAGAAGCAGAAGCGTACTTTTGGTGATGCTGCTGCGCAGAGTGCGAGGGCGAATGAGGCGACTAATGCTGCTCGTCTGGAGTTGCAGCGGATTAGAGCAGAGGCGTTTGAGAGGTTTGCTGGTCAGGGTGCGCCGCCGGCGTTTCAGGCTTCTGTACAATATGTGCCTCCACCGGCGTATTGAGATGGGTATTTGCATGTACGATGGGCTAAGAGAATGTAACTAATACATTGCCATGTGTCTTCTATGCTGTCACAAGAGAATCCAATTCAATGAGATCATGATATGTGTTATTCGTGCAACCCTTCTTGGAGCGCAATCGTGGGTATCTCAACTGCTCGCCTCTATCTCTCTCCTTGAACATGATGACACCCCTGACTCCAAGCATTTGATACATAAGAAAGCCAAAGCAAGAACGCCAGCCTCAAACCAACCCAAATGCATAACGCGAACGAAAAGCCAAGACGAGAACAGAAAGCCTAGAAGGCAATCTTTCTCTTTCTGCCAGTGTACTTTGAGTTCGCCTTGACGACCTTGCCCTGTTTCTCCATCTGGTCCTTCTTTCTTATGATCCAGCCTTTGCTTCCTTTGACTCTTGTCATGTCCTTGCGCGAGCGCAAATCCTTCTTGCGACGTGCATCCTGAATATCCACATCAGTCATGCCATTGACAACGCCCGTGATATCTCTGCTCGCCGCCTCTTGCTCTCTGCCCAGATCGCCTCCTCCAACCGTAAGAACAAGATACAGCTTTTCGCTCTTGGTGCCTGGATCGTCCTCGAGAATACCAGCGCCGAAACCAGCTTTCACAGCAGCCGCACTGATCATATTCCTCTGTTGCTTGTTCTTGGGATAGAACTGACAGACTGCGCGACCACCACGCCTTAAACTCGCATATAAGCCATCAAAAAACCGCTTCAGTCTTCCTTCAGGCGTAACATCACTGCTCTCCGCATTACACAACCATTGAATCGCGGATATCGAGATCGCGGCGTCGAAACTGCCTGGACGAAAGGGAACACCCTGTCCGATATCCGCTAGCATCAAATCGCCGTCTACATCTCTGTCGAGCGCTTGAGCGAGCATGGAGGCGGAAATGTCCATGCCGATCCAGGTGTGTGGGCCGCCGTCTTCGGGCGAGACTTCTGAGAGCAGTTCGCCGGAAAGTCCGCTTCCGCATCCGAGGTCGAGGATCAGAGAGGGACTGCGTAGATCGAGGAGTTCGAGGGCGCGGTGGGTCATGGAGGCTTGAATGTTCTTGATGCGCGAGTTTGTGGTGTATTTGCGGCTCTCGACGTCGTTGTAGAAGAGATCCGGCGGCAAGAGGTCTTCGGGGCGCGACATGTTGAGCGGTGTGGATGTGTTGTCTGGTAGTTTTTAGATTTCGGCGGCTCTTGGGCACGTGTCTTGTTGTAGAGTGTCGGGGTTTTGAGGAAGGTCGCTTGGGTCAAATAATTTTCGAGACGCTCGCTGAGAAAGATGCGGAGCTGTGTTTTATTCTGCACAAAGTTGTGAATCTAGCACAATCTTTGTGGGGAAGTCGCCAGGGTCCAGCCGTCTTTCCGGTTCAACGACAGGTGCTGTTCCGTCTTCACTTCAATCTTACCAATCACAGCTATTACAGGATTTGAGTGAGGTATGAGCCAACCAAGTATACTTCAGGCGCGCCTCTGGCAAACATCACGATCTGGGACTTGCTTCCACGACGCGACCTTTCATAATGCTTCTTACCCAGCAGGGCATTCGAGAGAAGAATCGAAGAACAGTAGACTGTGACTGATCATGCTAAGTTGTGATGAACAAGCTCGTGAACATTGAGGAGATCGTAAAGGTTCTTACCAAGTGCAAAAAGATTTGATCATCGCGAGAGTCGATCCAATAGCCTTATTGCAACCTTTTGCAAATCAGAATCATCCACGGCATAGACAAGACGCATTCCAACACCACAGCATCCACAGTCCATTACCACAATCACCACTATCATCAAAAAAAAAAAAAAAGATCAAGATCAAGAATCAGGGACAAAGCTTGACAAGTGCAAAAATACTCGCCCCTCGTGAGGGCGAGGAAACTTTCCTTCATCAATACAATGGCAGAGTTGTCCTGGGACTTCGACTGACTATCTCGGGCAGTTTGCTTCTTCAAGAACCGCCAAACGTTGATCAGACGTATAGGTAGTCAGGTCTCTCATGGTGAACCCACTCGGCCATCAGACCGCAGTTGATGCAGTCCGTCTTGGTGGAGTGAGGGCAACTTGGCTGGCCTATATAATCAGCACCATGGTCTTTATCGTTTTGTCGTTCGTTTTGGATCTCTTCTGGCCAGTCGGCTCTTCGAAGAGTGATTCTGCTCTTGACACGGTATTCGCTAGCTGACGGAGAGCCCACTATTCTCTCATCCATGATACATGCTGTCTTGGACACTTTGTGCTGCCTCATGATCAAGTTTCCCCTATAGACATTGGTCACGTCCAACATCGAGGCATTTTCACGTCTTTGGCTATCTTCCATTCATGTCTAGATTCTTCCATAAAGTCTCCGATCGGTTTCTTCGTTGCCTCGCGACACCGACATCCACCAACACTGTTCTCTCTCTCCTTCTCAGAGACACACTATAACGTTGGATAAAGCATTCTCGTACCTGCCATCTCCATCATCTTGCCTAGAAAACCACCATCAACAAGATGCGGCTTTGACTCTCGCTCACCACACTCGCGACCATGGCAAGTCAATTAGAATAGCAGAATCCGTGCATCACCACCAAAACAATCTCTACTCACGATCATCACACGTATGTGTATATCACTCCCCTTTCATATTTCCGCCAGCAAACATACCGACTCCCTCGAGGACATCATCAGCATCCAAACCACCATGACTGGTACCTGGCTTGGACACCAGATCTTCAGAAATGCCCATCATCGAGTCATCAATTCTCAAGTTCGTGGCGCCCAACTTCCTCAAATTGCACGCAGATATCCTTTTTACCCCTGGTTTTTGAGGGAATCACGAGATGTTAGGGAGTTCGACAAACATGCCTTCTTGCTTCAATCTTCTATCGCACCTCTTTTTTTTTTTGTTCTCTCTTGTCAGAGAAGTTCGATTACATGAGGATATGATCATTCACCACTACGACTCGGAACTTGGATGCATACACATCAACCCCATAAGAATCTGGATGGGAGACCGAAGAAACAACATCGAGTCCATCTCCCCCATGGGAAAGCCACCTCCTTTTCTTTGATCTCTATGCCTTGATGTCTTCGGACCTGCTGCAGAAATACATACACTCGATCTACTTGAGCCAACAATACTGTCCACCAGAAAATCCCGAATGTTGCTCACCATCCCCCCCCCAAGACCCGCTCTAGACTTTGGGGGGGGAAATTGAATTCTCGGTAATGCTGGTATAAACCCCTCAACACTCTATCCTGAAAAAACCCCCCTACCTCAGATTTTTCAAATGCACATGACCGCAATACAAGAACATCTGCACTTTCTCCAGCCTACTACTGTAAATATCTATGCCTTTTTTTTTTACCGCTGGAAAACAAGAAAGAAAATGTCTGACTATTGCAACTCTTGTCTTTGTGATATTCTTTGTTGCCATCAATGTTTGTCAAATTTCTCATCTGTTCGATCAAGAATGGCAGGGATCATGGTGGTTGTAAAGAGCTGCCTTGAATTGTATTCTCTTGTCGAGACATGTTTCAATGTTTCACATGATCTGGACGAGTCACATCTGCGGATACGCAAGAATGAGGTGTGGGCATAAGAGTCTCGGTCGAGAGAGATCGCACCATGATTTGTACATCTGTATACAATGTCTTCCAAATAAAGTGGTTACTTTTTGCACCAACTAATGTGCTCATCTAGGAGCGAGAACGATGATTTCGTCTACAGTGCATAGTGCTCAAGCACTCTTTCTTCCAGTATAGACATGGGCAGTGATCAGCCCCAGTTGAACAAAACCTGCTTCTTGCCCTGCTTGCCCTTCCTGATAGTCCTCTGCTCGGGCGACTCTTCTACAGCAGGCGGACTCTGCACGCCACCGGCACCTCCAGAACCCCATGCGACGGTCGAAGGACCGGCAGCGTTGACTCGTCGCACGCCAGCACCAGTGTAGCCAGGGCTGAAGACTGTGCTGGTAGGCTTTTGTGCTTTGGGCAGCGAAGGGAAGGAGTCTCCGCCACGGCCCGGCGGCTTGCTGTTGCTGGGTGTTGCAGAACGAGAGGGTTGGGGTGTCGGGCGTGCGGATGCGGGTGCTGAGTTGAGCCATGTTGCTTGTGTGGGGTTAACGCGGACAGGAGGGGCGGCTGGGGTTGATGATCGCGAAGAGACTGATAGAGGAGGGAAGGAGAGACCACCAGCACTTGAGGGGTTTCCGCTCGAGTGTGGAGCAACAGCAGTGCCATAAGAACGAGTGTTATTAGAACGCGAACTTTGTGCTGTGCTTGACTTGAGGTTGAGAATGCGCTTGGATCCAATGCCATTGCCCAAGACAGATGCTGCACTGGTGCTGGGGCCAGACTGACCGCCAGCGGCGTGAGGAAGAGAGGGGTAGTCTTCGTTGATGGATCTCCAGTTGTTCCAAGCTTTCAGCAACTGATCCCTCTTGGTAGCAATCTCGAAGATGTCGGCAAGCTCCTTGATCAGCTTGCCAAGCTCAGTTGAAGATGTGTCGAACAAGGAGAAGAAGGCATCAATGAGATGGTCAGCAGTCAGTGCACCTTGACGGTAGAGTGAGACCTTGTTGCGGAACTCGGCCAGCTTGGTCTGGTCCTTGCGTAAGAGATTGGAAGCACGTTCGTTGACGGCGTTGTGACGAAGACGACGAGCCTGTTCTTGTGGTGTCAATCCAGCCATGGAACGGTCGGGTGAGGCAGTGCGAGGGGTAGCTGAGGATGGTTGGAGGCTGAGAGAACCAAGTGATGGGAATGAATCCTGTACAGGACGAGGGGCGGTAATGGTGGCAGGCTCGGGGGCGTTTGCAGGAGCTCTGGCAGCATACGTCTCGGTCGGCTGGGTGAGCTGACCACCGAAGCTGCGAGTCGACACGGACTGAGCACTCTGAATGGCCATCTGGCGCTGATAAGCCATCTCTGCTCTACCCATGGGTTGTGCAGATGAGACAGGCAGTGGATCAGCATTCGGGTCACGTCCACGGCCACCTCCACGGCGCTCTCTGTTGTTAGTGTTGTTGCGCTGAGGGCGGTCTTGCTGGTGAGGAGCACGGTAGTCGAAACCCGAGATGTCGACTCTACGAGCATCACGTCGAGCGTCCTTGGTTAAGCCATTGGGATGAGCCTCGAGCTGGTGAGCCTTCAAGTCCATTTCCGAGTCAAAGACGACGAACTTCTTCTCCAAGCACTCCTGGTCAGGGCAGACGAAATGGTCCTTACGGAAGTGCACCTCGAGGGCGTTGTAGTCGACGTAGTACTGAGGTTGTCTACCACCATCACGGCGGTCGCACAGATGGCATCGTTCGTGGCGATCACGGCAATGTGAGAACAACTCGTCGTCGCCGTAGAAGCGTTGACGACAGAAGCCACACTCGGGGTGGCCCTTGAAACCAGACTGATTGTCGGCACCAGGGATATCGTCTCCATGCTTCTCGTGTCTACGCAGTTCTTGGACGGTGAACAGATCGTGCTCGTGGGTAAAGACTTTCTTGTTGCGAGTGCAGAGATCACACATCTGTTTGTGGTGGACGCTCTTGACGTGACGGTGCAGGTCGGGCCAGCCTAAGCAGGCAGCATCGCATGACGGGTCGGGGCAGTTGTAGCGTAACAGGAGGATGGTGTCTTCGAAGATGTCCTGGCTTTCGTAGTGGATGCCCAGGTTGTCGTCGTTGTGGGCAAACTCCTGGACGTTGTAGTCTTGGAAGCGCTTGTTGGCATCGTCGGTGAAGATGACTTCCTCGGCGCTTGNTCTGAGACTGTTGTTAGTGGTTGTGTGAGGGTCAAGTGTTGCAGATCAACATACTCGACAATGGGCACAGGTCTTTGTCTTGTAGAGGGCGCGCAACCTCAGCGAGCAGATGTGACAGGTGCGGTGGTTGCATGGAGCGACGCTTTGATGGACGACTGGCGAGGCGCAGATGAAGCAGACCTCGGCCTCGACATCGTCTTCGCCGTCCTGCGTTTGCGGTAGCAGAGCGAGAGCCTTTCCCTTTGCTTGGATCTGTTGTTCGGTCGTGGCTTGGTCTTTTCGTGTCGTGGGCCCCTCCTGCCCCTCCTGCCCCTCCTGCCCCTCCTCTGGCGCGTCCACCACGGCCTCTGCTTCTGCCAGCATTTCTATTGCCGCCCTGAGCTTGTTCTCCGTCCTGGCCGTCGCGCGGTGCTCTGTTGCCTCCTCTGCCTCCTCTTTGGCGATTGTTCCTGCCGCGATTGGCTGACTGGTCGTTTTGTGCTGTGGTGGGGGCTGATGTGTCGGCCATGGCGCCTGTGTTCCCAATATGCGTCGTCTGCGAGATTGAGGGTGCCAGAAGCGGGCGAAAGCACAGAAACGACAGCGATAGTCTCGTAACACGGCGGAAAGTATACAGCAGTGGATTGGCGGGTTGAGAATATTGAGCGGCCCTCCAGACGCATGACGGCATTCCGTGTCGAGCTCTGTGATTGGCTGGCCACTTTGGCTCTTTCCCTCTCTGCTGGCCCCCCGTAATCTCTTGACCGACACCAGCAATCATGACCTCCTCACTGCGCAGTTCCTTCCGTCTACCACTTTCGTCCTCGAGCCGCTCCTTCTCTACATCTTTCCGCCGTCTCGCCCAGCAACCAGCTCCTGTCGACCCTCAAGCCGCCAAGAATACAAAGGTTTCGGCCAACTACAGCAGCCCTCAGATCCGCAAGCCCCGCAGCGGCCCCTACGCAAACTCGCCCTTGCCCGTCTTCCCTCTGCTCGCCATCTTCTTCACCGGCTCCTTCCTCTTCTACCAGCTCTCAAAGTCACGAGCAGGCCAAGGCAAATCCCACTACGTTTTGCCCCCTAGAGACAAGAAGCCTCCCCCCGCCAAAGAATTCAATTCCAACCTCCACTCCGAACACTAAACAATGGCTCCCACCAACCTTCCTACCATTCCCGCCATGAACCGTGACAAGCCTCTCTTCCCCACTGGCACCGCTGAGGGCGAGGCTACCGTCATCTTCGTCCTCGGTGGTCCCGGTGCTGGCAAGGGCACTCAGTGCAGCAACATTGTCCGCGACTACGGCTTCAAGCATCTCTCTGCTGGTGATTTGTTGCGCGAAGAGCAGGACCGTCAGGGTAGTGATTTCGGCGACCTGATCAAGGAATACATCCGTGACGGCAAGATTGTCCCCATGGAGGTCACCATCCAATTGCTCGAGAACGCCATGCAGGCCACCATCAAAAACGACGGCGTCAACAAATTCCTCATCGATGGCTTCCCCCGCAAGATGGACCAAGCCATTCAATTCGAAAAGTCTGTCTGCAAGAGCAACTTCACTCTCTTCTTTGAGTGCACCGAGAAGGTCATGGAGGAGCGTCTGCTCAACCGCGGCAAGACCAGCGGCAGAGCCGATGACAACGAGGAGAGCATCCGCAAGCGTTTCAGAACCTTTGTCGAGACCAGCATGCCTGTCGTCGAGTACTTTGACAAGGATGGCCGTGTCGTCAAGATCCAGGCTGTTCAGACCCCTGACGAGGTCTACGAGCACGTCAAGCTTGGTTTTGCTGAGCGTGGCATCAAGCTTGTCTAGATTTCCTTGCATATTTGCGTCATAGACTTCTAATCAACATTTTTACTCCTTTCACATGTTTTCAATTTGAATTCTAACCCTGGTTTTCACCCCAAAGTATAGCACAGGATCGAAAAGGCAGAGACGTGGGAAGATAGGCAGAGGGAGAACAGTAAGAGTGAGCATTGCGATGGGCTGAAGAAGAGCAGTGGCTTGGTATGTTTCCTCTCTTCTTCTCAACGGACTCATCTTTCCCTCTCTTCTTCTCAACGGATTCATCTTTCCCTACTCTTGGTTCGTGTGTTCCAGACGGCTCCTTCTTGGAAGATCTGTGCAAAAGAAATCACGAAAACCTGAAGATCTGGCACATCGATCACCCAAAAGCTCTGTTTTCTCCTCGCGAATTCTATCCTGGAAGTCCAACATGTTGTGTTGTGTTGCTACTTCGATCACTTGGACACATCCAGACCAGGAAGACCGCGGACGTCTGTGGGGGTGGTCAGCTGCCAAAAGAATAGCTGAGAGTTGGACTCATAAACTCACTGTCTTTGTTAACCACGAAGAGCTGAACCGTCTTCTTGTTGGCATTCTTGTGATCGATGATGGCAGAGACGAATGAGTAGTTCGAGTTGACGAAGCCAATCTGCTTTGTCTCTGTCATGCGCCAGACGATGGAAGAATATTCGCCTTTGACGTCCAAGCGGTCAACGCAAGATCGTCATCACGTACTCAAAAAAACACTGGGTTCGTTCTTGCCTTTGAACATGACAAAAGGGATCTACTGCTCAAACCCATACTACGTTTCGATAATCCTGTATGTAGAGTCTTCAGTCAAACACCACTTTCTAAGAACGCACAAAGGATTCAGGGCGACTTTCATCTATCTAACGAAGTCAGATCGAGAGGACAAAGTGAGGTGATATTTTATATGGGTTCAGCTCTGTTTCTTTCTGATCCTCTTGTGGTATTTCGAGGTAGAACTATGGTTAGCCTTGCACATGGCACCGCTCCTTGTTGTCCCCCAATAGTAGGCATTGAACATTATTCAATCTCCATCGTCACGACCCACATCCTCATAATCAGCAACAAACACTCCCCTCCAAACCATCCTCCCTCTTCAACAACCCCACCACAACCTCGAACCCCTCAAAAATATGACAAGACCTCCTCAACTCATCCAACCGATCAAGCCGCCCAACAATCTCCGCACCACTGCCTCCAGCCCAAAGTATCCGTCGATCGTCCTCTGCAAACCTCGCCGCCACCGCCACAATCGCATCCACAAACATCTTGTCAGAACCAAATACTTCTTTGACTTTATCTCCTACTTCACCGGTGGCCAGACAAATACTTCTACCGATTTTCCGAAGGGTTTCCAAGGCATTTTTTTTNNTTGTGCGGAGGGTGCTGGTTTTGTGGGTTTGTGCGGTGATGGAGGAAATGGCGTGGGCTATCTTTTGGATTGCTTTTGAGGCGTGGTGGTGTGGTGATCTTTTGTTGGTGTCGAGGTGTTGATTGGCGTTTAAAGTGTGCCATACACTGTTGCTGTAGTGCACAAAGTTTACGGATTTGCTCGTGTTGAAAGAGGTTCTGTGTGCATGTTCTGAAGTGATGTCAGAGGCAAACGAAGGATGTTTTTGCACAGCGAGGCGGAGTAAGTGGCGTAGTTCGGCTGCTGAGAGGGAGTCGAGTGTAGTGTCGAGGGAGGCATCAGAGTGAGTTACTTGTAGCGGAGCGAACTCGCTCATTGGGGTGTCTACCCGTATAGACGTGTGCGGTGTATGTTGATAGTGGTTAGCTGGCTGCGGCAAGTCCATAGTGACCGTGAGTCGTATAGATCCATATCCAGGTATACTAGCAAGTGTCGTGCTCGTTTGCACAGGCATATTAGTCGAAGAAAACGAGGCTTGGGGAGTATCCGGCAATGTCCTGTGGAAGCTAGCCCTATTCGAACTTGGTGGATCGGAATATGCAGGCATTTGTGATGTTGCAATTTCGTTCGAATCGATACCAGAGCTCGTCTGGAAACTCGAACTTGCCGCCGACCATGAATCATCGGGCAGTTCAGAGCAAGTCAGACCGAGTATCTCACTGGACACGTGACTGCTGCTGAACTCGGAAGACGTGGAGGTCCTCGAGGACTGGCCAGGATCGTACAGCTGAGATAGTGAACTTGATTTGTTCCATATCACACTTCCGCTCCTCAAACTTGATAGAGACGTCGACTGTGATCTGATGGAGCTGATTGATGATCGTTGACGAGTATGATTGTGAGGGGGAGGTGTCGGTGCAAAGGAAGTATTGGACATCTCAAGACTGTCACTGAACCTGTTTGCCCTACTATGCTTTACTGGAATTGATAATGAAGTCATTGCGATTGAAGAGCAGTATGAAGGATGGAGAATGGAGAAAAGACACAGCGCGAACGACAAGCTTAGACGTGGTAGGCCTCATCTCTTTCAATGGTACGCTTTGGACTGAGAAACAGACTTACTCGCCATGTCTATAGCAACCATGAACTTGGCGGCGGGAGGCAGGAGTCAATGCTTCATAACCAGACTTTGATGACTTACGGTATCGAGGACGTTTGTCTTCAGAGATCATGTCATATTCGTGCTTCGGTCGGACTTGCCATCGTTGGGAGGCCGGACATGTCTTTCGGTCCTCGTATCTGGAGGTCTTATACACACATGCGTCTCTCTGAAGATCCTTCGAGAGAGTGAGGGACAAGATAAGCAACAACAAAACATAGGACCTTGGAAGCTTGATGGGCTGCCGAGAGCATGGACCCTCTTCGGCACCCGAGTGGTTCCGCCAAGACATCAATCACATTGTCGGTGTGCGATTCCTCAATCTTAACCTCTTCTTATGGGCCTCCTCTGATCTATAACCTTCGTCTACGGACAAATCGCAGTGTCCGCCTTGGCACAAACTCTTATACTGGACTGCTTTATGAAACAGAATTCACTATTTACTTGCACGCAACTCTCCATCTTCCCGACTATCGCACCGTATTGCATTGGCTTTTGGGGTCTATACTCATGCTTTCGCACTGCAAGATGAAGCCCGCAAGCAGCAGTCTGTGAGCTTTGATTCCGTGGTTATGAGTGCTTTGGCTGTTGGTCATATGATATGGGCGTATCGTCAGAGGAACTACACACAACAGCGAGACGAACAGCGTAATGATGGTGTCGTGAAGTGTCAAATCCTCGAGATACCATACAATGTCGAGATGCTTATACTGCGACCCTCTTCCTTGCGACGCGAGTAGACTTTGCATCGGCTTTGGTATCGCTCTTGGGTCCAGCCATTGCCGCAATGCCGCTCAACATCTGATCAAGATCGATATCAGAATCATCATTGAAGAAGATTCTTTTGGGCGGCATGGATGCTTNTTNTGTGGTTGGTGCCGGAGCTGCTGCTTCGAACAGAGCCAAATCGATATTGTCGGTCGACGCTGATGGCTTGGTGTCATGCTTATTGTCTGTATCCACTGGGTCCTCTTTTCCAGGCATTGCTGGTTTTACGGATGTCCTTGGGACGCGCACTCTTCTGACTACCTTCTTCTTCTTTGGTGGTAGGTCCGCGTCTGCTTCGTGTGGAAAATCTGGCCGTTCAGCCAAAGGAGTTTCGTTCATGGATTCTTGGTAAGCTCCTTGCTCTACAGCCTTATCGACTTGCTTCTTGGAAACTTTTCGTTGTCGAGTGACCTTGGCCTTGGGCTCCTTGTTGATGTCTTCGTCCGCCGGTGGTAGTGTGGACGTTGTAGTCTTTAACGTTTCCTCCAGGCTCGGTTGTAGAGGTTCAGCATCTTCTTGTCCCTGTTTCCTTCCAGCTCTCTTTCGTGGTCCAGCCTTCGGTCGACTCTTCTCAGCAATACATTCATCCTTGAGGTCCTTGTTGACTTTCGCCTTTGTTGGGGGTGCGGGTTCTGGTAAAGAATCGGTATGCGGAGGGTGATTGCTCTTGTCTTCTGGTAGGGATGCACCAGCAATGTCTTGTTGTCTGAGTTCTTGTTTGGTGACAGCAGTTGGTTTTTTCATCTTTTTCTTGGGTGCGGTATCGACCTCTACAACAGCTTCTGCTAGGGGTATTGGTTGTTCATGATATATCTTCTTGCGTATCTTCGGAACCAAGACACGCTTCCGTACAGATTTCCGCTTCGTCGGCTTCTTCTCAATCGGAGGTTCTTGCAACGACTCATCGAGGGCAGTTTCGGTGGGTGCAGCGAGTATGGTTTGGTTTTGAGCTTCTGGTTTTGTCGTCTTCTTTGGGCGTTTTTGAAACCACACTTGATCGTCGTCTTCTTCTCTGATGACTCTCTTTCGCTTCGGAGCTGGCGCATGTGCAGAAGGCGAGGGTTTGGATATTTGGCGGGGTTGTGCATGAGCAATGGCAGTCGCGGGTGTATGTGCGGGTACTGGTGGCCCGGTGGTGTTGTTGTCCGAGACTTGGATAGGGCCGGCCTGAAAGACGAAACCGAAATTTGTAGGGATAGATCGAGCGCTGGGACACAAATTGTGAGCAAGAGTGCAGTAAGGTGGACAAGGGTTGTCTGTACCCAGCGCCTCTCTGGCGCATCATGTGGCGCTCATGGCGGCCGTCTGCCACAATCAGCATGTGAACAGCGACTGTAGAAAGCCTGCACTCGCCAGTCGCAGTCATGGTATATGGATGATAGTTGTTGTCGTATGTCAATGTCGTCGTCGAGAATTGTTTACACCCAACGGAGATAAGCTCGGCTGAATGGCATGACGCCGTTCGCTCCAAAATCTGTCGCGTCAATTCTCGCCGACACAAGTCCATCAATCATGCGACAAGCGGCTCTTTGGCGTGCAAGGCCACTGCAGCCATCGAAGTCATACACCTGTAGGGAATGTGTTTCAAGAGCGACGCGGCGTAGCGTCTCGCAGACAGCTAGCTACCGAGAGAATGCTTCTACCAATTCATCGGCTCAACTGGCTGAGAGAATACCTGCTGGCGAGAGCAAAAGCTTGTTGTCGATATTGGAAGAGCGTGGATATGTCAAGGATCTGGCTGGTGACCGCAATGCTCTCGACAAACTCCTCACCGACAAACGCATCGGTGCCTACTCCGGCATCGACCCTACAGCTCCCTCACTACATCTGGGCCACCTTCTGCCCATGATGGTCCTGTTCTGGATGTATATTCATGGCCACAAAGCCGTCTCCATCATCGGAGGCGCAACCGCAAAAGTCGGCGATCCTACTGGACGTCTGATCAGTCGACAAGAGATGGACAGAAACACAAGGACGTCAAATCTGGTCTCGTTGCACAACTGTGTACGCGCCATGTGGAAAAGTGTCGACGTTTATGCAGAGAGACACGGCTACAAAAAAGACAAGTCTTGGAACAAGAGCATAGAAAACAACTCAGTCTGGCTGAGCAAGCTAAATATCATCGACTTTTTGTCTGACGCCGGTACTGTTGCTAGAATGGGCGCTATGCTGGGTAGAGATACGTGAGTCTTGTTCGCTTCTCCTCTCTGTTCTGACAGCATGCTGACCTCGGCAGTNGTCAAGAACAAGATGGCTCAAGGTGACGGCATGTCTTATGCTGAATTTACTTACCCTTTGCTGCAAGCCTACGATTGGTGGCATCTGTATCAATCTGGCGTCCAAGTCCAGATCGGTGGCTCTGATCAATACGGCAACATTGTCGCTGGTATCGACCTCATCAAGCACTTGACTCCAAGACCATCAACATCACCTGAGACCAAGCGATTGTCAGGTCCTTTCGGTTTAACCGTGCCTCTCCTGACCACTGCAGCTGGCGCCAAATTTGGTAAAAGCGCTGGAAACGCCATCTGGCTTGACAAAACCATGACCAGCCCCTTTGAGCTCTACGGTTTTCTCGTCGGCTCTGCCGATGCCGACGTCGAGCGTTACCTCAAACTCTTCACCTTCCTGCCCCTCCACCACATCTCTGCCGTCATGGCCGAACACAACGCCGACCCCAGCCAACGCAAAGCCCAACATCTTTTAGCCCGTGAAGTCGTCGATCTCGTTCACGGCTCGCAAGAAGCCGAGAACACACAAAATCAGCACAAGCTCTCCCGCCGCCCAGATCTCCAGACCTTGCAGGCTGAAGCAGAGAACAACAAAGAAGGTCTCAATCGTGTGTACCTGCCTCACAGCCTTGTTCACAACAAACCTCCAGCACGAATCTTGTATCACGCAGGTTTGGCAAAGAGCAACAGCGACGGCACCCGCATGGTTAACTCTGGTGGTGCGTACATTGGCAGTCAATCCGACGAGAGCACCTCCGAGCTCAAATTCCGTTCTCTCAAGGGCATCACTGCTTCCACAATCACAGAAATGATGGAGCAGAGTAATGTACTTGTGCTTCGAACAGGCAAGTGGAATGTCAAGCTCGTTGAAGTCATCAGCGATGTCGAGTATGAGCAGAAGGGTCTCAATGCCCCCGGTTGGGAAGAAGTCAAGGCTCCAAAGGACGAAGTGCCTTCTTAGCATTCCTAGCAAACAGTTTGTACGATTATGTAAGATTATCAAAAGCCATGTTTTGCTGTCTAGAGTAGGTGATGCACTATTATCGTCCTGTTCTTCATACAGTAGTTGCAGAAAGAGCATCGTCACGAGTTTCTTTGGTTTAAAGAATTCATTTCCTGCAGGCACCCTCGGCTGCCTGACTCTTTCGAGCTTCTTAGGGTTTGTCTATGCTGTCGATCATGGAGCGATGCGGGCCGCGGGTGCACCGAAAATAGTACCTGTGTATGCCTTGGCGCATGAAATGACCATCCTCATGCTTCCTACGATCCACTTCTTCTTTGTAAAGACGGCCTAAGGATGGCAATACGAACTACAAGGGCTTTTGTTGTACGGTGATGTTATATGAGAATGTGACGTCGGAAGTAAGGCATATATATAAGTGGCCATGTTTTCCCTTTGTTTTGTGTTTCGCTTCCACCTCATCATTGAACGTTCATTGCGGAGGTTCTGTTGATCTACAAGATGCTCTCTTCCATTCTTCTCTCCGCCTTGGCCACAGCCACCACGGCTTCCGCTGCTAAAACCTACCTCGCCTACGCATGGAACGAGACAGCGCCAGAAATCCACGGCATGGCCGTACAAGCCCGCAACGGATACTTCTATCTCGGCGGCCAAGCATACCCTCACTGTGCTGAAGACGCTTTCGACTGTATTCACAACCAGACCCTCATTACCGGCCCCAGCACCAGCAAGTACAGCGACAATCTCGATGGCTTCTTCATGTCCATCACGGACACTCAGCCTCAAGAAATCGTCACGGCCCCCAAGACTGGCGAATTGCTGTATACGCTGCCAAAGACTGATTTGGCGTCTATGGTCGTTCAAGCATATAGCGGCGGCAGCATCAACACGCCATTTTCCGTCGACCACGACGACTTTTCGGGAGAAACGGTGTTGAGATTCAACGGCAATGATTTTGCTAGCTGTCCCACCCACAGCCAGGTCCAGGAATATGGTTGGCAACCCTACAGTATCAGAGCTCTCAGCTATGGTGGCTTGGTGTACGAAGATCAGGTCTTTAATGTTGGTGTCGAGTGCATTCCGTTCAAGATGCGTTTGGTCGAGACCGAGCTTCCTGCACCCGAGTACTACGAGTATCCATGCACTGAGTATTACTATTCGGTCAGCGGACAAGAGGACCATTATACTTGTCTTGACAGCTTGTATTTCGACTGCTCGAGCAACGACAACTGTACTGATGCGGAGAAGAGGGTTTGGGCCACCAAGACTTCGGTCAACAAGCTGCAGTATGGGATGGAGTTGTGTCAATGCAGGGACTTTACAGATGGTGCTCCTGGATTGGGTGTTGCTTCGTAATGTTGCATGTACTGTATATCGCGGAAGGAAGATCGGTATGGCTGAGAAGGAAGGAATCTACGATATCGTAGTGTATCTTCGAAAATTATCCTCTTCTGATCTGCTCGTATTTTCCCTTCTTCTTGCTCGCTGTTCTGTTCGTGCTCGTCTCGTGAGAGACAATGCTCCCTGTTCATCGATGTTCTTCTCATTCGATCTCGACACACCGCTCGGCAGGATGATTTGATGTCACAACATATTCAACATGGTCTTACAGCTCAGTATGATTTGGTCAGATGGCCGAGTGGTTATGGCGCTAGTTTCAGGCTCACCTGAAATGAGTTTACTAGTGAGAAATCGCGTGGGTTCGAATCCCACTCTGATCAGTATCCTTTTGCTATTTGACTGTGTGTTTTGTTAGATGCGGTCGAGGGTCGACTGTTTTGCTGGAACAATTTTTTGCTTGAGCGGGATTCGGCGGAGTGGAGTGGTGGAGCGGGGCTTGGCGTTGCGTGGACAAGACAAGCTTCTGTCTTCTGATACTCCAACCGTCACGAGGTTGTCGATATTAGTCGGCGAGGAGGGCGCTCCGACTAAGATAGCGTCTCAATCATGCAGAGACGCGTACACACTCGACGACTTCGTATGTTCTTTTGATTAGATGAACCGGACTTGAATTGCCGAAGAATCCAGCCCCTGAAACATCCTTATCGAGCAAGCACCTGCCTTATCCGTCTGCAAGTCAACCCAGGTAGGCTTATAACATAGTTTTGCCTCATGTGCAGTAAGCACTCGAGTCGCAAGCTTCTACAGACATGCCGAATGCGACGTGGCCATCCGACCCAATCTTGGACTGTAGCTTGCAGGCGTTTGGCCCAGCCAGCTGCGACGGCAGCTTCGACTTTACGCTGGTGTTTGAACAGACAATCTTGTCAATTGCTCCTTCCGTCATCTTTCTCTTTCTCCTTCCCATCAGCTTAATCAAGTTGTTTCGCACTGCACCGAGATTTAAAGCATCAACAATTCGTATATTGAAGCTGGTATACGCTTTCCAGTCACGTCGATGGACACAGCTGACTCTCATGACANNGACTGTTTCAAGTCTTCTCGCAATCGTACAGATCTGTCTCCTGGTGTCATGGAGTGTTCAGCCAGCCTCAAAGACCCCTGCAACAATTCCAGCTCTGTGCCTCGGTCTTATCGTTTCTCTGGCTATCGTGTCTCTTTCTGCGCTATCGCACACGAGATCAGTCAGGCCGTCTTCGCTCCTAGGCACATATCTGATATTTTCATCCCTCTTCGATGCGACTCAGGCGCGTACCCTNTTTCTGAGTCCGATCCACAAAGTGGTACCCAGCTTCACGTGCCTATCGATCGCTCTCAAATTGGTGTTGGTGGTCATTGAATCCTGGAACAAGAGGTCATGGCTGCCTCCTGCGGATCGGACGTTACCACCAGAGTCGACAAGCTCTATTCTCAGCAGAAGCTTTTTGTGGTGGCTGAATCCTCTATTTGTAAGTGGTATGCGGACTCTCCTCAACCAAGACCAGCTGTATGCTATCGATCCGGAACTGCGGTCTCGAGGAACCGGCCAAAAGCTGAAGAAAGCATTCGAGAGAGGTTCGAAGACTTCACAACGTAGTACCGAACCGAGCATGGTTTCATCGTCCATGTGGGCTTTGCCTAAGGCTTGTTTTCGCTCAATCTGGACAGATGTCATGGCCATGATTCCTACAAGACTTGCTTTGGTTGGCTTCACATTTGCACAGCCTTTTCTGTTCACTCGCGCCATCAACTACCTCGGCCAGCAGGACCAGGGTTCTCACGAGAATATCGGCTACGGACTTGTTGGTGCGACGGTCATCATCTATATCGGAATAGCGGTAAGGCAATCCAATGTTTCTTGCAGCTCGGAATTCTACTCATTCTGCAGNATATCCAATGCACTCTACCAGCAACAAGTCTCTCGCATCACGACTAAACTCAGAGGGGCTTTGATATCGGTGGTTTACGATCACGTCCTTGTCATATCCGACATCTCTAGCAACAACGGTGCTGCTTTGACCTTGATTTCGAGCGGTAAGTCCTAGCTTGAGCTACTACTCTGCTGTTGAATGATCTGACCCCTGCCATANGACGTTGACACAGTAATCAGAGTTCTTGGTGAACTCAACGAGTCTTGGGCCAGGTTGATCGAGGTCGCTGTGGGCGTAGGTCTTCTAGCTCGACAAGTCGGCGCGGTCAGTATCGTTCCCATAGTCCTGACTGTTATATCCACTCAGGCACAAGGCTGGGTGTCTAAACAGATAGGATCGAGGAGGAAAGATTGGAGCGCTGCAACGCAGAAGCGCGTCAGTACGACAGCTGTGGTACTTGGTTCCCTCCAATCGGTGAAGATGTCAGGTATGTGTGTGTGCGGAGTATAATCCGCTATGATTGACTATGTTTCTNNAGGTCTCATGGCCTCTGCTTCGGGCTCACTTCATTCTTTGAGGGTTAGAGAGCTCCAAATGTTCTCTTTCTTTGCTCGCTTCATCATTGGTTTGAATGCAATTGGTCAGTTAGCCCAGTAAACCATCAATCTAGGCAGATACTGACCGGAACANGCCGTTATTCCCTCAATATGGGCACCTGTGATGACTTTCATGGTATATGCCATCAAAGCACGCGTCGACGGTTCGCCCGGTCTGGACATTTCACAAGCCTTCGCCTCGCTAGCTTTGTTGAACCTTGTCACCACGCCCACGGCAAAATTGCTCACCATCATGCCACTGTGGGCGCAGGCTTTGGGTTGCTTCGAACGATTGCAACATTACTTGGAACTCCCAGTCCACAAGGATCATCGCTCTTCCAACAGGTCAAACTTCGAAAGTTCTGGCTTTGGCATTGAAATGTCACCGATTATCTCGCACAAGGTTCAGAGAGATGTTGCCGTTGTCTGTACAAATCTGGACGTGTCCTTGTCTACTGATGGACCTACGATACTGGTAGGTATATCACTGGAGGCGAACATGCACTCTTTCACAGTCATTACGGGTCCAACTGGTTCTGGCAAGACTGTTCTGCTGAAAACAATACTTGGCGAAACTCTTACTTCACGCGGTAACATTTCAGTCTCTACGCAGAGCGTTTCTTATTGCAGCCAAAAGCCCTGGATGACCAGCACTACCGTCAAGGAGTACATCGCTGGTACAAGCTTCAACTCAGCAGCGATTGAAGAGTCGTGGTATGGTAGCGTAGTACACGCTTGTGATCTGAACAAAGACTTCGCAAGTATGCCAGATGGAGACGATACCCAACTCGGTAGCAAAGGAGTCTCCCTATCGGGAGGACAGAAAGCGAGACTGGCACTTGCCCGGGCTGCATACATGCGAAGAGATATCATGCTTCTCGATGACGTCTTTAGTGCGCTTGATGTCAACACTGAGGAAGTCATCATCCGTCGTCTACTGGGGCCAAACGGTCTACTGAGGAGGCTCAGAACTACAGTCCTCCTGGTTTCGCATTCGCAAAGAGTCATGTCAATAGCTGACCATATCTTGAGCCTTTCGAAAGACGGATGCCTCGTACACACAGGCACATTCCAATCACCTCAAACTGAGATTGAAACGACCATCGACGATAAGCCTGCGAATGTCGGGGTCGTCGATGCAATCCAAGCACGAGTCCCAAAAGGTCCATCCAAAGAAGATAAAGATGACCTAGCGAGAAAAACTGGCGATTGGACAATATACAAGTACTACTTCAGCAACTTCCGGAACAGATTTCTGGCCATGTTCGTCGCTTGTTCTGTTTGTGCCGCATTCAGTTCAAGATTCTCCCAAATCTGGCTGAACTGGTGGGCAGCAGATGACGGTAATGATCTGGGCTTGTATCTCACAGTCTACACGGTACTTGCTCTGGCACAGACCTTGTCTAGCAATCTGAACATGTGGGTTGTCTTCTTGAAGATGATCCCTGGTTCTGCAATCAATATGCATCGCACTTTATTGGAAACAGTCGCGGGAGCAGCTTCGTCTGTGTACTATCAGACTGACAGCGGTACCATTTTGAACAGATTCGCCCAAGATATGGCACTTGTGATAGGAGCTTTGCCTACCTCGCTCATCGCGACTGGGAACACACTTTGCGAGACAATCGCTTCCCTGGCAATGATTTCCACAGGTGCTAGTTATATGGGCATCAGCATTCCTTTCGTCATACTCGCGATATATGCGATACAGAAGGTGTATCTCAGCACCTCGCGGCAACTGCGTCTACTCGAGATTGAAGCGCGAAGCCCGATATACTCTCACTCTCTCGAAACGCTCGAGGGGGTAGTGACCATTCGCGCTTTTGGCTGGGAACAAGCAGCTAAGGAGAAACATGAAAAGTTGTTGGATACTGCACAATCGCCTTACTACTTGTTGGCTTGTGTGCAGCGATGGCTGAAACTGGTTCTTGATCTGATGATAGCGGCGCTGGCTGTTGTGGTTGTTGGTCTTGCTGTCTCGCAACGAGGCACGACTTCAGCAGGCCTGCTGGGAGTGGCATTGACCAATGTCCTTGGGTTTAGCCAGTCCCTCACTCGCCTGGTCACCGAATGGACAACTCTGGAAACGTCTTTGGGCGCTATCGCACGAGTACGCTCTTTCGCCGCTACAACAGAGCAAGAAGCTTCTTCCGCAGAACGCACCACCACCATTCCGCGAGACCTAGTTCCTGGAGGCGCAGTTGTCTTCTCTGGCGTCTACGCCAGATATACCGACGACCCCAGCGCTTACACTCTCCAGGACATCTCCTTCACCATNCCCCCACGCACCAAAGTCGCCATTTGCGGCCGCACCGGCAGCGGAAAATCAAGCCTGGTTCTCGCTCTATTGCGTCTGCTTCCTCTTCGGCATGGAAACATCTCCATCGACGACACCGATATCGCAGACGTGAACCCAGACCTTATCCGTCGCAGCATCACCACTATCCCCCAACAACCGTTTCTTCTCCCTGGAACCGTACGCAATATCCTAGATCCCGAAGCTCGGTTCAGCATCGCAGACCTGGAATCTGCATTNACAAAAGTGCAGTTGCTCGATCTTGTTGATCAGCGCGGTGGACTTGATCAGAATATGGAGCAACAGAGTCTTAGCCACGGTCAAGCGCAATTACTCTGCTTGGCACGAGCTCTGCTGCGCAAAAGTAAATTGGTTGTTCTGGACGAGGCGACGAGTAGTTTGGATGCCGATACCGAGGGGCTGATACGCAGGGTGTTGAACACAGAATTTGTGGATTGCACTGTCATTTCTGTGGCGCATAGGGTAAATTTCTCACTTTCTTTCGGTGGCAACATTGTTAGTGCAAGGAAGTTTTCGCTAACGAGTATGGGTGTGCAGATAACAACTATTCTGGATGCAGATATGGTTGTCATGATGGATGCAGGACGTGTCTCTGCTATCGGTAAGCCAGAGCACTTGAGTGTGTCCAACGATGATTTCAAACAGCTCTGTGGTATTGCTTGAGCTTGCACGCAAAGAGGAAGCAAAGAGAGGCCAAGAAGGTGGAAGGTGATACAGTAGTATGCAAAATATGTACAAAAAGGGTTGTCTAACAATCGTGTTTCTCGTGGGGAAAAGCATTAACGGTTCGTAGAAGGGCATGGGAGAGAGCGTTTTTGCTTGCAACAGGGGAGAAAAAGGAAAACCAGCAATCAAAAGAATTCGGAGACGAGAAGGGAAAGAAAAGAAAACAACACCAAAACGCAGAGAGTGAGGATACGAAAAACAGGCCAAGGCGTGCGGGTGCTTGCATCTCAGAACTTTCGAAACTCAAAGCATGGTAGGCACAGGAACATCGAACTTGTGGGNGGCCTTGATGACAATCTGGCTCTGCGAACGCTTATGTGCCCTGGGCTTCTTGCCGCCAAACACGCCAAAGCCAGGCATACCCCAACTTGCGCTTGCAGTCGAGACGGCAGGGCTGACGGGATTAGAGGCAGGGGGAGTATTGGGAGTCTCGAGATGTTGCTGCAGACGGATTTGTTGCTTCAACTCGACGATTTGCTGGGTCAAGGCATCGGTGGTGTGGCTTTGCTGTTGAAACAGGTGTTCCATGCTTGCTGTCTGGGACTCGAGCAGTTGGCGGAAGGTCAGCTCGTTGGCGGTGCGCAGGGAGTGCAGTTCTTGGTTTTTGGACTCGATCTGCGCGTCCAGTTGCGCGAGGACTGTCTTTGTGTGTGCGAGCTCGGCGTCATTGCCAGCGAGTCCTTCGTGCAATTGCTTGATCTCGTCGTCCTTGGCTGTGATGGAGTCACTGAGTGCGGCGTGTTCTTGATCTTGGAAGGCGACGAGCGAGTTCATCTTGGAGAGTTCAGTCTTCAACGTCGACATTTCCAGATCTTTGGTCTCGAGGGCGCCGCGAGCGTCCTTGACGTCTTGGTCGATGTTTTCGAGCAGAGACTTGAGGTGAGCGATGCGTTCGTCCTTGGAGTTGCAGTTTGCTTTGAGCTGTGTGGCGTGTTCTCTTGTGCTGTTGTGGGCTGCCGACTCTTCCTTGTGCGCGGCTTCGGAAGCTGCGAGACGTGCCTCGAGGTCTGCGATCTGTTGCGACTGTCGGCCGATGGTTTGGTTCAGAGTGACGATGTCAGGCATCTGGCCCATGTGCTCGAGCGTGGCAGGGAGGCCATTGAGGTGAGTGAGGATTTGTACAAAGTTGTCGAGGTTGTGTTGTTTGTGTTGCTCGGCTTGGTCTGCGAGTGTCTTGGACATGTATTAGCATCTTTGCGCGCGGATCGAGGAAGCCATGCAAAAGGCACCTTGAGATCTTGAGCGAGNTTCGGCAATTTCACGGTTGCCGGTATCAGACGCATCCGATCTTGGGATGTAGGCGCCATCGAAGACACCAGATGATGGTCGTGAGGAAGATGAGAAGACGCCAGAGGAAGGACGACTAGACTTTTCGAACACGGCCGATTGAGGGCGGGATCCCATTGAGGGGCGCAAGCTGAATCTACCCATGTTGTTGACAGACAGATTTTGTGTTGTTTTGGTATACGTTGATATTGTTGGCGTCGAGAAAGATGATCAAAAGCCGAGCAAGTCAACACCGATGTCAAAGAATTGCTGTAGGTCAATAGGGTACTCGAAACGGAACAACAGAAAGAAGCACAACCGTCTTTAATATAGCACCAATGGTCTCGGGTAAGAGTCCCCTGGCGGTGTATCAAAGCTCCTCTGGACATGTGCGGTGAGACGTCCGTTCGAGGGCCTAAGGCCCTTGGTCAAAGCCCTCGTAATTGTTAATTTCGAGCGGTGGGAAAAACTCCTGGGCATAAACAAACCTGTTATACCATGACGACCATCTGGACAACAAGTTACTGCAACTGGTAACAAGTAAACAGACTAAACTGCTTAGTACAAATGTCGGTCACAACATGCTTGCCTTAGCTTCTACATCCTTCGCGTTATCAGCGACTGACCGTTCACAAGGCGTCGCGACGAACAGGAACTATTGAATCTCGGGCTGCTGTTGATGGCAATCTCAGAAGATACTTCGAGCAGAGGTTGTCACAAAGATATACGCCTCATACACCATGAGTATTGAGAAAGTGGTGGGAAGAGAAACGAAATGCCAAAACATCAAGGGACAGCCAAGATTTTAGGCGTCGGCATCGCGGAACGCCGTGCCCGCACCTCCCTCAATTTTGTCAAGAAATTTCTGCCAACTCCCCACCGCTATACCACGAAAATTTTGGTAAAAAAATTACATGATATGCAAGCAAAACGATGATTCCGCCCGGGTTCGAACCGGGGACCGCCTGTGTGTTAGACAGAAGTGATAACCAACTACACCACAGAACCATTGATGTTTCAGGTGAGATCGTGTGCGTATATAAACTTTTCAAACCAAGCGTTGAGAGCCGGGCCGAGGCTCAGCCCTCTGATATCCAGAGCTATCATCTATCTCAGACAGCGACGTATTTAACCTCCTCTTCCTTCATCCCTCCTGATCTTCATGAACACTACCCTCACATCAACTGATCGTACCTGACTCAGAAGAGCGCGCAAACATCAAACTCTGTGCCGGCCACACATTCTTCGCCAGCAAAGTCAATCTTGTTCTATTAGAGGTTGACTTGCACCTGCCTCCATGAGGACGAGATCGTGTCTGGTCGAACTACATCGGTGTTGACCTGGCAGAGGCCAAGAAGGATCTCGCCGGGCTCCAAGCTGCCCATAAACGTATGATCACCGAATCGTCCGCCTACAAGTTGCGTCCCTCTCCCGTCAACTTCACACGGCCAGACTCTTTACAAGCTGGAGAGCGTTTGCCAACAAAACCTTGGTCTCTTCCCTCGTGACCTGGAAACGCGAATCTTTTACTTGAAGGGCTTCGGCACCTGATGTGTTCTTGGGTGTAACAACCGATTCACTCCCTCGTACAGCAGGGGCTTGGACGTCGGAGAAGAGCCGTGTACAGACTTGTGGTACGGGTATTACACAAAAGTCTGCAATCTTGCCTGCTCCCACTACAACACAAAGGCATTCTTGGACTATAGACAGGCACAGTGGTTTCCACCAACGAAGGTGTAGCCACAGAGAGCTGATGTAATCTTGTCTCTCAGTGGGTGCTGCCCTGCCTCTCGGGACTATTGTGCATTTCTATAGCTATACGCGTTATATGCTTTGCTGCATGGAGAGGACAGTTTAGGGTATGCAACGGATGGACTCAAGCGATAGGTACATGCAGAGCTGAGCGAGGTCTGATTTTCCTCCGTCTTTCGTTGTCATACCCATCCAACCTATCACCGCACTTTCCTTTTCTTCTGCTTCTCGCCGCAGGCTCGGCGATTGATGAATCGGGACCCGAGTTTGGTGAGGGAAACATACCCGGTCGCTTGGGGGACCGATTACACATGGCCCGATCTTGGTTCCATCAGTACATCCGTCAACAAGGGCCATAACAGCTTCCGTGTGAATCTTTCAATGGAGCAGCAAGCGTCTCAAAGCCGCAACGACCTGGCTCCGTGACAACAAGAAGATTGGGTTGATTGGTGAGTTTGCAGGCGCGGTCAATAGCGATTGCGAAGCCGCTGTCAAGGACATGCTTGCCTTTGTGGCTGACAACTCTGACGTTTGGGCCAGTGCACTCTGGTGGGCTGCTGGTCCTTGGTGGGGTGACTATATGTTTTCGATCGAGCCCAAGGACGGTGCAGCGTACAGCACATATGCAGACCTCGTTGCGTCGTATGCATAGACAGAACCATGCTGCCAACGATGCTCAAGAATTCTAGTCCGAACCAAGTCAGTCATTCGTGATCCTCAAGCATCACCAGCAGATAGCGAAACTCACAAGCTCCATCCGCGGAAGAGTAATCCGTGTAGTTTGTATAGGATCTCTGAGCGTTGGCCTGTCTGCGCGGCATCTTGTGCAGGATGGCCATCTGATTCCTCTCTCTTACTTCGCGCATGTAGCTCGCTTGCACATCTGAGGGCCGAGATTCCACAGTCTCGCTGGTGTCGCCGTAATACATTCTTCCCAGCCCAGCTATGGTGACGGCGAACAGTGCGCAGCCCAGCAAGACCAGTATGATGATCAACCATGGTTGCATTTGTGCCATTGTTGCGGATAGTTCTGGTGAGGACGTTCGAATCTGGTGGAGAGAAAGCAGAATAACAAGATTATGGCCTTTGCAGTATGCAAATGTGCAGCACCACAGTCACTCTTAAGGGAGCCAGTACAGCAGCAGGATCGGATCACACCAAGACACTTATCTACCCGTCCAGGCTGAGCAGACAGAATGCATATCGGTTGTTGATAGCCATACTGCTATCTCGATCCCCCCCTTCGCTGGGCGCTCCCCCGGCTCTGTGTTCCCATTGGCTGGTCTCCAGCATAGTGACCAATAGGGATTTATTCCTAGATAAATCCTTCCATCCCACTACGGTTCTTTTGCAGCTACCTGCAGGGTATACGATCTAAGCAGGCTTGGCAGGTACACGCGTTTGTGTGCTTGGCGGTGGTGGTGAGATAGGTGTGCTACATTCCTGTCAATGTTTCATTTCCTGTCAACGTTTCGTGTTGAGGCTGTGCAGACTACCCTCGTCTACGTGCGTATAGGACTTTTGGTGGTTGTGAGTATTGAGTGTTCTTTTTCGGGATACGAGAAGGATCAGGTGAAATAAGATATGGACGGTTTTGAGGGAGTCGTATTCGTATAGTGTGTTTGTTTGTTTTGATAGTGGTCCTATACAATCAGGTCAGGGTGGTACCATTAACCATGGGCTCTGACGAGCTTTTGTCTCTCACAACGGCAGCGGGAGTGTTAAAGTGTTGCAGTTTGATTAGGATAGGTATACAGTGTGTAAGAATAGCTTGTGAGCTGTTGAAAGGCACCTCAATTTCCAAAGATTTGTTATTCCTGATTTTTGTATTTCGACAAAGCTTTGTTAGCATCCTGCCTGAGGAACGTTGGGTCAGACCGCCGGCTGAGGACGCAAAATCAAGACCAGACAAGACAGGACATTTTGGATTCCACATCACTATTGAGCCAAGCTGGTGCAGCTCAAACCCGAATCGTTCGTTTCCATGTCGCGCGCAAAAAAGCAGCCTCTCTTGCCAGCAACAGGAAATTGCACGTTATTGACGAGGCTTGTGCACAGCACAACATCGCCAAGCCCGCTCACGCCAGGCTTCACGCAGTCGAAATCTGCCCACAAATTCCATGTCCAGGTTTCCAAAATCTCAACCTTCCACCCATCCCACTTCCTTCTGGGTTCCCACCCAACGACATAGTCAAAACAAAAGTGATATTGACGAGAGTGGGATTTGAACCCACGCCCTTTCGGACCAGCGTATTGGGTTAACCTTAAGCTGGCGCCTTAGACCGCTCGGCCATCTCGCCCATGTTGGAGATCCTTCCCGCATCTACTACTTTAGTGCAAACGGCGCACCAGGATGGAGACGGAAGATGCAAGACAAGTGCGCAGTCTCTATGTTCACGGTGAGGTTGTGACTTCCTTCCGAGTATGTGGACTTGTTGTTCGCGATGCCGTTATGTCACAGAGTCCCAGGATTGGCGGACCGTGCCGCCCATGTGGAACGGTGTGTAAATCGAAGATAGCCTCGGGGATACGGTGTATGGTAAGCTATGCGAGCGATGTAGCTCGTTTGACCGAATCCATGGAAACCAGAAAACACTCAGTGAGACAGCGCGTTTCAGATACTGATAGAATTGGACGCAGGATGCAGTTTTAGGGAAGAGTATGTGTCTGGTGCGGTACCAGAGAAGTAGGCGAGGACCGGACGACGAGTGCTTGTCTCATAGATAGAACTCGTAAGTCAAGAATTGTTCTGCGGAAAGCTTCAGTCAAGACCGTCTATCGATCAGATCGCGATGGGAGCTGCCGCCGCTGTGTCGAGAGACCAGATATTGACGAGACGTAGATAAGACAAGGCGAGAACCAGACGTTGTAAAGCGTCGGCAGGATACATGATGTTGGTTGTCGATTGAAAGACGAAAACAATGACCAGTCCTGGAAATCAGTGACACAGCATGAAAAAGAGCAATCACGCGTCGTGCGTCAACTCCCGAGAAAGTGGCTCCTTCTCAAAGACGAGCTTCAAGCAATCAACCACGACTAACACCGCTTGCCATCGCGCTTTTCCAGATTTTGACGTTAGGCACCGCCATTGCTCAGCCGACCATTTTACCAAACACTTCTACATGCTGATTCTGTGACAGACTGTGAGACATTCAGAGTTAGTAGCATAAGAATGTGTATCAAAGGCAACATTGGTCTACTCTTCTCATTGCATGCCGGTCAACGTCGTTGTCGGTCGCTGGTTGTTCACAAACTCCACAAAGGAAATGCCATTAAAGTTACCACCATTTAAAAACGCAGTGCACCTTTAGGTTGAAATTCCACGTGGAGGTTTGGGTGATACGACTGCTACACAAAGCATCAACGACATCTCACGGAATTTGTTCTCTGTAAGATCGCAAGCGACAACGAATAAAAAATGACGGAGAGAGATTCAACAGCAGCAAAATGTCTGAACATCTCCTCCTCGCAATCCTCCTTCCTTTGCTGTTTCACTGGCCGATATGGGGTTCCTGGATCTTTACTCCGTCCGCCTCTTGTCCTCCAACCACCACAACCACCATCACGAGGACCGTGTTCGACACCTCTTGGACAATTCCACCCACAGCAACACATACAATCACCGTTTGTGAACAACACCGCCGTCTGAGGGAATCGCAAGAGTTGACTGAAAGGTTTTGGCAAAAGGCGGTGGCTCTTCGAGAGGACATGGAGGCTAGCAGCAAAACAAGATCAAAGGAGCAGGCAAAGCAGAGAGATTACACTTGGTCGGAGTGGTTTATGGATGTTTGTTTGCAGCCTATCGTGTGTTCCTTGGTAGCTTGTATGACTAGCTGTGTGGTGCGGAATTGGTTGGCTCAGTGGGATGAAGTTCAGCAAGCTTGATGAAGAACATAGAGCCGCTTTAAGCCGAGCTTCTGTACCATTGATCATCTTTCCACCACACCAAACATCAGCAAAAGCAAAAGTCTCATACAAGACGTAGATTCTGATACTCTGCAAATGTCAAACACCGTCAAAGCCCCCAAAGTGCAGATCGGATGTGTGCCCGAGTCATCCAGCCCGTCCCGCATCCCCTGCCACGCGTGCATCAAACCCTCGACACGAACAACCCCATGGAGTAGTGCCTCCTGCCCTTGCCGTTCCTACCTGCATGCGGAGCAGCGAGTATCCGTCCCAGACTCAGGGTAACCCGGCACGTTGGTGCAAAAGAATATTGCTCAGATCGATGATATACGCCTCTGCCAAAGCCGACGCTATGCGCAGGACTCCCTGAGCGTCATCACCAACACCTCTTTCCAGCNNGATCGGATGTATTGCGTGTCTTTTTGCTAAGCCGAGAGCGCGGATGGCCGGATGCTGGGGCAGATAAGAGGAAATGGGTATGTTCGCTGTTGAGGAAGGAGGGTTTGACTAAAGAAAGTGACAGACNATGTTGTGATGCGGCGAAGGAAGAAATCCGTATCCGACAGATAGAGAGGGCTGGGTGTTCCTGCATGGTCTGCAGGCGGGTCGTAGCCAATGAGGGGTCTCTNNGATAGGTGTAGTCTCGGTGTGAGGTCATGTTTTATGCTGCTCCTTGTCAAGGAATTTGTGTGGCTTGCTTCCAGATCATGGATATCCAGCTCCTTCCACGGCAGGCCGTCCGAGCACGACGAGCATGATGATATCCAGAACAAATTGTTTGCGTCCTTATTTTGAAAAGATACCGTACCATTGACCTCAAAGCAATACTTGTACGAGGCTTGGTGAGCATGGCAGTGCCGGACATTCTAGAAGAGCATATCTCTTCAAACAAGGCATCCCGTGACATCTTTAGCTCTCCTGGGACAGAAAGGACCCAGATGACCATGGTGGTTGCCTAGAAGAACTCTCTGTCTTGCTGCCTCGATAGTCCTGGAAGCCGAAAAAGGCTCCATCATGAGGAAGATCAAGCTCGCAAGCACGACGTACACGAGCAAGTGAGCAGCTCCCTACTCTCTCTGCTTGAGACGTTTGCTGCTCGCGAGCCTTGCACACCAACAAAGGTCCATACACCCCTAGCAACATCCAACACGGCTTCCTTCGCCGAGTCGGAAATACTCCCGAGCGCAGTCGTCCCAGAAGAGGCACAATCGTGACCAGAGCGATAGCCTTGACTCGTTACCATCAGGCTGATCTTCATCCAGGCGCGGGCGCGAAGCGGTGGATTGTTGTTGAAAATGAAAGTCTTGGCTCAATGGATCAACGTTTGCGTGACGTGTGTTTTTACTTCAGCAGACTTTTGGGCGTGCGCAAAAGCCACTGACACCAGAAGAGGGGGAAATTTCTGTTGCTTTGCAGGATGTTGACCGCTAGCGCTGCGCACTTTCGTATCTGGTGTCTTGAATCTTGATGGCATGTGGAATCTTGGAAAAGGCTTCAGCAGCGTTCGAGCAAATTTGTACAATGTAACATTAGACGTGTCGAGATGTTGAGATCGAAAGGAGTTCGTGAAATGGTCATAATAGATTGTACTCTCGCCATATCTATCAAGAAAGGTATAAAATATTCATCAAACGCAGTAAAAAGCAGATTTCATAGCATACAAGCATCCAGTGCCCGTTGCTTAGCGGTTGTCAGCGCAAGACCAGGAGCGACCGCTGGAGTCCTTGGCCAGCTCGGTGCCTGATGCGTAAAGACCAACAACGCAGATGATGATACCCAAGAGCACCAGAATAACGTTGCAGAAGAAGAGGAAAATCTTCTTGGGGCTGCTGAACCAGCTGCCCTTCATAATGTAAAGCCACATGACACCGGGAAGTCCGTAACTGAACCACGAGGCGAAGAGGGCAGCGACGAATCCGAGCAAGTTGCTGAAGTTGGGAATCGACTCGGCCAAGATCCATGCAACGAACCAGATACCGAAGATGATGGCGAACCAGGATGAAGTAGCAACAACACCACGGCTGTGGAGGTGCTTGGTACCAGCGAAAATGCGGATGTAGATGTACTTGGCGGTGACGTGACCGAAAATGACACCAGCAATGATGATGGTAGGCAAGGCGATACCCCAGGCGATCTTGGAGACGAGAGGAGAGGCACTGCTCAGAGCAGGACTGGTAACCATGTCACCAGCGAAGTAGTAGATAACAACAGCGGCAACCAGGTAGAGCGAAGTGTCGACGGCCTGAAGAGTCATCAAGGCCTTGGGGTAGTCCTTGGGGTCACGGAGCTCACTGATGAAGCTCAACCAGGCAGCATGTCCACCGTAGGCGAAAACAATGTTGGAAACACTGTTGAAGGCGGTGGGGAAGTTGGGGTGTGCAATGTCGACGATGTTGCGGCCCTCCAGGGNGTTGACACCAAGAGCAATCATGGTGATCATTACAGCTGCAAGGATGGAAATGAAAGAAGCGATGGCCAAGAAGGACACGTTCTTCATAGTGCGAGGAATGGTAAGAAGGAAGAAGAGAACCAGACCAACGATACCAAAGACGATGCTGCAAGTTCCGTGGTTGGTAAGACTGTTCATTGCGATGATGAACGTGAGAACGTGAGATGCCANTGCCTGTTTTTGGTTAGAACTTATATGACTCCTAGGTTTGTGCAAACGAAACTTACAGAAGACACAGAATGTAACGTATGCGAATCCGAACAGTTCACGCCCGAACTTGCCCATGAGAATGTAACCGACATCACCGAAGGAGGAGACCTGGGGGTATCTCATACGGAATTGCCAGAGAGTGTAACCAGAGTAGGTGGTGATGATACCCATGAGGAGAATAGCGATAATACCACCAACCAGACCGATGGTCTTGAGGACAGCAGGCAAAGACAGAATACCAAGTGAGATGTTCTCGGCGATCATGATCATGGCACCTTGCCACCAGGTCATGGTCTTGTACTGGATATCAGCACCATCTTCGTTACCGAAGACGTCCAGCACCTCGGTTTCCTTCATGGTAGTGTTAGATTCGACATCGTCGGCAATGGGGGCTGAGCCGATGGCTCCAAAGTCATCAACCCTTTTTCCTGGTCATATTGAGGTGGTTGACCGACAGGCGTGGGCATCTCGTTCTGATGCATGTTGAAGACGATACGTCGAGACCTGATGAGGTTGTGTTGGCGTTGGCCTTGAGTAGGGTCCCACCGGGTATAAGAGAGGTGGCGTGACTGGTTTGCTGGAATATCCCCACAAAGTGACAGGTGTAAGAATAACCAGAGATGACCGTGAGAGAGGAGGGCAGGAGGACACACGACGGAGGGGAAGGTAGTTAAATAGTGGTTGGGGTAAAAGTTGACTAGACCCGGCAGATCACCAAGCAAAGCGGTTGTGCCTACGTAAAATTTTGCTGATGTCGTTTGGTCGTTGGTGGAGGAGAAGTGGACGATGCACCAGACGCTACGGCCTTACAACGGAGCCTTTCCCCACGTCCTTAGGTAAGAAGAATCATGGTCTTGGTTGAGCAAGTATGCGTTTAGGTTTCAGGCAGGCCATCGGACTGGTTGGATTGACTCATAGCCGATTTGTATCAAGTAATGGAAATCCTTTCACTCTCGAGCAACGTGGTCCCCAGAGTTCAGGTATGGGGATGCATGTGGAGCCCCAGGATGTGATCAATCTTGACCTTTTTCGAGAATTGTTTGGTCGCAGAACATCTGGGCAATATCTGGTTGCCTCTGGACAGCGATTTTTTTCTCTTGCAGAGGTGTCGTCAGAAGTAGCGCTACGTATGTGGAGTAAGCTTGAGTCAATTGACGCCCCCAAGCCTCGTCAGGCTTTTGTGCCTGAGTGGCACTGCAGAGCCTCCAACCTACTCCTATCGGATTGCTAGAAATTCGAATGCGTAAAAGGTTAAGGCTCGGTTCGGGCTCTGAGTTATCCGTCGTACGACTCGCTATCAGCTTCCTGGTGCGGATCTTTGCCAGATAGCGATGTCGGCAGGGTTCACCGAGCAAAACAAAAACCCGGGCGGTTGTCGGCGGCTTTACTCGGTTCTGATATTTTATTCAACGACACACCGTCATTTTTGTACACAAACACGCTTTTTATGCCACTGATGCTGGCTCATGGTGCTGGAAAATAGGACATCCTTGTCTAGTCGACTTTTGCGCTCCAATCCATGTACAGATTGACCACAGACACTGACCAATGTTCAGCTTCTCGTCGAGACGAGCGAAACCGACGGCAAAATTTGCCCTGGCATGCTGCGGCTTCGGATGTCTGACACTGCCAGAGCGTTCCAGTCTCATCTCGACCTCCTTCGCACGGTCGGACAAGGCGGCGCGCGACGGCGGGCCTTCGAGCGCGGCGGATGGCTGTTTCTTGCTTTCTCACCAAATTCTGTGCCAAGGACTCGTCTGAAGGAATACGCACTGCTTTGTAGTAGCTAGGTCTCCGCTGCATGCATGACGTGGGTTCAACTGGGGCTCCCCTGCTGATTTCTGGGATTCCGAGACGTGAACAGACCGGGCTCTGTTGATCCTGCAGCGATCACAATACCACAACATCGCTACCTGATACACATCGCAGATGCATTACTAGATAGAGATGACAGGCGATGAGAGCAGCATGGCCGCCTATAAAGACGATCATTGAGAAGAGGTATGTTGACAACAATGTTCTGTTCGCTGTCACCCTGTGTGTAGATGTTCAATACACTGATAGCTATGTAATTGCTCGAACCTTTGGAGAGTTTGAGCAACATCCCCAGGGAGATGCTGTGTGGACGACTCTCGACAAACCCACTCCAGACTCAGAGGCAACTGTGTATCTCCACATTCCAACATTACTCAATGTCGCTACGAGAGAAAGGATGAATTGCTTGAAAGAGCCCCTGATTTTGGATCAGTCGAACTTTCAACGGTCTCGAATCTTTGTCCGTCCCCTATTGAACGACTATGCCTCAAAAGTGGTTGCTGTCCGTGCTGGGGTGGATATGCAAAAGGGGAGGTGAAGTTGAGATAGAGTAGGTATTGGTTCTGATATACAAAAAGTCTACGGTTGCAAACCGAGTACTCTAACAAAGCGAAAATACAAACGTCCAGATCAAAAACGCCGCTCCAAATATGCGTCTATCATGGCTTTGGGTTAGCAGATGAAACGCCCCTGAAAATGCCACCGTTTTTACAAAACCCGTCTGGTATAAAATACAAGTCTTGCAGACTCTTTCACGACAAGGCCAATTCGTCCTCGTCCGAAGAAACAAGCGGATGTAACTCGAAGTATTTGAGGAGCTGTTGGTACATGACAAGCATGGTTCCGCTTTGGACGCTCGTCCATACGAAGCGGGGACCCACGCCTCTGAAAAGACCGGCAAGCCCCTCGTGCTTGTAAATCACCTTCAAGCCTGCAATGACGTTCTCGGTCTCGAGGGCGACTGCTCCGTGGTTCTTCAGTGCAGTCGATGGCCCTCCGGTCGAAATGGGTCTTTTGGAATCGTGTATTGAAGGTGCCTGCTTCGTAGGTCTATGCGTTGTGCTGGCCGGACTGACGGTGGGACTGGCCTTTGAGGCTTGAGAAGCAGGCGCGTGTGCAAACTCGGGATCCAGCTGAGTTTGGATGCGCGTCTTGACCACATCAAGCGGACATGTGATGACTCCAGCCATACCTCCGGCGCTTGCACCGGTGAAGATCTCCAATGGAAGACCGATATCTTTGCTTCCCATCCAAGCTTTTGCTATCCTTTGCTCTTGTTCATAGAAGGCGAATTGTAAGGCGGAAAAAGGCAGGTCGCGTGCCAGAGTGGCAGAATAGCCAGAGAACATTTCTCTCCATCCTTCGACACGAATGATGGTTCTAAAAGCATCCCAGGTTCCGTGGTAGTTGTAGCCACTGTAGAAGTAGGGATTGTTGTGTCGACCTTGCAGTTGCAATCTGGTCTTGAGGACCTCAGAGGGGACGTACCAGGGCGAGGCGGCAAGATCGGCAAAAAGNNCCTGATAGTCTTGTGAGTACAGAGCGCAGAAAATCATGCGAGGTGAAGGGGTCTTACCAGAGGTAAAGTATGCGATGGAGGGATTCACGCCGTAATCGATCATGGCGCGCTTGGAGTACTCGTAAGCGCCAAAGAAGGTCATGGTACCCGTGAAGGATCCGAGGAAAGCAGGTGTCACACCTCCATAGAGGCCTCGTACCAGACCCTCCTGGCGCCAGATGGTACGGTAGGTCAAGCCCATGGATGTGTATTTCGGCGGCATGTGAGGATCGCCTTGTTGCCTAGTCTTGACCGTGTCCAGCGAGTGCATGAGCATGTCGCCCATTAGGCCACCCAGACCTCCTGCAAGCATCGNCCTAGACTCAGTTAACCTTGATTCCTTGGGTGTGTCGTCGTCCAGACTAACATGAATGTATGGTGGCCGGGCGGCGTCTAGGTCGTCTTCTTCCATGACTGGCTCCGGCTGCGCTCTTTTTGATTGATAGTATCGTTCTTGTGTCGCCGGCTCTGGCGGAGCATAATGTGAAATGGTGTCGGACGGGAACAAGTATTCAGCCACACGGGCTAATACCATGAATGCCTTCGTATGCGCCTCGTTTGCGCTCTTCTGTTGTCGACGAGGGTGCCAATGGGAGCGAGCGTAAGTGTGCGGGCGCTGGGTGGTAGAGAATGTTTCGCACGGTGGTGAGTATCAGAATGGACGAGTACAGATTTCTGGTCGTCGCCGGTCTTCGTCAACTTTCTTTGAGCCTTCTGCACTCGGCGTCATGCTTGGCAGTCGCCTCTGCACTCCCGCTTCCGTGCACCGACCGACCCTTCCGCCGACTGTCTTCCACTTGACCACAGATGCTCTGAGACAATCATGTCGTTCTGTTGTCGCTGTGTCTCGACTCGAGGGCATTTTATGTATCTCTAGATAGCTTGACTCTCCTATCTCGAAAGCCATCAAGTTCATAGCTGATTACATGGTCGGACCGCTTGTTTGGTCGAATGCCAAGACGCTCGTTGCTTCTGCTTCGAGTGTTTACTTTACCTCATCGAAGCTGCCATCTTTCACCTACGCGTCTCTGCACACTCGCGTTTCTTCCCTTCCAAGATTACTCACCACATACACTTATAAACACTTCCATCTCACGCGATACCTGATCGCCTCATTTACGCGATTCTTTCCATTCTATTTTCGCGCCATGCCTTCCTGGTTGAACTTGCACCGTAAAGCTGAACTGGCCGAAATGGCTGGTCAGGCCGGCATCGACGAGTATGCATACCAAACGCGTCATTTTTCACCACTCTTCTGACTTTCGTAGCGTTACCGATCTTCGCAAGATCAGATCGTTGCTCTCTTGGAAGAGCAACTCACAAATAACGCGTCAACATACTCTGATCATCCTTCATTCGAGGGATATTATGCCCGCAAGGGTTCTCCCACAAAGCGCGAATCGGGCTCGACTCCTGCTGCCGAGCTAGAAGTGACCAGGTCTGTTGCTCGAAGACGCGCCCCGCGCATCAAGGGTGAATCCGATGTGTAAGTCCTAGCTCGTTTTGTGTGCATTATCTTCTTTCTCATCAAAATCTGTCAGNNTGAACCCATATCATCACCTACTGCAGTCACGGGTAGGCGTACTGCCCGCGCCGTGCTCGTCTCAACTCCGGCTAGAGTAGAGGCGCCTAGAATTGAGGAACCTGTGTTTGAGGCGCCACGTGTCGAAGAGTCTATGCTCCTCAGCCCTCCACGCATGGCACTTCCTCCTTCTCCAGCCGTCGTCACGGATGCCATTGAGGAGCAGACTGCCCGTATCTCTGAAGGCATGAACAAGCTCTGGACATCCTCGCACATCATGGACGTGCTTGAAGAAGCTCGTCTTGATCTCTCATCTATTACCGGCATCCACTTCACAATCCTCCTTCTCGAGTCCGCGGCACTCCACTACGCGACTGTTCCGTGGAAATTCGCATTCGACTTCCCGAGTCTGTTCGGCTTTCCCAGTTTCGCTGTCTTCCTGCCTGACATATTTGTATTCCTCACTCATCACTACTGGGCGCCTTCGCTGCTGTGGGCGACCATGAACTTCTGGGCTCCACTTGCGACTGGCTGGTTGTTCAACTTGTCTCTCAAGCTTAAGAAGAAGGACGGATTCGAAGACTACAGACCAGTCTACCGCATCGATCCTTTAATGTTCAGTATCGCCAAAGGTCTGATGTCTTGGATGGTTTACGCCCAAGGTAACAGATTATACGGAACCTTCACCGAGCAGACCGTCACGACAGTCGAGAATGCCATGCCTTATGGCTACAGTGGCTCCATGGTCGCAGCGTACATCGGTATCGCTACCAGTATCTGGGACGGTATCCAGAACAAGAAGAGAGCCTAAATCTCAATTCTCTAAGGATACACAAGGAGTTAGGATGAGATGAGACACATGTTCAATATTGCTCTTTTTGCTAGGAGGATTTCTTGGCGTTCAGATGGTAGGAAGGGCTATCGGTCGGCGATTTGTTGGGGTGCACATGCTTTGAGTGTGACTTTGAGATCATGTAGTTATTGTTAAATCTTCAATCGGATCGATATAAATAAAAGCATCAAACGCTTCACCTATTCATTTTCGTATGGTTTTGTGACGTCGCAAGATGTGCCACAGAAGTGAGAGCGGATAATTCCGCGCTTGAAAACTTCCAAAAGCTTCCATCTCAGGCGCATTCGATTCAGGGTCCAGAGAAATATTGTTGCCGGACATCTGCAATCCGAAAACACCACAATCAAGTCGCAAACATGGCCGACGCTTTGCAAACGCTTTTTCGCAACTCTCTGCCCGAAGAGGTTTCAGAGCTGTTGACGAAACGTCTGTCGGAACTGGAATCTGGAGATTTTCTCNNTGCCCTCCTGCAATCGAAAGATGCGCAGGAACTTCTTGGACACAGCCCAAACTCGGAGCTGGATGAGACACAGTTGAAAGATTGTGCGACGTGGAATGAATATATCTCAATTCGATTGAGCAAGATTTTCGCCAAGGAACAAGAAAATGCAAAGTACAAGCAGAGTCTCTTCTTTGTTATCGGATATGCCGCTTTGCTCGCCTTCCTACAATCTAATGCTACTGGTCCTCCGCTTCCATTCACACCTTCGAAGACTATTCTACCGCGGGACGTGGCTGACGACAAGCAGCAAGTGACCACGCTGCGTCGCCAACTGATTGCCGGTCTTGCAGTCGACGGTATTGCGGCATACAGATTGACGCCGAATATTGAACTACTCTGTCTGGCGAATGTGATCATCAGCAACCTGGATATCCTCGAGAACATTTCGGTTTCGCGGTGGGCCAGGCTGAGAGTGACGTTTATGCATCAGCGACTGCTATCAGAGGACTGCGGAACATTGCAGGACAAGATTTTCGCGGACGTCGACGCCGTGCAGGAGAAATTCTTTGACGTCTCGCCAAAGGGCAAGTCGAGAGCTGGCAACGACGATGCAAAGGCTGAGTTCTTGCTTGAACGTGCTAGTATCGAGACCTTCTACGGTCTGGACAAGAAGGCTAGAGCCGATCTCGACGAAGCGGCAGCTGAGCAGGCTTTTCAATTTGCCTTGACTGGTATCTTGGGAAGAAGAACCAAGTTCCAACAGCACGACGTCAGCCAGCTGGTCGTACTTGCTAAGAGTGTGCGCGATGCAGAAAGCGTCAAAGACACAAAGTCAACAGAAACCCAGCAGACGGAAGGCGCAACCAGCGGTCCCAAAAACGTAGACCTCAACGACGACACACTGCTGGAAAACATTTCGTTCACGGAAAAGCCGACACTCAATTTGGACGTACAGACCAAGGAGTCTCTGCCACCCGCATTGGCTGAACTAAATCCTTCCAATCAACCGAAGCTTTTACCACTGGACTCGATCATCTTGCTCGCCCTTGCATCTTCTATCACAAACACATCTCCCGCAAATGGTCTCACGAGAGAAGAAACCTTGCCGTACGCAACCCGTGTGTTGGAAGGCGGTAGCTCGAACTGGCAAGTCTACACTCAAGGTCTGCTTGTTCGCAGCAGAATGGAGGGTTACAGATCTAGAACCATCGAACGTGGTCTTTTGCAACTGCAGGCAGTTGTCGACCAAGTCATTGCTGATACAACAGAGGCTCCCGCAGATGGCAGCGCAGACGTAACGGCCACTAGCTTCTTGCGCAAGGGCGACAGCGAAGACTCTGCTCCGGCTTCTGAGAGACTGCGTTACATCTTCCAGATTGCTGCGCCTACTCGATGGGAGCTCGAAGGAGAATTGGCACAAAGATGGGTCACTCTCGGAGGTCTGCGCTCAGCACTCGACATTTATATCCGCTTGGAGATGTGGGCTGAGGCTGCTCTCTGCTATGCTGCTACCGAGAAGGAAGAGACGGCGAAGAAGATTGTGCGTCGCCAACTGTTTAACACCACCAACGACGGCGATGAGGACAATGCTGGAGACGAAGAAGCTTGGGAAGGCTCTGAGAGACAACCTCCACCGGCTGACGCAGCACGTCTCTACTGCATTCTTGGTGACCTCGATCAAGATGCTTCCATGTACGAGAAGGCGTGGGAGGTTTCGGGCCAGAGATATGCTCGTGCTCAGCGCTCGCTGGGTCGCATGTACATTGGCCAACGTGACATGATCAAAGCTGCAGACGCCTATGCTAAGAGTTTGAGAGCAAACCAGCTCAACCACGCTTCGTGGTTTGCTATGGGCTGCTGTCTGCTGGAGCTTGCTCAGTTTGAAAAGGCTGCCGAGGCTTTCTCGCGTACCGTCCAGCTCGAGGAGACAGACGCAGAAGCATGGAGCAACTTAGCTGCCGCTCTTCTCAAGAACCAGGTTCCCACTACCGACGACGAAACCGCTGCACCAGCAGTTGAACTCGCCGAAGACGAAGACGAGTCCATGGCTACCCGGCCTAAGAAGGCCGATCCTCAACAAAACAAGAAAGATGCTCTTCGCGCACTGAAGCGTGCCGCTACTCTCAAGCACGACAGTCATCGTATCTGGGAGAACCTTCTCATCGTCGCCGCCTCCCTTTCACCTCCAGACTACGACACAGTGCTGACAGCTCAACGCCACATCATCGACCTCCGTTCCAAGACCAATGGCGAATCATGTATCGATGTTGAGATTATGGAACATATGATCCGTCACGTTATCGCCTTGAACGACGAGTACGATCCCACAAAGCCTGGATTTGAGCGTCTGCTGGTCGAGATGTTCGACAAGAAGATCGTTCCCCTCATCACGTCCTCCCGCGAGTTGTGGCAACTGTACGCAAAGCTCTGTCTTTGGCGCAAGAAGCCAGCCACCGCATTAGACGCAAACGAAAAGGCATGGAGAGCAGTAAGCAGTCAACCCGGCTGGGAGACCGAGAGCGAAGACCGCTGGAATGTTGTCGTCGACGCAACAGTGGACTTGTGCGATGCATACGAGAGCTTGGGTCAGATGGAAAAGACAGAGGGCATGGCTGCCGGAAGCGGTGCTCTGGTCGCCAAGGACTGGAAGTTCAAGGCCAGAAGCGCCGTCAGATCCATCATGGGCAAAGGCAAGGATTGCTGGGAAGACACTGACGGTTGGGAGAAATTGAAGGAGGCGCTTGAGGGATTGCGTGGTTGAGCGTACCCTATAGGGATGAAATGTTTCTGTTTTCCCAAGAATTGTGCGATCGAAATCTTTCCTTCGCTGGTTTCTGTGAGATTCGTGACTAGTGTTCTCGAGTTGGATATCCCACGTGGAGATATGGGTGATGCGACTGATGCACACATGTCAAAGCCAGATCGCGAAACTCTCATTTTCACGAGTCCATTCTTTTTCTTTAGGCAGCAGCAGGCGTGTGAGTTAGGCAGCCATGCCGCGCACTGAATTTTGGATAAGCAGAAGATAGCAAGACATCAAATTTGTGGTTCCAACAGACTAATCATTGTTAGAAAAAACAGTAAAATATACAGTGACATGGAATATATGGGAATCGTCCCACCAAGTGACAGTTTCCAAACCTCCCAAATTTCGATATCCAAACTTCAAGCTTTCCAAAAACTCCTTGCTAAGAAAAAAATCTTCCGTTGCCCGTTCGTGATATGGCATGATGTAGTAGACCTTGTATGATGTTGCTTAGATGAATTCGCAAATCAACTGCTTGCCGAGGATGATGTCGCCGTCGAGCTTGCTCTTGAGCAGCATGGCCATGACCTTGTTCTCGCAGTCGGCATAGATGTGGTAGCGCGAGTTGTGAGAGTCAAACTCGATGCTCGAGTAGTATTCGTTGAAGTCGTCGTGGAAGAGGCTGCAGTGTTCTTCCAGAGCTGTGGTCCAGTTATCGTAGTCGCGGGATTCGATGATGGACAGCAGCAGGTAGACGCCCCTGGCGCTGGTGGGAGAGCAAGAGCTGCTTTTGAGGTTACCCTTGATGCTTGCCCCGTTATTGTTGGGTTTGGGTGACTTCTTGGTCTTGGGAGCAGGAGAGAATGGTGCCAGGGAGTCTTGACGAGCCCCTGCCTTGTTGGATGTCATGACAGGCTCAGCTGTACTGTCGTTGTGGTCGAGATAGATAGGCTTTGCCTGAGCCTTGATGGTTGTAGACTTCTCAGCCATGGCGAGAAGCTCTTCGGCGCTCTTGAAGAAGTTGGATGGCTGTGGGCGAACCTTGATGATCTTGGTGACCTTGGTGACCTTGGTAACCTTGGTTGTCTGTGCAGCAGTGGACTTTTGCTGCTGCTTGAGAATGTCGCGAGGGAAGGGAGTGGCCCAACCACCACCAAGGGCATTCTGGTGGTTTCTGGCAGCCTTGTGGAGCTTCTGAATTGCAGTTGCTGGAGCCATGATGCAAATGTTTGGTTGTGTTGTAGAAAGGTATGAGTGTTGTGCACGAATGTAAGAGAAATAGAAGCGTTGGATAGCTCGCCGTGATGTGTTGTGAGGTGTGAAATTTGGGAGAAAAAAAACAGTCATTTTCTTGCATTATATATGCCTGCAAAACGAAGCCAACACCGCACCCCGTGACATGAGAGAGTTGTTTTCGCGGAAGTCTCGGACGACAGAAGATTCAGCGAATAGCAACAGCAGACCTCAGGGGACACTGCAAGAATGGTTGGTTTGCATTGCCTCTCGACCGGCCGCCGCGCGCGAGTTTACTGCGATGTGTCTCCCTTCTAATCGAGATAGGTTGTGGCATCTGGCGGACAAGTGCCCTGAGTTCTGATCGAGATGTGTTCCGACTCCTGGTCGATGAGGGTGAGCGTGAGGGTGTATCAGACAACGTGTTTCTCTGGAGGACTAATCAGTGTCGAAAGCTTTGTGTATCTTGACCGGGGACATTCGAGTGGAAGTCTGTCAAGAGAGATTTACAGCAGTCTTTCGGCCATTCTATCTCTATGTCGGTCGTACTGGGTGGATTGTCATGTTTCAGACCTTTGTGATTGAGTTATGTTTCGTGGAAACAATAAGAGAACCGACTGGATTACGCGTAAACAGAGATGGCAAGCGCGATGATATCCTGGGCTTTGCCTTTCGTCAGGGGGGGCTTTGTGGAAGCGGCGCACCGAGTCGGCGAGCAAGCCCAACTCAGACAAGCCAAACGAAAACAGTGCAAAGCCGCGACAAGACAAACACAAAGTCTTTGATCTTTTCACCAACACAAACCTTTGGCTTTGTCTCATCGACCAACGTACAGAAGCGAAATGCCAGCAGCCGAGGGTATCGTCCTGATGCTGGAGTCGCAGTTCGATGCCGACACGATCCCGGAGGCGGCCATACCAGCCAGCCACGCATCCGACGCGTCTGACGACCCACGACTGGTTGATGTATACGTCCCGTCCTACCTCGCCTCTCAGTTTTGGATCTCGTACACAATCAACCCAGCCATGCTCGCGCCGACTCATGCGCCAACAGAGTACATGTTCTTCAAGCTCGTCCTCGACGACGAGTGCATCGTCAGCTGGGGTGTTGGAGAGGCAGAAGAATGGAAAGGCAAAACCATGTGGGCTTTCTTCCGAGGAGAGGACCATGGCGGCTGGCGTACTGTTGACAAGCGCGCCTTCTTCTTTCGCCCTACAGGCGACGACCAAGACTTCGACATCCTTGCGTATCGCGCCAGGNNGGGGAGACGCAGAGCGTGCAGACAGTTCGACGAACAACCACCCATGGGCGAAAAGGGTTTCGATCTTGTCAACTGGGGCCGTCTCAAGGAACATCACCCTCCAGCCTTTTATCAGTATGCTCTCCTGGATCCACTTGACCAACCATACGCGACCTTCCACTATCACATACGAGGCGGTCCTCACGTCCACGCCCGTCGCTCCGATCAGAATTTGGACCAAAGCAGCAACGACTCGTATGTCAGCACAGCCGACCAGCCTTCGAGGCTGTCAGAAGAATTACAAGATGCGTCGCAACTTCGCAGACTGTCTTACCCGCCCACTATCTGTCTCGTCCCCACTTCTTCACGAACCGAGCCCTCGTCACCTACAAAGCTTGATGCAGAGATGTCTGTTTCCTCAGAGCTGGACATGTCATTTCTAGATCCGGATCCACCCATCACGATTGAGTCCCAGCCAGAGCCCGGACAATCCACTGCGGAGTCGCAGCCAGATGCTTTGGGGCAGGAGGATCAGGGGCGCTTAAGCAGTGTGGAGACGGTCCTTCGAAAGCACTCGGTGCAAACGCCTACACCTCTGGAGACGGGACAGCAGGTCACGGATACACCGCCATCAAGTCTTAGAAAGCGCAGCGGAGCAAAGATCAAGGGTTGGTTTGGAAGCATTTCTAAGAGAAGAGCTACCAGGTCAACCTCCCCTGTCCATCGATCATTGTCGCCCAAGAGCAGCTCGGCGTCCCTGTCTTGAGCTGGGTCAGGGCATCCCGAGGACCACACCATGTCAATCTTCACCACCAAGTCCAGAGGTGACAAAGCGTTGCAAAGAGATGGGTTGTTGTACGGTCGAGTGTGGATAAAAGGTGGAAGATTGATTGTTATCTGGTCGTCTCAATGTGGTGACGTGTACAAGAAGCCAAGAAAAAGGAAGAAGAAAAGAAAACTGGGGAGGAGTTTCACATGTCGAGCTTCTCGGCTATGAGTCGAACAGCCATGTCTGCATCTTACTGTAGCGATTAGCAAGGCAGCAGGTCGGTATATCGTGGCACACGGTCACGCGCATCTTGTGCGAATGGTTCAGCAGTACAGTACATGCATCTCATCTCTCAGCGACAATGCTACGGCACTGCGAGCAACCCTATCGCGTGGTCGGTATAGAAATGTACCCCGCTATGGAACGTGGGGAAGCTGCAAGGCACACAAGCCACTGATGCAGATCGCGAACATGTGCTTCCCACACCTGATCCATGTCGGCTAAGACCTTGACGGGTCAGCAGGCCGCTCCCTCCTTTCTCCTCGCACGCCCAACTTGTCTATGAGGGCGCTAGTGAGGTCCTGATCATTCTCATCCTTACCCTTTCTTCGTCTTTGACTCCTCTTCCTAGATCAGCTGGACTGCATCTCTGGCATTTGCCGCCGTCTCTTCTTGGATAGACTCTGCATGATGAAGCTACAAGTGGTTGTGACTGCCGTGACCTCGCTGGTCTCGACGGTTGCTGCTTCCTCGCTGAACCCACCAGTCTTGCCGTTAATTGTCAGGAACCCGTACCTTTCAACCTGGCTGGGCAACGCGAGAGACAAGCCATGGACCAAGTGGCCCATGTTCTATACTGGAGAGGAAATAGGCTTCTCCGTCTTGGCCAGTGTACCTGAGACCAGACATGCCTACCCTCTGCTCGGTCGACCTCAGGATTCGCTGGATGAGAACGACCACACGTCTGTCTCTCTGACCCGTCCGATAGACATATCGCTGACTGGCTTGACAGTNTACAACATCTCTTATCCTGTTTACAAGGGCGCTCAATACGACGCATCCGTGACCAACTTGACGTACCAGATTCCTTCGCTGAACTCGACCTCGGATCATGTCGAGATCGTCCTGTCCTTCTTGTCTCCCGTCACGCCGTCGTCCACTCTCCGCCAGTCCATCCCGGCCTCGTACCTCAGTATCCATGCCACTGGAAGCTTTGACGTTGACGTATACATCGATCTCAACGGCCAATGGGTCAGCGGAGACAGAGGTGCTGAAATAGTCTGGGAGCTTGAGAACGCCGAGACGGAGAAACTCAAGAGCTGGGTTGTCAAGAGAAAGGAGGAGCTGCTCTTCACAGAATGGAGTGATCGTGCCGAGTGGGGAAGTCTGAGATTTACTGGCCCTTCGGTGAGCATGAGTTACAACACGAGTTCATCAGCATGAGACTAACGAGTCAACCAGGACGTCCGCCACGAGAGTGGGACATCGGGTATCTTGAGAAATCGCTTCTCTCGTACGGGAACGCTTCAAAACGAGAATGACAACCACTTCAGGACTATCATGCAAGACGAGCCCGTTTTCGCCTTCTCCAAATCCTTCAATCTCGCTCCCAACACGACCAGCCACAAGAAGACTTCGTCCGACAGCGTCCTCTTCACCATTGCCCACATACAGGATCCCGTCACCCAGTATGCCTCTGCGCGTGGCTTGACTTTCATGCGCCCACTATGGAAGACTTGGTTCCCTACCGACGACAACCTGACTTCGTTCCACTACTTGGATTTCAAGAATTCTCAGAAGCTCGCACAGAACTACTCTGACCAGCTCGCCATCGACGCATATCAATCTGGCTCTGACTCATATGTCGACATTGTTGCTCTCTCGGCTCGTCAAACCATGGGAGCTACGAGTTTCTCAGGCACCCAAGAGAACCCACTGCTGTTCCTCAAGGAGATTTCTTCAAACGGAAACAGCCAGACTGTTGATGTCATCTTCCCAGCCTTCCCTTTCTTCCTCTACACACAACCTCGATGGTTGGCATACCTTCTCGAGCCTCTGATTGAGCACATGCTTTCTGGCCAATATCCGAACGATTACAGCATGCACGATCTGGGTACACACTTCCCCAATCTGACAGGACATGCTGATGGCAAAGATGAATACATGCCTGTTGAAGAGTGCGGAGACATGCTGATCATGGGTCTTGCTCTGGTCAATTCGTTGACCTATGACTCTGGACATGAAGCTCAGTCGATCTGGTCTGCGCTCGGTAGTGACCACGTTTCCCAACCTGACGAGGACAGTCCATTCGCTTTGGGTACCCTACAAAGTCAGGATGAGATTGTTGGTCTGGATGACAGTTGGGGTGGCTCAACTCAAGGCGTCAAACAGGCACGAAAGTGGCTCGACAAGTCATATGGTTTGTGGAAGCAATGGACTTCGTATCTGGTCGAGTACAGTCTAGAGCCTGAAAACCAGTTATCAACCGATGACTTTGCTGGATGGTTGGCTCTTCATACCAATCTGGCTTTGAAGGGTATTGTCGGCATCCGAGCCATGAGCGAGCTGGCTACCGTGATGGACAAGAAAGACGACGCAAAGCACTTCCGCAACATCTCGGACACTTACGTCAAGCGCTGGGAGGAGCTCGCCATCTCTCGTGACGGCACACATGCAAAGCTCGCATACGACTGGTACGGCAGTTGGACCACGCTGTACTCGCTCTATGCCGATGCATTACTTTGCTTCCATCCTTCAACAACAAATGGTAGCAACTCTCAATCTGTCGACGACTATGCTCAAGTCTCAGGCGGCAAGCAAGAGCCCATCCTCGAGCCGCCAACCAAAGACTTTATACACAACCACATCTACAAGATGCAGTCAGACTGGTATGCCACAGTAATGCAGAAGTACGGACTTCCNCTCGACTCTCGCCATCTTTACACCAAGTCCGACTGGGAATTCCAAGCCGCGGCCGTCGCTTCTCGCAAAACGCGAACAGAGATCTTGGATAGGGTGTCAAAGTGGCTGAATGAGACTGTTACTGATAGACCTTTCACTGATCTGTATGATACAGAGGGTGAAGGTGGATTCCCTGGTCCCAACTTCTTCGCCAGACCGGTTATTGGTAGTCACTTTGCGTTTTTGACGTTGGAGAGGGCTTGCGGTGGTACCGCTATGCAAGGGTTGAGTTTCTTGGATGAAGAGTAGGTGGTTTGTGAAGTGTTTTGGGAAATGTTCTGGTGGTCCAGTGTGTTTAGTTTGGGTGGTGATGGTACAAGAGTAAAGACAGGACAGATACATGATTATGAGCTTGCAGTGGTCTTTCTCTACCGCTCAGATCTTCGTCCCATGCACTGCGACAAGGATTTTGATAGTGCTCGGACAACTCTGACGCTTTTTGAATTGGCAAGTGTACGGCCTTTTGAGCGTCAGGGTCGTACCCTTGGCATGTGCTTGACGACATGAAACTCCAACCACACCTTGATCAAAATGATATCTTCAACTTTTCATACCACTTGTAGATTCCTTTTAGAGTATTCATGATATCCAGTTACAGCATTCATGGATACCGATGGTTATTGGAACGACATTGACGAAATCCGTTTCTGCAATTCTACCACACAGCACACCTCAGGAAAAAAAAAAAGAATATTTCAAAGATCATACATCATAAAAACAAAGTCGTAAAAGGCCCCTACTCTGCAACCCTCGACATGGGTCCATACCCACCCGTAAACTTCAACAACAAAGGACCATAGAAATACAACGGCACGGCACCCAACAGCAAAAAATACTGAATGGCCGCCATCTCGCCAAAAGTATCAGAAGCACCCTGTCTAGCAATCCAATCGCTGGAATACATGCTCAATACACAAGCAATGGCATTGCGAATCACAAATACTATCACTAGAGCTTCGCCGGCAAAGGCAGAGTAGCAGTCTACAATGTAGGTGACGACGATGTTGCTGAGTGCTGTGAGGGCAAAGGCGTGCATGCCGAAACCGAATGCGGGGCCCACCCAAAGAGTCTTGTGGGCGATGCATTGGCCGTAGGTTATGATACCTAGAGGGCCGATGAAGGCAGGGATGACGAGAGCGAGAAGACGGATCTCGGGGCGTGGCCGGGAAGCCTGGCGACGGGCTCGGTTGGCGATGAGATCGATGAGACGGCCTCCAAAGTAAAAGGAGAGGAGTGCGCCGATGAAGGCGGATAGAGAAAAGAGACCCACGTCACCTGTGGTCCATCTATAGGGTGGTTGTGTGAATGTCTGTGTGGTAGCGATTTGGACGACGATGGTCCAGCCGACGAAACAGCCGATCAGGATGCCGGCCCAAAAGACGGGTGGGTAAGTGGCCATGCGTAGGATATCCCAGAATGTGCGTAGGAAGTGACCTTGAGGATTGTATCCAATCGTTGGGGAGAGCCAAGCGACATAACTTCTCTTGGCTGGTCTATCGTCTTCAGGATGTTGTATGCGAGGCTTGCTGTACTGCGTTTCTCGGACAAGGAAGAAAGTGCAAACAAGCAAAACACCAGAGAAGATGGCGATGAAACCACAACTCCAGCGCCAGCCATGCAATCCAACAATGTAGGCATTGATCAGTGGCCCCAAGAAGAGACCAGATGCCAAAGCTACATGAAAGAACATCATGCAATGGCCGCGCTGGTCGAAGAAGAACATCTCCGCCACAAGAGAAGGAACCGTGGCATCAGCACAAGCGGCACCAACGCCACTGAGCATACGCGCACCGAGTAGACTGCCCCATGTCTGTGCAAATGCACTCCAGATATTGGCCACAGTCAAGACAGTCAAAGCCATGAGGTATACCGGGCGTTTACCAAGCACGCGCATCAAAGGTACCCAGAACATGTTGCCCACTCCAAACATGAGGACATTGAGTCCGACCAGAAGAGTCGCATCCGCGGCATCGATGTGAAAGTGTTTCCGTAGTGGCACTATAGCGACAGTGAAGTTGCTCCCGTTTACATTGGCGATGAAGGTAAAGAAACAGACTGTAAGATAGACCGAGATCTTGACAGACAGAGGCCAGTNTCTGAAAATGTGTCAGCAAGCCCCGTAGGCCAATTTTGAAACACGACTTACAAGCGGATCGTTGGGGTCGTTGCTGGGTACTGGTAGGCGAACATTGCCTGTGTCCCCAGCAGTTTTCAGGTTCTCAACATCATCGATTCTAGTCTCTCGTGTTTTGTCTGCCATAGCTGTGAATGAAGCTGTGTCGATGTGTCATGGAATTTTAAATACACAGTCCGAATGTTGATTATGTTGGGATGGTGAAAGAAGAGGACATCTTCAACACAACCAAGACAAGTCAGCCATTAGTCGAACCCCACCTACCTGTGTTCATCATCTCCTATCTAAGGTCGGCAGGTAGGACTGCAGTATGCATACAGCATCCCCACGAAGATCTACAGACGACAATACCAGTTGTAGCTGTCGTGGGACGATGATACGGCAGGAAGTGTAGAACGAATGTGGAGAACGTGGAGAAGAAGTCTCCAACCCAGAATTAGGGCAGAGCGCGGATCACGGAAGCACGGCGTGGCCGTCTCGGACAAAGAGCGACCGAGAAGGAAACGAAAAGAGCATGCTCGCACAAGTTGCAAAACGAGTTGAGCCGAAATGAGACCCTTGCCCGTCGGAGCGTGTCTGTTTCTGTAAGTAACCGCAGTGCCGCCTCGAAGAAGTGCGGGATGGGCGGTTTCGAGCAAGGGATAACCAAGCAAAGAAGCGCCGCCCACCAGGAGGGCGAGACCATTCACCTTTAGCCTTTCGAGATAAGAGAAATCAAGCATCGCTTCGGCGATATGCGAGAAGCACGTGGGACTGGCCGGCCTAAAGTTCACCAACATGACGAAGGAAGATAGCTTTTTGGCAAAAGCCACACGCACGCCCACACCTTCACCCTCGCTTTTTTCTCGAAGCTGTGGGGTACGGTGACATCCCATGAAATCGGCCGCTCTGCGGAGGTGCTCGGCATATTTCGTGGAGAAGGGACGATGGAGGCCGCTTCACAGAAGGCCCGATTTAACGCCTTTTCTTTTGCTTCTCGGGCTCACTCTTTCTCTTCATGTGCATACAGGCTAAATGCTCGACTTGTGAATAACCGCCAGCAGGACCGAATTGAAAAGCAACGTCAACGCCATATTGACGCCGACAGTATGCCCGTCCTTTGCACGCTTGTCCTAATGGCGAAGCAGACATGGGGAGAGAAGTTGTGTATATTGCCGAAGGTGTTATAACTGACGTGGTGCTCATGACATCGTCAAGATCAACAATCGAGTGCAAGAGGTAGGTGTTGAAACGGCATTGTTTCATGGTATCAAGTGTTTACTGAGCCAGTGATGACCCTCTCAAGGCGTCATCTACCTCTTTCTTTGCATCGTACCCGTAAAGCCACGGTTGTACCACAGGGCAGGNTCCTGAAACTGATGTCAGCAGATATTCCAGAAGTCCGACAGTTTTCTGTTTCGCTCACCAACGACTCGGAAACTTGACCTCAGGCTCTTCCTTGCCGAGTTGACCTGCAAATAGCTCGTCGCGTGCTCGTTGCTCTTCTCCATCCATCATGTGGAAGTCGTTCCTTTGGGCAAAGGTCTCGCGAACAATGGCTTCACCACGCTTCTTTCTCAGGTTCTCGTACAGACGTAGTGCCTCAGGCAGCTGCTCTTTGCTCTTGACTACGGCGAGCAGGTTCCCGAGCACTGCACCGTCCTCCAATGACGAGTTCGCACCCTGAGCCAGGTAGGGTAGCATGGGGTNGGCTATAGGCTATTAGCACGAGCAGACCTCGTTCAATGGCAGAATGGTCGTCACTCACCAAGAATCTCCCAGGAAGACAAAGTTACTCTTCTTGCTAACCCAGCTGTCTAACTCTGGACGGTGCATCAACTTCCACTTGTCGACGGTCTTGACATTGTCAAGGAAACGATTCAGGATAGGATCCCATTTGGTGAAGATCTCTCTCATCTCACTAATGTCTCCGGAAGATCTCGATACATCTGGAGGCAGATTATCAGGCACAAGAAGCACGATATTGTACTGCTTGCCACCGCGAACAGAGTATGCGACAACATGAGCTCTAGGACCAATCCAAAAGTGGCATGCCGGTTTCGACACCCATTGCCGTAGCTCGGGATCCTGGAGATCATCTAGATCGAGGACAATACGGTATGCCAGATCTCCGGTCGGGAGCGGTGCGTCCTCCTTGCCAGATTGCTTCAGGAAATGCGCCCTACACTTGGACCACAATCCATCGGCACCGACCAAAAGGTCTGCCTCATATGTGGTTCCATCATCCAGATGTATAGTTGACTGTTCAAAGTCCACACTGATTACCTTGGAGTTCAGCCTCAGCTTGACGCCCAAATCCTTTGCTCTTTGTGCAAGTGTCTTTTGCAGATCCACACGGTGCAAGTCCCAAAAGGGTGCTCCATACTTGGCTCGGATCTTCTTGTCGAAATCCTGCTGCAAGGCGAGCACTTTTCCGTCAGAATACCTGTGCACGGCGAGGAAGGTCGGCTCTGCCGCCAACGGTTCGAGAACCTTATCAATGCCCCATTGCTGGAACAGTCTCGATGCGCTGGGATTGCATGGTCAGGGAACCTGTTCTCTCTTTCTTGTCCTCGGCTATTGAGACCGGGTGAGCCCGGATCTGCTGGGTTCTTACTTTGGTGTAATCTGTAGGCCGGCTCCGATNNCTGATTTGTCGGTCAGCGATGAGTTCCCTTTTTGTCGGCAATCGCGTTTGCACTGTGCGAGACGTACCTCTGCCAGTTCTCTTGCTTGTTCCAGGACTGTCACGTTGTGGCCGCCGAGGGCACAGGAGATGGCCGCAGCCAAGCCACCGAGGCCGGCTCCAATCACGATAATATCAAGGGATGAAGAGGTCGCAGAAGGCATATTGTCGACGAAATTGCGAAAGGGGTGTGGGAAAGACTGGGAGCAGTCACAATTGTTTATAAGTAGAATAACAAATCAACGAGCTCTCCACGCTGTTGTCTGGCCTGCCCTACATGAGCATCCACAAGCAGCACTCCGTAAAGACTTACCGACTTCTGATCCCCACCCCCACAACTGCCCAGAACAGCCGTCAGGCGGGGAAAGAAGGGCATGTGAAAAACTGTGGGAAGGCCGGCGGAAGTTTTGGCGCTACCCGTCGCTAACTCCAGCGCGTAGCATGGTTGCGGAGTAGTCGCGAGATTGATGGCGGATTACGTCTGTGTTGTCTATCGGCCCGACCTGGGCCCTTTTCCGCCTTGTGAGACCTTTGTCGTCCCCTTCCTCCACACCTGAGAGCGAGAAGCGCCGCCGGGTAAAGAGTGACAGAAGGTGGAATAACGAGGGCAAAAGACAATCCGCCGTCCCGATGGGGGGTCCATGTGCCCACGAGTTCGTCCGCAGCAGCGCCGCGAGCTCGTTTGTATTTATTCCGATGCCTCGCCCATACTTTTTGAGCATTTGAGAGAAGAGTCGCGCGACACCCCATTTTTGAACAAAATCAAAACTCTACGGCAGCAAACATGTTCTCCCCGGACTACTTCCACACAGCCTCGGCTCCGAAACTGCAGGACTATCACGACTATGCCCAGGCTCACATTCGGGACAGACGTATCTCGTTATCACCTCTGGCCAAGAAATGGCTCCGGAATTATAGAGAGCCCTACAAAGGCTTTACTTCTGATGGGAACATTGTGCCCGGTCTCTGGAAGTCCAACTCCAATGCCAATGGACCGACACAGGCGATGGTGGATGCCGCTCAGTACTTGCTCTCAGTAGCATCGGCGAACGAAAAGGCACGGTTCCGTCATCTCGTCACTGCTAGAGAATGGCGTGCATGGTCAAACCCAGAGGTTCGTAATGGCGTGCGAGCATGTTCGTAACATTTGACTGACCAAGATCAGGTTATCGTCATGGAATGTGGTCTCCGCGTTGATGCCATGACTGCAGACACCATGAATGCAGTATACGAGCTACTCAGAGTTTCATTAAGTCCTGAGGGCTTCGAGAGAGTCTGGACGGCGATGATGATGACCCAAGCCGAAAACCAGGAAGACTTGCACCGCATCTCTGGCTATCAATTCTGCCTGTTTGGCGAGCCCGGTCCATTCTCACCTTGGGGTTTCAACTTGTTCGGCGACAATGTCTGCGTAAACGTCTTTACTCTCAGCGGAGAAGTTGTCATTGGACCTTTCTTTGTCAGTGCTGGTCCCAGTTTCACCGAGCAGGGCTTGGTAGACGGTGTGCAAGTTTTTGAGAGAGAGGAAGCAGCTGGACTCGCATTGATGGCTTCTCTCGAACCACAACAACAGCGTGAAGCCAGTCTTTTGGGCGAGATCGAGGACTTTAGCATGGATCAAGATCTGTTCGATCCCATGGACTACCGCAGTCTGGGAGGCGCACAACAAGACAACAGAATCGTGCCATACGAAGGCATCTGTGCTGCCGACCTCAACTACGATCAACAAAGAGCGCTTCTCAACATTGTGCGATCGTTCAACCAAGTACTGCCTCAAGACTCGTTGGATTCGTTCATGCAGCGCGTGGAAAGCCATCTCGACGAGACATACTTTTCCTGGCTTGGACCCGTTCACATGGATGCACCTTTCTACTTCCGCATCCACAGTCCGGTGGTGATGGATGAACTCGACCATCAAGATGGTATCATGGTGCCAGGAACATCGAGCAAACAATACCGCATTCACGCCACGCAGCGCTTGCCCAACAGAGGCGACTATGGCGCAGCACTGCTTGACGAGTGGGTGATGAAGATGGCCGGATTCGACAGAATCGGCAGCATGGTTCGATGAAAAGGATGATGAACTGGCTCGATTATATTGTTTTGGGAGCGAGGCGCTTGGTGAATTGTATTTGGAGATGATGTTTTTACGATACCCTTGATGAATAATGGACATTGCTATTTGTTTACTCCTGACTCGGGTGCATACTGTATACTGCATACTGCATGATGTCGTGCATGAATGTTGATGAAGGCGATGAAGACGATATTACACGGGCCGAAAGATAGGCAGAGCCATTAGTCAGTGGCATGTTGACGCCATTGTCCATGACGTTACGGCAAGACGGACGGATAGTCGAAACCAGGCGCAACTGATTGTCCATCTCGAGCATCGCTAGAGTGTGTGAACGGTATATGTTGAGGCATAGGATACCAAGCGCAATGACAGGAAATTTCTCGGTCAAGAATGTGTGCATAGTGGGTGCTGGGCCCTCAGGATTGGCTTGCGCAAAGTAGGCGGCGTCGCGACCTGTTCGAGCTCGTGCGACCAACGAAGCTGATGTCTGTAGGTATCTACTTGCTGAAAAGGCATTTGAGCGCATCGATATCTACGAGCAACGATCGCGTGTCGGAGGTATCTGGGATTACTCGCCAGAAGAGAAGACACCCGATGACCTCCCTGTACCCAGTGTGACACCGCACGCCGGCCTTGCCAAACCGAAATGGCTGCAATCGGGCACCAGGAAGGCGCTGGGGAGTCGCATCGAGGAGGAGTCTTTGTTCCTTAGCCCGCTGTATGATCGCCTGGAGACCAACATTCCGCGCACGTAGGTCGAGTCATCTTGACCCTTAAACCTGTCCCGACTGACGCTCAGCACAGCNTTGATGGGCTTTTCCGACTTCGACTGGCCACAAGACTCGCAACTCTTCCCCAAGCACGAGACCGTCACCCAATACCTCGAAGACTATGCTGCCGATATCAAGCACCTCATTCACTTCAACACCCAAGTCCTGGACATCAACTTGGCTGGTACCAAGCAAGACGGCCAAGATGTATGGTGTGTCAAGACGCAAAGAGTAAAACATAATACCCAGGGGGCTGTTATAGAGACCAGATACGATGCTGTCGTTGTCGCCAATGGCCACTTTGCCGTGCCTTTCATCCCCCAGATCAAGGGCATGAAGGGGTGGGCCGAGCAATATCCAAACGCCATCTCGCACTCCATGTACTACAAGAAGCCAGAAGACTACACAGACCTCAAGACCATTGTCGTTGGCAGCGGCGCCTCAGGTATCGACATCGCCATGCAGCTCATGCAAGCATGCAAGTTGCCCCTCATACAATCCCAAAAGTCAAAAGGATTCCTCCTTTCCGACCCCACGCCGAAAAAGCAAGAACGGGAGGAAATTGTCGAGTTCATCATTGAAGATAGAGCTGTGCGCTTCGCCGACGGCACTGTTGAAAAGGACATCGACTGCATCCTCTTCTGCACCGGTTACTTTTATTCCTACCCTTTCCTCAACAATCTAGACCCACCACTCGTCACCAGTGGCACCCACGTCGAGAACCTATATCAACACTTGATATATCGTCCACACCCTACCCTCTGTTTACCCACCCTACAACAACGCGTCATCCCCTTCCCAATGGCAGAAGCACAATCCGCAGTCATCGCCCGCCTCTGGAACAACCGTATCTCCCTCCCCTCAATCTCCTCCATGAAAACCTGGGAACAGAATCTCTTGAACGAAACAAACGGTGGTGGTAGAGACTTTCACCTCCTCCTATTCCCCAAAGATGCGAATTACATTAATGCCATGTTTGAGTGGTCCATGTCTGCATCTGATGCAGAAACAAAAGGCAAGCGACCACCAAGATGGGGAGAAAAACAATACTGGATGCGAGAAAAGTTTCCAGAGATCAAAAAGGCTTTTCAGGATAGAGGAGAGGGTAGACATCAAGTGAGGACGTTGGAAGAGCTGGGCTTTGACTTTGAGAAGGTAAAGGAAGAGGTGTATGTTGAGCAGAAGAGTTTGCTGTGATAGACTGCTATAGCTGAGAAGTGTGCTTTAGAGAGTCAATGGTAGAGTATAGAAGAAGATGAGGTAGATCTAGGTCACCTTACAATTTTCATGGTCGGCATTTCTCCCACGCTCAACGAAACAGTGCTATAGTATGTTAGAGCATTGCATCAATGTCTATCAAATCAGATGCTCTTCTCAGCCAGAACCCGACGCCGCTTCCTTCGCATACCCATTAAACTCGCCAGTCTCCTTGAGCAAAATTGGCAACTCCTCGTACCTAAACGCTTGACGGATATCCGTATGCCTAGGCCGCCAACCCAACTGCCTCAATCTCTCGGCCCTGTTTCTCGCATTACTCGCAATAACCACATCCGAGTACTTGCCAAACAAATCACCATACTGTTGCTCTGGTATCTCTCGTGGCGAAGCATCTTCAATCTTTCCAACTGCTTTCAACTCTTTACCGATGAAGTTTGCGCATTCGGCCCAAGTGGCTTCTGTACCGTTTTCGCAGAAGAAGTACGGGTTTTCCAGACTTACGGTTTCTGGAGAGTTTTCTAGCCATTGAAGGATTGTGGCGTAGCCGTGGGAGAGATCTTTGACGTGTATCAGACCCCAGATTCCTTTGCCTCCTCCTACGTAGCCGGCGTACTTGTGTTTGAGGGCAAAGCGAGCCATGGTGATGACTTGAATGGACAGTTTTTCATGACTGGAAGCACCGTAAATCAATGGCGGTAACACGATGAACAGTTTTGCTTTTGTGCCTAGTTTGTTGCGGGCGGCGAGGATGGCGAGATCGATTTCTCGATGTGAAGAGGAGTCTGGTCGAGCGTCTAGATCTGCTGGGTTGGTGTCTGTGTAGATCTTGTCGCTTCCGTATTCGCCGTGAGAATCGTCGCTGAGGAAGGAACATCCGCTTGTGTGGATGTAGAAGGTGTGTTTGTCTTTAGCGGCTCTTTGCTCGATCCCTTTTATGACGGCTTGCACAGAGGGCAGGTGGTCGGCTGTAGCGGTGTGGATCACGATATCATGAAGTGCGGTTTGTTGGGTAATGAGATCCAAGTCATCGATTGTACCCATCACCACCTCGACGTTTTGTTTGTGTTTTAGTTCATCGGCTGCTTCTTGTCGGCGGATTAGAGTCGTGACGCTATACCCAGTTTCTAGCAGTCGGTCCATGACTTCGAGGCCAATGTAGCCGGGACCGATCAAAAAGACCTTTTTGCTGTTGGAGTCGGACATTTTTTATTTGGGCTTGCAGATGGTATGGGATAAAGTTTGGATGAATGGAGTCAGAGGAAAGAGATGATAGGGCTTATATCGTGGCGGAGTTGGAAGTCGTGATGCCCCACCTTCCACGCAACAATGACACAATGAGGGGTCAAGGAATGATATGATCACTGCCTTGCCTGCTCTCACAACTACCAACCAGAGCAGACATATTGTGGCTGGGCCATCTGATATTCGGATTATACCGGACCAGAACTATGTGTGTCGATTTCTGATGGTAAGGTGACTCGATCAAGATACATACTTGTTTCGTAATTACGTGCATTGATAACAGCGAAACGATCAATACAACACCCGAATAACACTATATACAGGAACAGTAAAAACCGACCACAATCCCAATGTGACTGGCCCCTCAAATCCAACTCATCATCCAGCAATCGACAATCTAGTAAACATATCTCCAGCCGCGCTCAACACCGCTGTGCTCACTGTAACCCTCTGCCTCATCGAGCTTCTTGTTCAACTTCTTGGCCCTCCACTTGACGGCCCATGCAAGAAGTACAGTGCACAAGCACCCAAACAAAATCAACCCACCACCCAATCTGTAAAAAGGTTCCTGGCTCCTAGGGAAAAAGTAAGGAGAATACCAATGCGAGACTTGACTGATACAATTGGCAATAGCGATCAGTGCTGCTTTCTTACTGCGCGGAGCAGGTACAAGAGTGGTCTCCCAGGAAAGCTGCAAGTTGAGACCGTTGTAGGTTCCGCTGACAAGTAGGATGGCGCCAAAGTAGCGGGCACCGACGTTTTCGGTCGAGATCATGACGGCGATGCCTACGGCGGAGGCAACGATGGGGATGATGATGTGGTAGCAGGATTCTCTGAATCTGCCAGAGCTCCAGGCGAGCGCGCAGGCACTGATATATGCGATGGCGTATGGAGGAGCTTGTACGAGGTAGGTTTCCAGCTGGCCGAAGCCGAATGTCTTGATGANTCTGGTAGGGTGTCAGTGGGTAATTTCAGACGGATGCAGATAGGTCTGACATACCGAGGGGAAGAAATCCTTGAAGGACTGGGCGTTGATCAGACTGAAGTGCATGCCACAGAACATCCAGGTGAAAGGGTCTTTGCAAGCATCCTTGAGACCGTCCCAAGTACCGCCGACCTGCTCTTCCTTGCCTCCATTAGAGACAATGACGCGGTATTGAGCCATTTCTCTCTCCTCCTCCGAGAGCCATCTGGTATTCTCAGGCCAATCTGGCAGAGTGAAGAACGCGATGATACCAACAAGAATACTGATTGCACCTTCGATAATGAAGAACCATTGCCAGCTTTTGGTTTTTGTCAGCTAAAGACTTCAAAAAGGCTTGAGCCAAGGGGATGGAACCACATACCTATAGAGTCCTGAAACTCCTCCCATATGCTGGAGAATACCTGCAGCAAGGAAGCCCGAAATGATGTTGGAGATTGTGTTACCAGCGTGCCAGACAGCCATGCGAGTTGGATTCTCCGCCTTTATATACCATGAAGAAGTCACTATACATTGTTAGACCGGACAAAAGCACCAATCTTTGGGGTCAAGCATACTAAGAGTGATTCCAGGGAAGAAGGGCGCTTCACACAGTCCAGTAAAGAAGCGTATGATGCAAAATCCAGCACCACNTATCGAACAGAGTCAATTGATCAGGCTTCAAGATATATGGAGGCCGACTTACGATGTGACTGCCGGCATGGTGATAGTACAGATGCTCCAGCCGATCATCATGGCAGGAAGAATTATGCTCGGCTTGAACTTTGCCAAAACCAAGTTGCCCGGCAATTGACCAACAAGGTAACCAACATAAAAGGTCGAGATACCAGCACTCCAGACGGTATCGCTCATACCAAGGTCATCCTGGAGACCGGCAAGACGAGCGTTGGACACATTGATACGATCAAGGTAGCNTAGATGATGGTTAGTGTTGCTGCCAGTCAACAGTTTTCAGCATGTCACACACTTGAGTAGAAACATGATCGTAATCGTGGGCATCATGCGCCAATCGATTCTTCGGAGGACACGCTTGTTCAGCGCAGCCATCTGGTCCTCATCCAGATCGCATAGCGTTGTGAAACGTGCTTGGATTGCTGCAGGCGTGATGTTCTCGGTGGTGTTGATGACAAAGTCGATCTTCTCGATCGACGCGCCATCGGACTTTTCGGCGGACATCTTAGTGGATATCGGTTTGTGGTACTCGGTATGAAAAGATTGAGATTGAGATGATGATAGCAAGGAAATAATCGTGCGTCTTCCAAGGCCTATTCATACTTGTTCACGACATCCGGACGGGTTCCATTGTGGCTGTTGGATTCAATCGCCAAGTTGAAGCAGACTCACCTGAGTGAACCTCTGTGACCGCAGCAAATCCTACTCGCCAAGTTAGACAAGACCTCCATGTTCTGTGGGGTATACCCCATGGGGCAAGGTCGTTGAGAAGGACATGGAGAAAATGGTAGAGAAATGGCAGACAGAAGAGACGTACACAGCGGAGGCTTGCTTGGCTACCAGATGTTGTACACTTGGCGTATCCTGGGCATATTGACCTCTGTGGAGACATCGTGTCCACGGAGTGGACTCTGTCACTGCCACGGAAGTGTTGCGGTGGCTTCGGCGAGAAATCCGTGCGAGTGAGCACTCACTAGAAGCCGGAAAGAAACATCCGCGGATACGAGCATCCGTTCCATCGAGAGTGCGCGGGTCAATCCAGCTTTTGCTCCTCCATCCGAATGGAAGCACATAGCGGTTGTTGATGTGTCGGCCATGGCATCGAGTGATTGTCTGTCCTGTATGACATATCGATATAAGGTAAGACTGCCTCGGGAATGGGAAAACTCTTGGAAGCAGAATTCCTCGCAATCGTAACCAAGTCTTCAATCAACTGTCAGGAGTCGAAATTCCACAATGTCGACAGCCGCTATATCCTCGACCACGGTTGCATTGCCTACGACAACACTTCCGAAGAAAAACAAAGCACATGTGCATCCTCTCACATCTCTATTCGCCGGAGCCGTAGCAGGAGGCGTTGAAGCTGGTGCGTCCCATGCAATAGCAGAGCTTGCACAACCAAAGCGTAGTGCTAGATTCTGACAATCACATNNAGGCATCACCTACCCTTTCGAGTATGCCAAAACCAGCAGTCAATTGCGATCTCAAGGAAAACAAGGGAGTGCTTTCCAAGCACTTCGTGGTGTAGTGGCAACCCAAGGACTATCAGGTATCTACACTGGCTGTAGTGCTTTGATCGTTGGCACTGCCCTTAAAGCCGGCGTTCGCTTTCTCGCGTTCGATACCATCAAAGCTCAACTTGCAGATGAGAACGGAAAGTTGTCAACATCCGGAGGTATCTTGGCGGGAAGTGTAGCAGGTGCCGTGGAAAGTGTCCTCGCTGTGACGCCGACTGAGCGAATTAAGACCGCTCTCATTGATGATGGCAAAGGCGCCAAACGATTCCGATCAACTCCTCATGCAGTCGGTATCCTGATACGCGAACAAGGCATCGCGGGACTGTATCGCGGTCTAGTGAGTACGACCATCAAGCAATCAGCCACTTCAGCAGTCAGAATGGGATCATACAACACACTCAAAACTCAGTACGCAAGCTACTTTGGACATGCGCCAAAGACAACGCCGGAGACATTTGCCATCGGTGCCTGCGCTGGTTTGATTACTGTGTATGCAACACAGCCATTCGACACAATCAAGACTCGTACACAAAGCAGTCAAGGCGAGACGCTCGTACGAGCCATGAAGGGAGTGTGGAGTGATGGCGGTGTTCGTGGATTCTGGAAGGGAAGTGGCCCAAGACTTGGTAGACTTCTCCTCTCGGGTGGAATCGTCTTCTCAGTGTATGAGAGGATATTGAGCTTCTTATCTTGATCTCGTGATTTTCCTTGATGACCGAAGCAAGCTGCGTTCCTTTCATGTTATATACCACATAGATTTTGTTTGTTAGGCATCTCCTACAGACGATGAATTCGACACTTACGACCTTCACGGCTTCGCGTTGCAGGTGCATCGTATAGAAGGATCGGCGTGGTGCAAGCGCGCATCGCGCCTTCCAGTATACACGGTTTTGATTGTGAATCGAGATTCTCGCGATATCAATGTGTGTCGCGACTGAACAATGGAGGAGCCAGACAGTGCGAGAGCGAGCTTGTGGCTGAGCATTGACCACACAAGGTGACGACTGAACATCGTCGTCAGGAATGTCCATGTCATCCAACCTTTCTGGCTATGACCTTCAGCAAATCTGACAGCAAGATCAGGCACAGCAGTCGGAGATGGCATTACACGGTCGGTACCCATCGGCTCATAGAATCGAATGTCGATAATGCCGTTACCCGTCGCCGGTCCGATCGGCGAGGTCCGCCCCACTGCTGCCTGCCCCGCCCAGGAGTAGGCGAAACATCCCACGGCATCTCGGATCCTTGCTTCCCTCTCAATCACCAGTGTCGCACTTCACGATAACGAAGATTCATCAGCAATTATCCGCGGAAGACAGCACCTTGTCACAACATCATGCCTCCTGAGCGACGACATGTCCGTGCACAGCAAGCATGCGCATACTGCAGACAGCGCAAGGTCCGTGGCCTCCACTCTCTCGGTGCGCTACCCCCACACTTCTTCCGGAGTGTTGGAACATTGTGAAGAAGCATAGTTGCTCAGGGAGCAGTGAAGTAGCCACCGAGAGCTCCTGTTATGTTGGCTCTCAATGCTACTGTCCTGCTTCTTGATCACATCGTGTATTCATCAAAATACCCGCAATACCAACTAGCATTTGTGGAGGATGAGACCATGCGCTAATCTTAGAATTAGATGAAATGTACTGGTGAACGACCTCGTTGTAAGAACTGTGAGATTTACGAGCAGGAGTGCGTTTTCAGCGGTCCTACACGAAGGCCACGTCCTACCAACGCTGCACTCAATGAACTACTCGAGGAAAATCGGCGTCTCCGCGAACAAGTGTCAACAGACAGCCCGCCTAATCGAGCTCAGATTGAAGCAAGTCACGATGACATTAGGGTTACAACAGCAGAACAAGCGATACCACATGAGGACCCTCCTGTCAACATGATCCCCGTAGAGCCAGTTCGCCGCCAGAGCGATGACCCAGTACGTATACGATTGTGCAGAACCAAAACAATATCTCGAGTTCTATTTAAGGAGATTGATCTCCTATTGCGTTGCAGGGTGATGTTTAGGAAGCTTGAGGCCTCCATTGAGAGCTTGCACTTTCGCGAGCGACGACAGGCTCTCCATGGCGGCCTCTAGCTCTTTGAATACTGGTGTGCAATGGAATGGATGTTGTTGTGTATCGGTATTCTTCAAGAAACATGCTAATTGTACTCCTGGCTACAGGTCGAAACGCCAGCTTCTGTAGGCAGCACGACTTACCATGGCCCTACAAGCACGTTGTTCAACGAAGCAGCGTCATCTAACAGACAGTCTCGATCATACTTGACCAAGGAACGAGAAACATGGATGCCTAGGATCCTAGTGGCAGCAGCAGCAGAGCAGCGACAACTCGAGAGCATCAACTTTCGTGCCGGCAAGCTCGATTTCGATGGCGTCGATCCCGAACTTGGTATGCACCTGCTAAATCTTCACTGGAACCGACAACATCACTCCTTCCTCATCACATATCGACCTGCATTCATGAGAGATATGGCCTGCAACGGGCCGTACTTCTCAAAGATCCTACTTAATGCCATATTCTATGGAGCTTCCAAGTTCAGTCCGCGACTGGACCTACGCAAGGATCCCAACGACGTCAGAACAGCTGGCTGGCAGTTTCGCAATCGTGTGCGCGATCTTCTTGGACAAGCACTCGACCACAGCGAGATTACCACAATTCAGGCATTACTGCAGATGAGCAATTCGCTTTTCGCCCTTGGCGACGAGCAGAGCGCTGCTTGGGTATACGCCGGAACTGCCTTTCGGATGTTAGTGGATGTTGGGCTTCACGTAGACGCAGCGATGATGCCAACCATGCAACGATTTTCCGAAGAAGATCTCGAAATCCGTCGACGAGTCTACTGGTCAGCATATGTCGTTGATAAGATGCAATCCTTGTATCAAGGTCGTCCAGCTAGTCTAAGAGCTATCGACGGCCAGGTGCCTATCAAGTTTATGGATACATGTATGTTTTCCTTCCCCTTATGGCCCCATTACCGACCTCTTTTCTGGTCCCCTCACCGACCCCTTCACCGATCCCTTACCATACCCCTTACCGTTCCCTGACCAACCCCTTCCCCTTTGTAAAGGACTACCATAATCATACGGTCCCTGACACGAAGTGTCGTCGTGACATATCAAAATGCACAATTGCTTTCTAGACAGTGGTACGACCACGGAGATGCTCGAGCAGACTGCTATCTCCGTGGAACTTGCTCTGTGATGGAAAGTATCATGCATTTATATAACAGTCTTCAAGCATCGGAGAGGCTTTGACCCTTGCGTGGAAACATTAGAGATCCCGAACTTTTGTACGCTATGATGCTAACGATATCACAGATGAGGAGCTGGAACAATGGCATCCTTTCGCATATGCTAGTGGGCCAAGTTATCCTGGTTCGCCGAGCTATAGCGTGTCGACATTCGAACAACTGTGTAAGCTTTGCATGATTCTCCAGCAGATTCTTGACAGGACGTACTGCGAGAGAGAACAGAAGCGAAACACCCAAGACTTGGTCCAGGATCTGGAGTATGTTGAGAAGCAACTACAGGACTGGATGGCCGAGCTACCTGAGCATCTTCGCATTGATACGAATAGTGATAGTGGTATTCTGCAGCTTCCACCGCCGCATGTCTTCTCGCTCCAGTGTATGTGGAACGTCCTTAGGGTGCTTCTGCATCGTCCGCTAGTGGCTGATGGCCATTTGCATTCGACTTTGCCATCGACTTCGAAGTCTTCACTGGCAACGTGTACGGAAGCGGCCATTAACATTGTGAAGCTGGTACGGCTCTACGACAGATCATTTTCTGTAAGGCGAGCACCATACCTCATATCGTACGCGACTTATGTTGCCGCCACGATACACGTTCGTATAGCGGCTACAAGAGCGTCGACATCAGAGGCCCACGAGCATCTTCGCACATGCCTCGCAGTATTTGATCAAAATTCTGCCACCAACTACGCTGTCAAGAAGGCGTCAATTGTCATTGAGAACCTGAAGAAACGCATGGGTATTAAGTTAGACGATCCAGGACCAGGTACCAGCTCAAGCGGTACCACTAGGGATACAGTCACCGACCACCCCTCGTCAGAGGTGACGCCAAGGTCACAATCCAACAACGCTTTCGCATCTCCCGGTAACATGTCTAGTATGGCACGGTCGCACCTACCGATCGACACAATGATCAACCACGAACCAACAATGGTTGCTGGACAATTCGACCCAGGTAAGTATACAAAAAGGTCAACACCCAGCAGGGGGTATTTCGACTCCCATCTCAGGAGTTCAAATACCCATCACATTGCAGAGTTTCATCCAAGTCGAGCAGATGAATATTGAGAGCTTGCGTTGTTCGAGCTTTCAATGGAGACCTTCAGAATCTTGGATAACGCTCTGTGATGCGACAGTTGTTGCACTGACCATCCTTCACACAAGAGACATGCTAATCATTACCCTAAATCATAGACCTAGATGTCGACACCATCATCCACAGCTTCATGCACGAACAACAGCTAGACAATCAACCTACAAACTTCCCGATGCCGGAACATGCGACCAATAATATTTACAGCGGCACCATGCCACCAACAACTGACGGGCAGATGCCTAGTACAAGCCTCGAGTCCTACGATGACGCGTTGTTTGGATTCAATGCTTCGGCTTTTGATTGGTTTTATCCTAATCCTTTTTCGTATCCTCAGAGTTGATTGTCCACGCTTTGCGCGTGACTGTCAAGGTGCGGTTATAGAAATGCACGCTACCTTTGGGGGTGGTGGCAGTATCCATAGAGAGAATGTTAGGTGGCATCTCTATGATGATGACCTTGGCTGAAAGATGACTGTGCATCTCGTAGCTCACGATAGCACTCTACTCCGCTTCGAGAGAGAGGGAACTTGGTGGTGACAATCAGAAGAGCACGGGCAGGGTGCTCCTCCTTTTCTCCTTTTTCAGCTACACCAGGATACAATTGCATACTCTTAGCGTACGAGAGCCTCTATATCTCTATGTGAAGAGGAAAGATCACCGATTTGGATGCACGCGAGGGCAATGAATGGAAGTGATAAATCATCCGTGTGGATATGTCATGTATAGCTTGGCATAAATATGTACACAAGAAAAAGAGTCGTTAAAAAGCAGAACATTTTCCCATAATTGTCGTAGTCGAGCAGTTGAAACTCAGAAGTTGGAGCACCAAACGCGGTGACGTCCTCACGACTTCTGGATGTACTCGACATGTGTGGCTTCCTCGCCAATCTTGACCTCTTCCAAAGCGGCACCCTCGAGCCCGCTGGTAAACTCTCCACCAAACACAACGTCAATCTCCTCAAGAGACAGACCCTTAGTCTCTGGCACGCAGAAGTAGACAAAGATGATCGAGACGGTCGTGCAAGAGGCAAAGACAAAGTAAGTGCCGAAGCCAATGTTCGAAATCATGTACGGCACCGATCGCGCAATGACAAAGTTGAACAACCAGTGCGTGGCGGTGCAAAGAGCCATTCCCAGACCTCTGATGCGAAGAGGGAAGATTTCAGCACAGTAAATCCATGGCACACCAGCGTAGGAGAAGCAGAAACCAACGGCGAAGATGTAGATGAAGGTGACTGCTGCGTAGCCGCCTGCGGAGAGTCCGACTGCGTGTTGTGCCGGGTTGGCAATCTTGATGTATGCGCCGATGAACCACATGGCGGTGGCCATGACGGCTGCTCCGCCCATGAGCATCTTTCTGCGTCCGAAGCGGTCGACAACGTAGTACATGGCGATGATGACACAGACGAGTCTGACGATACCGTAGATACCAGTGGCGTAGAGACCGGTGGATTGTCCCTTGAGACCGATGGACTTGAAGATGCGCGGAGAGTAGTAGTTGATGGCGTTGGAACCGGCAAACTGCATGAAGACGAAGATGAAGAAACCAACGAGGATACGTCTGCGGTTGCTGGGGACGCGAAGCTCCTTGAACTGAGAGATCAAGCCCTGATCATGTGGACTTTCCAGCTGCTCGTTGACAGTGTCCATGATGTGGGTGAGCTCTTCCTGGAGGTACTCATGGTCCTCGGGCAGACCACGAAGCTTACAAAGGGTGTGTGCTGCAGTCTCGCGTGACTTGTGTTGCGCCAGCCATCTTGGGCTCTCGGGGACGAAAAACATGCCAATGATCAGGAGAACACCAGGGATGAGTTGAATGGCAAAAGGCAAGATCCACTGTGAAGATGTGGATGCCATGTTGCGTTGCACGCCATAGCAGATCCAGAAACCAATGCATGTACCGGTCTGTACGCTGATCTCATAGATACCGACAAGTCTACCTCTTATGGCTGGGGGAGAGAGTTCGGCGACGTAGAGGGGCACGAGTCCACTAGCAAGACCGACACCCTAGATGCTCTGTTAGCAGGAGATCGAAGCTGTAGACAGACGCAGAACTTACAANNGACCGCCAATGGCACGGCCAACGTACATGGCTGCTACATGGCCAAAGCTGACGGTCTGCATCAAAGATCCAGCACAGAAGACCACGCCAGCAACCATCAAAGCAGGCTTGCGTCCAAAGCGATCTCCAAGAGGTGCGACAGCCAAGGATCCGAAGAAGCAGCCTGCCTGCAATAGAGAAACAATGTTGGCCGAAAAGGCATCTTTAGCGCTCGCCGAAGCGTGCGTCAATCCAAAGTCCTTGAGGAAGGGTTTGAGCGTGATGGTGGTGCCAATGAATGCAAGATCGTAACCAAAAATAAAGGCTCCCATCGATGCCACTAGCGCCACTGCATAAACATATGCATTGTACACCTCCTTGGGAGCCGGGATGGCTAGAGCAACGTTGTGGTGTCTTCCAGGCATGGCGAGAACTGAATATGGTAATGAGGTGCTTGGTGTTCTTGGGCCCAAGAGGACAAGGAAGCTAAGTATTTATGAGGAACCCGCCAGAAGAATTAAGCTCTAGAAGTCACTACGAGAAACTTAGTGTCACGGTTGGGGTTCGCCGATTGCGGCAGATCCGGCACATAGGCCGGGGTAGCGTGGAGTGGAAGCATTTTTTGCGGAGACATTCTGTGGAGTCGCTTCCGCGGCTATCATTGTCCGCTGGATCTAGCGGACAGTGGCAGCCGTGGTAGACAGATTTGCCACGGCCCGCGGCTGAGTCCGAATTCCTCTCTGGCGTGTCAAGACTGAGCTATTCGTTACATCCTTTCCAACACAGATCCGTGGGAAGAATGCCGTGATAGTCGCATATATCGAAAGAATGAATGGATATAAGTCCCGAGGCCAAGGCCTACGTAGCTTCAAAAGTCATTATCCATTATCTTCCTCCAACTTACTATGTTCAAGACAGCCGCACGACACATAGACGCTGCAATCATTCCTCGAATCCTTGACTTCCACCCATCAATCATGCCTGGAATCATCACAACTACCCCTTCTGTGGTACCGCAAGTGGTACCCAAGAAGCGAAGAGCTCTTCCAGCCGTCTGGATGAGAGCCGGTACTTCAAAAGGTCTATATCTGCACCGTAAGGACCTACCACAAAGCCAACAAGACTGGTCTCCTGTGATCACGCGAGTCATGGGTTCTTACGACGCGGATCCTAAGCAATTGGACGGAATTGGCGGAGCGACTTCAACAACCTCAAAAGTCGCCGTTGTATCGCGGTCCACTCGTCCAGATGCGGATGTGGATTACACATTCGTCCAAGTGACAATCGGAGCTCCAAAGCTAGACATGACAGGCAACTGTGGCAACATTGCATCTGGTGTTGGTCCTTTTGCAGTTGACGAGGGTTTGGTCGATATCCTTCCAGGACAGAGTCAGGTCCAAGTCAGAGTCTTCAACACCAACACAAACTCCGTCATGATTGAGACTGTCCAAGTCGACGATGAAGGCCATTTTCTCGAGGACGGAGATTGTAGATTACCTGGATTATGCTCCGTCGGCAGCCGAGTACAGATGGGTTTCTCCAAACCGGCTGGCGCCATGACTGGCAAGCTACTACCCTCAGGTCGCGCAATGAATACCATCCTCATGCAGACTTCATTCAACTCTGAGCCCATACCGATACAAGTCAGTCTTGTGGATGCTGCCAACCCCTTCTGCCTTGTCGACAGTTCCTCACTACCGGGCTTTTATCACACAGAGGGACCTAGTGCAGCAGTCTCAATCGACTTCATCGAGAGGGTGCGAAGAGAGGCAGCAGTCCTGATGGGTCTTGCCAAGAGCACCAGCGAGGCAGCGCTCACCAGAGGCACACCGAAGATCGCAGTTCTCTCGAAACCAGAATCCATTGACGACAAGCCATCAGTAGATTTCCAGGTTGGCGCATATTCCATGGGCAAAGTTCACGGAAGCTTGCAACTGACAGGGGCTGTCTGTCTTGGAACTGCAGCATGCACCAAAGGCACTGTAGCATATGAACTTCGTAATGGCTCATCTGATACAAGGGCAAGGCAAGACTCGCCCATTGAGTTGGATGATGTGCCAGAACTCGAGACGGTTCGTCTCCGACATCCAGGTGGAGATATGGATGTTGATGTTCGATTGGATGTCAAAAGCCAAGTAGAGGAGGTGATAGTTTTTAGAACAGCCCGCCGATTGTTTGAGGGCAAGGTTTACTACTTGGGTTGATGTAGATGAGCCATAGATACCATTATGAACGGCCGATATTTATTCTTGAGCTTCATAGGAATGGATGGACATGTTTCCAAGGGATTATCGCAGATGAGTCGATGGCGTCTTGGAGGGAGCAGGTATGAACACACCAGCTTTTCTAGCGTGAGATCAACTGATTATAGCAGGAAGTGGTAGTTCTCTCAAAAAGCGTCGAGATGAAATGTTCGCTGGTTGGTGGGATGTTTGGTTACACGACAGTCGACCGCTTTCGAGCGAGGGCTGCTGACTCGGCGGGGAAACTTCGGTATATACTCTAAGCTCTTCTGTCTCCATCATCTCTTCCGCTGCGCTTCTTCGATGCTGAAGTATTGAGACGCGTGTCTGATTGTATTAGACTTGCAATACCAGTTTACTTGAATCATACACTTCTCATATGCTATAGTCTGTTCATTCCTTGTACACAGAAGCCAAGATTGTTTGCTCGAAAGGTTGAAGTACCTTGCCCGAAACCCCGCCTGCCCTCATGAAAGTCTAATTCATTGAACGTCATACCTGCCTCTTCATAAACACTCCGATAGTCCTCTCGTCAGACTCAGTTTGCATCTCTTCCCTTTTGACTCTTCAAACTGCATAATCATCCAAACATGAATACTAGCACAGCATACGTACAGCGCGAACGCGATGGCAAACAAGTCCTAGCACGTGAACAAGACACTCAATTGCCCTCACGCGAAGCACACCAGAGTCTTGTCTCGGTGCAATATGTAGCCCAAAACCCCACTGATGGTATACCTCTATAGCCATCCGCACATCATCAGCGAACATCTCTGACACCTCATATAGTACAAACACTCGACAGCAATGCATTTGGCGAAGGCACAGTGCTCGGCTGCGATTTCGTCGGCACCGTTGAAGAAACAGGTAAAGAAGCAAAGCAACTCAGCAAAGGAGATGTAGTCGCAGGTCTCATCTGGGGAGGAGAAATCAAAGGACTAGGAGCATATGCAAGTCACACATTCGTTGATGACCGTATCAGCTTCAAGGTCCCCAAGGGAATAAAGTTGGAAGATGCGGCTACAGTGCCATTGGCTTGTTGTACTTCTTGGCTGGCTCTATTCTCAAAGACTTGTTTGGCTATTCCGAGAAAGGAAGCAAAGACGAGTGTTTTGATCTGGGGTGGTAGCTGTAAGTACAGTGAGGAGGTAATGCTTGGACGGCTACTGATTTATCTACANGCAAGCGTGGGATCCTATGCCATTCAACTCGCCTCCATGTACAACTTGACCATCATCACAACCTGCAGTCCCAAAAACTTTGACATGGTCAAGAAACTCGGCGCCACTCATGTATTCGACTACAACGATTCTACTGTCGTCGACAAAATCAAGGAAATCGCTCCAGATCTTGCGTACACATTCGACACCATTGGCTCCAAGGATTCTTCTGCCCAGGCTTCTCAAGCAATCACTGCCAAGGGTGGTGTATTGTGTACTGTGCGTCCCGGCAAAGCAAACACCGAAAACGTGGCTTCGCATGTCAAAGTCACCGATGTGCTTGTTTGGACTGCATTCCTCAAAGACCATCAGTATAAAGAGTTTCACTGGCCGGTAAGTGTTATTTGGTTACAGTGCACCTAGCATGATTCATCACTGACTGAAATCTCCCACAGGCTTCCAAANGATGACCACGAACTCTCTGCCAAACTGTTCGAGAAACTCCCTGCTTGGCTGGAGCAAGGAAAAATTAAGCCTAACAATGTCAAGTTGCTCGATCTGGATTCCATCCACGAGGGCTTTGACATGCATCGTCAGGGCAAAATTTCGTCTTTCAAGATTGTGTACAAGGTTTAGATAGGCGAGTAGTATGATTTGTTGATGCAATCGTTTATAGCTTTGGGACATGCGGAAGTCTGTTACAGAAAAACTGACCATCTCATGCAAGTGATCATTTGGGCTACAGGACTAGAGCAACCTCAAGCACCACGTTTGAAAAGGGCCGACGAAGAGAACTCAACAAATGCATCTTCTGTTTGATGAGGCAAATCAAGAAGGGTATAATATGATGTAGAAAATCTGTACAAGAAAACGCTTTTCTAATATGCAGAAACACACATCACTCATGCTTCTGATGCTTCGGCAGCCTCTATTGTCTCATGGTCTGCCACCTTCTTTGACACGCGGAACAGCATGGCATGGTTCTTTCCAGCATTGGTCATCCATCGTCCGAGTTTGTGCTCTTTGCCCACGGCTGCAATGATTGCCAGACCATCTCTACCTCTGTCGCCGCGCTCGAACACGGCAAGGTCGTTAATGACGCCCTTGACTGTCTTGTTGGACTCTGGCACGACGTGTATTGAGTCGTCCATGTACATTGCTTCTCCGTCGATGAGTTGGTTGTCGTCGACACAGCCGATGGGGCCCAAGGCTTCTAATCTCCTCTTGTCTTCGCTGATCTTCCAGGCGCGCAGTTGACCGTCCCAACTGCCGCTGATAATGATGTTGCTGAAGGGTACGCAAGACAGCGCGGTGATCCAGCGGGGTTGGGGTTCTGTGTATACGCTTGCATCTGCCGCAGGGTCGGCTTCGGCACTGACGTCCTCGGGGTTTGGCGGCGGGTCGAGGCCGTGTGCGAGGGGTAGGGTGAAGACGGACTTTTTCTTTTGGATGTTCCAGAGGGAGAGGGTGCCGTTGTCGGAACCGGTGACGAAGGTTTCGTCGTCGACCATGGTGACTCGGTCGATCGAGCCTTCGTTGAACTCGCGCGGTTGGGGAATGCCGGCGGCTGCGTTTTCCTTTCTCTGCTTGGATGAGGCGCCGCTACCGCCACCACGGAAGACAAGTTGGCTCTCCTCGACCACGCGCCAGTATCTTGCTGTCCTGTCTCTGGCGCCAACAGTTACGCACAATTCTTGGTTGAGAGCGGCGACGTCGGTAACCTCGTCTTGGTGACCAAAGAGTGTTTCGACGTAGGCCAATTCGTCCAGACTCCATAGTTTGATTGTTCTGTCCTTGCTGGCTGAGTAGAGTTGGTTTGTTGTGCGGCGGAAGCAGAGCGAGGTGACGGCATCTCTGTGATGATGGAAAAACTTCAGGGGTTTCAGCGTTGCAGCATCCCAGACAATGAGCTTCCTGTCTCTACCACCAGTGGCTACGAACTTGCCGTCTGTCGAGGCGGCCACACAGAGAATGGCGTCGGTGTGGTGCTTGAAGTCGAAATCGTCCTCTCTCTTTCCGTTGCCACGTGTGTAGATGAGCTTCTTGGGTTTTGTGGGTTGCGTCTGTTTGGACGAGGCGTCGATTTGCTGGGGCATCTCCCACTTGATCAGGGTCATGTCCTTGGAGACGGTGTAGATGTAGGGAGCGCAAGTGGCCACGCCGGTCAAGGTCTGCGAGTCTGCGCGGAACTGCGAGTGCATGGCATTCTGGTAGTCGTAGTCGTCTGCAATCCAGCGGTAAATTTTGCCCTTGCTCTCTGCAGAATCTTCCTTCAGACGCTCGCCCATGCGCTCAGCCAGCAGCTCTGCATCAATGTCCTTTGCATCAAAGCCTTCGGAGATGATCTGTAGTCGCGTGTTTTCGAGGTACCGTTCTGCCAGCCGTGTCCTTCTTCCTGCCGCATCTTCGCCTTCAAACTCTGACTCCTCAGACTCGTCGTCAGAGTCTGCAGGTGGGCGCGGGCCTACATCGTCGTCGTCGTCGAAGTCGCTGCCAGACACCGAGTCGTCGCGAGTTTCTCTTCGCTTGGTCGGGCGAGCATTTGAGCGATCGTTTGTGCGTTGAGGGCGTGGGGCACCACCTTCGGGTCTCTTTCTCTTCAGAGAGGCGGGCTTGGTGAAGAAGCTCGACATTGTTGGCGTGGGATGTGAAGTTGCGCCTTCCTGTGCAGCAAAATGCGACTTCCTAGAAACTTTTTGCCCACTGCAAGCTGGGGACCGAACCCACGCTCGGACCACTTCTGCTCACCGCCTTCGTGGTTCGGCAAGCCTCTCGACTCTCATCCACCTCTTCCAACGCACGTATTGCACGAGAATCTTGCTAGACCGAGTGCATAGTCATCTACCTCAGCTGATACGAAGAGGTTCCACCATGCTCTTCATTCATTGAAGGTCATCAGTTTTGTGTTGAAGGAATTGATCGAGGAACAACCAGCTCTCTAGCACATGCCGGATTGAGCTACCAACATGAGTCGAGATGCGTATCTCGCTCGCATGGCCATGGTAAGTTCAAGTCTCGTATAGTCTTGCATGTCCACGAGAATTATTCCATCTCTGGCAGTTCAAGACTTCGACTGCATAATGTTGCCTCTCACCCCCTCGAAAATCTTCATTGGACTCGCAGATGGAGCAGTACCATCATCAAAACTGACACCCTCTATCAAAGGGTCGATCGGTCTACGAGGCATCACCAGAGATTGAAGAAGTACCACCGTTACCAACAAGAGCCGACGAGCAACAATACAATGCGAGAGGTGAACCCGTCAGCCTAGCTACCATCCGCCACGAAGAAGCCATGATCGCTGCCAAAAATGAATGCCTGGCTGCTGTAGGCGTGTGCGAAAGGAAAGACAAGATCATCGACCGCCTGATCGACCAACTACCAGATGGCGAACAGCGCTTTCACTTCTCCGACGAAGAATGGGCTATCATCAAAGAAGGCGAAAATGACTATGGCGAACTCATTCGTATGACTGCAGAGACATCGAGAAACTTCTTGGAATGGTGGCTCTTGGCCCTGCGGAGAAGATTGCAAGTCGGTTATGTTTCGTCTGAGCTCAGTTTTATGGACATTCTCTCAGCTGAGTGGACATCATTGACCAGTAATGGTTTCTTTGGCGCCGTCCGGTTTCTTACCGTCGGTGGACTGGCAGAAGTCACGTCTCAACTCATCATAACCTTTGTCGACTGGTATCTGGGCGAACAAGTCTTGACGATCAGTAAGAAGATCATCAGACTGAAAGCGAGCACCAAAAAGCGGTTCTGGCTGCTCAGATGCCTAAACTACAGCTACAAAGCCGTGAACGCCTTGCTTCATCTTTCGGTCTATCCTCTGGCCTCTTTTTCATGTCTGCAGCAATTAGGTCTCGCTTCCTCGAAATCTCTCTTACCTCCAAAATCGTGGCTGGCACCTTGGAGCCCTGCATCACCTCTTCGCTGGGCCCTTCTCAGTCAAAGTACGGTAAAGGGCTCGAAATTGCTGGGATTACTAGTTTCGCCGGCAAGTCTGTGGTTGACCATGGCTTTACTCCAACACTCTGCTGCATCAGCCTACGGCCACGTTCCCCTGTTCGAATACAATTGTATCCTAGGTCCTCACAACACTCCCTTGTCACCGCAAACGATCGATCCAGAGTCCAGCTATCTGACACCCTTCTCACGCCTTCGAGATGGATTACTTCAATTGGTAGGCTGGGCACCAGTTCCTATCGGACCGCAAACAGAAACTCGCGAATTGACTCAGGAGTCGAGTGCGCGCGACAATGCCACAAGAATTGAACCACCACAACAGCATACCGCAACCCGCTACCGCGTCACCGAACTCAGTACCCTCCCCTCCAATCTCTTGGCTTTGAATCTGGATTACATGTTCTGGTCCGTCATTTTGCTGCCGCTGGATACTCTGCATCTTACTTCTCTGTCGTCGGCCTTTTGCTCGAGCTCAGCGGCAAGAAATAGTGTAGAGAATGGTGTTTCTGTGGGGTTGATACCGAGGCTTGCGGCGTCGAGGATGGGCAGAGTCAACAAGATTGGCTTGTGCCTGGCGTTGGAGTTTACACTGGATACGGCCGTGTGGGGTGGAGCGTTCTTGTGGACGAGGTATATTGGTATGTCTAGGTATTGGTGGGGTTGTACATGATACTTTGGGTGGATAAGATGACGAGACGCTTGATGGTAAGATGGCACGAGAGACAAGTGTATATACAACCCGACGACCCCATGAACGCAGGAGGTCCACCTACCTTCAACCTCGCTCATGTAACAACGAAAAGAAGAAAGGCCACGCTATCCACTACAACGAAAAAGAAATCCTATAAGAAATGCATAGTTTGTCTTGTAAGAACAAAACAGCAATCACTTTTCACTCGCCAACGCCCCAACGTTTCCAAATCCCCTCGAGTCTACCTTTGGCCTCTTTACTCACACACAAGCCCGGATCCAGGGGTTTTAGCTTTTCCTCTCCCATAAGACTCAATGTTGCAAGACCGAGGTATGAATGATATAAATCCGGCAGGTCGCCTGCGATTTTGCCAAAGCCGCCGAGTTGGGGGTGGACGGTGCGTTCGAGTAGCCAGCGGCGCACGGATTTTGTATTGGGAAGGTTGGAGTGGTTGAGGATCTAGTCGGTGGTGGGTGTCGAGTTAGTTCTTGTGTGTTGAGGGGAGTTTTGAGTGCTAAGAGAAGAGGGGAGGCAAAGCTTACGCANTAAAGATCCGTGTACCCAGAATGCATAACAGGTATCTGCAATCTTGTTGCAACGGCCATTGAAGCCCGTCCAGTCCAGGCTGAAATTCACGCTTGGGCGGCCTTCGTAATTCATTTGGCCTTGCTTGCTTACGAATTCGTCTTGGTACACGAAACTGTGGGCGTCGTGGCAGGTTTCTGCTGTATCTGTTTCGTCGCCGTAGGTGTCTAGGTCGTCTTCTTCGCTGATTGTCGCCGTTTGTCGTGACACCAGCCATTTTATGAGTAGAGAGGGGTTTGTGAGGGAGGCGTGTGGTGAAGGAGCGCTAGGCAGAACGGAGTAGGGGGNTGAGGGCAGGCGGTTTATATTGCTCAGGGCACCGATGGCGCAGTAGGTGAATCCGGCGTGGGCTTCATGGTAAGGGGCGTCTGAAATGCCACCATCGTACGTCTCTGCACTGCGTATACAGGTGACAAAGTTGTCAACCTCGATGTCGGGACAGCCGTCTATCTCTCCTTCATAAGTGCCGCGCAAGATGTAGCGGACGCCGGTTGCACAGTAGCCGAATCGCGAGTCGGTGCCACCGTTGATTGTATCTTTGACGAGTGTTTCGCCGAAACTGCCGTCGGGTCTTTGCAGTCGCGTGAGCCATTGTAGACATTCCCTTCTCTTTATTCTGGTCAGGTCATCGTTGAGGATGAGTAACGAACACAGGGCGAAGAAGGTGGCAGGCAGATTTGCAGGATCCCAGTGTTGGTTTTCTTCTGTGGTTGCATGTCCAAAGTCAGCGCCAGGGAAGGCACGAAATCCGCCTTGGGGGTGTTGATTGCTGTAGATCCAGTCGACGTAGTCTTTTCGTTGCTCTTCTGTTGTGTTTTGCTGCAGGGTGCCTAGCAAGTCTAGGCCGCTGAGGGTGAAGAAGGCCAGGGACATGCGATTGCTGTCATTGCTCTGGTATGCGGTGGGCAGGAAGGTCTTGAGTGTGCGGAGAAAGTATTTGGTGTGTTTGGGCACGTCGAGCGAAGGGGATGAAGCCATCATGTCCTGCACCTTTGGCATGCGCGGTTTGAGGTCGGCGGAGGGCATTTAGTTGGGCGTTTACGTCAAGAGGGTTGACTTTCCTCTCTTCCCCAGACCCTTGTATGGTTATAACAACATGTGCCATCATGTCCCCTGCTCTCTCTCTCGCTCTCTTATCAAATCAAATGAGATGAGGCTCAAGCGCCGCTCCCGAGGCCACCCCCAAACCCTCTTTCCATGACGCGCACTAGCCATGTGCGGCAAAACGTCTGTGCACTACTGCCTGCATACTTTGTGCATCTTTACAGTCAACAACACCATGAAACTGCCACGACCGATCCATCTGATTCTGGACTGGGATGGTACCCTGACCCGCAAAGACACGCTCTCTCTAGTCGGTAGCATAGCATACTATGCCAACACCTCTAAATCTCTGCCACCATGGTCAGATTTTGTGAACGGATACATGAACGATTACAACCAGCATGTATCCCACTATGAGCCTATCACATCTGCAAGAACAACACTCGATCAAGAGCGACAGTGGCTAGCCAGCCTCACACCCATCGAAAACAAAAGCGTCCAACGCGTCGAGTCTAGTGGTATGTTCAAAAACGTCAAGTCCGGCCACGTCGACCACATCGCCGCCTCATCCATCAAAAATGGAGACCTGCAACTCCGCAGTAATTGGAATGCTCTATTTGATACTGTACTGTCCAGTCCTTCCAATGCCGTCAGTATACTTAGTGTAAACTGGAGTGCACGCTTTATACGTCAATCTCTGCTTTCCGCTTCCTCGACCCTTGAGAGTAAATCACTGCACTCCTACATCAAGACCATGGACATTAACGCCAACGAAATATCCAATCTGGACGATGCAGCAGGAAGTGATGGTACGTTGTCCAAAGATTCTAGCACGGGTATACGCACCTCGGCAGACAAATTATGCCATCTACCTGCTCGCTGTCAACAAAAGCTTGACCAGTGCGCAACAAGAGACGTGATGAGTCGAGAGCAGGAAATTGTGGTGTACATTGGAGACTCGGCTACCGATCTTGAAGCTTTGCTTGCTGCGGACGTGGGCGTTTGTATCAGAGACGAGCCTATGGGTAGCAGTCAACGAGAACTCTCTGAAACGCTCCACAGGATCGGTGTGGTTGTGAGGAGTATTGATGAGGGCATAGATTTGAAACAGGCAACAGATGGACAGATGGTGGCTTATTCGGCTTACGGGTTTGATCAAGTGGTGAAAGCACTTTCGGAGTTGGATCTGTGAAATCTTGGAATTTGTGTGCAAAACTATAGACAGAGATGCAGAGGATACTTTCATCAAGATCGCACTAGACTTCTCACGAAAAAGAGAGTCGTGTTGATATCTTCGGACACCATCTGTGAGACTGTCATTCGATCTGTTGCACATCGACCCAAGTAGTCGCATCGTACCAAGCCATCTTTAATTGGTTGTTACCTTATGATCTCAGTAGAAAAAACTTGCCGCGAAAGTCGACGCGACGATGAGATTTACTTTATCAGGAATGGCATCCAGAACAGCATCAAGGTTGCCGTCATGGAGTAACCCTATCCAAAGGTCTTTGCTGAGATATCGTGCACAAGATCGTTATGAGGGAATCCAAACATGATCCACAAAGACTTGAGCAGGCACTACTGAAGGAAGCGTAGAATCGGTTGACGTTGGGGATGCGAAGCAAAAGTTCTCGCAGTTCATCAAAACAACACCATTATCCCCGCAATCATCCCATCGTTGATATTCGCCACATCAAGAACGATGCTTGGGATAACAGCCTACAGCGGCTCTGCACCCGAGACGTGTTGCGGCAGAGACTCCACCGTCCAGAACGTCTCTGCTGCTGTCGTGCCACATCACCCACGATCACCCAAGCCGCGCGGGTCCAAGGTATCCAATACATGTTCGTCTGGATAGCTCGGAACCCACATACAGCAACGTCTCATCATGTGTCTCGCACGCTGAGGCTAATCGCCGTGCTGTCTTGGGTGTGATGCGTCTTCCACATCGACGCCCCTTTCGTCGCTCGGGCTCAAGTTGGTGCAAGGCTTGAGAGGCTTGCTTCCACATGCTGAAGCCACCAAAGCTTGGCCGGGCAACGTCGTCGGCATCCATCATCTTGCGACTTTCGCACTTGCTCTAACTTTTCCATCTTGACTATTCATAATGGTGGATTTCGGACTGGTCTTCTCCATGGTGCTTACCAACGACCTTTTGCGAAGCGACTTTTCCAAATCTTCAGCCCGCCTCGTGCCCGTCTGAAGATGTCTTCAATCCACGGTAATCCTTCTGCAAATGCTCAGGCTAAATCGACTGAGCCTGTATCCTACTCTCTGAGACGGCCGGTCCGAACGCACATGATAGGTACGGTCACCCGCGTGCTCCACCACCTCCGCGCTCCTCCGCATCGAACTCCCCACACATTGAAGACGTTCATGTCCTGAAAGCAGTAAGAGTAGGCTGACAACCGGCGGCTAAATCCATATCTATACTAGTCACACGCGTGGTGTAATCTGGCGGCTAATTGGTCTCACCTGTACTCCGTACATACACAGACCTCTGACCATGCTACAAGTGCCGTAGATCCATGTACCTGGCTCTAGTCCAGTCATCACTCGAGTATAAGATCTGTGGAGCTTCTCCACCTCTCCAGACAAGATCGATTTTCGTACGACTATCATTTACGTCTTGAGACAACACATCAATCGTCTTCTTCAACATGCATACTGGATCGAGTGGAGGCCATGATGCCTTGTCCAAGCGACGAGCCCAGTTCGCTGGCCCATCAGGTATCAAGGGTCTTATGCAAAACTCACGAATCTTCCTTCTTGCCGTCTTTGCTTCGCTCGGTGGTTTCGTCTATGGANNTGTGAGTATCCTCATTGCACGATGTGTCATTGTTTTTATTGACCATCGCTTCATAGACAACCAAGGAATGTTCGGACAGGTCCTGAACATGTCGTCTTTCAAGGCAACTGTCAACCCCGAATCCGTCAAGAACCCAACTACCAGAGGTCTTCTTACTGCGTGCGTTCTTACAACGTCTTCAAATATGGAAATCCACTGACCCAAGCAGNNTATTCTCGAACTCGGAGCCTGGGTCGGTGTATTGATCAACGGATACAATGCCGACAAGTTTGGTCGTAAGATTGCCACCCAGATTGGTGTTGGTGTCTTCATGATTGGTGTCATCGTCCAGGCATGCGCCAAGAACGTCGACTACATCTACGGCGGTCGTTTCGTTACTGGTCTCGGTGTTGGTATCTTGTCAATGATTGTTCCTCTGTGAGTGGCTTGAATTCGTCGGGCGCAATCATCCAGCTCATTACGATTTTAGNNCTACAACGCCGAACTCGCACCTGCCGAGATCAGAGGTTCGCTCGTCTCGCTCCAACAGCTTGCCATTTGTACTGGTATCATGATCAGTTACTGGATTGGTATGGCCTCTCCCTCCCTTCTACATTGGCCTTTCTCTGACCTATATACTCANGGATACGGCACAAACTACATCGGTGGCACTGGCGCAAGTCAATCTAATGCTGCGTGGTTGGTCCCTATCTGCATCCAGCTTTTGCCTGCAATCATCCTCGGAGTTGGTATCATGTGGCTCCCGCAAAGGTAGGATGATTCAGATCTTTGAGGCATGCATGTGCTAACAATCAGTAGTCCCCGCTGGCTCGTGTCGAACGACCGTGAGGACGAGGCCTTGACCATCCTCGCTGACCTCAGAAGAGCGCCCAGAGATAGTGAAGTCGTCCAGCTCGAGTTCCTCGAGATTAAAGCCCAGCACATGTTTGAGGTCGACAGATCAAGAGCGAAATTCCCTCAATACCAGTCCGGAAGCTTCTCGGATAACTTCAAGCTTGGATTCTACGACTATGCTTCCTTGTTCACCAACAAATCTCTCCGCAAGAGAGTCTTTGTCGCCGTCTTCACCATGGTCTTCCAACANATGTCAGTTTCCGCTCATGATCTCTTCGATTCCTTCTTACTGACTGTGTCATCAGGGTCCGGTATCAACGCCATTCTGTACTACGCCGCATTCATCTTCCAGGATCTGAACTTGACTGGCAACACTAGTTCGCTTTTGGCTAGTGGTGTCGGTGGTATTCTTCTCATGCTCGCCACCATTCCTGCTGTCCTTTACATTGATCAGCTCGGACGTAAGCCCGTCCTCATCGCCGGTGCTATTGGCATGGGTACCTCGCACATCATCGTCGCCGCCCTGTACGGAGCCTTTGGAAACGACCGTATCCAGTGGCGAGGACACGCAGCTGCTGGTTGGGTTGCCGTCGTCTTTGTCTGGATTTACGAGATCAATTTTGGATACTCTTGGNNGGGTAAGTCTTGCGGCGTTATACACGTTCCATGCGTGTGAGCAAGTGCTAACAATCACTTCTAGCCTGGTGCATGGGTCCTCGTCGCCGAAGTTTTCCCTCTCGGAGTCAGAGCAAAGGGTATCTCGATCGGCGCCTCGTCGAACTGGCTCAACAACTTTGCCATCGGTCAAGCCACCCCCGACATGATTGCGTCCATGAACTACGGCACCTTCATCTTCTTCGGCATCATGTGTTTCCTCGCCGCCGGCTTCATCTTCTTCATGGTTCCCGAAACCAAGGGACTCACGCTGGAAGAGATGGACGAAGTCTTTGGCGATGAAGCCGGCAACGCCGCCGACGACCGCGCCCGCCTCGACAGAATCTACACCGAACTTGGTCTCATGGACGGTGGCGACCACCCCATGAACAGCGAGAAGATGGATGGCGAGAAGGTTGCCGCCATTGACATCATGAACACTGGCGCGTACAAGCACGTGAGCAATGGCATGTAAGATTGCTCACAGAACCCTGGCCTTTTTTTCTTCGTTCTTTCGATGGATAATAGTACCAAGAGTGGGGTTTTGTTTTTTTCTTGATGTCTATCGCTATGTTCGAAGGTCCTAGTCAACTTACACCTCTATATATTAATTGTATGTGGAGTGTGGTATGCACATATGGCTTTTTCGATGATATATGTTTCCGTCTCATTTGATCATTTCGCCGTGATGTTTCCCAATGGAGAATCTGGTTGTATCGTACTTGCATCTGTATGCAAGTCTCTGCAGGTCTTCTTGAGAACGATCCGAGCCAGCAAAAGTAGATGGAAAGCGATTCTTAGCAAAGTGTATAAGTTAAGCCTTGGGGGTGAGAAAGTTGGAAAGTGTTGGGATCTTTGATACACCCACCTTGTCCCTTTTCTATAGGAAATTTTGTTTTTTTCTGATGCAAACTTGTGTCTCGATCGATATATATTCGCAAAGGGGTTATGGGGTATTGCGTGAATCCTTTTTTTTTTTCCCCCTCTAGCAAAGAAACAACCAGAGGTGGATTTTGTAGTAGCTTGTTTGGGATGTTGCTACTGGTTTATTCGGCTCAACCCAATAAAACTACTTGTTGATCTGGTCTTTTTGCTGTCCTTTTTGCTCGCCTGATTGCCTTCCGTTGAAAGAGTGCAATGCCTTCTCTATACAGCATACCTATTCATCACGTCCTCTTCTAACTAACAAGACCTAAACCCAATTTCCCCTATATTTTGACAGCCTCCATCTAGAATGCCACATTCTACCTTTTCTATTTTCTCCATCTCATCTCCGGTATACCTTCTTGCACAATGTCGTTACAATACACAAAACACAAGTCTTGTTCCTCGCCAGTTGAGGCCGAAAAAAAAGAGTCTCCTCGACTCTTTTTGTTTTATTTTTGGCTACCAGAAAAGTCGTGTTTTGGAAAGGGATGCCTAGAGTCAGGTGGCATAATGATGTTTTTTAATCTTCTGTTCTTTGCAACAAGAGACCACGTAAGATGCCGAAGAAGATCTTTAGAACCTAAGAAAAAAAAAAGGACAGGGATAGACATACAATAAATATGAGGGTTGAAAGGAAGGGGAAACCGGAAGACCGAAGATAAAAAGAAAATGCAAAAAGAAAGAAAATGCTGGAAGAAGAAATAAAAGGGTTTATCGAAAAGGGTAAAATGAAGAAGAAGAAAAAAAGAAACCAAAAAGCGCTCTTTCTCCTGTTCAGGAAATGTCTTCCAAAAGAAAGAAACAAGAAGAAAGAAAGATCGTTCGCTGAAAAACAAGACAGGCAATGTCGCTGGAAGCATCAGCCCCTTCTACAACCAAAGCATCCATCTAACACCTCCGACAACACCAGAGACAATACCCCTAAAGAACCTCACAATGATGACCACAAACCACACTACCCACAGCAATCCCAACACAATCCACTCCAAGACAGTAAACGTCGCTTTTTGCAAAAAGATCAACTTCCTGCGGCGACGACGGAGCACATTGTCAATGGCATCATTGACTTGCTTGGTGGCAAGTGTGTGTTGAGTGGTCAATGCCACTGTAAACGCATCTGCCTCATCGGCCGTCAAGTGCACGAGCGGAGTAAACTTTTCGTCCACTTTGATGCGTAGATCGGCAAGTCTGTCGTGTAGACCCGGAAGCTGATTTTGGCGGAATAAAGTCAGTTGTTTGGAGAGGGAGGTGACTTGGTCTTTGATTGTCCTGTGCAGCATGCGCGCAGCGACTGTGAACTCCTCCTTTACACGCACGGGATGGATGCCTTGATTCGATGTGTTTGCTGCAGTGATGAAGAACTGGGAAGGCGGGCTGGCAATGCTATTGACGCGGAGCACGATTTCGTGGGCTTTGATGCCGCTGCTGAGGTATAAGGCTCGCACTCGGGCGATATCGAGTGACGATATCATTGTCGGCTCTGTGCCTTCGCCTTGAGCGCCTTTGCGGTCGGAGATGCTCCAGTGTCGTTTCGAGGGCGATGAGTGCCGGGATCGAGCTGGGGAATCGTTCTCGATCGTTGACAAATTTGTCTCGAACCCACCGGACTGACGATTCTTGCGCAAAGGTCCCAGCATATCTTGATCGCTGCGATCGCCACCATCGCTGGAGTAGCGTGAGATTGGCGTCCTTCGGGTTGGTGACACGGAGGGAGAGTCCTCCCGAGGAGGATTGATCCGAGGAGGAGCCAGTCTGTCGAATCTGGAGGATCTGCTTCCCTCTCTGTGCAGCTTGCTTTGTCGAGCAATATGGTCTTCTTCCGCATCGCTCTCCACAATCTGGTTGATCGGTTTGAAGGATGGTAAGTTTAAGTTGTTGAGCTTTTGTCGCTCCTTCTCTTNTTGCTTCGGGGTTGCTCCAACAAGTATAGAATTTGACCTGTTCACGGGTGGCATCTTACGTGGCTGGTTCTCGTCTTGTTCCTCGGTATCCATATCAGAGTCAGACATATCGGAAGTAACCTGTCGATCCTTCTTTCGCGACTTTTCGTTCTGACGAGAACTGTCCGAACGAACCAGGTCTCCAATGCGACCACCTTTGAAGAAACGACCAACACCGACATCCTTTGACATGCGGCGACCTGGACTTAGCAGGGTGCTGGTTATGCTGTTTGAGGTTTTGTGGCGTTTGATACCTGGAATTGGAGGACGAAGCGAGTCGATGCTGGAGCGAGGTGGATCGACATTGTCGCTGACATGACGTGCGCTGGCAAGGCTGGCTAAACTGGCAGTAGCAAAGTCTGTGCGATGGACCTTGTCGTCAGAGGCATCTCTGCTGGATCTGAACAGACCAAACTTTCTCTCGGGTGAACTTTGACGACTTGCTGGAGGTGACAAACTCATACCAAATGAAGGAATGTGATTCGCGACGACGGGAGAACTAGGAGCAGTGGAGTCGTCAAAGGAGGAACGAGCGCGATCATCTTGCGTGCCATGTTCATCGGTCTTTGATGAATGGTTTCGCTTATGATTGTTGATAGACGGACTATCAGCTAGAGTCGGTGACTTTGCACTTGACTGTTCATGGCCTCTGTCCCACTTATCTGGCGAGATGAAGTCGGGTGAGTCCTCTTCGATACCCAACGTCTCTTTCTCGATCAGGCTCTTCATGTGGCGCTCCAATGGGCCAGTATTCTCGACATCAGGGGCGTCTCCAGGGCCCAAGAACTGCTTCTTACGATTCGAGGGACGTGCCGAAATCGCGCTGGACATACTGCTTGAGCGCGACCTGTTTCGGAACAGGTGCTTGCGAGCAGACTGGTCGACGTGTCGCAGAGAGAGAAATTTTGATCTTATGCGGCCTCGGTCCGTATCATCGTCACTCTTTACAGTGCTTCCCCAAGTATTTGTGCGCGAGATGGAAGGCCTGCTGTCACCGCTTTTNNTTCTGCCGCTTCTCGCACTGTCGAAGCTCGAACGAGGTTGTTGAGGGAAGACTTTGTGACCGTGTCTGTTTTCTATGCATGCTCTGTTTGCCGGTTGCAATAGCCAGACGGCGTCAGCCAGTAACTCGGCAGGTCCGAAAGACCAGCCTGTCTCGGATGGAGTGATTCTTGTTGCAGCCGTATCGGAACGCTTGTGGGAGCGAGTAATCTGGTTTGAAATATCATCCTGGCCTCGGCTGGGGCGACGGAAAGTTGGAAGGAGAGATGTGTCCAACGTGGAGCGGTAGGTGTGGTCGGCGGCTTCGTGTTCTATCTCATCAATGTAGCTCTTGACCTTGGAGAAATTGTCGTAGGCTTCGACCGGGGGATCAAGAGGCCGTTGCTCGCGATGGCGGGCTTTGCGGTTGCGCAAGAGTTGCAGCGGGTTGTAGTCTCTTCCCAACTCTTTCTGGCTCGACCCGGAGCGTGGAGATGAAACAGAGGCGGCAGGCTTCAGAGGCGGAAGACTTGTCAACAAGCGCCTGTACTCGGTCGACAGCTCGAAAAACTTGCGTGCTCGGTCGGCGCGGTGGAGGGTGGCTTGAGAGAATTCATAATTCACCTCTTCTCCAATCATGAAACTAGCATCGTCTTCGGTGGAAGCGCGGTAACCAGAATCACCGGGAGATATGGGTTGTAAGAGGTCGTTGCCCATTGGGGAGCCTGGGGAGACGTGTATGACGGGGGCACCACTAGACCGCACACGACGCTTGTCGGGCGAAGCAGCAGGAACTTGCAGGCTGGCGCTGACATGGCGACGACGACCCTCACTCAGGCTAAGGGCCATTTGAACCAGTTGTGTCGGGTCCAGAGAGGTTTGGGGCATCGAAGGAGCCAAGTCGGTATTGCTCTGCGGACTCGAGACATTCCGACCCAGTCGTGAGGGTTTTCGCGGCGACGGCTTGAGTGATGAGTCGATCTTGTCGTCTTCGCTGTCTCTGGGTTGGAAGAGGTTCCCCATCAAGAAGCCTCCCGACTTGCGGCCGCGTCGACGAGAGACGGTCAGGTTGTTGGCATCTTCCTTGTCTTTTCCCTTCCGGCTGCCAGCATCATTACTCCTGGCCCACGAAGCGTATTTCCCAGAGTCGGCATAGGCAGAGCTGCCTGTAGAAGCGCGGTCGCTGTTGGGGGCCATGGCCGACATGTCGCAAGGTCGTCGTGTTATCGCACAGCAGCGGGTGGAGGAGGCGCGGCGTCGACGACAGGAAGTAACAACATGATCAGGTCGAGTCGAATACAGACGCACGTCCAGTGTCCATGGCCAAGGGAGTAGCAAGTTGAATTTGATATTGTCGGAGCGATCGTTGGCTCATGCTCATCATCCATCCAACGGTCCAAGCGACGCGCGGGGGCCCTGAATGATCGTCGGTCGTCCATCTCCAACCGTGCCGTGTCATCATCCAGGTGCACCTTCCCTCATCTCGTTGAACCCTCGCCCTTTGACAACAAACACGCCCTTGGTGGCCTCGACTGCCTGTTGACATATTTGATGCACCCCTCGCTCTGCACAGCTGTCTCTTGCTCGAGTCTCTCTGATCTTGACCCGACGAGCGTGACATCATGCTTACTTCGGGAGACAGCTCCTTCCTTACTCTATCGATAGCTGATTAGAAATGCATACTCCGTACCTACCCCTCCTTCGACTCTAGGCTAAATGGTTGGTAATTGTTAAAACTCCTTCTTCTACTTATTGTACTTTTCCTTCTCCCACTCCCCCCGTTTCCATATTCACGGTTCGTCATGCCTGCAATCGAAAAAGGCTCGACCGTCCTGGTCACTGGCGCAAATGGTTTCATCGCTTCCCACATCGTCGATCAGCTTCTCCAGCTAAACTACAAGGTCCGCGGTACCATACGGACAGAAGCAAAAGGCAAATGGGTTCAAGACTTCTTCGACAACAAGTATGGTCAGGGCAAGCTCGAGCTCGTCGTTGTGCCTGCCATGGAGGTCAAGGGCGCCTTCGACGATGCTGTCAAGGGTATTAATCTCCATACCTTACTACTACAATCAAACAGGATTGATGATCCACANGGTTGCGAGGGTGTTGTTCACGTCGCTACCAACATCTCNTTTTCCAAGAACCCCAACGATGTCATTCCTAGTGTCATCGCCGGTGTGACCCATACACTCGACGCCGCCAACAAGGAACCTTCGGTCAAGAGATTTGTCTTTACATCCTCTTCTACTGCTGCCACCAACCCTGTGCCAAACAAGGAGTTCAATATTGACGAAAACTCCTGGAACCAAGTCGCCATAGACAAGGCTTGGGCCGACCCACCTTACATCGAGGATGATAGAGCTTGGAATGTCTATGGCGCAAGCAAAACACAAGGAGAGCAGGCTGTTTGGAAATACGTAAAGGAGACCAATCCTCACTTCGAATGCAATACCGTCCTGCCCAACGCAAACTTTGGACCTATCCTTGAAAAGAGCCAGGATGCAAGCACTGCCGGTTGGATCAGAGACATCTTCACTAAGGGCTTCTCTCCTCAACTCGAGCAGATTCCANNCCCCGTACGCCACCTCTCTTCATCCTCGGCTTTCCGTAGACTAATTCGTACAGAATGGTTCGTCAATGTCCAGGACACCGCTCGCCTGCACATCGCCGCTCTTATCGACGCCGACATCAAGAACGAACGTATCTTCGCCTTTGCCGAGCCATGCAACTGGAACTCCGTCCTCGCCGCCATGCGCAAGGCCCGTCCCGACAAGAAGATTCCTGATGACCTCAAAGACGACAGCAAGGATTTGAGCAAGGTTTTACCCAAAGCTCGTGCTGAGGAGCTTTTGAAGAAGCACTTTGGTCAGGCCGGCTTTGTTGGATTCGAAGAGTCGATTAAGCAGAACATCGCGAACCTGTAGGTGCTGCAGATCAACAAGGGTATGAGGGCTCAGAGAGTTGAGTTTTACATCAATGGTTGCGTGGCCCAATGGCAAGGCGCTTGACTACGAATCAAGAGATTCCAGGTTCGACCCCTGGCGTGATCAATTGTTCTTTTGCTTTGGTGTGCATTAAAACCGGCATTGTTTCCTGACTTGAATAATATCTTTTCTTCATGCGCTTCGAAAACGACATTTTGGCCTTGGCAGACGAACGCCGAGAAGGAAGACCGGAAATAAAATCGTCGGCCTGTGCTCGACCGAGGCTCCATAGACCGACTTCCAGAAGCCGAGTGAATCCTTCGAATGGACAGCCACGACGACATTGCACAGCCTCTGGTAAGTACAGCACAGGAGCTATCTGTTTACACACAGCCACCTATTCGATAGTGCGTGGAGCAGTGGCTGAGTGGTAAAGAACTGCCCAGCTTGTGGACTCGATCCAAGATATTGGAAACCACAATGACGAAAGGGTTAGCAAGCTGCGCCATGACTAGCAAATGGTCCTTCCTAATGCGCTATGGGGTCGGTGAGATGTTTGATACGATGTTTGATACGACAGACACGTAACCTCTTGACAGAAGAAGGTAGAAAATTACCCCTCATCCCTCCAACTTGATCCACGACTATAAAATATAACCTTGCCTAGGACTTTCCATCCCTCCTTTTGACTTTCATATCCATCAATATCTACTTCTGAAACATGTCATACAACAACTACGGCGGCGAAGCTCAAGGCTACTACGGTGGTGGCCAGCAGCAGCAGGGCTATGGCTCTGGAGCTCCACCAAACCAGTACGGCGACAACCAGAGCTACGGCAGCCCTCAACAACACAACAACCAATACGGTGGTCCTCAGCAAGGCCAATACGGCAACGAGCAACACTATGGCGGCCCCCAGCACGACCAAGGATACGGACAGCAAGACAGCTATCAATCTCACCAGCAAGGCTATGGTCAACCTCAACAGCCCTTGACTGCTCGCGACGAGTATCCCTCCCAGACACACGGCGGCTACGGCGGCAACACCTCCTACCAAGGCTCCGAGTCTGCCCCTTATGCACCAAACCAACCTTCATATGGTGGTCAGCCTGGAGTTGAAGGCGACCGTGGCATGATGGGAGCTCTTGCTGGAGGTGCTGCCGGTGCATACGGAGGACACAAGATGAACCACGGCATCATTGGTGCCATCGGTGGTGCCTTTGCTGGCTCCAAGCTCGAGGACTTTGGCAAGGACCACAAGCAGAAGAAGGATGAGGAGAAATATGCACAACAACATCAAGGTTACGGGGCTCCTAGTAACTACGGTAGACCCGGCAGAAGAGATAGCAACTCGAGCTCCAGCAGCAGCAGCAGCGACGATAGCAAGAAGCGTCACAAGAGAGTGAGTGGCTCGTGGATTAGCCTGGATAAGACAACTGCTAACACACTTCACAGCGCTCTCGCTCGAACTCGCGCAACCGTGGCTACCAGTCCTCTAGACGAGGCAACTTCAGCGAAACCTCGCGCGACATTTCTCTCGACTACAACACCATGGCACTCAAGGCCCTCTGCAGGCGTACCGATGGCTCTGAGCATGAGGCCTATCTGCATCTCAACGACATCCTCGGCAACCGCGACGGCAGATTCGTTTGGGAAAGAAATGGAAACTTCACAGGCAGCGTCAGGGAGGGCAAGATCTGGTTGGCTGAGGGTGGAAGAGCTCTATGTGCTGTACTCGGTGATGGACGTGGTGGCTGGAATGAGCATGCCAACATTGAATTGGACGAGAAGATCTCCAACGAGAACGGTCAATTGGTGTACTTGGGTTAGGTTGGTGGCTGTGTATCCTGAGTTCCTCTCCTGATCAATCAATATTCCTGTTAATGATGTCTTTTTGCTCCATGTATGTTATCCATCGTCGAATGAGCAACTGACCATGGCGACTGTATCGCTGCTCGGATGCGAATTGTTCCAAAGTTCATCGCTTGTATGTGCTTGTTCTCACTTGGTCGTAAAGTCGTCCGAATGTCCTGTTGTCCGTTGGTGTTCTCGATGCTGTGAACACGCCTCAATCTTGCTTATGACCGTGGACTGGGCAGCCCCAAGAACTGCAAGCCAGTGTCGCCGGCGATTCAACCTATCACCAAGGCTCTTCCATCCTCGGCGGCTTGATACTCTCAACCTCATGCTCCTCATCCCTCTCATCCTTCCTCGCATCCGCCCCATGAACCTCCCCACTCCTCACCCTCCTCGCCAACGTCCTCCACCCAAACTTGCCCAACCCCCACAATAATCCCACACCCGCACCTCCCAGAATCCCTGTCGGCGCAATCACAAACGCAGCTCCTGATGCCACACTCCCTATCGCTGTACCGGCGATTGCGGCGGTGATGGCACCCACGGCTGCGTACTTTGCATATCGTACGAGTCGCCAAAAGAGGAATTTTAGAGTGTAGCGGAGGGTGCGGAGGAGGGCGCGTGTGCGGCGTTTTGTGGGTGCGTTGGGCGAGGAGGGGTCGTAGAGGAATTGGAGGTTGCGTTTTGCGGTTTGGATGGTTGAGGATGCTTGGTGGGCGGCAGGTTCGACTGCTGTTGTCGACATGGTTCAGATTCTGGCTGGTTACGTGGGGAGAACGATTTGCGCAATCCGAACGGGATCTGTCTTGGTGTCCACGTCAATGTGATTCTTGCTCGAAAGAGAGTTGAGAGATCGGAAAATGTCAAGATGGTTTCTGGTGACGTGTGCCAAGTCTCGTGCTGATCACGAAAACGCTCCCGACTCTTGACCTCTTTTTCCCGACCTTTGACTTCCCAATTGCCGTGCCTACCGCGGCATGTCGGGAAGAACGACGAGATCCACTTGCTGACATCTGCTTGCTCTCTGTCTCGGAACCCAAATCGGTGCGCCTCTGTCAAATGTGTGGGCATGTCGAGAAACTTGATGTGAACAATGTCACCATGTACCGAAAAAAGAGTCTCTCGAGCCTCAAAAGAAACACCATGCAAAAGCAAGCCACTCGAATGCTTGGTAAGGGTTTACAGGCACGATTTGCTCCAAATAAGCATCGCGGTTACGACGGCGGCGCTAGTTTAAATGTGCCCATTCGCGGCACGTCAAACTATGGTTTCTACCAATCAAGACAGGATATTCACAAGGTTGCGGAGAATGATGGAGACACTCTTTCGCGGAGTGACATGGAGAGTGCTCTCTGCCTTCGTCACCAAAATCCGTTATCTGCTTGCGAGACCGGTCCCCGGACCCCGGCACACGACCATGGTAAAACACTGTAAGAGAGCCTCGTAGGTCATAGCCTTTCCTCTTTATTTCTGCCGTTTCCCTCCTCTTGTCTTGTCTCACACATTGTTTCCTTTTCCCTTCACATCATCATGGAGCAAGCGATAGAAAGAGAAGANCCCTCCGAGGTTGAAAAGAAGATCGACTCTGAAAGATCATCAACCTCAGGACGCACACGTTCAGAAATCGAAGATGTCAATGCAAGGCTCTGGCTCTCGGAAGACGAGGCCTATCATCATGCAAAAGCACACCCAGACGAAGCTCGAGAAATATACATCACCTTTTCGGCAGACGACAGAGACAACCCTCGCAATTGGGGCAAAGCAAAGAAGTGGTATATTACCTGCTTTGCGAGTTCGCTGAATGTGTTGACTTGTCTGTGTGCTGGTGGGTATTCGTCTGGTGTTGGGCAGCTTGTTGAGGAGTTTGGTGTGAGCGATGAAGTTGGAACTGTGGGATTATCGATGTATATCTTGGGCTTTGCGATTGGGTGAGTTGATGATATGCTGCTGTTACAACAACCATGTCTAATGTTTGTTCACAGCCCTATGCTTCTCGCGCCTCTCTCCGAATACTTTGGGCGTAATCCGGTTTACTTCTGCTCGTGTAAGTCAATCCGAGGGTACAGATACCACGACTTGAGCTGGCACTCTACCTCGATCTGTGCGAGAGGCTCGTATCGCCTTCCGGGACGAAATCTCGCCGGTTCGAGTGCACATGTCTAGCAAAGCCGTGGTGTTTTTCTAAGCAACTTCTTGAGATCGTGCTGATTGTACCTCTTAGGGTTTATCTTGTTCATTTTCCAATTACCACTCGCGCTAGCACCCAACATTGCCACAGTCATTGTCTGTCGACTCATCCAAGGATTTGGTGGTTCGGCACCATTGACAAACACTGGAGGCACCGTATCAGACATTTGGGACCGAAATGCCAGTGGACCAGCCATGTCCATTTACGGCCTTTCTTCGACATTCGGTCCACCCATGGCTCTCGTCATCTCGGGATACATTGCTCAGGAGAAAGGCTGGCGCTGGCTGTTCTGGGTATACATGGCCATCTTTGGCGGTGTCTGGCTTATCATGATGGTGAGTAGTCAGCATTGACTTTATAACAAACACAAAACTGACATAGCTTCANNGGCCACTCTTCCCGAAACCCGCCACAGCACCATTCTCGAGAAAAAGGCCGCTCGCGTGCGCAAAGCACTGAANAAAGAAGGTCTCGACAAGTCTGCATCAAGAGTGTTTGATGCACACGCCGACGAGTCCAAGAGTCTACACACCTTGTTCGCCATTACTTTGACACGACCCTTCCGTTTCTTGTTTACAGAGCCCATCACCATCGGTGCTGCTGCATACAATGGTTTCATCTATGGCTTGGTATATCTTTTCAATGAAGCTTTCCCTTTGGTTTTCGGCAAGAACCATGGCTTCAATGTTGGCGAGCAGGGTCTTGCTTTCTTGGGACTTGCTATGGGGAGTGTGGTTGGTGTTGCACTGTACCCCATCCAAGAACGCTATTATTTGCGTAAAGTGGCCAGGAATGACGGTAAAGGTGTTCCTGAAGCAAGAATCTGGCTTGCACGATTTGGCGCCTTCTTGTTGCCCGTTTCGCTGTTCTGGTGAGCTTTGTTGTTTTTTCTCTATTGTTGAAAGAGTCAAAATGCTGATAAAAACCCCTCACAGNNGTTCGCATGGACATCTTTCGCCTCGGTCCACTGGATCGTCCCCATCATTGCATCCGGCTTCTTCGGTCTAGGCATCTACATCGTCATCCTCTCCATCCTCAACTACGTCGTCGACAGCTATCAGACTTACTCTGCATCTGCCCTCGCCGGCGTAATCCTCATCCGCAATCTCGTGGGCGCAGGCTTCCCTCTCTTCGCCAACCAAATGTACAACAAACTCGGCTATGAGTGGGCGTCTAGTTTACTTGCCTTTTTGAGTATTCTCATGATCCCCATTCCGTGGTTGTGGTTTTATCATGGCGAGACGTTGAGGATGAAGTCGCCGTGGGCGAGAGAGCATTTTGCGCAAGATGAAGATTCGCCGCATTGAAGATGTATTGTTTATATATATAGCCTTCTTTTAGAAGTGTGTTTGGGATGGAAAATTCGAATACTTTCTCCTTCAAAAGGGCCTTGTCCAGAGACTTTGCGTTTCTTGCGTTACAATTCAATTTATTAATTTTTTGGTTGACGGATGCATATACTAAAGTCACTTGCAAACAGTGATTACCCAACACGGCATAGTTGACTGGAACAACGTACAATGGTGTCCTCATTTGCTCCCGTGAGAACAACAGTAAGATATGGGCGAAATATTCGCTCAGCGTGTCCACATATCGTAGCAAGCAGCCAAGATTTCGTCAAACCGTTTTCGGAGCCAAACGCGAGAGAGAGAAAAAAAGAGCAAAGGCAGCACAAGCAAAAGAAGATGTAGCAATTCGCAGAGGAAGCTGAGTTCGGAAGAGCAAAAGCAAAAGAAGAAGTGATCACGCCAGGGGTCGAACCTGGAATCTCTTGATTCGTAGTCAAGCGCCTTGCCATTGGGCCACGCAACCAATCGTTAAGTTGCGGGACATCTATGGTATATATATACCTCAAAGCATCGAGAATGTCCAGTGAACCTTTGCGTGGTCAGAAGGTCGAACATCCCAGATTCGTCTGGTGACCTTGTACGAATGTTCCATGTTTCCAATGACTGTAATACAATAGGCCAATGCAGGCGTGTATCTATGAATGGCATCTAGATTCTCTCAATCGAGTCCTTGACTCGACTCCATAATCCACTCTTTCGATATGGCACCTCGAGTCTTTATCTTCGCTGGTCTGTTGCTTCCAGGTGATATAGTACACTCCAGTCTTGCAAACGATAGATTCTCGTCCACTTTAGAGTCAATCGGCCCACTGCCCATCCTCAGAAGTGCAGGCTCGTGGATAGCATCACACTGTAAACTTCTGGCGATATTGTGTCCAACACTAGCGGTGATCCGGATGTGATGAAGATGGTGGTTTCTTCCTCGATTTCTTCCCCGAAATATCCTGGTGATGGCATAGATTACATGTAGCAGCCGTGAAGTCACAGAAGCTTGACTGTCTCGATGAGTGATCGAGCCTAGGAGTGGATCCGATATGTGTTCGGCGTGACTCGATGGCATGCTTTGTTGTGGGACGGTAGCACCTTGAGAACCCTTTTGTGGTAGTTATTGTTGAGAGCTGCCGAAGACCCGACATACAATCCTTCTCCAACCATATCAGCGAACCACTTGAGGGTTTTGATCATGGGAGAGGAATCTCCCGATGAAGAAATTCGTTGGAGTCTCCAAACAGTGGCTTGTACGAGATAGTATGCTTGAAGCGCTGGAGATCGAACGAAAGGCAGTGCTGCGAGATGCGTGAACGTAAAGGTATATCTTGACTCGACTTGACCTCTGTCAGACCGGTCTCCTCAATTTCTATGATGGTTTCCACAATCTTTGCGTACGTGGAACTGTTCAGTAGACCTTCCTGTCGATTCGACAACTTCAAGGTGTGTACGATGTTCCTGCGGAGACCCGGATCTCGGCAATGGCGGGCAACTTCGTAGAGAGGACCAATCACGCCCATGTCGAGAGCAAAGGAAGGAGCGAGTGGTTGCGCGTCTGAACTTGACAAACCCAAATTGCTCCTTGCCAAGGCTACGATTGCGCGGTAAAGAGGAAGGAACGAGTCGTTCACGGCAGCTTGTTCGTCTTCACTCATGCCTACAGCCTCCTCAGCAAGTATGTTTGTGGTCTCCAGAAGTCTGCGCATGTGTAAGACATTGTATGCAGCAGTCTCACGCGAGATCGGAGAAGTGTCCTGTGTGGTTTGCGGAACTCCAGCCATGATACAAAGTCGCTTGAGCCTTTCTTCTAGTGGCAACTCTCTAAAGATTAATGCACAATCTCGGAGTAGATCTTTGCAAGAGTCACGCCAGTCGTCTGGTGCTTGATATTGTGTAATCACTTCTTTCGAAGCGTGATCAGAGAGACTTGGTCCGAACATGTTTTTGTCTACTANGCTTCGGCTTTCATCAACATGACAATCTTGGAATACATAGCAGGAGAATCTTACACGCTGAGCATGAATCCGAAGACGAGATATGAGGTCTTCATATAGCGGGACGTACTGGTTCGTGGAACTCGGTAACATGGCGACAGAGCGCTGTAGAAGTGAGACGGCAGATGCAAGATGACCTTGCATGATTTCGATGCATATGAAAACAATTGCAGTCGACATTGCAGAGCTAGACTGCAATGTGTCCTGTGTTTCTCCTGAAAGCGACTTGATGTGATTGCGGATTGCTGCATCGTAATGATACAAAGCTGGCTGATTATGCTGTAATTGGTTTTGAGAATTCGTAAAATCTCGGTGAAGATGAGAAAGAGCGACCAGAGAGTGTCGCATGCCAACGTCTTGTTGGGCTAATTGCAAAACATGGCGATTCCAGAACTCAGACGGAGAGTTTCCCGCAAACTGTGGGATAGAGACTCGGAGGAAGAAATCGATCGCACTGGATTCTTCTCCAGATTTGTAAACGTTCAGACTCAACTCTCGATTGTGATTCGGAGATGATGGTTGAGAGGCGACATATCCATCGCACTTGCGACCTGTCGACAAGCACTTCTGGCAGCTTGGTTGCGCTTCGTCGCACTTCACACGTCTGACTGGCAATGATCAGATTCCAGACTGTTTCAGATTTTCGAAAAGGGAGACTCACTCCTACATGTGATACAGCCTGTCCGCGCTCTTGGTTTGTATAGGCGTTTGCTCTCTACATTTCGTTTGTCGCGCATATTGTAACATCCATCGTTCTCATGACCTACTGAGCAGGCCTTTTTGCTTCTAGGACGCAACAGAGTGTCCGCTGCTATTCAGAGCAATCGATAGAATGGCGTTTTGAGAAAGATGGCAGGGAGACCAAAGATGGCAGGGAGACCGGAGTTCGGCGTTCGTATGCTTCGACGTCCTGTCGCAAGCTCCAGACATCAGCCTCAATTTCTCTCCAAACACCAAGTTCTACATCCTCCAAGAGTAAGCGGTTGCTTGTAAGTCAGTATACAGCTATCCTGAAAAAATATATACACTTATATCCTTTCAATATGACTGAGGAGGAGGAACCAAAGTGTAATGCTATAAGATCGCACTAATGACTATTTGATCGCGGTGGTACTGGTTGGTTTAAAGAACGTAGGTCAACATAAATCTCGAAGGTTTGGTGTCTTTAAACATATTGTCATACATTTCTCGTTCCTCTTCTCCCTCATAGTCAAACTACACTATTAAGGCTCGCTAGAGCCTCAACGAAGCACCATAATCCAAAGGGAAAATCATAACCACTAGACTGACAAGCCGAAGTTATGCTTGAAAAGCGGTTCCATACCGGTTCGCAGAACGGTTGATCCTCGGAAAAGGTCTTCATCACGATTGAATGAGAATTCTGGTCACCCGAAGCTTGCCTCGCACCCCACCACCCGTGCATTGCTTGGAGTCTTGGAAACGTCGATTTACCGAAGCTGGAGGGTCACTGCAAGATGTGGCAGACCTCACATCTGCTCGTTTTGCAGCCCGCCATTGCTCCACCATCCAGCAGCCTCCCTCCGAGCTCGTGCGTCATGATTGATGGTTATCTAACCCAATACCCGAACGTAACTTTGGCTTGTTAGTCTAGTGGTCATGATTTTCCCTTTACATTCCTAGTGCTTCTTTGAGTTCTGATGAACGTCAAATGCGTGATGTAACCTCGGGAAAGGTCGTGGGTTCGACCCCCACACGAGTCATTCGTTTTGCATTGTTCATGTGATCTTTTTGCATCGTCTTGTGGCCCAAGTCTTCTTCCTTTGCTTGGTTTGTAACCTGATGGCTGATGAGTGATCTGTTGTCAAACTGCAGACGGTGTACAGGGCTTTCAGTGCTACAACACTTTTTGTAGGCGGTCCTGAGTGGAAGAACAATCCTTAGCCTTCTGTTCATGACATGTTTGTTCTATGGCCAACCACCCAGTTATCTCAAACCAACGTATGACACTTTGGCACATTATTTCAGCTTCGATGTTTGGCTGACAATGATCGGTTGTCATCGCCATCCTATGTCAAGTAGCATGAATACGTTTCTGGTCAATCACTGCCCGATTTGGGCACCGAGTCTTCAGTCCAAAATTCAGGTTTCTACTGCCTACGTATATGCAAGTCAGTCTCGTTCAATGAAAGTGAATTTGCTCGATTGAACCTCACATATCACTTCGTTTCTCATAAAAAAGATGTCGTGGGTATCAGCTTGGGCTACTTCTGCTCGCGAAGAAATGAGAAAACATTCAGCAAACATCGACAACATGAACGAAGGCCTGCAATCAATAGACATAATCGAAAGCTTCTTGACTGGTGGACAATCAGCCCTCAGAGCCGGACGATGTATAGCCTGCATCTACGAGCCACGTCTCAAGACTGGACAAAGAGATAGCGTTGCCATTCTGTGGGCAACCATATGTAAAGCAGCCAGCTCGATCGATGACGCCGCTGCAGTAAAACTTGCTGGACTGGTGATAGCGATCCGCAATCAACCGGATGTTGTGTCTCTCTCAGGACAAGCCGTAAAATATGGAGATTGGGTGTACTGGCGAGACCTTCCAAGATGGGGTCAGATGTTTAGAGAGTATGGANNTCAGGTAAGTTTAGCAGGCCTGCCACTCGGCTCGCTGTTGTTTGAACTTAGACATATTAACAATCTTCCAGAGATTGATCCTCCAGATGGCAACGACGCAGAATGGCATGCGCAAGCTCCGCAACTGCTCAACATCACAACCTTTGCAGCGACACTGATGGTTCGTGCGGATGGCAATCCCAGTGTGTCGTTTCCAGCAAGCATTGCCATGTATGAGGGTGTAGATCGACCATACAATGAGACTCGAGAGTTGCGAGAGGAATGGCGCATGTACATACCACCAGCAGCGACTTGGATCCTACTTGCCGGAAGCCAGATTCGCGAGCTTTGTTTCATGGATGAGCTTCCAGAAGCTGCCAATAATCACACTGTAAGGTCTAGATGGGGTGGAAGAACGTATTGTCCAGAGAGATGGCAATTTTGGAAGCAGCGTTTTGAGCAGCTCGCAAAGGATGCATCGATTGAGGGTCGGTATCAGGGATACGCAAAGCAGGCTTACGAGGCGATGAGAAATCTGGATGTAGAAAGATAGGTTGTTGGTATTTTCGACAAATGCTTCAGCTGTTTCCATTGGTTTACCATCTGGGTTCGCATCACCCGACCTTTCATGATGTTATAGCCCAAAATCATCAACACCGTCGATATAAGGCTGAAATAATATTTTTCATGTATCATGTCTCATCGCACGAACACAGAACCATGTGACACAAGTGTTGGTGTATAGAGAGGTATACACACGTGTGATACAGGGTGGCACTGCCAACAAGAAAAAGGACAAAAAGAAGATATGCCGAATTGGACCAACTTCCGAAGACTCACGCTTGGCGTCAGCACGTAACAAAACCTGTTTTTCTCGCATTGCGATAGTAGGTCGTTTGCAAGCAGGATTGCATCGCATCAATCATCAAATCTCATCATGAGTCGTTGCAAGGGAAACATCGTCAAAGCCAAGCATTTGTTCACAGCTGACGCGCGTACTCCGAGTATATTGAGGCTTATGCACCAGCCACAGCGCGGAAGGAAAGGCTAAGCAATAGTGCACGTACGAGCTCAGGGCTAGCTGCTAATAAGTTAGCTATCCAACAACGTGATCAAGGCAGTGCAGATTGCGACGCGACAGTGGAAAAGGATGCATGTGGTCAGCCGTCAGCGAGTGTCGGGATGCTGATTGCTCTGTTGCCATGTCTATAGGACCAGCAGCAGCACAGCCGAATCATTTTCTCTGAAGGCCTCAGGCAGCCAGAGAGTTTCGCCAAGGTATTTGGAGGCGAAAGTAAGTACCTGAAAGAAGTGAATCCACCCCAAGCGGCGAAAGCAAAAGCTTCTGTGACAACTTGAAGCGACATCATCCGTATCGTTGCTCTCTTTGCTGCTCGCTTCAATCGAAATGTCCATCCAAGCATCAGTGGCTGTGTCAAAACCTGGAAAATCGAAACAATCAGTCAATCAGCCGGAAGATCATGATCATCATAAGCACACAAATAGAAGTTTTTATGCAGAATCTCGGGAGCAACAGATCAGGGAGCCACTTCCCCCGCGTTACGTAGGTAGTAGCTTCCCCTGAACTTCGAACGCCGAAACGACGGCAACGCCTGCCTGGCCAATTCGTCTCCAAAAGGTTGTGACGTCCATGGCTCCTGCTTTCGTACGCAAAAACGTCATTTGGGAGGCCAGAACCTGCCAGAGTTCGTAGGTGTTTACGGAGATCAGCCTCCTTTTGCTCGTAACATGGAAAGTAGGAAGGGAAATTGGCAGAACAGACCAATCAGAGTCAGCATCACCATGGAAGAATAGGCCAGTGCCTGTATCGGGAGCCTCGGGCATGGCAAGGGTTTCAAGGTTGCCCCGTCATTCGGTGGTCGGATGTTGTGATGCAAGCAAAAAGTGAAGCCGCGCCTTCCCTCTGATATATAAACCAGTGCTGCCTCCTCCTTCACTTCGAGCTACCATCCCAAATTCAACCTTGTCTATCAAAACAACCGTCCCCTATAGACACCTTACACACCTTACATCAAACTTCAATCCACCCACATCACAACATCAAAATGAAGTACTCTTTCGTCTGCGCCGCCCTCGCCGCCTCGGCCTCTGCCCAGATCGTCTCTGACATCACCTCGATTGGTGGCTCCATCATCTCTGCCGGTACTAGCGGTGCCGGATCGGTCGTTTCTGCTGCCACATCTGGAGTCGGCCAGGGTATCTCTGGTGCCTCGTCCGTCGGATCAGTCGCCGTCTCGGGAGCATCGTCTGCTGCCAGCGTGGCTGTTTCTGGCGCTTCGTCCATCGCAAGCGCAGGCACTTCTGGAGGTGCTGGTGCCCTTTCTACCCTCACCGGCAGCGCCTCGGCTGGCCTCTCGTCCGCATCTGCTGCCCTCGCTTCCGAGAGCATGGACATCAGCTCCCGCTTGAGCTCCCTCTCCGCTGCTCAGTCTACCGCTACTGGTTCGGCCAAGAGCTCTCTCTCGTCTGAGGCTGCTGCCCTCCAGTCGTCGGCCTCTTCTGCCCTCAGCTCTGGAACCGGCGCCTTGAGCTCTGCTTCCTCGCGCGTCTCGTCCGCAGTCTCTGGCGCTTCGTCCAGCGTTGCCAAGAGTGGTTCGTCTGCTGCCTCGTCCGCCTCCAAGTCTGGCTCGTCGGCTGCCTCGTCGGCTTCCTCTGCTGCCAGCACTGGTGCTGCTGCCTACAACGGACCCGCTGTTGGTGGTGTCCTCGGTGCCGCCCTCGGCTTCGCCGCCCTCCTCTAAGCAAATCCATTCCCACCTACGCCTATTACCACCACAACAAAAAGATGTGTATTAGCATCACGTTGAGATAAGCAGGAGGAAAGATTTCTTGTTTTCACGAATCGCTACGTCTGTACACCATGCCCCAGCATAACTTCCTGTAATACAACTTTATATACACAAAAGCAGAACAACATTGTTTACTCCATCTCATCTCCCTCTCTCTTATTGCGACGCGAATCATTACCTCAGTCCTGATCATCGCACCTACTGCTTGGTCAAGGATGACAACTTTGTACTGCCTACTCTACTCACGGAACATGAGTTCGAAAGACAAAATGACTCGCTTCATCCAAAATGGATATGATATTAAATATTCGCATGTCACCACAGTTCTAGACAATACAGTTGTTCTGATCTGTCTTGCTCCCATGTTCACGACATCAAGAGCACAAGAGTCGGGGATTTGTTTTCGGTGGGGCTTTGATCCATGTGTAGGTGTTGATGTTTTTGACAACCACGTAGAAGAAGCAGAAATAAAATCTTGTTGCTCGCACACCTCCTCCCTGTGACTCCACCCTTCTCCCATAGAGAGCGTGGATCAAAGTGTACACTACGAAGAGGCACAATACTCTTCAAAAGCAGAGGGCGAGCCATGGAGAATAGCTAAAAAGCTGGCTCTCGGTGGGTACTGCCTTGTTTCCCATTACCATTGTGCATTTCCATAGTCACGCGCGTTACATACTTTTAGCACATGGAGAGGCGGTATGTCGGTCTTTGATCACCAACTTTAAAGTGTAATCTCAGCTCAACATTGCAAAAACCCCGTGATCAAGATCAATGCCGCGACGACTGCTTTCTTGGTCTCGGTCAGATATGCCGAGAAGTTATCGCGAACCGTCTCTAGAGACAACCGGATATAGTGTCGGATGATCAAATGGCATATGAATGCCAAGATGAACAGGTAAAAGAGCCATTTGAACGACCAGTTGTGACGGATGTACAGGGCGATGAGTGTGAGTGCCACGGCGAGAGGCAGGAAGAGGACAAAGGCCAGGTAACTTGTATGCTTGACTTGTGTGCAGTCATTGCAGCAAGAGTGGCGTGCTGGCTGTGGAGGTGGTGGATGGGGATGAGGATGAGGATGAGGCGTTGGCGGTTTCGGAGTCGGTGGAGGCAGTGGATGAGGATGCTGGCAACAGAGTTGTTGGAAGTATAAGAGTTGATTGAGCTGGCTGAGCTCTTGATCGGCGTAGATCAGTATTGCTTGAATGATGGACACGTCGTGTAATAGACACGATCTTAGACAAGGCTCGCAGGCGAAGAGGGTATCGATCAAGACATCAAAGTCGACGAGCCAGCAGAGGAAGGGAATGTAGGCGAGGCATTGTCGTTTGAGATTGATATGGTGTTCGTGTTTCTCGACTGCTGTTGGAGGCGGATCGATGCGGTACTCGCACTTCTTTGCTCTTCCTATGTCGTTCAAGAGTTCATCAATGTAGATTTGCAGTATGAGAAAGGGGAGGGCTCTGTAGTCGAAACAATGTTGGATTTGATGCTCGAGATTGCTGTTCAGGATCGCAAAGCGAAATTCGGAGCAATCAATGATTGTCGCACTCAATCGATGTTGTTTCCAGACCGCAGTCTGCCACGAGAAGGGTATGAGTGGTACATCGGCGGGTTCATGTATGTCTGCTTGCAGTAAAACNNAACTTCTCTTCTCGTCAGTGGGGACCATTCCAGTACGGGAGGTGAAGCTCACCCTGACAGATTTCACAGTCATGTCTGCCATAGACCAGAGGAGNNCTCCTAGATGGTTGACCTTATCCCGAGGTAGATGCTCGCAAAGTAGGTTGCGAGTGTCAAGCGAGACAGGCCTCCTGGTCAATGTCTTGTCGACAAATTGCAAAGAAGTTGGAGATGAAGAGGTCGAGCGTATGACAANTGCTGCCAACCATCAGCCACGGTCTGAGAAGGACAAAAGGCGATCGCACATGATTCGGTGGGTCCACTTGCGTCTATCTTCCCAAGATCTCTGCCCATTGACCCTCCGCTTGAGAATGGCTCTATTCTGAAGCAGTGAGAAATGGCTCATCTGTGAAGATCAGGTTGACCAACCTTNTAACCAGGCTATGATGGCTGCATTGTCGTTACATTGCTCAGCGACTGTCTGGTATGTACCACACTAGGGACATAAGTGTTCAGCAGCGAGATGACTGATAGTAGAGACACGGCTGACCTCATCAAACATCAAGCCGACACAGAAGAAAGCAGTATGGATGGACATGTTCATGCAAGTCTGAAGTGGCTAAGAGTCGACGGCATCGACGGTGGGACAATCGTCGGGCATGCTGCAGACTCATATAGTTCTGCCAGCCTTGAGGACAGATTCGAGACACATGATCGAAGCTACACATATCTGATGGTTCGAAAAGCGTGGCGAGCAGGTAATGGGCAAATACGAAAGGGTTGCTTGTCGATGTGGACGAGGCAAACATGCATGCATCGGCAAGGCTCAGATTATGTCGAGACGTATTGCCGAGTTGGCCAGTGTGGAAAGTACTGTCTCATCTCCTGGGGAAAAACGTCTTGTTGAAAGAGCAATTCCTTGAGCTACGAATGGTGGAAGTGCTGAGAAGCTTCCTCGGCTGCGGCGCCTTGATGGTCAGATTTGTTTCAGGCAGGTTTGGAGTAGTTAGTGGTAAGCAACACTTGGCCGACAAATGATGTATCAGGGTCACGTTGGCTTGTATGGCAAGGCGCCTGTCAGCATGTCGAGGGAGGAGACAGGAAAGGACGATGGTGGTGGAGGCGGAGACATGTCACGCCAAGGCGAGACTTCCGGTCCCCGCATGGCAGCAGGAAGGAGCTATGGCGACTTTTTTCGGCAAAGGAAAGAGCAGGCCACGATTCAGTCGTGAGCGGATCAAGAGAAGGAACGACATGAGGATTGATTGAAATGTTTCGATTGACACGCGGACTCCGAGCAGCGGCAGAGGCGGGCTCGTGGTCGCAGACGCTGCACCTGCCCAAGTCGACCTTTCCCGCCAGACCATCCACCGAAGAACTTCTCAAATACCGAAAACGATGCGCCGACGACTTTTATGCCTGGCAAAGGGACCACACACCGGCCGAGAACGAGAAGGGCGAACGCAACACTTTCATCCTCCACGACGGCCCTCCATACGCGAACGGCCCCGTGCACGTCGGACACGCCCTGAACAAGATCAACAAGGACATCATCTTGAGAACATACTCGAAGAGAGGCTTCAGGGTGCAATACAGACCAGGATGGGACTGCCATGGCTTGCCCATTGAGCTGAAGGCTCTGCAAGCCCACCAACAATCAAGTCTGAACGAGGAATCAAAGAGCCTGGTCCATGACCCCAAGAAGGAAGCCAGCGTTGCTCATGGTGCTGGTCTCAGCCCATTGGCCATCCGTGAGGCTGCAAAACAACTGGCGACAAAGACCATCTCGGAGCAGATGGACGCCTTCCGATCATGGGGAGTCATGGGCGACTGGGACAGGCCCTACAAGACCATGGACGCCGACTTCGAAATCAAGCAGCTGCAAGTCTTCAAAGACATGGTCGCANNAAAGGTGAGGTCCGTCCCTACCACCTCTGACAACTCATAGCATGCCATATTGACTTGAATCCTCACAGGTCTGATCCACCGCCAGAACAAGCCCGTCCACTGGTCGCCCTCTTCTGGTACCGCCCTGGCCGAGGCCGAACTCGAATACGACGAAGACCACCGCGTTGTCGCTGCCTTTGTCAAGTTCCCTCTGCTCAATCTGCCCTCGACACTCGCCAACAACTCTGCCGTTCAAGCCGACTCGGTCAGCGCCTTGATTTGGACCACAACGCCCTGGACTCTACCCGCCAACAAGGCTATCGCCGTGCGTTCCGACATGTACTATATACTGCTTGAAGTCACTGGTAGCGACCTTCCCAAAGACATGCAAGGCCAGATGATTGTCGCAAAGGATCGTGTAGAGTCATTGCAGACCCACCTGCCAGAGGGCGCCACCATCAACATTCTCGTCGACAACATCTCGGGTTCCGACTTGGAAAATACCGACTACATCAACGTCATTTCTGCCGAGCACAACAAGATCATCCACGCCGACTTCGTCACCGCTACTTCGGGTACTGGTCTCGTTCACATTGCCCCCGGCCATGGTATGGACGACTACAACGTCTGCATGAAGCTGGCTATCGGTCCGGCTTTTGCCCCTGTTGATGATCATGGAAAGTACACCACCAAGGCCTTCCCTTCGGATCCCTCCTACCTCCAAGGTCTTCCTGTCGAGAAGGACGGCGCAAAGGCTGTCGTTGCTCTGCTCAGGGAACCCCACTCCAAACTCTCCATTCCTTCTTTGAAGGCCGACTCGTCTCTGATCTTCAAGACACACAACTTCAGACACAAGAATCCCATCGATTGGAGAACAAAGCAGCCTGTCATCACTAGAGCCACCGACCAATGGTTCGCCAACGTCGGAAGTGTCCAGGAATCTGCCCTTAAGGCTATTCAAGACATTATGTTCATCCCAGATACTGGTAAATCGCGCCTGGAAAGCTTCTTGAAGGGCCGCAGTCAATGGTGTATTTCCCGTCAGCGAAGCTGGGGTGTCCCTATCCCAGCCTTGTTCCACAAGCAGACCGGCGAGGCACTGCTCACCGTCGAGAGTATCGAGCACATTATCAAGACCATCCAAAAACGTGGTATCGATGCTTGGTGGGCTGACGATGCTGAAGAATCTGCTTGGATTGTCCCTGGCCTTAATCCTGACTTATATGTTCGTGGCAAGGACACTATGGACGTCTGGTTTGACAGTGGAACATCTTGGGCCCAGCTCGAGGAGCGCGATGATGGTTCTCATGCAGACATGATTTTCGAGGGTTCTGATCAACATCGTGGTTGGTTCCAGTCTCTCCTCCTAACTCATCTTTCTGCTCAAACCGACACCGCTAATGCTCCTGTCGGAGCTATTATTACTCATGGGTTCACACTTGACCAGGCTGGCCGCAAGATGAGCAAGTCCTTGGGTAACGTCATCTCTCCCGAGGAGATCATCAGCGGCACAATCATACCCCCAGCAAAGACGAAGAAGGGAACAAAGACTGTCCCTCGTCCTGCTCAAACCAAGAAAGACGCCATGGGTCCTGACGCCTTACGTTTGTGGGTCGCAAGCAGTGACTATACCAAGGATGTTGTCATTGGCCAGCCTGTCCTCCAAGCCGTACATTCATCACTTCACAAATATCGCACGACTTTCAAGTGGCTCCTTGGCGTCATGCATGACTATCCCGCCCCCTTGCCTGCTGAAGATTTCATGCAACAGCTCTACTTTTCTGACCAAGTTGCCCTTCACCAACTCTCCAAGACTTCGGCAGAGGTCTGGAAACACTATGCTGCCTACGAATTCCACAAGGGTGTGCAAGCCATCAACAAGTTGATCAACACAGATCTCTCAGGATTCTACTTTGAGGTCATCAAAGATAGATTATACGCCGAAGACGAAGAGATTCGTCGGCATACGCAAACAGTGCTCTTCATCATTATGGAAGAGCTCTGCCATATGTTGGGTCCCATTACTCCTCATCTCATCGAAGAAGTATGGGAACACATCCCTGAACAATGGCAGCCATACGACGTTAGATCACCAAACCGAAGAACATGGGAATATCCGTTCAACGCCGAATTTGACTCCTACAGAGCTGAAGGTGCTATGGAGATGGTGATAAAGACCTTCAATACTGTCTCAACAGCCGTCAAATCCGCTCAAGAGAATGCACGCAGAGCAGGCAGACTTGGTAGCGGACTGGCATGCCGTGTTGAGCTACAGATGCCTCGCGAGACCGGCAATGTATTCCTGACCCTCCTCACCGATCTTGGTGCCAACGACGAACTGTCCGAACTCTTCGTCGTCTCTGAAGCCACCATGGTTCCCGATGATCCAGAATTCCGCCGTAAGATCGCCGAACAAGAACCGGACGAAGGACTCCGTGCCACGCTTCTCGAACCCGAGGAGCCGCCAGCCTGGAAATTCGAATGTGAATTCGAATGCGGAGATGAAGGTGCACCTGCTACAGGAAAGGCTGTTGTACTGCCACCCAATGCAGAAAAATGCATCAGATGTTGGCAATTCACTTCTGAGGAGCCAGACACGCTTTGTGGAAGGTGCACAGATGTCGTCAGTGCTGACTTGGGTGTTGATGAACAGACGCTGAACGAGTCGGAGGCCGAGGAGGAAGAGGAGATGGAAGATGAATTGGCCAAGTACCGTTGATGATGTCTAACCTACCTCTTTTTCTCTTGCATACATTGTACAATAGTCTACTGTAAGAATAGTCTCGGGCGTTTCTGGGAATTCCATCGGTATCTTTTTGCATATATCAAATCTGTTCTTGTTTTTTTCCTTTGCTTCCTCGTCATCCCATCCTACAAACAGACACAAGGAAAGAGCACTTCCGGCTCTGTGTGTCTGTTGTGTCCTGAACAGGCGTGATTAACCCTCTTCTCTTGCCGGTTTTCTTGCCTGTTTTATCTCTCTCTCTATATCATTTTTTCCCCATTTTACTCTAACAATTTTCTTTCTTTTTTTGCTTGTTCCCGATTCTTGGTTTCTTTGCGTGCTGGTTTGTCGTTTGCTCTTTTCTACTTTCTGGTCTTGGGAGCAACAGGGTTGGTATATGGATACAGGCAAAAGAAATGCGAGAAACGAGATTCACAACCAGAAAAAGAGCATTTGAAAAGCTATCAAAGGGACAACCATAAGGTGGTCATGACAGAATCTATGATACGGAGCAAAGACGTTTATTGGTCAACTTGACATTATAACGCAGCTGATTGCTTCTTTGTCGTGGGGTTTTGTATTGGAGATGGTGGTTCATCATTCCGGGAAGCATGCGGGCAGTAAATAGTCCTATAGATTGTTCCACGAACATGAGAGGTCGCAAATGTAGTCGTCTGTGACAGAGCTTAGCACATGAAACCTGCGGGTCTGCGGAATGAAAGCAGCTTAAAGGCCATGAGAAGTGTACTATAGTCGTAGAACGAAAAGATGTTTGGTTGTCTTGCGAGCAGTGCTAGAGGTTGCTTTGCAGACAAGATGTCCATGCAAAGGAATAACCCACCGTTCAAGCGAGAAGTCGCTCTCAAGGACGTTTTGTACAGGTAGACCAAGGAGTCAGCCGTGAGCAATGAAATACACTCAACAGCTTTGAGCTTGTCCATGGCTGGACTTCAGAAGACCATGATGCAATACGAATAGCTGCCACACACACCGCACCTCCCATGAAGCGTCTAGACTCCTCATGGGTAATTATGCTGCCCAAGCAGCAGAATGCTAGAGGGTCAGATTGAGCTATAATGATAAACTCTCGTTTGTCTGGATTGCTAGCTTGATCAGAACCTTGGAGTCATGGCAATAGACTCAACCCCTAAGGGTAGAGGAGGTGTGATCTGCTGAGAGGGTCTGAGCTACTGAGGCTGAGGCATAGAGAGCGCATTGTTGGTTTATGACGAGGCTCATCTACTGGCATGGCACGCCGGGGATGTATCAGAATCGACCAGGATGTCGGACGTGGCCCGATTTGGAAAAGAACCGCCTTTTGATGGTCGGCCATTGAGAAGATCTCCAAACTCAGTCTGCTCATGGCACCATGCAACGTCCAGGGTTCTGGGCTGCCTGGAGTCGAGGTTGTGATTGAGTTGGTCCAATCATATGAAGGGGGTCGATGTGGTGTTGCTAATCATAACCCAGTTGCTCGACCCATGATCCGTGGCTTTTGCTGTGCAGTTGTAGTGTATCGTTTCTTGAGCTTATCGCGCGACCTTGATGGCCAGACCTTGGGTGGCTGTTCGACATGCTTCGAGTTGCTTTGAGTCTATAAAAACACCTGCTAAGAAAATAAGATTCCACGTGCGTCTCACTACACTGCATGGCATCTGACGGAAGGAGGGACCAAACCTTAACTTAACGTTGGAAAAGAGGGTCCTAGACTTAGAGAGTCAGAATGACAGTGTCAATTGTCTGCAGGTCAAAAGGTCAAACTAAATTATAGTTGCTCGGTGATAATCTCTCCTGAGATCTAATGTCGTGTGGCGGCCCATGCCTGGCGGTCGTATTGCAGTCAAGGTGCAAGGGCGGGGGCTGAGAGGATTGTGCGACAACGGTCGGTGCTTGATGTAATATGATCGTCCCCTTCGGGTCCGTTTTAGGAAGTCGTAACGAGATGTCAGTAACGGACACTGTACGTACGTAGTACGCCAGGCATGCCCTCGTCCCTCGAGATTCTCGGGGTGGTTCGATGCATAGAGTCAGTAATTTGTTCAGACGTTATCCATTGGATGCAGGTTGCTTGGCCGCGGAGCCGTTGAAAGGATCGCGACGATTGCGTGGAAGAAAGCCTTCTCTGATGGAAGTTAGGGCTTGCTTTCCAGAACAGACGGTGGAAACTGCCAAGCTGATACTTGTGTTTGCGATCTCTGAAGTACAACAGTCGCGTACCACTGTGCGAGGTGCAATAATGTGATCTCTGATCAAGCCTCGCAAGCCGAGACTTTTTGCAATGGAGAAGAGGGTTTGATGCCGCGCGTGGATCGACCGGGACACAGCCTTGAGCTTGAGCAAGCTGCCTGTTTCGGCTCGATGTCGCAATCATCCAAAGTCTTCTTCTCTCTGGGTGTGTGAGGCTAAACTCAACATGTTTCGACTGCGGCGATGTGACCACACCACGATGATGTCCAGGAATGTGAGTTGAAGCTTTTCTGAGCGAGTCGTTCCTCCTGAAGAGTATGCCAGCACCAGGTTACGATGCGTGCATACGCAGAGACGCGACCTGCCTTGTTTTCTGTAAGCAGATCTCCGTCAGATCTGCCTCGTCGCAAAAAGCAGATATCGCATCACATCATGTCTAAATCGTCAAGGCACCGTTACAATCGCAGGCAGAGCGAGAGTCGAAATGAGAACCGTGGCTGCTCGCACGTAAGAGTTATTCTGATCTCTATCTCGTCGCGCGGGATGTCGCCATCGCAGACATTCGCGTTTGGTGGGGAACACCAAATCATGCCGACACGCGACGAATTTCGCACTGGCTCCGCACACCAGGGATTGGACCATGTCTGTTGCATCCGAACAGGCCGAGTGCTCGTTGATCGCCGCTAGATTTTCGTTAGCAACGGAGATTCCTTCTCTTGCAGACTGCAAGCTGTTTCCCCTTTTCTTTGTCCACCTCCACCGCAACGCGCCGACATGATCCTGCGCCTGCACCTTCCAACGGCCTCACATATGCGCCGGGCGGTTAAAAGTACGGAGTAACTTCAGCTGCTGATTCGTGTCCGCTTCTTGAATCGCTAGTCTGCGACTCTAAAAGGAACGTCTCTCTTCTCGTTCCGGCCTGGAAACAATGCTTCCACGATGATTCGAAAGTTTGGTACACTTCTGGCTCTCTGACACCTCGGACTCAAAGCTTCTATGCTCCCTGCTGATCTACTGCCCTTTTGCGCCTTGCTCTGAGGCCCGGCTTCTCGATCAAGCACCCCCAAGAATCCTGACCTTCCAAATCTCCTTACCCACTCGGCAGGTCAAACAGCAGAATGACGGTGTCGATTGACGAAATACTCTCGATGCTGATCGATGCTTGTAACATGGATACAGAACAAGGCTGTCACCCAGCTATGAGTACCTACAATATTCTCAACTCCCGAGATTTGACCTACGTCAGAAAAGTCGTGATGTACAATTTATGCTCTACTATTGCATCTCGAAAGCTGGGATCATGGATGATTGCTTCCCCTTTCAGATGCCCGTGCCCCAGTTTATGATGGAGAATTGTCCTCGGCTCCGTCAATCGATAGATTGTACATTAGCAATGCAAATGCACACTGTATACCTGCACACATCGATCCGGCGTTATGGATCGATTTAATGGTACTCAAGAAGCGCGCAAACAAGAAAGAAGCAATGACTCGCGGGCTGAACTGACTCCGGACCTGACATAGAAAACTGCAAGAGCGTTCGGCCAGTCACACCTACATGTTCCTTGCTTTCTTGTTCGTCAGACAAAGTCGTCCCATTGTGGAGCAAAGCTCAGCTGAGAATTTCGAACCTCGAGAAGCTTTTAGAGTTCGCTCTGACAGTCGGGACAATGTCCATGTGGCTCTGTTTTTCTTTAGTGCTTCGCCCATTCGGCCGTATGCTGAATGTATCTGCTTTGCGCCCTGCGTACATTACGCTCAGAGTCTGAGAATCTACTGTCCCAAGCCGTTGGGATATTTTTTTTTCTTGATCTCACTGTCCCTCTTGAGTACGCCCGAAGAGCTAGATCAAGGCAATAGCAGCAGCCGCACTAAGTAACCCACGAGCGTGGATCGGGGTCGATAGACGAGCCTGCCGAGAGCCGAGGAACGACCTTGGCATTAGCCACGACCGTGAAGATCAAGCAGGATTGAGGATAATAACAATACATGTGAGCCAAAGGAATTCTGTCCTTGAAAGTGTTGATACATTAATGCTAAGCGAGTGTAATAGTAGGGGTATCTAAAAATCAAAAGTAAACGCCGTAATCAGTAACGCGAGTAGAAAATACAGGAATAAATCCTGGGATCACGCTTCAAGTCGATATCTGTGAAGGAGTAAACAGCGCCGGGCAATAAGCTTGTATCCGCAAGATATACAGGAAACAACGGATGGGTATCATTGGATGATGATGAAAGCACCGTGAAGATATGATACAGAAGAGCGCGCTTTTTTGTACAATTGTGAGGTATTCAACGACCGTGAGGCGGCAGATGGTATCGAACATTAGCCTCGTGGCGTGCGTAGGGGTTGACGGGGCCTGTCATCGGTGGAGCCTGCATGATGGATGGAGGAGGTGGTGGAGGAAGATTCGACGCAGGCATCACGGCATGAGCCATAGTGGGTGGCGGTAGAGAGGAAGCGTGAACGGTGCGAGCCGGCATCTGGTTGTGATGTGCTTGCATCTGATGTTGAGGCATCGCAGTATTTGCCGACGGTGGTGGCGGTTGTGCGTGACTCTGTGCTGGCGCCTGCACATATGTTTGCGGGATAGGCGAATCGCCACGCTTGCGAACATTCCTGATCGGTTCCGGACTGCTTCTCTGAGCCTCGGCATAACGACCTTGATTTGTTTGTGCAGATCCGCTACCAGTCCTTCTCGCCCTGGGCGATTGAGGACGAGGAAGGTGTTCGCGTCCTCCAGGGAATTGCGACACGATGGAAGCGAGTATGTCTCTGTCTTGTCGGTAAAAGTCCGCATCTTCAGTCATGTCCTTGACTTGCTGCTCCAGTCTTGCAATGGTCTGAGAGGCTTCCATCTCCTTTCTCTTGCGGCGTTCACGGAATCTTGCACTTGCACCAGCGTTTCGACGTCTCTTCTCATCCGCAACACGAGACGCTGCCTGAACGTCGACGGGAAAGCGAACATCTCCTTCAGTAGTCTTGAGAGTCATCATCTGAACAGAGTTCGAACCACCACCGTTGAGAGCGGCATGGTACGAATCCGAAACGTGGGGTGCTGACGAGCTGGGAGTCATACTCAGGCCTCTGGCTCTGTGAGCATCGGACACAGAAAGATAGCCAGAGACATGACCATCGCCAGGTGGTGAGGTCTGGTCATAAGCTGAGTAGTCAGGGCTGGGGCTAGCACTGTAGCGTTGAGCCGAACCAGACTCGGGACTGGCTGTCCTTGTAAGATGGTTTGTCTGGACGTATCCTGGATGCGCGTAGCTGATGGCGGGCGGAGCAGGAAGAGGAGGGGCGCCAGTTGTTCCGGTTTGAATCGTGTACGGCCTAGAACGAGGAGATACTGGGAAGGGGTTTTGCTGAGCATCCATAACCCCATTGGGAGGATTGAAGTGAGACAGACTGATAGCTCTTCGAAGAGGAGATTTGGGCGTCAGCATTCTTCTGGGTGCACTGTTCAATGGTTCTGTGAGGAGCGGTAGTGGAGTATTGCTTCCAATTCTAGACAGCGAGACCAATCCTTGAGATGTTGGGCCAAGAGTGGGCAACGTCGGAGCCCTATTAAGTGGTGAATCGATCTCGTCTGCTTTCCTTCTGCGTTGGAAAGACATGGAGGGTTCATCAGTGACAGGGTTGAGGACGGAGGGTAGTGTGACTGATCGAGATACAGATGGAGATACAGGAGCCCTCACAAGCGGAGGGAGCTCGAGGCCTCTAGNGGGCAGAAGCTCGGGTCCATGTCTTTGTGTCTGTGGAGAGGTTGTTATCGATCCAGGATAGCCTGAAGAGGTGTTTGATGCATGTCGTGAATGTGAAGTAGGTGCTGTGGGACGGGCATGTCCATCGTTGTCGTGTATCGATGGAGGGCCTTGAGAACTAGACCAGTATGACATGTAATCCTTGCTTTGCGCTTGCCTGCTCTCCGACGACGCTGACCATGAGCGTTGTTGGCCGCTTATGGAAACGCTACGATCGCCTTCGACCGACAAGAAGGGTGAATCGTATCGGAGCGGTCGACAGTCAGGAGTACCTCGGTTCACACCAAAATACTGGCTATGATGACCTTGATCGTGAGCGAGAGCGTGCAGAGGACGAGGTGCAAAGTCTGGGATCGCCAGCTTGACTGATGTGGTGGGACGGTGGAAACGTCCCACGGGAATGCCTAGGGCAGGATGATAGGATATAGAACACGGTATGTATCGCTACTCGCAATAACAAGTAACAATAGGCGGGAAAGGAAAGAAGTGAGTCAAGGCTGAGCAACAAGTCTAGTATCAAGTGTACTGCAACCCGGACTAGCGATCAGATGCCGGAGAAGATGCCGAGGCGGAGAGGTCGGTTGCCAGGTGGGTTGCAAAGGAATGAAGAAAGGGAGTGCGGAAGGGGTTGGACGTATGTGGGAGCGCGGCCGAGTATATGGGTTGGAAAGGTACCCGATCAGCCAGACACCCAGACCAGTGATATAAGACCGATCGGCAGGTTGCGGTGAGTTGAAATGACATGACAGCAGACAACGCGCGGGCCAGATAGAGCCGGGGCCTGATTGGGAATGGTAGCATCATTTTGCACAGGTGCAGGTGGGCAGCTGGCGTCGACGGAGATCGACTGAGTTAGACTTTGGTACTTGCACTGGGGTCAGAGAGCGGCAAGGCAAGAACTATGTTCGTGCATGCGAATGCTTCCTGAACGTTGGTGTCACACTAATCGACTAGGGCAATGGCGGGCCCTGTCTCGAAGCTTTGACTGTCCCGAGCGTTGCACTCGAAAGTTCATGCTCTTGCTGCTCAGAAGTCGAAAAGTGTTGCCCACTCTTTGCTGCTCCTGGAGCGACTCGCTTACAGACTCTCGGAGGCCAGCATCTGTCGTCGCAATTGATCCGCTCCTGCGAGCCATGGAACCTCAAACACAACAAAGTCTCCGTGTGGACTGGCCAGGGCCAAGGCGGCTCCGCGCCCAACATCCATCGGTCGCTCAGATCTTAGCCAGAAAGAAAACCTGCCGTTGACCCTCCTTCGGTAGTTGTGGAGCGAGTGTTTCCAAACAAGCAAACCGCATCACTGGTCTTGGTGAGCTGGCCACATCCGCTCATCATGCGAGTCGGCCACCTCTTTCACCTATCCAGACGCACGACCCCGGGAAATGTGGCGCTGTGTCATCGGTCTGTGCCCATCGGCCTGCCCACATCCTCTCATTTGTTCAAAAAAGGATTGTGAAGGTTTTCGGTGCGCGCAACCTTAATACCGCTTCGACCCGGCGAGTCAAGCCATCACTATGGAAGTTTGCCTTTGATCATGACTTTGTTCAGGGGGTCAAGGGCAAAGCATGACGACGGCCACTTGAGCGCTCCAACCACAATCTCCAGGCCGTCGCGGGCCACACTCCATTGCGAATCATCACCCAGATCTCCTTCCCTTCTTCATGATTCGTCGCTCGACGCCCCGAGGGATACAAGAAATAGCTTCATGCTGCATATCCTAGCGGCGGTTCTTTGGAATTAAACAGCGGTTGGTCGAGCGTGCATGCCTAAATCCCGTACAAGCCACTTATCTGGAGCACACGGTCTTCGTGTATGACCGTTGATCCGCGACAATCTCAGAGCATGTCAAAGTTTCGGGCTTGAATCACCATGAAACATATCAGACTTTGGCCCTTGCATGCCATCATCTGTCTGTAGTAGATGGCGGGCAATATGGCGACATGGCTAAACCCTGCTCTGCCACGAGGTATTTTTCCACGAATGTTTTATTGCATCTGTCCGATTCAAGTTGTTAAAAATCGCGACTGACTCGCTCGTATGCTCGGTCAAATTCAACACATGCCAGCTATCACCTGTCACTGTCTCGGTTCTTGAGTAACTTCTCTAGGGTGTAGAGACAACGCATTATCTACCAAAACATTTACTCCTATCGGGAAGCTAGGAACACCTAGCAAGTGATGGCATGCATGTCACAAGCGTTTGTTCGCTTCTCGAACAGAGCCAAATTGACCTGGAAGTCGTAACGACCAATCCGATGAGTGTGGCTTGTAGGGTGGCACATACAACCCGCATACGAGCATGCATCATGTGAGGTGTAGCATCGCCGGCGTCTGTCTGGGGGCACATGTGGTGCCAGCACAACAATGCATATTCTCTGCTCATGGGAATTATACTATTGGTTGACCATCCTGTGGTGGATTGTCGCTGCCCAGACGACAAGTCACGGTGAACGAGTCACGAATGCGCTTTCGCTCGAACGGGTGTGCATACGATGCAAGCCCGTCGCGACATGTGTTGGCCGTTGCACACCTAATAGTACTGCGTAGTACATCTTAACGACGATACCGGCCCTACTTAGCACAGCGAAGAAATCATGCAGCATTCTCCTCACTTCACCTCAGACTCGGCGCCTTGATCAGTCACAACGATAGAGTTGCAGGAAAGCTGCGCTTCGAACCATGTTCCATGCCTATGGAGATTCTTGGGAGGGCAGCGGAGAGCAATCATACCTTTTATAGACGTCAGAAACAGCCGTTCTCAATGGCCAAACCAAATGATTTCAGGGCACTGCGCCCTTCGATACATAGGCACATTGAGAATGGTAACCGGCTTGTGGATTTTGTTAGTGTTGAGCCAGCGCTTGCGACATCACTTGAAACGATACTGACAGACTGCCTTCCTTGTTGAATCCTTCGGTTTCCGTTCTGTTTTCTCATCCATTTCTAGCGGCCGTTCCTGCCGTTTCGCGAATTGTGACCTTCACACAGTCGCCGATAGAAGACTTCTCGAAAGAGAAGGTGGGGACGGAAGGGTGTTCCGATTGTGGTGTTATTCTTGCTCTGTCAGCAGAGTGGAGTCCAAATCCTTTTTCCCGCCATCCTGCGACTTGGGCGAAGCGATTGCGAGTCGTCAAATTCCCAACGGTCATGTTTCAGCATGGTTTTCCTAAATTGTTTGTTCCTCTGCCAGATTGGGGTCATACGTGTGCGGCACGAGCTTACGACATTGGCGAGGACGGCATGTCGAGCAGCTTGAACTCGTTACTCCATCTTGACCTTCGGTTACCAACTGTCGTCATCTCGGTAAGCAAGACAGCGCTTGCTGCATGTACCGAGAGATTTACCAAGAAGCCGGGCGTCCGAAGCACGATATCGTGTGCCTTGTGGGAACGAACAGATACCGTAGGGCAGCATCAGCCCAGATACCGCAAGTATTTACTGAGATCAGTAAAACCACCAAGGATGGTGCACCAATGCGTCGGCTGGTGCCCCGCGTCCAGTTCGCTACAAATCATCATCTCTGGCGCGGCGATACTCGATGTGAGGAAGGTTTACGCTCACGCTTGCCGCAGCGTGCCGTTGAAGGATTCACGGTTGCTACTGTGGGGCCTGCAGGACTAGAGCTCGGATAGAGCCACGAGGTGGTGGTCTGAGCGCGCGGGCTGCCTCGTGGCATCCTAGACACTTTTTCAGAACGGGGTTTAGAACGGCTACGGAACTGTGTTCGACAGCCTCAAGCCTCCTGTTTTTAGCCTCTTTCATCCTTGCAACCGGCCCAAGGACCACTACCCCGTAGAGGTGCAACAACTGAACCTCAGGTTTGCTATTTTGGCTTTGATCATGCCCCAACCTATCGAATGTGTACAAAAATTGCGCTTGGATTACACCGTATGCCCCTGGGCTTGGGGTGGTGCTTGAGCTAGGACGTGATCAGCGTTTCCATGTACGAGGTGCTGGTGCTGTATAGCCGACATTCATAAATACCCTGGTTAAACTTAAACCAAGCCATCTATTGCAGCTCTATCCAACGCCGCCAATCTGTGCTGTCCTGAGGATCTGCATCAATATCGACGCATGCTGCTGACGATGGTTCCTGGAACCAAGAACATTTGAATTGAGTTTTTGTGGCCCATGATTCGGAGATTGCAAAGCCCTTAGTTGTGCTCCGTATTGCTCCATTCAGGCACAAGCACGCCATGATCGAAAGCAGCCAGCTGACGAAACGCGGAAGGTCTTGCGAATCGTGGTTGAAACACGGTTGAGGTGCAAACTTCCGTCCCAGGATTTCCGCGCTTCCAGAATCGGTTGAGAAGAGTGGTAGGATGGTGGAAATCGATTCTTTGCTTGCTCTGTCTTCTAGAACATATCGTATGTCCTCCACCATGTTCAGTCTAAAAACGTATCGGCCTCCCCCTAAACTGTAATGCCACGTGGGCCTGACCGTCACCTCAAACCATCTACACCTTAGCCCACATCCTGAATTCGTTGATCGGAGCGGCTGTAACACCGATTGGAACCTTGAACGTGGCTCCTTGAAGTCTTGCACTCTCGGGGTACTTGTCTGGGTCTTCTTCTGCCGCGGTTGTGATGTAAAGATCCTCTCCGCAAATACCTGGACAGGTGACGCATCTGGTCGGAAGAGTGATTTCGACAGAGATCTCGCCCGTCGGGCTCACCCGCACGACCTTGCTGGTTCCAAACATTGCAACCCAAAAATAACCCTGGGCATCTTGACAGTGGCCATCTGGAACACCACCCTCAATAGGGCACTTGAAGAAAGGACGTCCTGCGCTTAGGTTTATCTCGCCAGACTCCAGATTGTAGTCGTAAGCCTCGATCTTGCCAGTTGGCGAGTCAGTAATGTACATGGTCTTGTTGTCCAGAGTCCATGACATTCCATTTGGGATGGTGACTGGCTCCTTGATTCTGTGGAGGCTGAGGTCTGGGTCCAGTCTGAACAAGACGCCNNTATGTGGAGATTTAGCATGATGGATCGGTACAGATCAGGTGGTCGACTTACCTTCCGGTCCAGGCTCGTCCACAACCGTAGGGTCGTTCATGGTACCAACGTAGAATCTGCCGTGGCTGTCGACCGAACCATCGTTGCTTCGCGAGCGGTGTGCTCTGCCACTCTGCACCTCCTCGTCCGACCAGAACTTTTTGATGTATCTTGGCTCGCCAGTTTTCTTGTTTGCGATACCATACCCTTCCTTGCCGCCGAAGATGAACTCGTCATCATTGCCCTCGATGTTGGCAGTGCAACCAATGGAGAACGGAAGCGTGATTGTCTTGTGTGACGAAGGACCCTCATTGAGATTCACAACATGGAGCTGCTTCTTGATGATGTCGAGAAAGCGCAACGTGTTGCTCTTCTTGTCCCAGAACGGAGCTTCACCCAGACCACAAGAAGTCTTGAGCCAGGGCTCGGTAAGCTTGATCTGCTTGATTTCCGGCATGATGTGCTCTTCTCTTTTGATGTTATGGGGTATTTGGAAGATGCGAATCGAAAACACGGCACCTTGCAAACATCGTCACTGCAAAGGGTGAGAGCCGACCTCATGATGATGGCACTGTTTGCACCATGTTTGCTTCTCCCCCACATCGGGAGAAATTTCCGAGCTCTCCACATCCCACTCCCGAATCTTGCAACACAACCTTTGTCGTACTGCAAAAGCACAAGTGCATCAACGGCATGCCTTTTGACTCCACGCTTCTGCACGGCTCTGCTCGCCTGGATGCGTGTTCAACCATCCTTGGAAAGAAAATACACACGTCGATGTCTCAGCGGAGGCGATCGGAGGTGCCATTCCGAGGGCATCATGCCTACCTATGGACGAATTCGCTGCCCAAACCCGTGGTTCACATCGACTTTTTCGAGTAACGCCATATTCCGACACCCGAGACGCCGCATGCGAGACATCCGTGGCTCACCCGACAGGCCCACGTGTGGATTACATGCAGTACGCCGGCAATGCAGGTCTACACCAACAATGTGACTGATCGCATCGGGCGACAAGCTGGTAAGCGCCGTGTGCCATCAATGCCCGGATTTGGTCCTATTCGAGTGGTCGGTGTGACTCGATGCATCGAAACCGTCCAACCTTCTTGGCACCGCATCTTCGCAGCTCGACTCTTGCGTCCAGATATTGGGTGATTCGGCAGGCGTAGAATGGTACTGTGAAATCTCAACACTAACACTACATCGAGCACGCAGCATGCACTGCCTCCTCGAGCAATCCAGCAAACAAAGCAATGGTCTCGCAATCAATACATGTATGCATGCAGAGCAAGGTAAACTTATGTGTTCTGAAGGTGCCTGTCTCAGAAGGTCGGAAGACTTCTTGCTAGCGATGATACTTTGTCACGCGCATAAGTCGGGCAGACTGACCGTCAATATATCTTCCCCAGTATTCGAATCAACATGCAGCCCTGTTCAACGACCAGCTGTCTTGCATCACTAGCCCCAGTCCTGGTCATCGATGCAGTGTCACTGAGCAGCACATGCCTGCCATCAAAACGTGGGCATCATGTCGTGGGACAAGCAAGATATGTCTTGCCGACCTCTCACATGTGTAACGGGTTTTGTGTCTGTTCCAGCGAAGATCCTGATCGCTTCCATTGCGACGAACTTCCTATCAACATCATCCCGTTCCTGCACCAGAGGCGCACATGTCGGTGCTATGCGGAGTGAAGATCCACCTGCTCTATCAATAGTTTGATCCTTACCTGCAGGATGCTTGTCGTCCCCGGGGTTGGCAGCTGCAGGGACACTGACAAATAAACGCGTTGTCGTGATGTGTTGGGCAGCAAGTCCCAATATATATGCACATTGCATCCCCATTCAGCTCTTCGTGGTTGCAATCTAGCTGCATTGTGACTGGGAATTTATGTGTGTCGCCTGCGCTGTGACATGTGACTGTTTGGCGCGCTTGGTAGTTGGTGACAGCATGGGTCTGAATGTCAACCGGTACCTTTGTGCTGACGAATCGATACCGACGATATTGGAATGATGTGCGAGACATCAGAACATGATTGCAATTAGTCAACAGAACCAGCACCTGGGTTCTAATAGGTTCCTCGGAAGCTTCTGCTCTCTTGCACGAGGACCTATCAAGGATTGTCTCTAACGAGGGTTCAAAGGAAGAGTCTAGGTTGCCGATGGCCGACAATTTCTGCAAGCAAACAGATTTCGCCAAGACTTCGGGAAAGAACTTCGCTTTTTCTCAATCACCTCTACCTTTCATCTCTACGTCTCACTTCAAGCACCGCAGTGTACGACCGACAGATGGCAGCTTTACTAGTGCTGACTTGCAGAGTCGTATGCAGCTGACAAACTCGCAACGACACATGTCGTTCATGCACTGGGTCGAGACTTGCTCAGAGGGAAAGAGACAACACAATATTCCCCATAAACTGTCGAAACTAACAGTTTGAGGGCGTTTGGTCTAGGGGTATGATATTTCCTTCGCACTAGTCCTAATTACGCATGACCGTTACCACGAGCATGTTAGGCACATTCGTTTGGAAAGGGTCCTGGGTTCGATTCCCAGAACGTCCATCTTTTTGGAAACCTTTTGGAAGCATATATGTCTTACTATCCAGTATCCTTTTGTCCACTCAAAGTTCGTAGGGAGAAATCGAGATATAGCCATTTCTTTCATTCATCGGACTAGTGCAAAGGAAATATCATACCTAAACTGATTAGCTTGGGGTTCGTGACATGTATAATTCAATAGAGATATCGTACCCCTAGACCAAACGATCCTACCGGAGGTAGGATCCAATGTAAGATCAATCCCGAGGGTATAGCTACAGAGCTCTTTGGCATAGACTGGAACCTCGTCATTAGGAATGATCTCACGGCTGGCAGACCAGTATTCCTCTCAGGCCTGCGTCGAACCCCTCAAAGCCAAGGAGTAGCTGAATCGTACCTGCCTCAAACCAAAGCATTTCCATCCAGCCAGCAGAACTTGCCTTCTTTGATCATCAGCCATACCATGCCATCAGCGCATCAAATCCTCCCGAATGACCAATCTGCTCATCAAGCAAGTCGAATGCATTGTCATGGGCATGCAGCCCCTTCGCAGATCGTATTTCGTATAGCGTTCGAGTCGTCAGCGCCATCAACGCCATCGATACATCCTTCAACCTACAATGCGGTCAGGTCTTATTATAACACCCTTACGTCAAGCAGATTGCTGCACTCCGAGAGAACTTCCGAGGATGACTTCGCTGGCTCTGATGATGCTTGCACTCGAGCCAGAATTGTGTGGGCACGGGAAAGCCCTACAAGCCCTCTTCGAACTCGAGTCATCTTCAGCTCATCTTCAGCCCGTCGAGTCAGCCTATCCATAAACCCACCTGCTATACACGCGACTCATTCGTTGTACCTGATCTTAACGCTTGTCGACAGGGGATAACCTGCAGGATGTCGTCCGGTAAGATCGTTTCAAGGCAAAAGGTTCGGCTTCCGCGGCACTCCCTTCCTTCGATCCAAGCGAACAACGAAGACGATCAAACATCGAGTCGCAGCATCTGCCTAGCATGGTCGACATCTGTCTGGAGCACATCATTGATGCCGCCATCGTACACTGCCTTTCAGAAAAGGCACGCAACCGGTTCTAACAAGCGGCTTACGCAAGCGAAATGTCAGGTCTTTTGCGCAAGCGATGTTTTTGCTTGCATGTGCAAGACTCGCCTATAAGCGAACGGTATGCACCATTCCATCCCGCATTGTATCAGCAATGGTAAAGGTGTCCACCTTGAAGAACACATTGACCAATATTCAGATAAAGCAATCTACCTGCCACACCTCCTTCATTTCTTGCGGCCGTAATGACAGGTCCCTCAATTACTGACACAAGACCCTCTTCCATCATGTTGTCTCATCGACTCGTTGTTCAGGTACTAAAAGAAAGAATAGTTCATCGGTCTCGGAACGAGGCGAGTCAGTCCGAGCTCCCCACATCCCCGGCTCGATCTATTCAATATCGATCCTCCATATGACTCGATTTCGAAATGACTCGCTAAATTGACTACGTCTTTCTCCTTATCCGAATTCTTGCTGGAGACACCGGAAGTAGCAATCCACAACCCGGCTCGCGGATCACATCAATATAAGACTGATGGATTGGAAAATCATGCGACGTTTGGGAGATCTGCTCCCACACTATGGCAACACGAGCCGGCTTTACCATGATGACAGAATCTGACGGTCGATGCTGAGATAAGAAGAGCTCGGTCGAGTGGATGTTGTTCGTGTGCATTGGCATGAACCGTACATCGGCCAGAGTTAAGGAACCCAAATCTTATGCTCCCTACATGCTGGCTCTGAGTGCGCTTTACTGGACGGAACACGCTCCGGCGAGAGATTTTGACCCATCGTGAGAATCGCTCAGAGGGAAGCTTACAAGTGCTCACCGTCAGAGCCGATCATGGTAAAGCGGTCGAGGTACGAACCGTCTGCACTTTCCAACACGAAAGGGAAGCTGCCGCAAGTCCCCACTTCCAAGTTTTGGTTTTGCTGATGCTCAAGATTGAGAGCAATACGCTCATACGGAGCGTAATGACCGATACTGCTACACAACACGCCTCTCATACGCCCTGCGGCTATCAAGTCATGGTTTAACTACCCTGTTCCGGCAAGAGAGAGCACAACGAAACCACGCGAACATCTAGCGCGTTGAACGCTCGTGCTTGGAGAGGTATGTGCATCTAGACCATCACACCTGGCGTTCACGAGTTGTGGCGCCTCCATCGGTCCGCAATGCTTGTGACAATCAACTATATCCACTCTTTGCGCCGATAATCACTCCGAGGACTATAGCCTAAAGACACATAGAGAACGGTCTGGGGAAAAACTTTCCAAGGACCCTTTGAGCCGTGGATAGCCCTTGCTATGAGGCTCTTTCCGGTCATCAGGAACAGGGTTTCAACATCACTAGCAGACGCGAAAAGAAACATTCACTAGATAATCTGGCCTCAACAGTCACAAGATCCAGAGTGGGCAAGTCATGCCGTCGATTTCCTTTCTTTTCTGACCACCAAGAGAAACCTCAGAGCAAGCCATGAGTCACAATGGCGACATAGGTGGACGAACTTATCACTTCGGCCCTCAACAATAGCGAGGTAAGAAATGATCATAGGCCTGACTCTCCGCCACTCTCATTACATGAGAGCGAGAGTAATCCCAAGCGAGTGATCGAGACATGCAGCTTGCTTGGATGTTGACAGTGTGACCTCTTGCCTGTCCTTTTGATGTCTATTCCAGGTCCTCAGGCAAGTTGGTCACTTTTTCGATGTTGTATCTGTGGATATGTAAGTGTGACGTGGAGTGAGTCCAAGCAGTTGCAAGGAAACGGCAAGATCCGAATACTATTCGCTTTATCTTCTCTCTCATCGTCCGTTCGCTGATTATATCACAAACAATGTATCTACTTGTATACGCTGCTCTCTTATGATTTGATGTTCTGTGAGAAGTAGATTGACGATATATCTGTCTTGCCGGGAGCTGATATAGATGCGATGTGTGACAGGGTCGTACTTTCAACTAGAGAATTGCATGTTCTTTCTTGCATATATAGCTAGCCCGTGACGTTTAGACCACTTGTGAATATCTCATACCATGATTGAAGGCTAACTTCAGGTACTGTTTGTACTGATTTCAGATCATCAACCCCGATTTTCGTGGTTGTATCGATTTCATTTGGAAGCTGGCAAATCCCTCGGAAGGAAACTACCACACATCGGATGCTCGATTATGCTGCATAGAGGCCTTGGTGTTTGTTTGTATAGTGAGTTGGAAAGATGATGTTTTTTTTCGATTCACTCCTGACAGGAAGTGAGCGATTATACAATCGCTTGAGCGATAATTTCCCCTTGCGTTTGTGAGTGATGTCTCAAACCATTTTTTCTAATACGATCAGATTTTGTAGATTTGAATCTCTTTGCAAGGAAAGCAATCGAGGTGGTCTTCATAGTGATAGTCGACAAGAGCATCTTTCTCCTTTCCGTGTGCCGAAGACTGTCAAGCTCAAATACACAGTCCCTCGAGAAGGGGGTGGTGGTTATAGGAGAACCCCTTCACTGCGTTCATGACTATGCTTCTCACTTTATACCGGTATAGCTTTGTGCATTTCTGAAGTCATCGTGTAGGAATACCTGAACGTTTAGTGTATAGATGGATCATGTGGAGTTTGGAATGTGGGTGATTGCGGAGACAGGTCTTGTTGTTGACTACATGTCTCTTCGAATCACTGGACTGTCCGGACTGTACGGCCACTTGTATAAGCCCTGAATATACAGATCGTATATCGTCCCTGACTAGGTGACTGACAAGGCAAGACAATGACGCTAAAGAAGGAGAAGAGCGAGGGAATAGGCCAGAACAAAGAGATGAAATGACATTTTTATTAAAGAGAGATGCCTATGATCCATTACTGTGTTACATACTGGGTATCGTTCATCGCTCGTCGTTAGTCATGATACATTCTACTGACTCTTGTGGATGAGATTGTCGGTAGCCTGAACCCGTTGTGCCCACTCGGTCCAACTGCCATCGTATACTTTTCTGTTGGTCTCGGGGAAGCCGGCCTCGGTCAGAGCAGCATCGATGACGCTGGCAGTGACTCCTGTGCCACATGAACTGATGATGGGCTTGTTGGGGTCGACTCCCTTGGTTCTGAAAATGTCGAGTAGTTCGTCTCTGGACAGCAGCGTCTTGGTTTCTGGGTCCAGGAGTTCAGGCAGAGCAACGCTGATGGATCCTGGGATGTGACCGGAGGAAAGGCCAGGCCTGGGTTCAGGGTCGGCACCGCTCCAGCGACCATAAGATCTGGCATCCAAGATTTGCACGCCTTCTCTGCCTTCCTTGTTGTAGTCCTTGGCGATCTCCTTGACTTCTTCAAAAGCAGCGACCTTGGAAGGATCAATCTCCGGTTCGGGGTACTGTGACTCGGGGAGGTCTTTCTGTTCGCCCTGCTCGACTGGGAGGCCTTCCTCGACCCAGAGCTTGTAGTTGTTCAGGATGTGGATGCTCGGATGGCCAAAGACGCGAAGAGTCCAAGCGACGCGAGGCGCGCTGAAGATACCAAGTTCGGCGCTGTCGTACACGACAATGTTGTCATCGCGACGGATGCCTAGCTTGCGCATGGCTTGGGTGAAGACTTGAGGGCTGGGCAGCATGTGAGGGTATGGGGAGCTGGTGTCCGAGACAAGGTCCAGGTCGAAGAAGCTGCGAGAGGTCAGTCTTGACGGCGTGGAATGGAAGCAGAGAGTGGAATACCGAGCACTGGGGATGTGGCCCTGCTTGAAGACTTCATAGCCCGACCTCTTCTGCGGGTCGTTGGGCATGAACCAACTGGCACACAAGGGGATGACCCTCGGGGAGGTAGCCAATCGTGTAGGGGCATTGCCTCTCAGAGCAGCGTTGAGCTCGGCGGGCTTGACCAAATACGACGAGAGGGACATTGCTCGTTGCGGCGACATGTTGTGAGAGGAGTTGAAGGAGCGTCGGAGAGGTGAGAAGGTTGAGGACGCAGCTGAACGGAGCAATGAGGCCATGCTGCTGCCCCACTCGAGCTGTGTGGGCTGTGGAGATGGTGAGTGATGATGTGATTTCGAGCCAGACGTGAGCGCGGCTCTGTGCAGTTATGCTTCTATAAGATAGCTTCGACGAGTCTGGCGCAGTAGTGCTGCGAGAGCAACAGACATGCTGTCCGAGGAACACAAAAGGTGGAGCCTTTGAGCACGCCTTCCCCATGTGACACTGCCGATCATCTCACGATAAGCCCTTATCGCCTACGTCAAGAGCGTCCGAGCTTCATCTTCGACCGCCAAACGAAAACAAACCTCTCCACACTTTGCAAAGAGACCCTGGTCCTGGGTATACACCTGTCTGCGTTGAGACCCCTACACACCAAGACTGCCGGGCCCCGGAAAGATGAAGGTCAAGATCCTCTCATATCACGCTGTCGCTGCCTGGCGTTGGGACATGCCCGAGGATGACGACTGCGGCATCTGTCGTGTCCAGTTCGACGGTACTTGTCCGAAATGCAAGTTTCCGGGAGACGACTGTCCTATCAGTATGTGCCCATCTCAGGCATGCTTCTCACATTACGCTGACAGGATAACAGTCATGGGACAGTGTACACATTCATTCCATATGGTACACAGCATTATTCACGCTTCTCAATCCATCATACTAACATGCACCAAGCATTGTCTTGATACCTGGATCAACCAAGAGTCCAGTCAAGGCAGATGTCCCATGTGCAGACAAGGTATGCGAATTCGAAATGGTCTTGTTGCTCGTTTGAAACTTGTAGTGCTAACGAAACCAGTTTTCCGTATCAAAGGAACCGCCGACCAGAGTGAAGCCCAACCCGAGCAGACTTCATCTTGAGTTCTGCACTTTCGAGCAGACTCGTAATTACCTGACCACGTTTTCTGTATAGTGGTGGTCTCTCGACGGACCTCGCATCTTCACATGCATTTTGCCAAGCACCGCTTAGTCAGGGTCCACCGTCACAACTCACAACAACCCGTGTGGTCTTGCTCTTGTCGATCGCAAGCAGAGGATCATGTCGACTGTCAACAAACGATATTCTCACAGCTTTGCCCAGACTACCGACCTCTCCACTACTCCTCAGCAAGAACATGATGCCGCCGCCTCATCCGTTCGCGCGGATCAGGCGGTAACCACCTCCGACGGTATGCCTGTCTGGAAGACTTCATCTACTATCCATCCCGACTGATGTCTCGTAGGACTATTCGACGACCCCACATATCCCAGTGCAGCACCCGACGAAGTCCTGCCACCNCCCGACTTTCGTCCGTTCTTTACCCTGATCGAAGACCCTGATACGGGCGAACACCACCATCCATCAATACACTACATATTCTCAGACGACAACCCCGACTTCTTAACCTCTACCATTGTGGACAGAATGGATCAAGAGCAAGTCGAAATATCTACAGACCAGCAGGCTGCCAACAATCGCGAACGCATGATACTTCTTGACATGGCAGCGGACGGCAAGTCAGTCAGCGAAGCTCAAAGCCTTAGTCCACACTGGCAGATCCTCAAAACAACGGTTGGCCAAGCTCCATCGTGGGCAGATGAGGTGTCTAGGAAGGACATACCAGGGCTGATGCTCAACATCCAAGGCATGGAAAGTGGCAAGCTGAAATCACAATCCCATCGTCGCAACAACTCTCAAGAAGACATCATGGCCCGCCTTGAGGCAATGATTGGCGGCTATACCGACTGCTTGTCTACTTTGGAGAACCTCGTCAAGAAAAACGCGTTGGAGGACGAGCAAGATGTGCCTGTGGAGGCGGCCAAGACAGTGGCTACGCAAGATGACGATNNTAAGGAATGGCTCACGATTTCATGGAGATGCTTGCAGGGAAAGGCGCTTGTTGTGATAACATATCTACGTTCTTCTACACGTTTTGCTGTATAAAGTGATTTGGACATACGAATCGCCACAGCCTACCACACAATGGGCTCACCGAATCGATCGTAGAAATGACCGCTGTGGTTTTGGTTCCAACTCCGAACAAGCCGAAGTAGACCAGCAACACTCTCTTGCGCACTTATAGCCCCTTCTTCCTTGTACTTGACCAGCCTCGACTCTACGCGTCCTGGATGGCAAAGCACAAACACAACCTCGGGCACATCAATGCTGAAGCTCTTGATGATAGCATTGAGGGCAGCCTTACTTGCACGGTATGCATAAGCTGAGCCTGTGGTATTGTGTCCAACACTGCCCATTCGTGAAGACATGACGACAACCTTTGCGGCACCTGCCTGTCTAAGGTTTGGCAGAAGAGATCGTACGAGAAGAAATGTAGCAGCAGAGTTTACTTGAAAAGTGTGCATGAGGGTCGACAAGTCCATGACATGCAGAGTTTCGGCAGCAGCGACAGAGTCGGGTTGAGCATTTTCCACAGCAGGAACCAGACCGCGGATACCCACGCTGTGAATGAAAAGATCAATCGGTGTTTGACTCAACGAGGCGGTGAAATCGTTGATGGATCTCTCGTCAGTGATATCAACAATGTGAGAAGTTATGGTTGCTGCATGATGATGTGCGGACAGGTGAATATGCTCTCTGTCAATTGCTATGACAGTATTGGTCCTTTCACTCGAGTAAGCGTCTAGGAACGCCCGTCCTAGACCAGAGGCAGCTCCGGATATTAAGATGGTGGGCATGTTGCGTGACTGATGACAAGGATGTGTGGAAGTGTGTTGGAGTGGCTTGTCTGATTGAATGTTGGATGCGGCGTTCGGCAAGTGGGTGGGCCGCGCGCATTCCTTCCTCGACGCAACCTTGTCGTCGCCGCTCTCCAACCCCAACTTGGACTTCTTGAGTCGCTCTTAGCTGCCCAAGTCGAGTTGATATCCCGATACACCCCTCTTGACCATGGTCTGGTGCCAAGCACAGTAATACAACCGCCGCTTCTACGCATAGTCTCGCACGCAAACTCGTACATCGCATAAGATCAGTCCCTCGATGACGGCAATCTCGTAATAGCACAACACGGATCATGCTCGTCTTGGTTGTTCTACTCTCTGCACATAAGACGCTGCTTGCCAACACGACTCCCTGAAGTAGACCAGCATCACCACCGAACATGCGCCTGTAGCCGGAAGAGTCACAAGATTTCTGAATGCCACACTCCATCGCACAGTCACACCAAAGTCAGCACGTAAGCCTTTCTCTCCGAGGCATGTGATTGCTGGCACCAACACTATCCCTTCGACACCGCCGTCACTTGACTGTGTCTTCCGCTTCCAGCCGCTCACAGCATAGTCAGTACCCTACGGCCACCTAGGCTTCACCCACCATGCGCCGCACTCCACAACGCCCACGCTCGGGCGACACTCCTGTCGCAACCCCTCGTCCCATCGAACCACCCACCAAGAAGATCTTCAACTGCATCGCCGACGACTCTGCTTTGCTCGCAGGCGCAAAGAAGAGCACTCGCGACGGCATTCGCAAGTGGATCGCCAATGGCCAAATCAGGCTCTTTGTGCCCCTCTACAGTACGTCGCCATGCAGACAAATCAGACACGACTACGACTGACCGTCGCAGCCNCTCGCTCAAACCACCCGTCTGAAGGACGGAAATGGTCGCATCAGCAGTGACGCCGAAGACGCTCTCGTTTGGCTGGACGATGCCACTAGCACCTACCCCCACCTCGTCACGCTTCAAGGCGGCTTTGAAAAGTTCGAGACATGGGCAGAAGTTGAGAAGTTCGCTTTGCCCAGAACCCTGTTCTCTGAAGGCGACGCAGACGATGAAGAGGTGGAAGGCTTTAAGGACGACCTTGCTCAGAGCACCGAATCCAAACTTACCATCCGCGATGCAACCCTTTCCATGAGCTCCGCCGACACCGACGGCTCCCGATCAGCAACCCCATCCTCTGTACATACCGCTCGCAGCTCCGTCAGCGCCGAGCCTCCCGCCGCGTGCCCTCCCAAGAGTCGTGCACGCTCTCACGCATCCAAATCTCCAGCCAAGAAGGCCGCACCTAAGTCTTCCTCAACTTCTGGCGTTCCTTCGCACCTGCGACCTCTGTTCAACTACATCCTCTGGCGCATTCACCAGGAGTTGGATCCAGTAGCTGCTCTGGAATCTTTCATCTTCTTGACCGATGATCCGACCAAGACCAAACTCGCCCAGCGCTTCGGTATCCGCACCAAGAGCCTCGCTGACATCCGTTATGTTGTTGCAAGGGAAGAGCGTGAGTTCAAAAACAGACAGCTCGTCCAACGCAAGGAGATTGAGAGCAACACCGTTCTTGCGCTCCCTGATACTCGTGCCACCACGGCAAAGGCTGTCAAAGAGGAGGACAAAGTGCGCCCAGAGCTTTTACCCGTTGACGAGAGACCTGCTCCGGTCAGCGAAGACGAAGAAGACGAAGTTCTGCTGAAGCGTCCACCCAAGGCACCTGCAGCTATGCTCGCTCAACACAAGTCGCCCAAGCCTGCAAACAAGGCCATGGATCCAAACAATTTCTCGCGTGGAGCTCAGACCCCTACTCGCGGAAATGCTCGCGGTGGTGGCGGCTTTAGAGGCAATGCTTCTCGAGGCCGTGGTGCCGCCTCCTTTGCACCTGCAACTACGGGGAGAGGCGCCGCTTCAGTGAAGCTGGATCTTACCCCGACCACCAATGGCAACGGACCAATTGATCCCAATTCCTTCACTCGTCCTGCTGCCAACACCAACAAATTCAGAGGCGGCCGCAGACTCTGGGTCCCTACGTAAAGAAGCCGAGCGAGCGGCATAGCCGCAAAAGACAATTACACTTCAAAAATCCTTTGGTCAAAGGGTGTCTAACAACAGGAGTTGGCAGGCAGTTTGCAACGGTTCAGCCCATGCCGTTTCGAGATCGCAGAGCAAAGCAAAGCATGTTCCTGATATCGAAAGGTACTCCAGACTTGCTTAGCACACTTTCAATTGCCCTTCCGCAACTCGGAGCAAAAACACGGAGTTGATGTTTCCTATCGGCCTTGGTTTGCATACACAGGAGCAGCACCGGGAAACCACTAGCCCAATTATCGACGAAAGTCTCAGCATGTGGATAACGGCAGCTTGACAATTCGTTTCCATACGAACACACACGCATCAGGCTAGTGAGAGAAGTTGAGCAGAAGCTGATATGACAGATTGTTCGAAGAGAGGTTGAGGTTGTGGAGAGTATTCTGCTTGTATTTCTTATTGATACTTTTGCGTCTTGGAAGGACGTTTTTCTGGTTAATCTCTCGGGTCGTTATAACCAGCCACCCAGAGTCAACATGGATTTTACAGCCTTGCTAAGAAAACAATATATGTTTTTATTGCGATGCATCTTTTTGCCTTGTCTGACCTCAAATTGACTGTACGCTCGGACCATCTTCACATGCTCTTGGCGCCGTCACTCTGTTTACCTTGCATAAACAATCTTGTAAAATTCACCAACCAGATCAAACAGCATACCTAGCCGTGATAGATGGAGTATAGTCATGCCTCGAGCAGTCAAACAGGCTGCAACGGCTTCAAAAGCAGTATCTCAACCAGCCTTTAATTTCCCTACAAACAGCCATCTCATCATCACAACCTCTGGTGGCATCTTCTCTTGGGACCGAGATGGTGTCAAGAAGCTTTTCAGCAGCAGCAAGAAGGGTATTCTTGCAGCCAGGGAAGCAAAAGATGGAAGTCAAGTTCTTGCAGTAGCGGATGAGCATGTGGTGGTGCTACACGACTGCAAAAGAGGACGTGAAGAGAGCTGGGGTTTAAGCAGTAATGAGGTTTGCAGACTTGTACGCTTCCAAATAGTCAGACCATTGACCGAGAATTGAGCANNGGGTATCGTGCGACTTTTGGAATATGCGCCGGATGCAAAGTCGCTCTTCCTAAGCACTTCATTGACTGGAGCTATACAGCACTACTCGATTCACGAATCACGCCAACTCGACCCGCTGTCCAACCATCCTTCTCCACCAACTGTTCTTGCCGTCTCTCCCACCTCTCATTTGATGTTGTCCGCATCCGAGAATCCGACAGTGGTGTATCTGCAGAATCTCACTCTCAAGACAACTGCCATTCAGCTACATCCGTCCGCGAGCAGTGCTGCCATCGCAACCGCCTCCTTCCATCCCGAACGACCCAATGTTTTCTTACTCGCCTTCAAAGACGGCACAATCGCTGCCTACGATGCGACCAAAGTTGCGCGAAGCGGTGAACGTACTGGTAACAAATCTCTTTCGACCACCAACGGCCATGCGGGCGAGATCTCGCACTTCTCGAATCTGCACCGTATCACTAACGTCAGAAATCTGTCAGATCCGCCAGACGCTTCACTGAACACGATTGTTGGAAGCAAGAGTGTGGCAATCACGGGTGCAGCGTTCCTTCCGGGATTTCGTACTCGTGCGATCAGCGTTGGTGCAGATGGAAGGTGCAGGCTGATCGATTTCGAGGCTGGCGGAAGGATACTGCGTACCTGGCACGCACAAGCGCCTGTGACGTCCTTGTCGGTTTTGGCTGTCAAACCGTCTTCGCAGACAGCAAAGACGACATCCAAGCAGAAGCCTGGAGTCGTCAGCAGGGGTACTGAAGGCAACACTGTGGTCGCTGTGGGAAGAGTTGATGGCCAGGTACTTTTGTTTGACTCGGTGGGACTACGCCTCGATCAAATCCTCGTGAACGCGCTCGGGGAGAAGATCATCAGCGTGGAGTGGATGGACGGTCCGAGCCCATACGCCATATCGAGTCCCTTCAAGCCAGTGTCTTCGAAGATTGATGCCAAATTTAATCTATCACCCAACACACCGAAGGCAAGGAAGTACGATCAAATGGCTCTGCCTGATGCTCTGAGACTACCACCGGGTGCTATCTTCGTCCCTGCGCAACCAGTGCCTACGGCTGCTATATCCACATCTGAAGCCGAAGACATGTCGACGGTACGGCACACACCAGCTACAAATACGGTCATACGCTCACCGGTTATCGAGACGACCTATATGGACTTATTCTCCCCAGTCAAGAAAGTCTCGCCTCCTCGCCAGCCGCAGAAAAGCCCGGTAGCATCTCCACACCTACGTCGCAAACGTATATCGAGTCAGACCTTTGTCAAGACAAGCAGCCCTGAGCCTATACACATGGATGTTGAAGATACGATCAGATCCCCTGAGACGCCTAGACAACTATCCATACACCCTTTGAACACTACCATCGAATCGAGGCAGAAGTCGCCTCTTGGAGTAGCCCCAGCGTCTGCTCGACGTGAACCTAGATCGGCACGCAAGAAAGCTCACGGAAGAGTTGTGCAAACCCTAAACCGCGGCCCAGTTACTTCTACCAGTCCGGGAAGAAATGGAAAAGTTCTTGCCGACCTGCGTAAACTGGGTGTTGAGAACTCGAGCCAAGCGAAGAAGAACGGCAAAGTAGCGCTCTTTGCACCGTACATGAACCGTACTGGTATATCCAACCTTCCGCGAACGGAAGCTCAATCCATGACCAAGGATGATCCTCTGTCGACCGAACGCTCGCAACCGACAGGGCACGTACACAAACCTCAAGATCGGGATGCCATCCAACTCACAAGAGTCCACTTTGAGTCAGAGAGTCATTCGTCGGATCGAGATATCTGGATGTCCGCCGGATCGTCAGAGGATGAATTTAATCAACGCAAAGACAACAAGCGCACGCATTACTATGCTCACCAGAGAAGACTTGGTAAAGCTCATCCGCAGATCCCGCTGATTGCTGAAAGCTCAAAGCCACAGCCTCCTCCCTTTGTCCCGATCTTGAAACCCGAGCCCACTGTCCAAGTCACAACCATGTCGCCACAGCCTCAAAACGTAGCCAAAGAAGCTGCCGTGCTTTCAATGTCCGAAGAGGCAATGTACAGCGCAGTATCACACATCTCAAACATCGACGGCGAATTCGTGCCCGCGTCAACAGACGTCCAAAGACTGTTTCCACGTGGCTCTTCGGTCTACTCGACTTCTCCGTCTCGTCAATCCCCTAAGCGGTCACCGCAAAGACAAGTGCAAGTCTGGAATGATCAAGCGTCAAAACCAAGGACAGTGTTAAACCCGATCCAGCGAGCAAAGCTGGCAAATTTGCAGTCTAATACTGCTGTAAAGGCCACACCGAGAGAAGCTGCGGCTAAAAAAGCTGCTGCTGTGTTGCTGGGTACGAGTAAGACCAAAGCTCTCCCGCCAATACCATCTCTACCATCTGATACTCTGCCTTTACGCCCTCAACATCGTGTTTGTGAGGAAAAGAGTTGTCCCGATTGCTTGGAACTGGGAAAGCGGGTCCACAGTCTCGAAGATGAAGTCGCAAGGCTCAAAGCCGAAGTCCTTGGGCTTAGGAGTGCCCTCAGGAAAACAGGCATCTCTGGTCGCGTGGTGGAGAGAAAGAGGTAGAATGAAAGGTGTCTCCCCGCTGGTTTATTCTATTTTTTCTTTTTCCCCTTTTTCTTTCTTTCATTGTTAGATACCCCTTTTGTTCTCTGCGTAGTCGAATTCAGGTTCCTGTGCTTATAAATATACCCGCTTTGATACTTGACGCATGGGCATGGAACAATATTGTTCAACATACCGCGCAAATCCACGATGAACTTTTCCCAATTCCCAGGCTCTTGACAATTGCAACCCGTATCCTCTGGAACATATCTTGCATTCTTACAAGCCGTGTTAGACTCTTAATGGTAATGTTTAGAAATACATTTTTTCGTATACGTATACAAGAGTTGTGACTAGATCTGGTCGACAATATGTTGAAGCTTGATTCCAAGCACGCAGATGAATGGGAAGGAGGTCTATTGAGATACCTTGATGTTTTTGCAGTATGAGTGTGTGTAACCAGAGGAAGACCCGCTTGCAGTGGACTTCTATTGGTTATGCTGATTTTTGTATAAGCTACTGTGCTTTTTTTTTTTTTTTTTTCAATAGCTGCTTTCTCTATTTGCTGATCGGTGCTGGAATGATACAATTATCGAATCTCGAGGGTGAGCTGGAATTTATCTGATCTGATGCTGAATCAATATGCAAAAGTGCTGCAGCAATGTTGATGTACTAATCAGGGGTAGCAATGATTCTCCTTGGCGTTCTTCTAGCGTTCTTCTATAGTAATGATGTAGAGATCAAGAAGGCATGTCTGCTTCTTGTCCTCTACACTCTCCCAGCAATGACTGATTCCTGACCGTTTCTTCCATTCATCCACTGTCCCCCTTGTGTCTGCATCGAGCGTTGTGGTTATGATCGAGAAGAAAAAGTCCTCTTGACGTGTTTGGCCGACTTTGCTTTACGATGGATAGTGCTTGGGCAAGGTCTCCATGTCTGGCAAAAATCAGCAATTGCACTCCTACTCATAAATTTCATGAATCCTGATCTCACCAAACTTCTTGACCACATAAAGAAGCACCGTACTTTTGCCAGTATTCTGGTGATTCATAATGGCAGCAAGAAGCCCACATCTATCATTAACCACAGCCAATTGGCCCGACTCGCTCAAACACCAAACAATACGCATGTCTGTGAACGAAATGTGCAAACTACCTTCGATATACGACACCAGCATTTCGAAAGCTGACCGTCTAAGCCATTGGTTCAATGTCTGAGCTCTGGTGTCCTGTGTGTTGAGAGCGGAAACTGGGAATTGGTAGGTGAAGGTGGTGTCTTGGAAGCAAGTTTTGTGGCGGGAGATTGAGATGATCATGTTGTCGAAGGTGGAATGGATGGGTCTGTCGTGGGTGCCATCGTCTGCTCTGGGGGTATCTTGTCTGGCTTCCATTGGCGTTGGGTATGATGTATGGCTGATCTTGTGAATATCTGTCGGAAATGGAATGGCTTGGGTATGCTCAGGGACGGTATTATTTGATTGCGGATGCATGTGGAGTGCTGATGGACAAGGAGGTTCCAATGTTTAGTTCATTGCTCTTTCCTTCCGAACGAGATCTTTTATTCCGACTGTTCTGCGGTTGGTTTTTTCAGCACCTCACCCTTAGTTCTTTCCTGGTGGATCAGAATCTTTGGCTGTTTTCCTTTGTTACTTTTTCCTTGGGTTTGTTTAATCAAGGATCATACTTCATCAAGCAAACGGAAGGTTTGTTTGAAATAACAAAGACTCGTCTGTTTGCTCTCATGCCTCTTTCATCAAGCCATTGGGATACCGAACATTCTCTCATCGCCCTGATCGACCAGACAACCCAAGACCCTACTAGAAAGCACCAACGTGTTCAAGCAATCAAACAAATACTTGCATACCAACACCAGTTCCAGATACAAAACATGTCTCCACCACATCAACCTTTCCTTCCATCTCTCATCACCCCAACACAAGTCGACATGCTTCATAGGGATAACCCTTACGCTGGCAGTGGCCAGAGCAGAGCATCTTCGGCTCATTCTACTCGTGCTACTGTTGGTCAACACACTACGACTTACTCCAACATGTCATCAGTCCCCACCGCCAGCTGCAATGCCGGCGCTGAACAAAACCGACTTCCTTCCTATGTTTCTGATCCCAGTACCAGCGAATTGGTCTCGCCAATCTTTCCTTCCAACGCCAATATCAGCCAGACCATGCCACCTCCACGCCCTGATCTCGAACACATGATTGTATCTGTCAACCGCCAGAAGCGTGCGAGCGATGACATGCAGTGGACCACTCAGTTCCCCCTGGAGAACCTTAGAAACTCGACCATGTCCAACGATGCCTTCTCCATCAGTCAACTCTCGTACAGTCGTCTAGTTGGCGAGATCTCGGACAATCTTCGCAGCCAAGTCGAGGAAGAAGGTCTGTCTATCGTCTGGGTCATGTCAGCTATCGAGCAATTGGGTGTTGTTCGCGACAATGGCTCCCTCAGAGCAGCCGTGCTGGACCACCAGAACACTGAAAAGCACACAATTCAGCTGTACGTGGTCAGAGAGAAGTGTAAGTTGACAGATCCTTTTCAGTCTCTCTACTGGTATCCGAAGATCTGACCTTATGCACANGCTGACGGTACTCTCCTCCCCGAGTCTCAAGTCATCAACTCCAAAACCTTCATTCTGCCAAAGGTTGCGTCCCCCTCCACCAACATTCTCAGCCCGGAGGTGAATCAGCAAGACAATACTCCCAGGCAGACCTCTGCTGCTACTTTTGGCAGAGCATCCAGTTCATAAGCAGAGAGTGTCAACAGGAACTCAATAAGAACCAGGGTACGTCGAGTGTTGACAAGTCTTTCTGAAAAACAAGACCATGGTTCTGTGGGGCAAGTATGGATACAAAACTGAGAAGCTCGGAAGCATGTAGTATTTGGAGTGAGATTGAAGCAAGAAGAACTTGGTGTTGCTGCGATGATAAGGCAACGGACAAGATGCATGCAGCATGTTTGATAATGCTGGTCGGGTCAAAAGCTTGACACGATCAAAGAATAAACTCTCCTGTAGGTACCTCATGCCAATCACACTCGCCTTTCTTTAATCTGTGTGGGCTTTATTCCTTGTGCTCAAGACTCCGTCTTCTCACTCTCTTTATTCTCCTCAATTCTCCTCAATTCTCCAAATCAATGTTCTTCCGGTTTGAAAGTGTAGCAGGGCACTTCCTTCGAAAGATTTTTGGGATCAAAGGTCGGACTTTGCCATGGCATCTGTACAGATAGATGTGTTAGCCTGCAATGTTCGCCCTTTATCTGTGACGAATGCTTGCCTTCTTCTTGCACGATGAAAAGCTCCACGATATGCTTGCGTGCGCGTCTGTGGTCCTGCATAACAGCCTGAAGTGACATGTGGTCGTAGACACGGCCAAACTTGCCAGACTCTGACATACGCCAGACCAAGGTGAAGGTGGCGTCACCATCTTCCGAATCCTCTTCCTCGCCCTCGAGGGGACCGGTGATGTCGACACCCAAACCACTGTCAATCTCTTCTGCGAGCAGACCAAAGTGAAGTTTGTCGAGAGCGGGTCGGGTCCCTCTCCATTCGCAGCGTTGCAGGACGGAGATTTGGATGTTCCATTTTCTGCCGCTGAAGGGCTTGGTGCGGCTGACGGAGATGTACATGTTGCGGAGGGAGGGGCATTTCTTGTCACGCTTGTCTGAGCGAGATCTGGTTGTGCGGACGGGTGGCATGATGGCGTACGAGACTGATAAGATGCGATGGCTGAGAGGCTGGTTGTTGATGTAGGCAGGGAGATATGTCCCAGCGGGGAGAAAGCACAGTGACCTTCTTGATAAGCGGCGGACGCGGAAGAAAGAGGGCGAGTTGAGATGTGAAGAACAAGCTGGCTTCTGTAACACGATTGATGGATCTTGCCTCGCAAAGACAGGCACGATCCTACGATCGACCCTCTTTGCACCAACAAAACCAAGCTGCAAAGACCCTCAGTCGCTTTGGGAATCATCGGCATAATCGTAGAAGTATCCGGACGTTTGTTCATGATATGTTTATGGTATATCTTTTCACAGCCACACCGTGACGGATCTGAGTAGACGGGGAAGGACAGACCAGAACTTTGACAAAGCAGGGATTCGCGCTAGCCGTCGTACTGCTGGGAAGGGGAAGAGAGAGCGTCCTCCATTTGGTCATTGTTCTGTCGAGCGAGGGTCACTAAAAACTTTCGATGGCATTGCGATGAGGAGAATTGGAGAGGTGGCCTGCAGCTCTATACAGGATAGCACAAGTTACAACTGCTGTGCCATTTCATCAATTCGATATGAACAAAGCCAAATGACATTGATGTAAGAACGCATGGTCCTCATCACGGCTGATCTAGGCACCCTTTGCATCGTAATCATCAGCATTCGAAACATGTTCGGCAAGTAGACAGAACAAAAACACTTTTTCTACATCTAACTCATCTAACTAGATCTTGACTTGCTGGGCTTGAGCTTTCTCTTGCGGGTCTCGGCATTGCCGTTGGGCTGGGCTGCGGATTTGAGCGTGGCGGTTGCTTCGTCAATGCCCTCGGCCTCCTCAGTACCCTCGAGCAATTCCTCCATCTCGGCATCAGAAGTCTTCTTGCCGAGAACAGTACCAAGAGACTTGTTGTAGAGGTAGATAGGAAGGCGGACCAAGAAGGTATCGTTGATGGTGGGTCTTTGAATTTCGTCGACCTGTCACTGGTATTAGCATGTGTTTAATCCATCTTGTTGGAATACACTCACATCCAAGAGGAACTCGTGAAGTTCGCCTTCGGCAGTACGCTCTTCAAGATAGACATTGCCGACACTATCAACGATGAGTACCTTGCCGTTCTCGGCAATGGTGCGCTTCTTTGCGCCAACGGGACCACTGGTAAGTTCAGCCTCGACAGGGGTACTAATGCCGGAAGTCTTTGCTTGCTCGGCAATAGCAGCTCTCATGGGCTTTGNGTTTCTTTGCAGCACGTCTGCTCTCACGCTCAGCAGCACGCTTCTCCTTTCTGTTCCAGTTCATGGCTTGAGGTTCTTCCTCTGATGAGGGCTCAGGGGCGGGTGCAGGGGCAGGTGCGCTGGTATCAANNTACCAGCGATGCCACGGACCTCGTCGCCCCAAGCAATACGACGGGCTTGACGAATGTAGCGCTCGACAAAGTCGCGGTGCTTCATCCAGTTCATGTAAAGAGTGATGTAGTGAACACCACCACCGAGGAAGATGAAGAGACCGATCAAGACGGAGCCGAGACCGGGACGGAATCTCTCGTAGTAGTAGCCGGTACCACGCCATTTGGGGAAGCCGTTGGAGAGGAAGTGATCGTAGCGCTGGCGCTCAGGGCCACGGAGGATGTTGGTCACTATACCGAGACGGGCAAAGCGAGCAGAGGCTTCCTTGCCGAAAGCATTGATCTCCTTTTGCGAAGGCTTCTTGTTCTTTTTGACGTGGACGGTGGGCTTGTCTCCCTTCTTAGTCTTCTTGACAGGAGGGGCAGAGTCGTAGGTCGCGATGAAACGTTGACGGGCCTTGTCGGGGTGCAAGACGCGGGCCTTCTTCTTGTAGGCAGCATTGATGGCGTCAAGGCCGGCAAAGTCCTTTACGCCCAGGAAAGAGTAGAAGGTAGCATTGCTGCCTTCGTGCTGGGCGACCTCGTCCTGGAGACGGAAAATTTCGTGGTNCTGCCAGCTGTCAGTACGGATGCAGTCGTGATTGGATTCAGCAGGCGCACCCTCGGGGGACCAGGCGCAGACGAGTGCGACCAAGCACAAGAGCAAAAGCAGGACAGAACCCTGGAGGCGGGCCATGTTTGCGTTGGTGATGTGGATGTGTCGGGCTGCAAAGAAATGTGATGGAGCTGCAGGAGCGGCAGAAGTGCCTGGACTAGTTTCCCCAGACAAGTCGTGTCACCACCACTGTGGACTATTCAGAGGATAAGAAGCCTTGTAAGCCCAGCGACTCTTTTCTTTTCTTGTGAGAGACTACTTCTGACAGACACTCAAAGACTACTCTATATCTTGTATCTCTCACTCTGTAGTTATCGCTACTGCTGGACGAAAATCCAACATCTTGGTCGGCGTCAGGGGCTCTGCCCCTCGGTCGCTCCTTCCTCCCTGAAGCTTGTGAAGCTTAAAGTGTGGCTGAGCTGGGGTGGCTCAACTCTTGATTCCACGCAATTGTTGAAATAAACACGTTGCATGCGTAATCACATAACTCCCTGATCATCTGCTTGTTCGACTCTTGCTCTTCTCTTACACACTTGCCGTTCATTCACTTTTCATTGTCTCTCAGTGAGTGCGTCTTTTCCTGCTACAGTCGTCGAGCCCGCTGCTTCCCGTCTTGGTGACACTCGTGGCCGTCTTCACATGCAAACAAAGAAATTCTGTTGACTCCGGCTGACTTCCCCTTTTAGCTTCAGCCTTGAAACACTCCTCACCCTCGACGACTCGACCAACTCTCCGACTTCCTCTACGTCGTCAACACCGTCAACATGCCCATCAACCTTCCGATCGATGCCATCACATCGCGTCTCAATCTGCAGGGCCGCTTTGACAGTGTCCGCTCGCAGTCTGTCGGCTCGCGCTTCGCCAACCTGAAGCCCATTTCCGAGTTCTTCAACTTCAAGCAGATCTCCAAGCCTCAAAACTTTGGCGAAGTCCAGAACCGCGTCAACTACAACCTTGGCTACTTCTCCAGCAACTATGCCGTCCTCTTCGTCATGCTGAGCATCTACACTCTGCTCACAAACTGGCTCCTGACCTTTGACATTCTTCTTGTCGTTGGTGGCATGTACGGTATCGGCAAACTCGAGGGCCGCGATATCGAGATTGGCAACTTCCGCGCCACCACTTCGCAGCTCTACACCGCTCTGCTCGTCATTGCCGTTCCTCTTGCCATCATCTCCAACCCCTTCGGCTCGGCTCTTTGGCTCATCGGTGCGTCTGGCGTCAGCATCATCGGTCATGCAGCATTCTTGGAGAAGCCTATCGAGTCAGCTTTTTCAGAGGAGGCGGTCTAAATGGTCGGCCGCGGGCTCCGCACGATATGCCCCACTGGGGAAGACCATCCGGGGCTCTTGCAGGTGGAAGTGGAGAGGGATGGAGAGACGAATTCGAATCTCGACGAAGGAGGTTCTTGGATGTGGGCGACGAGAGCGATGATGGATACCAACGTGTCTATCTCGATCCTGCTGCTTTCAAGTCTAGGTCTGCCGACAGGCTGCCGAGGGAAGAATTTACTGGAGACGAGCTATTGTTCACTGGATATGACTTAGGTTCTGGGCGAGGAGAAAGAGCAGTGGATGACATTGCGCATGAGAGAAGACAATATCAGCCGCACGATGATGACTTTTACCACGACAATGCCCGAACACGACCGTCACGAGAGGATGCACTGGTCGAATCAGCCAGGGAGAAGCTCAGAAGAGCGCGGGTCAAGGGCAAGACAAATGTCAGTCTGAGTGTTGAAGAGATGGCAGCATTAGAAAGGAGCAGCACTCAACCCAGGGATACGTCTGAGCCAAACACACCGAGCAAGAACAGGACCAGAGGCAGTCGGTCTAGTAGTACCACGAGTCTGGCCAGCACTCGGCCACGTAGGACAAGTATTGGTCTGTTCGGCGGCACTTCGCCATCACAATCCCGCTCACGAACGCCAAAGAACTCGAGGAAGCCGTCAAACGAACAACAGCCAGTTGCGCGTGCGTCTGGTTCGACACCACCGGCATTCATGATCAGGGGCCCAGATGGTGTTCCAATGTACGCTCCAGCCGAGTACTATCCTTCTCCAGTGTCGTCTAGAAGACCATCCTCGAACAGCAATCGCAATGTCTCGCCGCCATACGAGGCATACTCTGCTCGCGGTTACGGTCCTGAGCTGCGAGCCCCTTCTTCAAGTTCTAGCCGAGCTCCTTACGATGAGAATGCATGGTCTTCCTTGAATCGAGCACCCCCAGGAGTAGCATATCCCGACATGTCAGGACCATCTTCCTCACCCGGTGCACAGTATTACCAAGCTCCTATACCTTCGTCGGATGTTTCTTACGCAAAGCTGAGGCGAGCACCTCAAGGGTCGCCGCTCTCAAACGTCGAAGCAGCAGTTGACCAACGGGAAAGAGAAGTTCGCATGGCGTCTGGAGCAAGACCAGGAAGCAGTGGAAGCAGTAGCGATGATTCAGGGCAAGGCGTAAGGATTGAAGTTGAGCCTGGGGTTGGATTGAGAAGAGTACCAGTGTCGAGCAAAAGCAGTGGCACAGTCAGACGCAAGGGCAGAAGATAGCATAATAGAAGTAGTAGATCCACAGGAACCGACGTCTTGTCCCTTCAAGATTGCAGACGACTATTCTTAGCATGAAAAGGTTCATTTTGATTTCTCAAAGCTCTCGATCAGTGGTCTTGTGACTATCCATTACTGCTGGATCCGGCTCTTTCCCATGCCTGAGAGGGGCTATCCTGACATGACGCCGTAAACTCCGATGCGAAATGCAATGTGTCGACTCGAGGGGTGTCCTAGCCTGGCAGTGTATACGCCGTCTCTTTTTGTACGGCCTGCAAGCCTCAGACCCTCGCTACCTCATCTTTTCTTCCCTTCAGGTATCCAGTGTGCTTCCTTCTTCCACTCTTGATCTCGTCTCTTTCGGCGGATTGCCTCATGGAATCCAGTCCCTCAACGCTCAAAAGTAACCGACAATGATGCGCAACAGCTCGAACACGAGACCGCCGCAGACGACGAATAGCAAGGCGANCTACAAACAACGATATCAGCATGTCTATCCTTTCCCGGTGATCGTGGATTCAGGGGGGGCAATGCAAAACGTACACAGCCAAAACTTGCTGACGGGACTCTTTTGGGGAACACTCTTCTTGAGGACGGGCTCGGGCTTTCCACGCTTGGTTTCTTGTTTCTTTGCAAAGGCCTCGTTTGCACGGCGTTGTTGGGGTGTTTGGACCTGTTTTACTCTGATTAGCTGCGTGTGTCTCGTGTCTTTGCTTGTCTCTGGAGGTCAAAGTTTACCATAGTGATTGTTGTGTGATGTGTGAGAGTTGTGGGTAGAAGCAGAAGAAGTGTGGTCTTTATATGCAGAGAATCAAGGCAACAGTTTGAGTAAGAGTGCCACGAGCAAGAGTGTCAATAGAAACAAGTGTAAGAAGAACGCAAAGTAACAGATGGTCAAGAGCCCCTTCCCCTTCGAGAACACTTGGTCAACTCTGGAAAGCGGAAGGCGGAAAGGCGGGATCCCCACATTGCTTGGCCTTGCATTTCCACCTCGGTGCTTTCTGTTTCCCTTCTTCACATGCGAACATTCAAAAGCTGCGTTTCTTTCCTTCTTTCCTATCCAAGAGGACACTGTACAACAAATATAAAATCATGTTGTCAACACTAGCCCGCACATCAAGACTCCAAACCGCGAGGTCTTCTTCGCGCGTAGCCTTTTCGACTCTCAGACCTCTACGCCAACAACCTACCTACCAACCTCCCACACCTTCAGAACCAGAAAACCCACATGTATGACGACGAACCCTTACACACAACCACATCCATATCCACGACCTCCTCTTCCTCTACCTATACTTTGAAAACACTCCCACGCAAACTCAAGCGACAATAACCACTAACACAATTTCTCTTCTTCTCTGCAGNCGCGCTTTTTACAAATCCTTTGGCCGCCCGATCGCAAAAGTCTTTTTCATGGCTCTGTTTACATATCAAGTGCTACACTACACCTGGCTGAAACTGGAAGCTATGGAGGAAAAGGAGGAAAAGACTGCAGAGTTGCAAGGGTTGGAGGGCCAATTGAGGGATATGACAAAGTCGACCAAAAAGGCTTGAGCAAAAAGGAAAGCATTGGAATAGAACGGCACTTGTGACGGTCCTATTCACGAGGGAATAGTGCAGTACATGCTTCATCTCTACGCCCCACCATACACATGTCGACATGGACAGCTACCAGAGTAGACCAGGGCGGACACGCCGACCAAGTGAAACGCTTCACGTCCGGTCGGTTCAGGAAGACCTTCTTAAAACACTGCGCTTCGAGAGGAGAAATGAGAGACTGAATCCTGGATTTGACTATATACAGGCAGAATTTCCACTGTCATGTACATAACCACAGCACACTCGCCCGCTCGAATCGTAATCACCTCATCTTACAGACCACCGTTGACATAGTAGCTGATGGGATATTTGAGGAAGGCGCNACTACGAACAGTTAGCTTTTGGTCTTATATTGACAAATCAAATGGAAAATTCACCTGAGGCAGATCCTGGAAGTCGGCAGTCACCGAAGGGAAGTCGAGCAACTTCATTGGACCCTGATCGTTGGCAACAGGCTGCCAAGGTCCACTCTGCTTGACTCCTTGTGTAGTGTTGGTGTAGCCGCGGACCTGGAGGTAGTTGGCTGGAGGATTGGGATCCAGCGAGCGGACGAAAGAGGCAAAGTAACCACTTTCAAGCTGCACAGACTTGAGATCGTTGGCATCGCGCAGAGGGCTGAGGTTTCCCTGTGATTTTATGTCAGCAAATCGCCTGGACGGGTCTCATTGGAAGTACTCACGAANAACCCAGGGCATGTCGGAACCGTGGAGCTTGAAGTATGGCTTCTCTGGGTTGCCGTAGGGGTATCCAGGCTCGACTGGAGGACCGCCACTGTTACGATGTCAGCCCATGTCGCCAAAGTATCGATTCAGAGATACGTACAGCCCATTAGGATCATAGCCTGAGCCTGTCCTCTGCATCTGGTAGAAGTACGATGTCTTGAAGGCTCCGGATTCTACGCCAGCATATACGGTGGCTTGGTCGATACAGCGGAACTGGTTGTCTGTGGCCACTCTCTGCGACACGTTGAACGAGTCCAAAGTCACATTGCCAGTGTCGTAGTAAGGGAAGAGTCCAGAGTCAATGATTGACTGAGCCTCTGCTGTCGAAATGCCCAATGCAGCAACGATTCCTGCCAGTTCGCTCGTCACAGGAGTCTTGGGGTAGGTCGAGAAGGATGCACCGTCGTTGGCGGTGACTCCCCAGATTGTGTTGACGTTTGCAGCACTGCCGTTGCGGTTGTATACATCCAGAGTTTCGGTGTCGACGTAAACTCCATCTTGGACCACATATCTGGCGACAGTGGCGGCGTTCACAATCGTCTGTGCTGGAGTGGCTCTCAGGCATGCGATACGAGCATCAAGAGTGGTCTGGTTGCAGCCAATCTCGCCGAATAGAGCTTCACTGCGAGAGTACGACTCGGCAGGTGTCAAGAAAGAACTGTAGGTCGTGGCGTAGTCTGAGACCATGTTAACATACGAATATCAGACTTGCTTCTGGTGGTACTCACTTCCGGTCAAGCCAAGATCAACACCGCCGCCCAAGTTCGACATGGCGATAGATCCTCTGAACTTGCCGATGGCCTTAGGAGAACCTAGAAGAGTACGCACGGATCCGGCACCTGCAGATTCACCATTGATCACGATCTTGTTAGGATCACCTCCAAAGTTTTCAATGTTCTTGAGGACCCACTGCATGTTGTTAGCTATTGCAACGTCAAAGGTACTCAACACACTACTCACATCCAGTCCGGTAATTTGGTCGGAAATTCCGTAATTTCCTGTGATGTTGGTTCCTGGAATAGCGAGGAAGCCGAGAGTGGTCAGGCGATAATTTACCTCAACAACAACTATGTCTTCTCTCGAGGCCAGCTGTCCGCCATCGCTTCCTGCACTGGCACCGGATCCGCCGGTGAAACCGCCACCATAGATCCAGAAATGCACAGGTCTCAAGTTCTTCTTCGACCCGGCCCTGGGAATGTAGGGAGTCTGAATGTTGACAAAGAGACAGTTCTCGCTGCTAGAACTCTCATACGGTTGTGCGCAGTCAGGTCCATACTTGGTGGCATCGATCGTCTGTCCGGTCTTAGAGTACACAGTCGAGTAGGCGAATCTGGCTGGGGGATCTGCGAAGGGAATACCCTGGAAGCGGAAAGACTTCTTGTTCCTGAAGCCTACATAAGTGTTGCCAGAAGAAGCAATCTTGATCTCGTTGGCGGCCGAGGCGACGGCATTGCTGGGCATGTTGCTCTGGCTAGACTGGGTGCAGAGCACAGGCAGAACATTGCCAGGACCAGCTTTTGCGAACTTCAAGGCGTTATTGTGGACTTCCACAGTCTGGCCACCTTCGATATGCCACTTTTGGTCTTGTGTCGAGCGACCAGCGTAGAATGCATAAGAGAGCTGGTTGACAAAGTCTGAGGAGTGTGCTTGTAGAGCCGACTGTGAGATCAACGTCTCGTTGAGGGCGGCACAACCAGTTCCTGCATTGGCAACAGTCGCCGGGTCCAGCAGGATAGCACTGATATGGTTGACATCGTCGGTGAAGTTGAGGTTGTTCTGATAAAGCAATGTCAAGGAGGATTGCGAGTTTGAAAGAGCAGAAGAAGGAGGAGCAATCACTGCTGCAAAAACAGAAGGAAGGCAGGAAGCGACTGCCGTCAGAACGGCAAAGTGCTTGACAGATGCCATGATAAAAGTCTTGGCCTTGATGCTTGATGTCTCAGATCCGGGCATGGTTTTATATATTATAGTGATTGCCACTGTATCTATCATTCTCGTGATATTCGATGCATAATGCAAGTCCCACTTTAGCCTCGATGGAGCATTTACCCCGTCTCCACAAAGCCTGCTATATCCACGCTTGAGACGGCAGGACCGGACGTGCGGCAGTTGCTTTGACACCATCTAGACTTTCCTCCTCCTGAATTAGTCCACATATCTGCGTGCATAGGGCAGAGCTGTTGCAACCATCTTCTATGCCCTGACCAGTTCTCCGCTGCGAGTTGCAGTTCCATCATGCGGCTCTGCAATAGTTCAAGGGTATATGATTTAGCCGCGAGAAAATGGTATGTCATTTGATCGTTTGTCCCGCTTTCGGAGACGATTGCTTTCCCACGGGGTTTCCCCCTCGTTCCGGGCCGCTCGTGTGGAGAACATGGCTCGCGTGCAACCATCTGGCGACCAAGAACTATGCAGGTACGTTGGAAGCTTGGTTGTATTTTAGCCAAAAGCCTTGATGAGTGCAGTCAATGCGTTGGAAGAGAATTGCCGGCAAACTCATCTCAATGCCGTCACCCTGCTCTAATTCACGATATTGTCGCTGTCAGATAATGGCAAGAAGATATTGTCGCTGTCACATAATGGCAAGAAGATATTGTCGCTGTCACATAATGGCAAGAAGACAGGGGCGGTGCTCGGGTTGCGCAACCACAAATAGAGTGTTAGCGTAGAAGAGGAGTCGACTGCAAGATTGTGACTATCTTCTACACACATCGAGTATGTACAAAGAGATAGAATCTTGGAGAATATTGTTACAGCATCCAGCTCTCGTCTCCACATGGAGCCATGTCCTGCTTGAAACGCTCCATACGATCTGGTAACCAGCCCGACTTCATATGAGGCGTCGCTTTTCCCAATCTAGGATCGACGCGAGTCTTGCAGTGTCCATCTTCACTGTATGAATACTGCTTACACTCTGACGCTGCTTCGCACTTTGACCTGCACTCCTCGAAGGAGCCAATGTTACTCTCTTCGCGGTCACTTTCATTGTCCCAGTCGAGTAAATCCGTAGACATTCTAGGGAGAATGTACTGACTGAAGATGTCCTTGTGACGATGGAAGCGTACGTCTTGGGGCTTGTGAGCGAGCCACTGCTGCTCGTACTTCCAGAGGTCCTCAATCATCTCGGGAGACACATGGTGATACGACACTGTAGGATAGCACCATACGCGCTTGTTCGGGTCTGCTATCGGACGTCCGTCAGGTCGGGCATAAGCAACGAGTCCGGGATAGTCTCCTTGCATGATGGGCCATGCGTCGGTGAACTTCACACCGGCTTCTGTGAACACTTTGCCCAGTACACAGTCGCCGGCCCAATGACCATCGGTATAAGCTTCGATCTCGGCTTTGTGTGCAGCATACTGGTCTACTACCATATGCATCGCTGGCTGCGAGACCATGAAGCCAGAGCCACCATGCGCGAAGACCGTGTCGCCAATGAACATAATGCTGCCGGTGTAATGAGGTTTGGATGGATCCAGAACTGCCAGATACTCCAACAATGATGCCCATAGTAGATAGCTGTCTGCTTCCACGAAGACATACCACTTCTTGTCGGGATACTCATGAAGTGTTCTGTTGAGCATGGGCAGGAATTTCCATTTGTCAAGTTTCCAGCCTGGATTCTCGACTTTGCCGTGCCATTGCGTGGCTTCAGTACCTGAGCCACTCAGGTCGCTGCTCTTCAGCACTGCCCTGCCATCCTGTTTGAGGTTGCGATAGAGCTCAAAGTCCTTGTGGTGGTCGACTAGCTCCGGACTGACTCCACTCAGAGCGTCGAATATATGCTGATCCTCATAATCTTCTTCGTGGTCAGAGAAGATCATGTAATTGGGATAGCATCGCAATGTGGTCGAGAAGTGGATTGGTAGGCGGTCTTGAATCTCAGTCGACCCTGTCTTGAGAACTACCAATGTGTCGTTTGCGCCTGGTAGATTTCTACACGACAGATCCGGCTCTCCTGGTTGGATTTGTGGTGCACTGCGAATCTCCAGAAGATTGCCTAACGAGGACGAATTCCAGAGTGTGAAGCCAGTAAAGCAGACTACCGCAACCAGTAATCGGAATCGCAGTCTTTTGACAACCATGGCTATAGATAGATAGTGATAAGCAGGCATCCGTGATGCGGACCGCAAGGGAACTACAGGATCAGGATGAGGATCAGGTCAGTTCTTGTACAAGTTAGGTCACCAATCTCTGCGAAACCAAAGAACCTTAACATTATCATGTAAATTCAACATGATGTGCGATGGCGGCGGCACAGAAACCCAAGTCTTCGGAACAGGATATGACACTCTCTCTGCTGATGTTTCGTCCGAAAGCCTCGTTTGCGCAGCCTCCATCGTGAGTCAAGATATGCCTGCATTTGGGACAGAGTATCTGGAATCGCAAATCGGGTCAAATGTCGCTACCCTGTGGGCACTCATGGGGAGTTCAGACCTCCAGAGTTAGATTAAGTGCATCTCACGGCCGGCGCTTAAGAAGGCGCCTCGGAAGTCGGAAGTATCGGCAAAGGCATCAGGGTGACAGACCAGACCCTTTATCTGTGGGCGTGAGAACATATAGATTAGAGAGTCTTACGATGAGTACGCCAAATCTTGCTTCGTGGACTGTGGTAGCGCTCTTTCTCAAAATTCATCACGGCGGGACAGTCAACACCAGTGATGTCGACAGCGCCAAGACATCCTGGTGGAGGTACAACCCTGCTCGATATTCAACCTCACCCTCGCAGATCTCTGCAAGAGGTTACTGAAAGTACTGGAGCCAGCGGACTGTGCTTCTGTTCTGTCGCCGGAGACCTATAATATGGAAATCGTTCTCTTTGTGGAGGCAATTTCCTGCCATGAAGTATCGCATATTCTCACGACTGCCCCTACCAAGCTTCCTCGGGTGGAGAGAATAGACAAAAGATCAAAGGAAGAACAGGATAATCTGACACTCGGATGCTCTTTTGAAACCGTGAACTTGACCACACGTTGTGTTGAAAACTTCACACGATCTTTCAATGGGTCTCTCAAGTGGAGGTCCCCTATTCCATACCCGCCCAGAAGCCCCAATCTATATCTTCGAATTCGAGACCAAGGATGACATTGAGATCCTCATCAGTCATCACAGGTTCCAAAGGCTGCCCGAAAATCTCACATTGTGTCTGTGTCACATCTGTATGCCTGTCCTGGAGAAGTTTTTCCAGTACAGAGACACACAATGGAGTTGTGGCAGAAGGGGTGACCGACTGATGAGCTTTCCAAGCACTGGTGATCAACTCTGCCGCATGAAGTTTCCTTCGATCCTCGGATAGCTCGAGTAGGTTCTTGTTGTATGTGTAGAGATCGGATAGCAAGTCCCAGATGCGTTGAGCTTTGGGCGAGCCTTTGAGTTGCATGACTTCGACTATAACGCTAATGACTGAGGAAGGTCAGTAGTGTAATTACTCCGTGGGTTGGCCATGGACTCACANTGCATGCCACTGGAAGTATCCATTGATGAACCAGTGGAAACGCTGTATCTCCGGTCGAGAATTGAGCGCAATGTTGTACTCCAATGATTTGATCGCCGCATCCACGAGCTGGGAGTGTCGTTCTGCATCGGTCATATTTGCGCTGCCACTGAAAGACATTGGGTGCAAGGTAAACATGCGCATGGTACAGATCAATGCCCTAGAGGTGAGTTGTACCATGATATCGAGCGGCTTGATAGGGTCGCAATACTGGAGAAACTTCTTATTCAGACCGTCTTCCATGATGTCTAGAAGAGTATTCTTCTTGGCATGGGATACAGTCTTGTTACTCGCCCACGAGATACCGAGTTTGCCGTTGTTCTCCTTGAAGAAGTCTCGCTGTTGTGACACAATCCAGTACGTCCATAAGCAATATGATAAGCTTGTCAGACTTTTCCGCTCCGGTGGAGGTTCTGTCATGCCGGGCTGGATATCGCTGTCATCGATGTTGAGGGGCACCCGAGCGTCCCACGCAGCCATGAGTGTGAGTGGTGTGGTTCCACAACGGACACCTAAAGCGAGATCGAGATGCTGTAAGTGCCACCACAGTCGACGACGACTCTCAGTCTCTACTGGACTTAGACCAAGCAGAGTGCCGTCGCGGTGAATACCCAACTTCTCCGCGTTGCGTATCGTAAGACCCATGAGTGAGAAGAGACTTTGGATACTCAACCTCTCCATGGAGGCAGCCTGATAACGAATTAGCAAACTTTAGCATAAGCGTCAGATACGACTTACGATGTAGAGAAGTATTGCTCGGATGATGATGACATCTGTGATGCAAAAGATATTGCTGCGCGACAATGCCTGCTCGCAAATTGCCTGGTAGTGGGAAAGCAGAACTTGTTTCGGTTGGCGCAAGACTTTTGTACACTCTTCTTCAGGTATACTGACGATGCTCAATAGATAAACACAGAACACAAAAGCATGATCCTCATCTTTGAGTTGCATTCGACCCTCAAAGGTCGTCGCATTGGACCGTACTTGCTTGAGAGCCCAATCAAAGTCAATTTTGATCAACGGGTTTGCATTACGTTCAAATCTGTCCCACAGGAAATTGGCGTCCTCTATGGAAGGATGCTGTGATGAGAGACCTATAGCATAATCGATGCGCATGAGACCTTTCAGGGCATCGGGTTTTGTTCTGGAGACCAGTGGTCGACTCATCAAGACATCATGATTGTGTCCATTTTGTTGATCCTCGTCTTGACCAACATGAGAATGCCAGGCTTCCAATTCGACATAATATGACTGTCCGTTCTGTTCAAGCATAATAGGTTGGCCGCGTTCGGCCTCGGTGGTGTCGCGAGCATCCTCGGCATCCCGAGACTCAACAAAAGAAGGGCCTGTCCTTGCACGTTTTGATGGACGACTTTCATCAGTGTTCGGATCTCCACCGAGACTTCTGACAAGGGATTCTAGTTNTTTGATGCGGTCAATGGGTTGTACCTCGGGGTAGGTACATTGGTCCTGCTTTCTCCGCTTGCAGTTTGAGCATGGCTGTTGTTTGTCGCATCGCACCTTCCGCCTCGAACACGGCTCGCAAGCTTGACTGCTCATGATGAAGATGTCGGGGACGTTATCCAAAAGAGTGAGTTGGCGACGAAACGCGAAGATGCTCGATTATCTGGTCGCGACGGTGCTCGGGCGAGCGACCGAGAAATCCTTCGGGGAGCCGTCCCCGAGATGTTCCACCTCATCAAAAACACTTCCAAGCATTGCTCTATTTTTCCTCGTTGCCTAGCTCTGTCTTGAGAGTTATATAGAAAGCATGTCCCAAGAACTTCTACCTGATTCATCCAGAATCTTTATTTTAGAACATCGAGCTCTCGACCATGAAGGAAAACAGCGTCGACCAAAGCCCTCAACATGGCCTGACTACCCAGAGATCACCGGATAAAGAAAATGAAGACCATGAGAAAACATATCCATCAAAGAAAGTCGTGCTTCCAGCTATGGCTGCTATATATCTGGCAGTCTTCCTAGTCGCATTGGTATGTTTGCATGAGCTGATAGTCCATTGATAGTAGAGCTGACTACTATGCAGNGACAGAACCATCATTGGAACAGCCGTACCCGCCATCTCGAACCAATTCGGCAGTTTCGGAGACATAGCTTGGTACGAATCAGGCTTCCTACTCCCACTCTGTGCGCTCCAACTATCGTTCGGCCTAGTGTACACATACTATTCATCCAAATGGGTCTTGATCATTCTCGTGTCCATCTTCGAGATCGGCTCGATAGTTTGTGCCGCCGCTCCGACGTCTCATGCCCTCATAGTTGGAAGAGTCATACAGGGGATCGGCGGAGCAGGCATCGGGTCTGGAGCAATCATACTTATCAGTATGCTTGTACCTCTACAAGCTCGACCTCAATGGACTGGTGGCATTGGTGCTGTCTTTGGGCTTGCAAGCATATTTGGACCACTTCTGGGAGGATATCTTACCTCGATCACATGGCGTTGGTGCTTCTGGATCAACGTGCCGATCGGTGGTATTTCGTTGGCATGCCTTGTCTTCTTCACGCCTAACAGTCCGCCTGCAATCAAGGCTGCTCCGACTTGGCGTGGAAAACTCGATCAGCTGGATCCAGTAGGCTTCCTGCTCATAGCACCTTCGGTCATCTGCCTGCTCTTCGCTATCGAGTGGGGTGGCTCAAAGTATCCTTGGAACAGTGGTCGCGTCATAGCCTTGTTCGTCGTCTTCGGTGCCCTCCTCCTCGCATTCATTGCTTATCAAGCCTGGCGCGGAGACAAAGCTACCTTACCTCCAAGAATCCTTCGACAACGCAGCATCATCTCTGCATCTTTGGCGAACGTGGGTATTGGATCCGTGCTCGTTTTGTATGCATTCTATCTGCCCATCTGGTTCCAGGTCGTCCAAGGAAAGTCGCCGCAAAAATCCGGCTTGTCGCTGCTGCCGCTCCTGCTCAGCAACGTACTTGCGGTGATAATGACTGGCATTGCAACGAGCATTGTTGGATACTATACGCCCTTTCTAATTGTCGGAGGTGGCGTTCTTATCGTGGGGTCGGCACTACTTACGACATGGTCCGTGAATATCAGCGCAGGGATATGGATCGGCTACCAGGTAAGTATTTCATGCTTGATTGCAGAACAGAATATTGACTTGAAGCAGATCGTCACTGGCGTAGGGCTAGGCGCAAGCCTGCAAGGTCCAAATATTGCAGCTCAGACGGTCCTTGCAGACAGCGATGTGGCTATTGGGTTGTCTTTTCTGCAATATATCAGTTTCTTTGCGGGCAGCACGTTCATCACTGTCTCGCAAACACTCCTCGAGAACGATCTGGCCTCTGGACTGAAACAAATTCTTCCCGACTTCGATCCGAGTACCATTTCGGGTGGAGGTGCAAACACTGTTCGAGACATGGTGTCTGCAGATCAACTCCCTGTCGTGCTCAGAGTGTACAATGACTCACTCAGGTCAGTGTGGTACTTGGGCTTAGGGCTGTCATGTCTTGTGTTTGTGGCATCCTGGGGCTTTGAGTGGAGAAGCGTCAAGGCGAAGAAAAGCGACGATGAAAATGCCAAAGCTTGAGATGGAGAAGGAAGGGAGAAGCAAGTGAGATTGACTGGGTAGAGTAGCTGAGCTGAGCTGTACTGGTACATTAGTCGTTCATGTATTTCCTATCCCTCTACATCTTGTTTGATACGAATCTGCATCTTGAAATTCGGATCGCCATAGCTCTCTGACTCGTCTTTGGGCTTCTTGAGCGACTCAGTGTACTCTCTCCAGAGGCTGTCCACACTTTGGCCGAACAGATCCTTCCAATACGTATCGCCGTCGTATTTCTTGTGGAACAATGCCTGATTCATGACATAGACACTGCCCGTACCCCTTGTCTTCTCAATCCAATCAAGGAAGTAGCCAGTGTTCTGATATCCCGTGTCCCAGCTCTTGCCTGCCTCTTTCTTCCAGTGCGGAGGGATGAATCCAGCGTGCAGACGAACCCAATCGGCGATGCCTTCAATGAACCCACCATTGCAGGTGCCTCTGGCGTTCCACTGGAAACAGTGAACCAGCTCATGACAGACGACACCGAGGATCTCGGTGCGGGCGGTGTAGCCAGCTTTCTGTGACGCGACGTGGTTGAGGTAGCCGAGTGAGAAGTGTATTTCTTTGTGATCATCGTCGATGTCTGCGCCGGTGGTGTATGCTACGCCGTCCATGTCCCGCAAGATCAAGGTGACAGAACGTGTAGGTGGGATCCTTGTATGCGTGGGCATGGGTAGCCGTGTCGATGCATCGTCATGGTCGGGGTAGGTATAGAGTCGCTTCAAGACGGTGTCGACCAGATCGTTCAGGTCTTTGGCGCTGTTGAAGTTCTTGAGGAAAAGATCGGTCGATGGGTGGGAAAGATCGCGAAGCTCGAGGCGTAGTTTGACTTTGGGGAAGCCGGAGGTTGTGGTTGGCACCGGAGGAGACTCATGTCTTCCCGTCTCGAGCGAGGGAGGTGCTTGTGACGGCGTGGGCTCTGGAGGAACCGGAGACATGGTTTGGAAGTAGGGAGTAGCTGATGTTTTGGACATGCTTGAGTGGTGGATTATATATATCGTTGCTGTTGGTCATCGGGTATGTCTCTCCGCATAGACGTCGGACTGCTACAGCCTCAAAATCCAGGGTCTCCAAACAGCACTTCGAGATCAACACTCACATACCTGCGAGAACACATAAGTAATTCTCACCGTTGGTCACTTCAAGTGAGACTCTGTTAAGCGAGACTCTGTCAAGTAGTCATTCTCGGTGGGCGATATTGATTGTTGCAAAAGTACTGCGAGTCTGTACACTCTCCACATCGCCAACCAGGAGCTCGGTGGGTTCACCGAGCTCGAAGATTTCTGGTAGAGCCACCAAGAAGGGTCACACGTACTGAAGTAAAGTCGACTGAGGGAGGGAGGAGGAGGGCGTGCTCGGATTTTTTCCTGCAATATACCGATGTCCTTCACTGTCCAAGCCTTGGAGAGCCTCGTGGGAACTTCCAGATACTCCGCTGAGTAAGCGGAGCAGCCCGCACAGACCGCATCGAGGTGTATAAAACTTTCTGCTCCCTCGCCCTCCTCCTTCCGTCCTTAGTCGACTTGTAAGTACCACCAGTGCCTATGTACATGGTTCCCATGCTAACAACCCTCTCAGTACTTCATAGAATCTTTTTCTAAAGTTAGTCTTCTTATCTGAACTCTTCAAAAGAGCCACAGAACTCCAACCTGGCGGATGAGATACATCCCCGGTGCCTTAGAGTGATACCAAGTGCTTTGGCTCCGGCCTCGGCGGTGATGATCTCGACCCTTCCGAGTGTCTGGCTTCGGTCGGCTTGACTGGGTAGGCACTGGCGGACTTCTGACAGGCTTTGTCTTCTTTTACTTTTTTCATCAATCTTTTGGCTTCATGCTGAGTTTTGGAGAAGAATCTTTTTGTTCACTGCGCATGCGCTCGAACATGCTTGGAGAACCACATAACAACAATAACAACACGCCCTGGATCCCGGCGACCATCTGGCAAAATCTCTGCAAGCAAATTTCTATACGCAAACATGTGACAGACAACCACCATCCGGCCTGTCACACTGCCCTCGCGCGACTACAGAAATTCAAAGCAGTCGCATGCACAATATCTGTCGTGCTTGTTTTTGCATGATTGAATGGACTTCGTTGCTCGTCCCTTCCACCACCGTTTACTTTCCGAGAAGCATTCTTGTCCATTTGTTAGCGACTCGAAATCGCAAGCGCAGGCTCTTGTCGGCTTGAGATGAGACGCCAAGTCAGCAGCAGCCTTCTTACAGCTCTTTCTGACACCCTTCTGGCCGTTCGCGGCTATGAATGNCCTTTTGCATGTGATGATGCAGTTGGGCTCCGCGTTTGGATTCGAATTGCTATTGACGCCGCACTGGAGCCAGGTCTTGCCATTTGGTAAAGTGACTTCTCGGCTCCAGTACGGTTTGGACTTGCGGTGACGCTTCCAGTCTGCGTAAGATGCTGCGTCGGCCACGGATAATTGCCTGGTAGCGAAGTCGAAGCAGCCGCATGAGCAGAGTTTATCATGTCGATTCATCGCCCACCACACGATCTCAGCGCTTGCCTTCTTGCTCCAGGTATAGCAGCACACGCCGGGCTTCCCTCGTGGACCTTCTCTGATGTACTCAAAGTCGCAAGCGCAAGGTGGACATGGTTCCCACCTGCCACTGTAGCGCTCATCGGCTCGATGAACCTTGAGCTCCGTGACTATCTCCTCACAGCATTTCTGTATCTTATTTAGGCTGATGAGCGTCTCTTCGCCTCTGGGAACCATCTTACAAGTAAACGAGCAGTCCGGTCCGTTGGTCTGAGGGCCACTACTGACACCATATTGTAGCCAGAAGAATCCGCGCGGATGGTCGATGCGACGGCTCCAGTATGATATGCATCTAAAACCCGGGTGATACGTCCAGATCGGTATGATTTTGGGCTGTCCAGATGACGCAAAGTCAAAGCAGCCGCATCCGCACAACTGATCATGTCTCTGCATGCCTTTCCAGACCAACTTCGAAAAGTACCTACTGCCATTGTCGCAGATACCTGGTTTGCCCTGTGAGCAATTTCTAATGTATTCGAAGTCGCAGCGGCAGACATGATGATCAGACTCGTCCCGATGAGCGCTGAGGTCTTCGATGATGCGCCTACAGCACCTTTCGATTTCGAATGTCGTAAGCTCATTTGAATCATTACCAGACTTTGGCGTCATCTTGCAGGTGAACGACGCTTCCGGACCTTGAGCAGTGGTGCTTCCGCCGATGCTGCACTCTAGCCAGTTACTGTTGTCATGTTGAAGAACCTTGCGAACTTGGATGGACTTGAAGCTCTCGGTAGTGTGTCGTCTGGCAAGAGGCTTTTTCTCATCGCTGTCGTGGGTCGGCGAGTCTTCCGACGACTTGCTCCAACTCTTCTGCCTAGAAGTGAGCTCATTGGGGTATACAGTCGCGCTGTCGGTACGCTTTGCCATTTGATTGCAGAGGACCTGTCAAGTCGAGAGCAACCGCCAACAATTGAGGTGGATTAATGCCAAACTCTGTATCGAACCGTCGGGTCTTGAGCAAGATTGAAGCCAAATTACTGGCTGCTCTGGGAGCAAAGCCACGCGACATCTTCGTATACTTCTCAACAACGAACAGTTGCCTTCTTTTGTCCTATGATCAACTCCGATGTCAACGTAGCTAGACAAGTCAACGCAACGAACGAACAGTCGCTTCACGACAGATCGGCAGATGTTCGGGAGAAGTCCATCTCGCAAATCAATCCTCGCGGAGTAGCTCCCCGACCTCTCTGCAAAGTATTAATCTAATTCCACATTTAATTTATGTCCAGAACGGTCGTGTCGCGCTCGATGTTTGATCGTCGTTGAAAATGGAGCTGCTGTTCAGAATGCGATACACGAGGGTGTGAGCACTTCGAGGTCGACTACTGCCTTCCACGAGCACAGACAGAAAACACAAGGACGCCTGAACGCTTGAACCTTGACATCAAACAACGGCAACAAGACTGTATAACAAGTCATGAAGCTATATCATGAGAGCGGCCTAGCTGCTATACTTCAAACACCGCGAATTAACGCCGAGGTCGATCACGAGTCAGACGTTATTATATAACAACGACCATCGCTTTTTCACGACCTCCAGAATTTCCCTACTCCCAAAACATCTACCGCCAGCCCAAACATCGACTCCATTGTCAAACTACCATTGAACATCATGTCACTTCAGGACAAGATTGCCGTTGTCACCGGTGGCTCGCGTGGTCTTGGTGCTGCGATCGCCAAAGCCTACGCAAAGGAGGGCGCCCATGTTGCCATTGTATATGCATCGCCGTCAAGCACACAGTCAGCAGAGACTGTCAAGAAGGAGATTGAAGAGTTAGGTCGCAAAGCAATCTTGATCCAGACAGACTTGGTCAAGCCAGAGTGCGGAGAAGTTGTATTGCGAGAGACATTGAAAGGCTTCAACACCGAGACCATCGACATCTTGGTCTCGAACGCCGGCATCTACAAAGAAAACCACACCCTGGAGTTTGATGCAGAGTTGTTTGACAGGTAAGTGGCTCCCAACTCTTACCAACTGCATGCATGCTGACTTTGAATGTAAAGAACAATGGCAATCAATGTCCGTGCCCCGGCATCGCTGGTCAAATCAATCGCTCCCGTCATGCCCAGAGGCGGCCGCATCGTTGTCATTTCTTCAATGGCAGCTACCTGGGCGAGTCCCACCATGGACATCTACAGTGCGAGCAAAGCAGCCGTCAACGCCATGATGAAGTGCTGGGCCGTCTCATTGGGCAAATCTCACGGCATCACCGCCAATGCTATCAACCCTGGCTTCTTCCCTACAGACATCAACGCCCACTTTTCGGACGAGTTGCTCGAGAAGTTCAAGAATATGCAGGCTATTGGTCATCGCTTGGCTGATACGGATGATCTTACTGGTTTGGCCGTCTTTTTGGCTAGTGAGCAGTCTAGATGGATTACTGGAGAAACGGTCGAGTGTTCTGGAGGTTCTTCCCTCGGGTAGACCTGGACATCTACTTTGATGAAAACTACGACTGGGAGAATTGGTGCCGGAATGCTTGTCGCAGCTGATCTTGTGACGCACGAAAGTCCATCGTGCTTTCCGGTTTGGACAACAATTTGCAAGAGCAGGATCCTTCTGGAGATGATTGATTCGGATCAACACTGATCCGGATAGAAAGAGAAAGAGCAAGAGTGTCTTTTTGTTGCCCCTTATCTCTCACGAACAATGACACACACTTTCTTCTCGTTGCCCTTTTTCGAACACCGATTGTATTGCCATACGAATCCCTTGATTGATTGAGTTTTTGCCATCTAGAAACGCCTTGATACTTCGAAAATACACATGCTCGTCGTCACAGATGTGTTCCGGAATATTCTTGTTCTCGAAGCCAACTCCTACTTTCACAATACATTTCATTGACGTGTCTCAGACCCCATCCGTTGTCTGCAATGCTCCTCCCTTATGTGTACTCATTCCCTCCTTTCCAGTGCTCCATTTCCCATTCCACGTCGCCAATCATACCACTCTGACGACAAACCTAATTCTCCCGACTCTCTCGAGATGACAGGCACCAGGAGAAGCAGTCGTCACCAAGGCAAACCAGAAAGAGACAAACCCGACTACACCGAAGAGCAAAGCGATCCCGAAAGCCAGCATACCGTGCACAGTCAAGAGTCAGAACCCAACCCCTAGACTTCCAAGGAGATGCCATCGAAAGCATGAGAAGAAATGCAGACGACACTGCTACCGAGATGTACTTGACCAAAGCCAAAGGATGGGTTCCCGGCGCCGATGTNCCCCCTGAGCTTCTTCGAGCGTGGGTAGAGTCAAACCCGCCATCGCGGCGCTCTGGCATAGGTTCAGACGCTGAGGTCAACGGCGTAAGGAGAGTCCAGAATGGTGAACTGGAGGTAAACTACAAGAAAAATGGCAAGAACGAAGCAGGCAATCTCTGGAACTTCACATGGGTTCCCGCCAGCGTAGCAGACCCAGAAAAGGAATCCATGTTCGCAAAATTCGACAAGGAGAGCGTTGAGAGGGACATGGAAGTTTTGAGCCCAGGTCCACGACTCTCTGGTCTCGAGACTCGTCTCAATATGCTTGACGATCTGCTTGATGAAGTTACCGTGGAGATTGTCAAGCCACTCTGGGTGTCTGGTTCACCACCACCTGCAGTCCATGATACCAAGATTCCTGCACATACTCCTCACTATGCACTCCCTATACCATTTCAAGGCTGTTGCGACGATGCTGCAAGACAACCAGATACCCTCACCCACAGCACCCTTGTCGCAGCATGTCAATCCACAAAACACCTCCCAAACACTCTCAACTTCAACGCCTCTCGCCACCTCATCTGCACCACCTGCCATGAAACCCCACCCATCCACCGCCTCACCCAGCGCGAAAAAACCCACTTGATCAGAGACAAAGGCCTCTTACCTCTCTGCATCTCCTACGCAGAATGGTGGTGCAATGTCCATGACATCAGCTCCGAGAAAGACGGCAATTACTGTACTTGCAAACAGCAGGTTGCCCAGTGGCTGTGTGCTGATTGTTGGGTTGAGGTGGCCAGAGCCAGAGGCCGCACAAGAGATGAGATCCAGATGTGTGATTGCGCTCAAGATCAAGGTGCTAGAGCTGTGATGAGTGAGATTGTGCGTATCTGCTCTGGTTGTCGTGGACTTGTGGTCAATCGCGGTGGTGCAACCTGAAGGTTTGATATTGTCTAGCAGAGTTCGGGAGAGGACTGACAAGAGAGGAAAAAAGCGACGATACGGGTAACGAATAGTCTTTTTCCTCGTGTATATCGAAAAGAATGAAGTTTGTAAAAGACGGTTCTCAAAACTCTGCCCATTCAAGCCATCCCTCGGCAACTCCTTGAAGCATGCCTCGCGGATCACTGCAGATGATCTGCTCAAACTCTGCTAGGTTCAATCTTCCAGGACCACCACGCATGATTATTTCCTTCTCTTCCTCGTCAAGGCGAGCCAAAGTTTTCAACCTTTCTTGTGAAGGCGAGTCAGGCTGCTCTGTCTGATCAGGGTGGAAAGGTGCAAATACTGAAGCCGACGAGTCCATGTCTGGGGTTGAGAAGGGGGCTTGGAGGTGCTGTGTTGGAGGAGAACGGTTCATAGAGAGTGTTGGTGATGTTGCGCTGGGTGCATCACTGCTTTCGTCGAAAGGGATCTCTTCTAGCGTTGGCAGGTCTTCGTCAAGTGTGGTCGGTGGATACTCGTCTGTTTCCGAGCTAGTTCCGTCGTCCTGATTCCTAGTCGCCGGCTCGGCATCAGTCGAAAGATCAACAACATACCCCGATTGTGCTAGAAGATCGTCGAGAGACTGGTCTCGGATATTTGATTCCAGGTCCTCGAGGTTGCTGTCGAGTGCTTGACTTTGCTGGACAATATGTTCTTGAAGGTCCATCGCAATTTCTCGTGGTGTCGGCAATCTCGTACCTGCATCGGTAGATTCCACCTGGAGCAGTGTGTCTCCTAGTCTTGCTGAGTCGGGTCGTTCTCCATGGTCATTATGCTCCAGTTCATTGGCACCATTTGCAATAGCCATCAAAGGATCCACCTCGGAGCCCGCAGCGAGTTCTTCTTGACGAATCTTCGCAGTCCGGATATAGTCATCGATCTCCTGGCGGAAGCGACGACGCTCCTCTTTGGTGGTCCCTACCTGTTCTGCCAATTGTTCTTTCCTCCCAAAAATTGGGTCGACTAGCTCGTTCAGGCCCTCTTGAACAACCTGGAAGATCACCTCCGTGCCGAAATCTTTCTCGGCTGCAGGGACTTCATAGGCACGTCCTCTCGCAAGAACATCCGCAGGTAATGGTGGCAATAGATCTTCATCGTCTTGTCGCTGTTCCTGGGGCGAGTTCTGTTCCCCTTCTGGACTAGATTTCCGAGTTGCGTCCAGAAGATCTTGATGCCACCTTTGCTCGGGCCTGTCAGGTGAAGACTGACTGCGAACTTGACGCAAATCCGTGTCGACCAAGAATCTTTGCTCTGCTCCATCTCCTATGCCGCCTATCGCCACACTGTCAGACCTGTTAAGACTGCTTGTAAACTCTGTGAGCTGCTCCACTGACAATGTGTCAGGACCCAAGTGCTCTGGCAGAGCGTCAACGCCGTAGCGATGAGCTATTGCGCCGACGAGGCTGGAGTCTGGGAGTTCTAGGCCGTCAGGCAACACGGCCGATGCAAAAGGACCAGCGTCTGGCCGCACCTGGCTCTCGCCAAAACGGTCATGTACCTTCATTGTGGGTAACCTTATCCGACCAGCAGGAACATCTTCTTGGGCAAAAGCTGCGCTAATGGGTTGACTGGACCGGACAACATTGGCAGTGTAAGTAACCATGTCAAATTCTGCTGCTCGAATCGTGTCTTCAACCAGGTGTTTTTGAATGGCATACTTGGCGCTGAGCATACGAATAAAATCTCGACGACTGATGTATCCGTCGCCGTCAAAATCGTAGCCATGAAAAATTCGTTCCAAGGAGCTCTGCTTGTTAGGCCGACGCAGGTATGCTATGCCCAAGACGTATTCTCTGAAGCCAACGAGACCGTTGTTGTCAGTGTCGTAGAAGCTGAACATGCGGTCATAAAGAACGCTGGGCTCTACAGGTCGTTTCCATGTAGGAGACATCATGAGTCTGTTGAAAGCATGGCGATCCATAGCATAACCGATCTGCATGGGGTCNNCTACTCGACGTCAGTAAGGGTGTGTTGGAGGGAGGAGCATATGCTCAAATACCTCGGGGTAGGCAGAGTTAGCCTTGCATGCGAACTGATCGTAGAAGACCTGAATCTCCAGATCTTCAAATCCCGCGTCGATGGCAAGTTGCCTCTTAAGCGAAGTCCTCAAAACTGGCCATTGCGCTGTTGGATCACCTGGATAGGTAACATCCTGGACTTGATGGTTCTGACCTAGGAAAGAGATGGGGATTTTGATCTTCGTGAATGTATGGGTCCTTGGGTGCATCGGTTGTGCTTCACAGGCTGAGCATAGATCGAAATCCGGACAGTTGTTGCAGTGCCAGCGAACACCGAGGATAGGATACTGGCCGCACTGCTCACACCTGATACCAGTGTGGACGTATAACTGGCGCATGGTTTTCTCCTCTGCTATGTGATACACAACGGCCTTGATTCTGATACAGTCAGCCACTGCAGAAGTCGTCTTGGGACAATGGATATCAAATANCCCTGGAGCAGGTTCTACATCGTCCTCTCGGTCCGAATCAGCCGTCGTCTCGGTCAAACCAAGATCTGCATGGTCAGAGATAATGGGCATACGGTCAAGACCGCAATGCTCAGCAAAGGCTCTGGCGGCAGCGGCTTGATGGAATTTCCAAGGCCCTGAACAAAGTAGGTGGATTCTAGCAAGCAATTCGTTGATGTTTGGTCGTCGCAGATAAGGCACCAACTCTTGGAGATCTCTTGCAGCATCTGATTGCTCGGCGGGTAGTTCCTCAGAGGGCCGGACAAGGATGGAGAAGATGTATTTGAGGGCAGCTTCCTGGATTTTGATGGTGACATCGTAGGCATTATGAGCAGGAAGATTCAAAGCTTCTGCAATCTCAACCACTGTGGGTGGTTCAGGACCATTAGGAAACCTGACAACGATGCCTTCAAAATCGACGTGAACCAAGCCGAATGGAAGAGATGGCTCAGAGGAAGCTGAAGTCCATATCCTTGTATGAGCGCGCGTGTTATTGCGATTCCTGACAGCGCCACGTCGTCGCAAATTGGGAGGTGCACTGTGTGCAGGCCAGTTTGACCAGATTACCCAGGAAGTGTACGCCGCGATGAAGCCTGTGGTGACCAGTACCCAAGGCCGCGAGATTCGCGACGAGGCGTTAGAAGCCATGTCGGGGACGCGCAAACAGATGAGCGAATCAGATGGTCTTCCAACGATCAATCATGCTTGATGCCTGTTGCCGGGCCGAGATAGATAGAGATGTATGTGTGGTCGGAAAAGGTGATGTCTTGGATCCATTGATGTTCTGGCGTCACAAGCTCCAACAAGCGGCAGTCACCGCAGACTCATCAGTTTTCTATGACGCCGGCAGTATCAACTCGTCCAACGTGGTTTTCAATCTGTACGAAGATGTGAAAAGCTATTTGCGATGTGTTACCAGAACCTTGTGCATTTGCTTGGCGCGCTCATGAGACTATACACAGTCACGCGACAGGCACAAACAGCAGTCGTAGTGATAATAAGATACAGAGTGGTATATGTACAATTTTTGGAGAGTGGACAGTCCCAGATCCCTAATGCCGGCCAAACACTGAGCTCCAGACGCCGTACGAGTAACCTGTAAAGAAAAATGATCATGACCTGGACTGCCACAGCTTCATAGCAGCGTTCAGGAGAGAAGAGTCGCCTCTGCCCTCTCCGGGCTCCAAGACACTACGAACGATGCCTGTGGTATCAGACTGGATGTTGGACTCGGCAGCTCTGGCGTCTCCTTCAGACAGACGCTTCCTCTCAGCACTTCTGGCCTCGGCCAAACGCTTCTTCATGGCAGCAATTTCCTTCTCTTCGTCGTCTCTAGCCTCGAGCTCTCTGATCCAAGCATCGCGCTTGTCCTTCTTCTTCTTTTCCTCGAGCAAATCATTGTACTCAGTGCGCTTCTTGCGGTCCTTCTCCCAGTAGGCGGAACCGGCAACCATGGCGAGCAGAGTGAAGCCTTGAGCATAGATACGACGTCGGAACATGCGGTTTGTCTTTGCGTGGTCTCCAGACTTCATTGACTTTGTGGCTTCGTACAGGGCCCAGACGGTCAGACCGCAACCAAGCGGGATCAGAGGTTCTTGGACGATTCTACGGCGCAGCTTCTGCCATCGGCTCTCCTCGTAGAAGTNCGCTAGTACAGGTCAGATGCTGAACGCCCATACAATCATCTTGGACATGGCGACTTACGCATCATTATCAAAAGACGAAGGTGGCGGCGCACTGTTCATGATGGGCGACCAGGTTTCCGAGGACTAGAGTGGTGTGATGGAAGGTTCGTCGACTTGTACAGATGGTACAGAACTCGGTCGTAGGGGCGGATGACTGATTCGAGTGGGAAGCAAGTGTACCACCGGTACTGTGGTATAGCTCTTGGTGGTAAAATCGATGATGTCGCTGGACCGAGCGCGCTGCGGAACGGCTCCGACACCGCCTCCAGCCCTATCACTTGTCTATCGCCGTTTCCCAAAGAGTCACACCCCAAGCACTTGCTTCTTTCGTTTCTGTCAACACTNNTGCTTTCCCGTCTCAATCGCTCCTTCCCGTGCATCTCGACATGGCTCAGAATGGAACATCGGGCCACGATGCCCAAGAGCCCGTCACACCCAAGCTCAATTCGCTCTCGCTGACCGAATACGCCGCCAATCCCTCTCCACCCTCGCAAGACCCCCGGCAAAAAGCCATTGATGCAGGAGTCCCCGAGGCCTTCCTCCTGCCCAATGGCTACCCCGACTACCTGCGTCTCATCCTCACCTCGCGCGTCTACGATGTCATCGAACAGACTCCCCTCACACATGCCGTCAACCTTAGCAACCGCCTCGAGAGCCAGGTCTTCCTCAAGCGCGAGGATCTCCTACCTGTATTCAGCTTCAAGTTGCGCGGCGCATACAACAAGATGGCTCATCTGAGCCCACAAGAGAAGTGGAAGGGTGTCGTGGCTTGCTCAGCTGGCAACCACGCCCAGGGTGTCGCATACTCGGCTCGCAAGCTGAAGATGCCTGCAACCATCACCATGCCCCTCGGAACCCCCGCCATCAAGCACACAAACGTCTCGCGCCTTGGTGGAGCTGTTGTCCTTCATGGCAACGACTTTGACGAAGCCAAAGCCGAATGCGCCCGTCTTGCCGAGTCCCACGGCCTCACCAACATTCCTCCCTTCGACGATCCCTACGTTATCGCTGGTCAGGGTACCATTGGCATGGAGATTGTGCGCCAGGCAGACTTGAGCAAGCTCGAGGCCGTCTTCTGTTGTGTTGGTGGAGGTGGTCTGATCGCCGGTATCGGAGTATACATCAAGAGAATTGCGCCTCATGTCAAGATCATCGGTGTCGAGACGTACGATGCAAATGCCATGGTCCAGTCTCTCAAGCTGGGTAAGCGTGTCACTCTCAAGGAGGTCGGCCTGTTTGCCGACGGTGCTGCTGTCAAGACGGTCGGAGAGGAGACTTTCCGTCTGGCCAGCGAGGTCGTCGACGATGTCATCATGGTCACAACCGATGAGACGTGCGCTGCCATCAAGGACGTATTCAACGATACTCGTTCCATCCTCGAGCCCGCTGGTGCTCTTGCTCTTGCCGGATTAAAGAAGTACGTCGCTCAGAACCCTAGCTCTGACCCCAAGCGTCAGTTGGTTGCTACCGCTTCGGGCGCCAACATGGACTTTGACCGTCTGCGTTTCGTCGCTGAGCGTGCCGCCATCGGTGAGAAGAAAGAGGCTCTGCTCATGGTCACCATTCCTGAACGACCCGGTGCCTTTGCCGCTCTGGTCAAGGCCGTGCATCCCATGTCTGTCACCGAATTCTGCTACCGTTACGCATCGGCAAGTGCTGCCAACGTCCTCATTGGTATCAGCTTGAGCGCAAACACCCGCGAGCACGATCTTGCCGATCTCATCCGCCGCCTATCCAATGAAGGCATGACAGCTGTCGACATTTCGGAGAATGAGACGGCCAAATCCCACATTCGTTACCTTGTTGGTGGCCGTAGTAGCGCCTCAAACGAGCGTGTCTTTGCTTTCGAGTTCCCCGAACGTCAGGGTGCTTTGTTCAAGTTCTTGACCACTTTACAACCTGGCTTCAACATCTCTCTGTTCCACTACAGAAACCATGGCGGCGATATCGGCAAGGTCTTGGCTGGGATCCAATGCCCGCAAGGTCAGGAGGACAACTTGAACTCCTTCCTGACTGAACTTGGATATGGCTATGTCGAGGAGACCAACAACCCGGTTTTCAAGATGTTCATGACCGAGCCTTGATAGGCCCCTTTTCTCATGGTTATTGACTTGTTTCTCATTATGCCCTGTTACAATGTTATCTGTACGATATGACCCAGCGGTATGCCCGCTCCGATACCCCGTCTCTTTTATAGACTACTTCTACGACACGACTTCTCAAACCACATATACATCTGGGACGTTCCACCGACGCTTTGTTTTTGGGGCATGATTTGGTTGTACAAAAGCATTGGAATTTTTGTGGTCATCTGATTTCCAGTTCGAACCTGCTTTCATCCACCAGGCGCACCTTAGCTATTGCGTGTGATGTCCATAGAGGGTGTTACTCATTGTGCTATTTCAGCCACAGATTCAGATGCCTTTTCACTCTAGTGTGACACACACCTCTGTGCTGCTTGCAGTGCTCACCGCCAAATGCCGCCATGCACCAGATCAACAAAGAACGTGAATGATCAGTGTGGTAAGTAGACCACTATTGGCGATGCCCAAGCTATGACTAGTCTAGTCACATGCTACGTTCCTGCATCGAGGCGGGGAAAGAAATGTGGCAGTGGCACTGTTCTCAAACAGGCAACCCTTCTGACCGCAAACAGCTTCAAGCCAGCTCACATCACCTGTTTACCTATGTCAGATCCAAAATCTCCATATGCCGTTTTGAGTTTATCACAGAGAATCAAGCCTGGCTATTCTTGCGACGGCAACCCGCCATTCGCCTTTAAGAACGGCAGTAGTATCGTTTTCGGGTCGCCACCGCCTTCCCCTGGTCTGACGTTGAAGAGAAGGCAGAGACAACAAGGCGAATGTTGATTCAGCACCACCTATGTGCTCTGTAATATGGTCATGTTACCTGCATGCATTAGGCGGTCAGCCCATGAATCCTCCTCGATGCAATGTTTGCTTTGCTCGTCTTGCAAGGTTATTTCATGTTACTGTAGCGCATAAGAGGAAGTCACAACCGTCTCCATACTCTTATATAGGTACATAGCTCCTTCTTGTATTTTGACTGAGCAGCAACACTTTCTACCTGAACACTTTTACGAAAAACATCACCACGCCTCCATTGTTTTCGATCTTGCTTCTTTGACTTTATTACGATTTCACTATCGCGGATCAGTCTATCAACGCAGCAACCATGTACACATCTTGGACTCTTCTCACCACTGCCGCAGCATTATCGACTAGCGCCATGGCACTCCCTCACCAAGAACGTCTGGCCGAAAGCGAACCCTGGCACCTCTTCGCACTATCGGTCTTCACATCTTCCACCACCTCCACCAACAACTCCATCTCTTTCGACTTGATCGACAACAATGCTGGTCTACAAGCAAGCACCACTTGCTCACGTTCGGTCCTGGGTTCTGTGGAAGATGCAAACATCTTTTATCCCTGCGACAATAACAGTTTCAATTTCAGATGGGATGGTACAGTTTTGCGTATGCAGAGGTTTTATATGGATACGGCGTAAGATTGTGTTGGCAAGTGAAGAGGAAAGGGGGATACTGCTGACTTCAAGCGACAGTGTTGGTCCATGTCCTTTGTATTCTATGGCAATGGGACGCCCGATCTTGCCGTCAACTATCTCGCTGAAGACGGACTNGGGTAAGCATAATCTATCATTCTTGACTCGAGAACGGCAAAACACTGATGTTGTATATCAGCTACCTATCAAGACTCTCTCGACATTGCCGTGACCGAAATGGTTGCCTGAGTGATTCCTTATGTACTCAGTTCTTTGGCTGCGAGAGCTGATGGTATGGAGAATGGACAAGGAAATAAGACTGAGAATTTTTACGACTGGTAAGAGGGGAGTAAAGAGCAAGATGCATGCGAGGGAACTTGATGGGTGAGGGTAAGGTTGGAGGAAGAAAATCTGGAAGGCTAGAAGGTTGGTTTTCCTTGACCACTCTCCTTAGCCGTCGTTATCATCAGCCAAAGTGTTGCCTTGCTTCGTGCTTTCCAAACGACGCACAACTGCCAACGTCCACATTGTATGTTTGTGTTCGTGACCTAGTACTCCCATTTGTCCAGAAAGAGCCTGTTTCTGTAAATTCAACGCTTCATCACCCCTTCCCATGCGTTCGAGCACAACAGCACAATCATTCATCGACCAAAGAGTATCCGGATGGTTCAAACCAAGAACATCTTGTCGTCCCTCCAAAGCTCTGCGATAATGCTCCTCGGCACTCTCCAACAAGCCCATGTCTTGATGCGTAGCTCCAATGTCGCCGAGGATCCACAGAGTATGCGGATGCTTCGGGCCGCAAACTTTCGCTCGCGTTCTATGCGCTCTTTCAAACAGTGTCAGGGCTTCTGAGAAGCGACCTTGCTTTCTGTATGTCCGTGCAAGTGTGGCGATTGTCCAGATGACTTCGAGGTTGTCTTCTGGTTCTGCAAGGCGGGCTTCGAGTACGGCGAGTGCTTTGAGATGCATATTTGCCGCATTGTCGTAGTCGCCAAGGTGCCGGTAGATGCGTCCTAGCTCATTGACCGTGTTGATCGTCTCTAGATGGTAAGGCCCCAGTTCGGCTATTTGAATGGATAGAGCTTGCTTTTGTGTTTCGAGAGATTTCATGGTCTCGCCCTGTTGATCGTAGAGGATGGCTAGACTGTTTGAGATCCAGACAAGTTCTATTGCCTTTCTGTTCGAGAGTGATGTGTATGCGTCTGTGAGCCAGGTTATTCCTTCCTCGAGTCGCTTGCTTTGATTAAGCATTCGAGCTAGGTCCCGGATAACCATTATCTTCTCGAAGTATGTCAGTCGAATGGACGTATTGCTATCGTCTTGTGGGTGCAAAAGGATATGCACGACATCCTTACTCCAATCCAGTTGAGCAAGTGCTTGCTGTTGTTGTGAACTTGGTATGTTCACACGGATCCAAGCGTTCAAGTCGGACTGCAGCTTAAAGACTCTTTGCAAGGAGAACCCGTTTTGGCCATGTCTAAGCATGTTTTGTATCCACCACCGTCGAATAGCTTCACTCCCATTGAAGCTCGTCAAAAGTCTTGAAAGACCTACGCTCCAAGGAGAGGCCAAAAGATGGTCACACCAGAACACAGTAGCGTAGTCGGCCAAAGCTTCATGGTGAGAATTTTCGACTGCCGCTATAATTTGCGACAAGCAGACGTATGCTAGATGGTGGTCGGCTTCGGCTTGAGTAAAGAAGAACTTTTCTGCATGTTTCAGTCCTTCTTTGACCGTCTCGGATACCAAGAAGTCTCGCATAGATAGATGCTGGAGATTGAACCGATCTGTAAGCTCGTCATACACTACGAAGGGGCTTCCAAGTTCCAGAACAGCGGATTTGAAGGGTAACGATTGTCCTGACGAATTTTCATCATAGGCTAGGGCAGCTTGCAGCTCTGACCAACTCATAGGTCTTTGAGCAAAGCATACCCACAAAAGAAGTTTTCTGGCCAGGTGCTGTCTTGAATACGACTCATGCGAGAGCCTCTCGAGGTAATCGTTGTAGAATGCGGTCAACCCCGAGGGTAGCGCTTCAAGCTGGGCCATAAGTTCTGCTGGCGACGACGACTTGGACAGAGATTCCATGATCAGATGTGCAAAGAGGAACATGCCATTCGATCTTTCAGTCACTCTTTTCATGATTGAATGTGACCATGTCGTATCGTTCGTTGGTAAACGGTCCTTTGCAGCAGTAAGATATATCTGAACGTCCTGCTCTGTCCGGGTCGCATCGATGGCGATAGTCAAGTCCGCCGGAAGTGCTTTCTGTATACTGGGTGTCCTTCTGCTCGAAACGAACACGTGGACGTTGGAGCTGGCTGTGACAAAACTTTGCAATGTGCTTAAAACGCCGGTGGGATCTTCGCATTCGTCGACACCGTCGGCCACAAGATAGAAACTTTCGAGGGTATCAATGACGGCTTTGAGAAGCGATATTGGCAGATCAGCTGGCGATAGACGACTACGGCCATACAGGGCAGCATTCTCAAAGGCAAGTGTCACTGGTGGCGGCAGATCATGCGACTGCGCACATATCTGCGCTATGATGCTGGCAACTAACGACGCCTCTGTTCGCTTTACTTGATCAAGCCTGTCGAAGAAGAAGTACGTTATGGCGCTCTGTGGGTTCGAGTACAATTCCTTGAGGGAAGTTACGACAGTTGTACTCAGAACAGTCTTTCCAGCACCAGGGACGCCGTGCATCCACAGGACAGACGACTCCTCGCTTGTGTGCCATCGTATGAATGCACTTTCCTGTGCCAACCAGAGTCCAGTACCGACTGTTCTTCTTCGTGAATGCTGAACAAGATCACTGGCTGTGTCAGTTGCGTCCAGCCACGACATGATATCTCGACGTTGCGATTGGTCCAGAATGGCAACAGAAGACTTCTCCACATGTGCTATGACGGGCTTCAAGGCGGTGTGGACATATCTGCGATGAGCCAGAGTTGTTTCACCCTCAAGCACGGATGTGTGCAATGTAAGTTTGTGGATGCCACCATTGAATTCGGACTCGAAAGTAGTCCATATACTTCGGAACAAAACCGTGATGCCTTTTCTTCTGAGGGCCAGATCTGCCTTCTGGAGCAAGACCAAGACGTCTCTGTAGACGGCGGTGAGGGCGAGCTTGAAGCGTGGCTCATCTGGGATCAGTTGTTCGTATTGGTGATACAAAGACAGTATGGCACCAAGTCTTTCGAGTAGCCCGACAACTTTGGGAAAGTATCGAGTCATGGCAGATGCCGCCTGAAGCGCGTCAGTAAACACATGGAACATCGTTTGATGATGAATCAAGTACCTCAATCACGCCTTTCAAGATGCCCCAAGCGATACAAGCTGGGTTCAACCCATTACCACCGACGCCCTGAACTATGGAGTCGATAGAGGCGGCATAGCGATTGAGGAAATCTAGCAGAGGAGCTAGTCGCTCACCAAGCTTCCGGGTGCGACTGACAGAAGAGTGTCTTTTGTCTGCTTCGAGAAGAGATGTGAGGACATCGTTGAGACTTACCGAGTCCACTGCCACAGGAGTTTGTTCAATCTTGATGACTCGTTTATGGTATAACATATTCTAGAAATCGTGTAGGTAAGCTCCATGAGGAGAGGTGGGGTTGCCTGACGCATTTTCTATCACAATAAGTCGGTCAGCTTGCATGCCAGGCTGAGGAAGAAGGCGCAGCTTGTCTGCCTGAATAGGGTGCATGTGCGGAAACTTGGCAATGCAGCTCACAAGACTGGTATGCAGTTTCCCAATGCCGAGGCTGTGGCAGGAGGAACGAAAGCTCTGACCACCGCGACGTGATCTTGTCAAGCTCTTTCCCAGAGGAATCTCCATCGATAACTCGGGCTCAGACAGCAGCCCAAGCGTAATTATATCGCTGAACCATCGTGATCAGTGTGTCTAGCGGCGTGGCGGCAATTGGTGAATAGATGGATCGGGCATCATGCATGAGCCGACCAATCTACAACCAATAGGTGAAGCGGAAGCCGCCTCAAGGTCACCTGACGGTCAACACATCAAAATGTGATATAGGTAGTTGTGGCAGTGCATCTGAAATCATGTCGGTACATTTTCGATCCTGCTGATGTCCGCTCATAAGTACATCGTTCGGGGAAAGCCAGGACTAAACAAGAGCGTGATCGAGACGGATGCGAGACGCTATGCAAAAGATGATTTGCTAACAGTCGAGAAAGTGAGACTACCTCACCTGATGGATGTTACTTATCTGACAGCTCAACTTCTAGACTGGTGAGGACTTTGAGATTAGCACTTCAGCGGAGCTCAATGACCACGAGCAACTGGTATGCTCTTTGACACAAGTTCGGACGGGACTCATTAAATCGACTGACGATTCGAAAGGAGTTCGAGAGGCTGTGTTACTGCAGACAATGGTCCTCTGCTCGAGCCGAGATACCAACAGAGAAGTCTCTGCCCTTGAGACCACCAGCCACTGCAGTTCCACCTGGTCAAGACTTGCCCACATCAGTCCCAGCGGCTCCGTCACCACTTGCTACACCGATGAAGCGGGTTTTCTGTCCGCTATCCATGTCACGACAGGAGCTCGAGAGCGAACTACAGGGCTTGGTCTCTGAGCCAGAAAGCATTGAAATTCGGAGTCATGTCCAATACGACCGCATTCTGAACTGCGCGACATTCCTTGCGCACGAGACTCTCAAGCCGGCTAGAGCGGGCAGCCACCTTGAGATCAAAGAGGATTTTGTGGGAGTAACTCCACTATTTGATCCAGGGCCGGAGGAGGCCATTGTAGAGTATGTTCAGTTATCGCTTCTTCCTGTATGGCTTGACTCATTGTAGACTGCAGCATCGTTGCCGTTCCTGGGTTGGGCACTGATGCCGAGAAGACCTTTCGCTCAAAGACTCGTGGCGGCGCAATTGGTAACGACATATGGCTTAGAGACTACTTACCTCTCTATCTGAAGGAAGCCCGTGTGTTACTCTACGGCTATAACAGTCAGGTGCCCAACAGTCGAAGCACAGCAACTTATGGAGAAATGGCATCCGTGCTGCTGAAATCACTCTGTCGTATCCGATATGAGACCAAGGTGAGTCAAGGAACAGCAATCTTCCGGAAGGACTCTCGTCCTGATTACCGCAGTCTACCACACGCCCGGTGATACTCATAGGCCACAGCTTGGGTGGGATCCTGATTAAAGAGGTGCGATAATCAGTCGTTGCCTTCACTGCCCCGGTTTACTAACATTCCCTTGCAAGATGATCCAAG